GTGGCTAACCACTGTGGCGAGTCCTGCAACGGATCGTGTCCTTGGCGTCACCATTCGCTGGTCTATCGTCTGCAATGACCTAAGGCGACGAATGAAGAGCTCTACCTGTTTTTTTCTCCCATGCACAAAAGGTCTCAGCTGAGGCCAATACCGCAACCACTACCATGGTTATAGATGATTTCCAACCGGTCATTCGTCTCCGACCATACCTCTGACAGGTCGCACGTCTCCAAGCGATCGATGCTGGCATTACTCGGTTGGGCCATAGGTATGCGGGACCGGACGGTCTGTCCTAGACAAAGGAGGAGCATCGTGCTCTTCATTTTCCGCATTTGAACTCCCCGGGTCATTCGGCAGTGCAGTCTAGATTCTCACTTGTCGAAAAACCCCGGTCGCAGTTGTATGATAAGCTTCTTGCTTTGCGGCATCCATTTCCCCTCATTTTTTTACGCCGGCTTGCCAAGAAGTAAAGTGTTCTTCTCTGGCTACGAGAGGGCCGATCTCCGTGGTCTCCAATCTCGACAATGTCGAATGGAGTGGCGAACGGCTAGAGGGCGGAGTTCATCCGAATATAGAGGCAAACCTCTAAGCTAAAAAAACGGCAAGTACTGTGACTGTACCGCAATGATACGTCGACGTACTCTTGGAACCGCAATGAGACTAATTCTGGTCATCTAACGGCGGGCCGGTAGTACGTATCAAAGCGCACGTGGTGAATATGTTGGATTCGAACACCGGCATATACTAGTCTCGCCTCCTGACCAACCGTAACAACTTTTAACGGACCAATTATCCCTTTTCGTGGTGATGGCGATAGACTATCTTAGTCGCTCGGAACTGAAAGCTCGATGGGATCGATACTTCTTGCCCTATAGGTATTCGGACCATCGTGCTTTGGGCGAACTACGCACATGCTTATATTAATAACTCGGTAATCAAGCCAACGACGTGTTACGAGTTGATTACTTGGATCCCATCGCGGGAAATACCCACGAGAAGCGTATAACTCGAGGCGTCGATTGCGATCGACTCGAATAAGCCCGTGAGATTTATGCCCGATGCCTTGAGATCTCTAAATAAAACTCCATTGTGCCTAATCCCAACCCATTCCGCCTAACCACAATAAGTTCTCTACCAAGGCGAAGACGGAATATTACCCTGATGTTCGCCTCGAAGGACACTTTTCCTATAAGCCAACTCCTCAATCACGAAGGAATACCTAGCGTTTACGTGAATATCCAATCATTAAACGAGATAACTTACATCCAATAGATTCTCCCTACTCCCCCGGCGCTAGCCCAACAAAGCCCATCCTATCGATTCGTTGATTCCTTTTCCCCGGCACGAAAGCAGTTAACAAGATATACTTGCAGTCAAAAATACGTCTCCCATCCTTGATAACAGGAAGAAATGAGCAGGGGTGATTTAGACCGGTCATATACACCGCGGAGCCCGCAGCACCGCCGGACCGGACTCCGAGAGCGGGGAAGTGGACGTCCATTCTGAGCGGCTCAAGCGACCGGCGTCGGTGGTCGAAGTTCCATCCAGTATGGTGACGGTGGCAAAAAGTTTCGAATATGTGTTGGAACCTATTCGTCGCATGCTGTACAGCACGAAACGTGCTCGTTAACCTATAGGAATTTGCTGTCTGAGCGAGAATACAACCACAGGAAACATCCCGGGCCGCCCGTCGAATCGCCTATGACGGTTTTATATCGTTTGCTTACGCCTCTTTTTGGTCATTTCTCAACAAAACAAATATTTATATATAGGCTCGCTTCGGCATCGTCCCTACTCGGCTTAAGCATGCTGCACCAGTTGGTTAACGAGACTAATAGGAGTATCGTGGCGTCCGGTTTATTTCGGCCTTGAGGTTCGAGAAAACTTCTCACCGTATCGTCCTGCCGCCTCGGGTGGTACAAGAAAAGAGATAACCATCTTGTCGCAAATTCTAGTATCGCAGAAAATCTGCAAGTTATACCCATTCGAGATCAAACTGCGTTTCAAGGGATATACTTGCATTTCGCCTAGTTATCTCAACTTCGTCGCCCTTTGGCTAGCCGATAGCGATAGCGAGAAGACGATATGTACCTACTTTGGTATCATTCAAGTTACCTGCAGACTTACCCAGAAATAGGTTTAGAGGACAAAGCAATCATCGTCATAAATATGTCATGCTATGATTTAATATCATGGTTGTGGTCACTTTTTTATTGCTTCAAAGGGAATGGTCGAGATGGGACTATCCGAAATTGAAGTCTGCAACAGGCGCAACCGGGTTGGACGGGCATCCCCAGGTCTTCCAATTATTGGCATTTGCTTTTTTCCTTTTTCCTATCGTACACTACCACTCATGTGAAAGACCGATATCTATTCGAGATTTGCTTGGTTGTTACCCGATCGCGTGGGATGATGCGTCTATTCACCGCCACAATACCCAATATCCTTCCTTTATTTATTTTCTATGCCTTAGGTAGGTAGGCAAATCTTGTACCTCAATTGGGTACAAGTTGACGCGAGCACATGATTGATGACCTGGATGAGGAATTTTTATACTAGTTCAACTTCGCCTCGTCCTTCAAGTTGAAGGGTGCCAATCGGTTAAGTTATGTCGTGAGACGATACGACGAATTACGCAGCGGCCTAACAGATGGCAACTTTAGCCTCAGCTGAACACCGCCTATAATGTAAGTAATAGGTAATCATACTTCAATCTACCTAAATATTTTGACTTTTCACTAGATATCAAGATGGATGCTGTCACATGTGGGTAGTTATCGACTTGGAACGGGAATAAGAAAGGAAATAATATGGTTAGTTGAATCCCGGCTCAAACACAGTATGGCTCACTAAACTATACCTTTTGACAGTGGATATTACCTAACACATTTCCTAGGATACATGTCTAACAATTTGGGGATATTCGATGATAAACTTTACAAAATCCTGCCGTATATCTTAACAAGTGGAATATTACTTAACCTCTACCACGCCTCTTCCTTCATAGCCTACTAAATATGAACTATTGCTCTTGGGCATTTCCGAATCATTTGAGGATGATGTACTTAGCCACAGTACGTACAAATCCACACGGTCTCCCCGCCCCCTTGCGACGCCAACGTCGCCCAGTAAAACGCTAAATCGTTGAGTCCGACATTTGTTAATCAATTATCCATGTAACTTACACTTACACATACATTAGTCTTATTCTTTTCCCCTCTTCTTTCGGAGCTGACGAAGATAAGAAGTTCAGCTACTGCAACTGTTATTTATCTCCTAATCATTATTCTCTTTTCGCACTACCTACCTTGGTACTTGCGGTACTTGCGCATGTAACTTATATCCACATATACCAAAGGTCTAGAAGTTTAGGTAGTGTCTTTTTGTTCGGTCTTGTCGCTGACTGACAGATTAACAGACTGACTGATGACTTTGTTGAATGATTTGCTGAGTAGGATCGAACCATGGATTCGCTCTAGATCTGCCCAGGCTTCGGTGATGTTGATCATCAGGGTCAAACCATTGGAAAAAGCCATTGGAATGCGGATATTTAACTGGTCAATGTCCGCAATCGATAAGAATGTTGATGAACCCCCGAACCCCTGTTCGCCCCTGCTCACCCTGCTCCGGGTTCGTCGCTACTTCTTCCCCGACTATCCCCGACCATCTTCCCCTCTTCAGAAGGTGCATTGGATGGAAGTCTCGGTCGTTCCTCCACGTGCAAGCTAGGAAGGAAGGTGAAATTCTTAATGTCAGAAATAAAGTAACTTTTTAGTTTACACACGCATAATTGGTACAAAGTACATTCATTACATGTAACAAAATAGAATGGAATGGTGAGGCTGAAGATTGTGGCACCCCCGTGTTCTTTCTTTCTTTATTCCCCCATATCATCGCCGTCTCCGACTTACCCGACAACACCGACCCCAGTAAACTCAGTGTGAACCCGGTAAAAACCCCCCTTCCTTTCTTCTTTTCCCCCCATTTCTCCATTTTCACCTGCCTGGGCAGCCTGGTCAAACCGCTTTAGTGCTTTAGTGTCCTATGTAGCTTTTCGCTAACTCTCTCCGCCTCTTCCTAGATTTCCTAGACCGCAACGCTTCGTAATCCTCCCATCATTTTCTTCACCTTTGTTCTTACAACTACCATCATCATTATTATTAGAAGAAGAACAATCATGCATCAATCAAGAATAAAGGATGTTTTTCAATAAACATTAGAGTTTTCCGTCTTTTTTTATACTACATATTTTTGTTGCGACTTGCAACTTGAGTCAGTTATTACTAGTCAGCCTTGTTGCTTACTTACCTACCATCTATCTATATGTTACCTTACCTTACCTAGGCCCTCGGCTGACCGATTCTTGATTTGCTGTGCTCCGTCTCCGTCTTGTCCTGTCTTGTCCTCCCCATTGTGTTTGTTGTTATTGTTGTATTGACCAAGCAAACCGCTTTGCTTTCCACCGCCCACCCCCATTCAAATCCCTAATGCTCGGCCAATCCCTCCGATCAATATTTATCACATGGTAAAATAACCACCACCATTACTACCATCGCGCTAGTCATCACGGAATAGATGAGATCGTTGTTTTTGTTGATGTCACTTTGATCACAACTCTCGTTGGTCTTAGTCATCTTCGCTCTACTTGAGTGATTTATTATTCGAACCATCAACCTACGCACCTGATTCTTATTTTGTCATACCTGCCGATCCTATCCGATGTCTTTATTCCGGTGATTCCGCCTTTACTGGCTGTTTGCGAGCCCATCCTTCTTACTCACTGTTGTCGCGCGACACTAGTAAAGTCGGTCGCGCCTAAGTCCGACCGAAAAAAAAATCGATCTGTCTTGTTTATAAACTCTTCGATGGTTTCGCGACAGTTATAAAGTATATGTATGCGTATATATAATCCGGTAGATATATATACGTTTGCATATACTTTTTTCCGTACAGTTCTGTAACGTTGCTTGTGGCTACCGTTATAGTATTTTTCGCGCACGATGGCTTCCATCCAAAGTATGTCTGGGTTTGGTGCGCATGGCTCGGCCAATAAAATAAGCAAGTCGAGAGCTAAAACGGCGGTCAAGCCCATTTTGAAGAAACTATCTTCGTCACAATCAGAAAAAACTTCATTAGATCTGGATAGGGCATGGTCGGACCAAGATGCGCCACATCGAAGTCACGAGAGTCGGACGGGAGGAGTGGTAGTGATAGGAGGAGCGGGAATAGGAGGTGGAAGTAGTGGAAGCGGAGGTGGATTCTACGAACAGTCGAGTAAGGACACGAGCCTCACATTTAACGATACGGTGGAAACTCGCCGATACAATCACTCAAGATCAATAAGTGGCACTAGTCACATCTCTGTCGCGACATCGAGCAGCTCAGGACCGCGTCACCAGGTCGGAACACCGTTTGTGCATCCTTTCCAACAAATTCCTCGAACGGCGACCCCACCATTGTCATATGCGAATTCGCAAACATCCTTTTTCGATATCACCGAAGACGAGGATAACGACACGGACAACAATCCTAATAACAACAGTAGCAGTAGTCGGAATAGCCTTCACAATCACCCTACGAGCCCCCATTCACTTTCGCAACCATCTTTGGGCTTGCGACGCCCATCCATAACCACCAGCCAACGTACTTCATCATTTTCCGATGTACACAATGCGTATCCTTCTTCGCCTCACCCTCCACACCAACCGCCCTCCCTCCGAATCAATACTTCACGCATCGCATCCACTACTCCAGCACAATCTTCGCGCCTGGCCAACGTTTCGAGTCGATCAGATATACACCTTGATTGCATGTTAGAGTCGCCTAGCTCGGTAACAAACGCCGCATCTAATCTTGTTGGTTCCCCGGCGAGCTCTACGGCCCCTATGTCCCCTTTGCGCTCTTCGTTCGACGCCGCCGGTTTCCCACGCTTGCGCGCCAAGTCCGATCTCGACACCGCAACTCGTGCAGAACATCTTCGAGAGGCTCGCCGTAAGTTCGAGCTAAGGGAAAAAGCGAAAGAAGAGAAGTATGCGCGAGAGGAGATCAAGCGTAGGGAACGAGCTGATAACAAGCGCGCCCACGAATTAGAGAAGCATGCGGCCGCATTACACAAGGAGCATATGGCGGCAGTGGCTCGTCAAGAAGCAGCTGAGCTAGAAGAAGCGATCGCTCGTGGAAAGCACAATAGGAAATTCAGCGCGGCGAGCAGCGGGCGACCGAGTTTAGCGATTTCTCGTACTAGCATGTCACGACCTGGTACATCAAGGAAGAATGCGCCTAGCCCTCTAGGGGAAGCTGAGAGATTCGCTAGTAGTAACTACGATAGTCTTGACGCGAGAAGCCCCCCATCTTTCGGTAACGAGGCCGGTGGTGCGCAAAGCGTTGTTTTTCAATCTTCAAAGAGAAAAAACAAGGCTAAAAAGAAGACTCAGAGTACTTGGACTATGTTCATATTGTGGTTACGAACTAAGTTGCTTCGAGCTAGCAAAGGTCGTTAAACTTCAAGTGTCTCGCTCAATACCAACACGACACATAACTTCCGGATCATCGCGGCGCTAGCTAGCGGCATACGCCCAGTATATACCCAAGGTTGTCTCATTGGAAGGCAAACATCTCACATTTCATCGACGTGGATGGCAGGCACAAACCACGTCTCATCCATTTGGTCATAAGGCAACAAAAAGACATACGAGCATACATGATATCCATTGCATTCACGACTTTCGTTATTGGCATCATTAAATTGGGCGTTAAGGAACAGGAGTTTTGACAAATAGGGGGCATATCTGGAAAGATCCAGTATACATATAGCCACATGAACGAGATCGGTATAAGAATTGGAAAGGAGGCGGCTTTTGTTTTGGAGGAACCCGGCTTTGGGCTTTTATGGAGCGATTGATTTTGATCGTTCTTTTCTCTTCTTCACTTCAGCATATTCAGATACCCGACGTCTAAGCATCTTGAGAAGAGGTGGCATTCCGAGTTCTATCCTCCCTTACTCTACTCAATTTCCACTAGAGTAATAATACTCTAGCAAGATAAGGGGTGGTAGTCGTAACTCTGGATTGGTTTTGGTCATACTTATGACTTTGTTGCAACGTCTCGGAAGTCTTTAGGGAACACTTTTACTCTACCAGATCGAGTGCGAATTGCATCGATTATAAGAAGATTATGGTAGCATTCGCGGATGGGATAGTTGGTATCCCATCAAGCAGAATCATAGATAGTGATGAATTCAAAATTCGTCATTCTTGCTCGAAAAATCAATTTTGAGCCCCTCGAGCCAGTGCAATTATTATTCCGCGTCTAGAGCCTTAGGTAGTGCCGCACTAAAAACGCCTTTTAGCATTGATAGCCCTTTATCTAGGTACTTATGTAGCCGCTATGATGCCAAAATAACTAACGTAATATGCATCTGGAATTCAAGCAAGGCGCTGTACTTACAAGTACAACATACATAACACTTACCGCCGCTGGAAAATACGAGCTCAAGTGAGCCAGTGTTGGTTCACCATGGGTTATAATCCATTTCTTGCCACCAAATGATGCGAGCGAAGTTCGAATATCTACTCTCTTCTATACGAAAAACCGCATTTGTTATGGGCATTAAAATACTAAACCAGTTATTCTAAGCGAATCAAGGGACACAAGCGAGACGCCACAGAAACACAGACGTACTTATCCCTCACACAGAACGCCGCTTCTAATATTTTCAGCTCTTAGGGATATCAGTCTATATTTGAACCATTTGTTCACAATCGTCTATCTCATAAATGAAGCTGAACAGGTGACCGATTCTTCATGTATGTGAGGATGTAAATCAATGTACACAAGTACATATGTATTTACAACTTCAAATTTATTGGCTTGTTCTTCTGGCGCGCGCCTAGATGAGTTAGTCCATCTGGGGATTAGCGCGACTTGGCGATACTGGCGCCAAGATCACCAGGGGTATATCCATTGGCGAGGCTTCTGATTGCCCAATTCAACCTAGAATGATTTTACCTTTGAAATTCAGGGACCGTTCCTTATTAGATTCATACATTATGTATTAAAATGGTTATGTAATCTGCATCAATTTGGGGTTGATCTACCATGACTAAGGTTTGTTTGGCATTTTATTTCATTTTCTCACTAGAGTTTATTTCTCCAGCAACCAACTCCCAAATATTTTTTAGTTCTTCAAAATACGAACATCACAAGAATACCAAGAATTACACATACGTACTCAAAGTTCTTGGTGTTCTAGGCATTGTGGCCATGCTTACTCTTAAACTGTTAAGGCAAGCCTAAAAGGTTAAGTTGTTTTACCTGATTCGCTCATCCCGGTTGCAGACCCCCCTTGTTCATCCAAGATTCCGTTCCCATAATTATTTTTCTCTCGGCATACAATCCATACAATCCATACAATCTCCACGATGGTCTGGGCTTTCTCTTGGCCAAGCTCCAAGACTGGTTAATCCACGACCCTCCCTCTCTTGTCGCCTCCTGAATCCCAAACTAAACCATGGCCTTCTCATTTTCTCTCTATCTCTGCCTAATGTAGTCAGGTCGATGAAGTGGTAATTGTCTTGTCCTTTTTACCTTTTTCGCGTTCTTTCGTTGACGTCGAGTTCCCACTATCATTCAAGTCCCAAATCCATCTCACGTCTACCAATAATAAATCATAATCGATATACTTACAACATTCATCCCTAATCGGATGAGACGTTCATTACTTACGTACTAGCTTAATTCATCTATGTCCGGATTTTCTATTCTTTTCTCGCCTCTCTCTTCCTGGTGATCAAACATTCAATTCGCTCATTTTTACCACCCATTCTCACGATCCGACGCATTTCGCAAACCATGGTGAAGTTCTCGACACCGCTATTAGCGGTCCTTGGCCTAGCTGCCGATAGAGCATATGCAGCTCTCGATGTAGATCTCGATGATCCAGGTATGTTTTTCGTATCCCAATCATTGTCGTGTCTCCTGTTTGTAGCGGAGGCAATTAACATATCGTCTTTCTCTAGCCTCTATCAAGAAGGCAGCCGCCCTAGTCGCCGAAGACCTTCTCACTTTCTATCACGGCGACGAACCAGGAATGGTACCTGGTATTCTACCTGGACCTCCTCCCGATGGTGATTACTACTGGTGGCAAGGAGGTGCTATGTGGGGTGCATTGTTAGATTATCGACACCATACCGGCGACAAAACGTTCGATGATCTCATAACTCAAGCTCTGTTATGGCAAGTCGGTCCCAACGAAGACTTTATGCCTCCCAATTGGACCGCATCCATGGGTAACGATGACCAGGCTTTCTGGGCGCTATCGGCGATGTTGGCTACCGAGATAGGATACACGGATCCACCACCAGATCAGGCGCAATGGTTATCTCTAGCGCAAGCCGTATTCCACGAACAAACGCACGAGGATCGAAGAGTACCAAGCGGTAGATGCAAGTGGGGTCTGCGATGGCAGGTTTACCCTTCGAACAACGGATATAACTATATCAACAGTATGTCGGATTAGCTTATTGGTCTATCCAAGATAACCATGTTGGAATTTTGTATACTAACTAGATGATAGCTATCGCAAATGCGTGCTACTTCAACATCGGTGCTCGATTAGCTCGTTACACGGATAACTCCACCTACGCTGACCTTGCGACCAAGACCTGGGATATCATTAAGGACCTCGGATACATTTCGGACAAGTGGGAAGTTTATGACGGTGCCCATTTGCCCGATTGTACCGACCTGAACAAGGCCCAGTTCTCTTACAACTCTGCTATGTTGTTGCAAGGTGCCGCCTTTCTATACAACTATGTATGTTTCGCCAGAATCACCTATATTCGTATTGGTTGCTAACATTGAATTTCAGACCGATGGCTCGCAGGTTTGGGAGGACCGTATCAACAGCCTTGTTGATCGCATGCTACAGACCTTCTTCCCCGATAATATCGCGTACGAGCCCTCCTGCGAAGGAACGAAATGTAACGCCGACATGTTGTCTTTCAAGGGATACACAGCCCGGTGGATGGGTTCTACTATGCAGCTTGCGCCTTTCACGCAGACAAAGATCATGCCGGTGCTTAAGGCGTCTACACAAGCTGCTGTCAAGCAGTGTACTGGTGGTGACAACGGAAGATTCTGTGGTTTCCACTGGAACACTGGTGTCTTCGACAACTCAGTTGGAGCTGGTCAGCAGATGAACGTGCTAGGTTCCCTGATCAGTCTTCTTTCCCCTAGTGTCGCACCTCCTCTTACCAACTCAACCGGTGGTACATCAGTCGGTAACGTCAACGCCGGTTCCGATGAACCCCTTGTGCCAACCTTCGCCCCTATTACAGGCGGCGATAAGGCTGGTGCCGGTATCCTAACAGCTCTTATCATCGCGGTCTCACTTTCGGGTTTCGCATGGATGAGCACGGATTAAGGAGTTTTCGGATGTAGAAGAGTGAATTTGTGGCGTGGCAATGTTTTGCTATTCAAGGCGAATGTTTTATTCAGGAAATGTATACCCGGGTTTGTACCGAAAAAGCCAAACGGAAGAATGGATCTGTATATAACCCCACCATTCTACATCTCGCCATCTCCAACTCTACTTCGTAATTTGCTAGGGATTCTTTGAGAAGTAGGGTAAGTGAGGGGAATAGGCGTACTGAGATGTTATATCCAGAGAAGCTGATTAGAAGAAAAGAATAAAATAAATGGACAAGGCGCTTGATTTTAGGATTGTGTGATGTGATGTCTCGCAGGTATAATCGTAGGCGAGTTTCCGAGCAAAGTAGTCGGCGTTAAGAACGGAAACTCGGCTTCAAGTACTCCAACTCCGACAACCTAGCTCGCAGCTCAGCGTAGTGTAGCTCTACCATACAGAAGCCATCACCATATTTTCATACATCATGAAGGTAAGATATCAAGTAGTACGATCGTCGTTATTCAGATTACTTAAGCTCTATGAGGCTCAGCTCTCGGTTCTTATATAATGCGACTCCAATTATAGGATTGCTTACGACTAGGTATACAGCCAATAGGGGTTTGATGTTGGAACATGGGAATGTTTTTCGGTGCTGTTACCTGCCCAGATAGGTACGGAAGAATTAATATTTATCCCGGGTTTTTCGTTTCTTTGTGGTAAGTGGTTGTTGGGGATGATGATTAGGAATGGTGAAATTTCGAGGATAATTAAGTGTGTCTTCGAGTCTATGGAATAGAATATTGCTACTTCTCACGTTTTGATATTAGGGGTGCGATTATGGTGGTTATTCTTTAACTTAAGTATCGCCGCCTCGTGTGTAGGTATAAAATCGACAGTTTTAAGTAAGCCACTCTATAGTCATCCATGATTATCTACATGTGAATGGAGGTAAGGGCTCGAGTTGTCTAGAAATCACCCATTAACCGCGTCGAATATGGAGTGGAAAGGGGGCAATTGCAACCGGTTATCATCACGTCGTCATTACATAGATAATTCTATGTTTGGAGAAACTCAGGTGTCACTAACTGTAAGTCAATGCCTTCAAGCGTCCAAAAGAATGTATCAAGTTGCCGTACCTTGCTTTTCGTAATTCCTTCGCAGACTACGACTGTAGAGGGCTATCCCACGATTGGTCTTTATGAATGAGCAACCTACAAGCTAGACTCTGGTTGTAGGAACTCAACGCTCCTGGAAGTAGACATTGATTATGAAGAATAGCAATAGAGAAGCATACGTACCTGGGTACCTAGGTAGTTACTGAAATCCGTTCGGCATTCATACCGTAATCGATACCAACATCTCGTAAGCCTGTGCCGTAATCGTATTAGTAGAGCAGCCCACTGGTGAATACCATCCAATTATAGCTCTGCGCATGCTAAAAGATTATCTTTCCATAGGTGCCACAGCATACTGGCACGCCTATGCTAACCAAGAAAACATCGCGATTGGTTTCCACCTACAGATGTAAATGGGATAACAGGGAACGTATATATCTAGGGATATCTTATAAAGGCCACTGGATACTTAAACCGAGGCCGACTCTCCATAGTGTGTTGTTGGCTACATCCGAGCCGATACCTCCGCACGCATAGACAAATGCTTGATGAGAGATCTATCAACGACGGAGATCCGAGATGCCGCGACTTTAATCCAACAACAAGGTACCTAACCCTCTTGTTGGTGTCAACGCCTAATCTGGCAGTTTGGTAATGTTAAATTGCGATGATAAGCCAAGTGTGAAGGAGTCATCTTGGCTAGTTGATATCACAATGGCGAATTTGTCTTCAAAGACGCTAAAATCTTGGCATCTTGACGGTTTCTAATTGGGATTGAAAATGAACAGATTTGAAGATAACGGAATTGATCACCTGTCAGGATAATAATTCTAAATCGAATGTACATAATGCAGTTGTGAAGTATAATATTAAACATTAGATCGAAGCTACTCGATTATCGAAGGAAACTAGGCTTGTACTACAGCATCAATTTAGTCTGTTACGTCATGGGATCTCCAACACGTGGGTTGTGGCATAATCAGGGTCTTGGCAGACGAAGCATTACTGCAATGATCCGTTTTATGTATTCTTACACCATTAACAAGTGTATATGTACTTACTTATATAATGTACTTAACTCTAAATGAGCCAAGAATTGTGGCTCGAGAATGTCATAATACAAGCAAACAATGATCAAGTTCCTGTTTCCATCTACATTTCAGCATACTTAAGGTGGGTCTATTTAATAGGTTCATCCTTTTTCTTTTTCTACAACTAGCCATTACATCGTTTAAAAAGCATAGCCACATCTCAAGCGTGCATCATCAGTCTACAATCCATTATCTAGAATCTACAATAGCGAATTTCTGACCAAAAAACATCCACTCATTCATATCTCTCTCGCTCATCTTAAACAAGTCCGAATCCGAATCCGAATAGAACATACACGTATCAACATCAAAGCACTTAGCCTAACCGCATTTATAACAGCCGTTGAAAGCTACTTAGGTAGCTAGCTCGTCAGCCCTACGCACGCTCATTGGGTTGCACATACGCGGCACAGTGTGGGACGCGAATCGCCCGCACTTTGTATCGCTAGAAGTGAGGCGGTATTCCGTTCCGCTCCCTAATCCGTTGCAGGTTGCTAGGGCCTTCGTAGCAAACGGTCGGAGGTAAAGAAAAAGAATCCCACCCTGCAAGACGGAATTGCTGATATCACCGCACAGCTATTGTCACACAGAAATTGCTAACGAAGAAGCACAAAAAAGAAAGGAAGAAGATAGCAGCTTAAAAAAGCAAAGGTCTAGAGTGTTAGAAGCACTCGGAGATCTTTACACTTATCGAAGAGAGTATCTGTCCAAGTAGGCAGTGCTCTCTTCTAGGATTATCGCGGCAAACAGCATGCGTATGTTTTCCTTTTCTTTAGTTACTATCTACTATCTTTCCGCATTTATTTTCTTCACATTTATATACATACATCCCTACCTATACGCGCTAGTGTTCGAGACACGCACAATTGTTGCCTCCGATGAGATCGAAACACTACATTTATCCTCGTATAGGTACATACCTATCTTCCTATGTATTTATCTACTTATCTATCTACACCCCTTAAATGTATCCATCCGACGCTACATTAATTCCGGTCGACTTCCAAGTGGGGGGGGATCTTCCGCCGGCTTCTGTATTGTCGGGAAAGACGTCACGAACGATGAGGAGTCACCTATCTGTTGAAATCTGGGTATGCTTCATTTATGACTACTGTTACTTTACAACTTTTGAAATATTGTAATTCATTTTATTCTTCTCGATCACCACCACGAACAACCAGCAGCGACAACAAAGAGACAAAGAAAAGAAAATACACTCTTTATCAGCTACATGCCTTAAATCCATCCCGATTAGACTTTCAAGACGTTTAAAACGTATAATTCACATATAACAGCGGCTTAGGTACCTAACCCAGCCTCAGGTGGATCTAAACGCTGTATTGCCATCCCAAAAAGCAAGGCGAGAATCCACACAGTTTGAATTAATACGTTATCAACTCACAGGGGTCCAGTGACCTGTTGCCAAGCCGGTCTACCAAACCCGTCTCTTTCTCGCTGAAGCACCGCTGTTCGGTACATACTTCTTCAGGCCCTTTTCCCTGGGAACCAATAACTACCAGGGGTACTCCGTCTACCCCTGATAAACACAGATTACGCCTTGAACTTCTCCAATCAAAGCACTCCCCACGCCACCATCCCGTCCTGCCATTCCTTAAATTCCAAGTGGTTCTAATGCCTATTTAGTCTAGGCCTGTTCTCGTTCTTTACAATACGTCCTCTTTACACGTTTCTCCCCTCTCTTTTTCCGTTCTCTCTACAGAACATCCACGACGTTGGCGTCGCATCTGCCAAAGCCGCATACATCGATGAAGGAAAGTTCGACTGATAAGGCCTCTTATATAGATCGCATACGCTCATGGGCACGTGGTCACGCGTATGGAGGCTCTTCAAACCCAACCGCGTCCAACAGCCATCCTATCCTTCCCCTAAATAATCCACCCGCCGCCGTAGCATCTCAGGTACCCTCGGAGAAGAGCCGCAATGCTAGTGCCGGCAACCTCAATAGCCAACAGGGCTTCCCTAATGGCTTCACAACCAATAGTCAAGATTCTTCGAAAACCGAACAGGATACCGAAGGTACAAATAAGTCAACTACGTCGTCACCTGAAGTGGAGGGGTCGGGGTCTGTCGTAGACGACGCAGGTCCTAAAAAGAAACCCAACCTCATCGTCGAAACCGCCCTCGAATTCAAAAAGGTACTCCTCCATAGTTGGATCAACATATTCTTGGTTTGCGTACCTATCGGAATTGCCATTGCGAATATTCCGAATCGAAATGCCGGGGCTACTTTCGGTGTTAACGCCGTTGCTATCATCCCACTTGCGGCCCTCTTGAGCCATGCTACGGAGTCCGTAGCTCGCAAGATGGGTGATACCATCGGTGCATTGCTCAACGTGACGTTTGGCAATGCTGTTGAATTGATTATCTTGTGAGCACTGAAGCCCAAGTTTGATATTTTCGTGATTGCTAACATATTGACAGCATGTAAGCTTACTACCCGCCATTCCGTGAACCATCATGAAATATTCGAAATTGATGAATTGCTAACCCGACTTTTTAATCGTGTAGCATTGCTCTAGTCAAGGTAAGCATTTTCTACCTAAATATCGTGGTTTCTTATTGCTGACTTATTGTAGGGCGAGATTCGTATCGTTCAGGCATCGTTGTTAGGATCCATCCTCGCGAACTTGCTCCTTATTCTGGGCATGGCCTTCTTCCTCGGTGGTCTTCGATTCCGTGAGCAGGTTTGTCGACCGTTAATATCGCGCCGATTATGCACCGACTAACGTATTCAGATCTACAACAGCACTGTCACGCAAATGAGCGCCTGTCTACTCAGTTTGAGTGTGATTAGTCTCATGTTGCCGGTAAGTCAAGCTAGTAACCTGATTCAAAGATTTGACTAACAACCCCGTCAGACTGCTTTCCATGCATCATTCAAGGACAAGGCAGAGGCAGACAGCGAGTCTCTAAAGATTAGTCATGGTGTTAGCGTCGTATGTATTTACCTCCCATTTCACTCGTTTAATTATGCTAACGTTTTTGAGATCCTCCTTTTGGTATACATCATATACCTTTTGTTCCAGTTGAAGTCTCATGCATACATGTATGAGTCGACTCCCCAGCACATCATTGATGAGGAGGCTACACCTGGTCCTGCTGCTGCATGGCTTGAATCTTCTGATTCTGATTCAAGTTCTTCGTCGGATTCTGACTCGGATAACTCGAGCCACTCGAGAGAAACCATGTCTAAGCGTGTCCGACGAGCTATTCGTGGTCACCGCCGTAGAAAGTCAAGTGTAGCATCAGTAGATACTGATGAAGGCGTTCGAACCCGCACCTCATCACTTGGTACGAATAGTGCAAGCCCCAATCACGAGGGCTCTAAGTCCGGAGACTCCGCCCATGGCCCTATCTTTTTCCCTCGTATAAACTCCAAAGGTAGCGACGAAGCTATTGAGGAGGAAGACGAAGATCCTAAGGCCCATCGTAAACGTCATAAGCGATCCAAACGCAAGCAGCATAAGCGGGACAAGAAAGCACGGAACTCTGTAGACGCTGAAAATGCTCTCCAATCGGAGAACATTACTGCTCCTGGCCCTGATGCTGAGAATCCTGTCGCCAACAATGGAGAACCTCGCCGTGTAGATTTCGCCGATACCGTTGATAACGTCGACGGTATGCTTGAAGTATCGCCTTCCGGAAATAGACGCCCCTTCAACAATCTGCGTGCCCTGTCTTTGCGCCCTGTGGCTAAGAGCCTAGCACCACCCGTCTTCACCCAACCTTCGGACATGGGAACCACACCCGCGGTACCAGTCGGTCCTGTGCCGCGCGTCAGATACGGAATTCGCAGAACCAATTCTCTCCCCGAGAGGCTCAACCAAATCCAGTACAGAAGCCCCGGTGCCATGATGCCTTCCCAGGTTCCAGTTTCAGTTCTTACTGGCAAGACTGGCGAAGAAGTTGCGGAACATGACGATGATCTCTCACGCGGTGCAGCTGTTATTATGCTGTTGATCTCTACGGCCCTTGTGGCGACTTGTGCCGAATTCATGGTCGACGCTATTGATGATGTTGTCGCGAACAGTGCTCTCAAAGAGACTTTCATCGGTTTAATCATCCTTCCTATCGTTGGTAACGCAGCGGAACATGTTACAGCTGTCACGGTGGCTATGAAGAATAAGATGGATCTGGCAATCGGTGTAGCTATTGGCTCCTCGATTCAAATCGCTCTATTCTTGACGCCCCTCGTGGTTATCATTGGTTGGATCATCGGTCAACCTATGACGTTGTACTTCACCCTATTCGAGACCGTTTGTTTGTTCGTTTCGGCCTTCATCATCAACTTTTTGATTTTGGACGGACGAAGTAACTATCTCGAAGGTGCTTTACTCTGCGCCACATACGTCATCATCGCAGTTGTCGCCTTCTTTTACCCTGAAGGTGATGCTGCTGGTACATTAGGTGCCTAGTACGATATTCGATTCTGAAGCAACAATTTATGTTTGCTGTCGCATGATGCGCTGTTTGGCTCTGGCATAGTAACACAATTTGTGGCTTATTATTGCTTTGGCATTATGCGGATTTATGGATTTTGGAAGTGTTATTTGACATTACGAGATGTGGAAAGTTGCGCGTATGAAGAATGATTTATGATTCTTTTTGGTCCTGATCTTCAGTTGACCACCGGCGATTGATTTATCTTGATTGCTTGGATTTGATTTCTCTTCTATGAAAATTACCTACATATACGAAGTATTTTTGCAGGGAAATAAGCTGAGCCAGCTAACTTGGCCGCTCTGATTAGGACCACAAGGCGTGCGAACGCAAATTGGTATCTACCTTACATAGTTCGCTATCGCAGACTCATTAGCTGAGCTGCTAAGTGAATAAACATACTCTCTTTTTGGATATTTTGCCTTTTACTTTGAAGTGAACGTGAAGCCGATGACTGACCTGTATGGCCTTGAATGTACTAATTCTATACAAACGATTCCGAGGACCAGCTTCGTATTGCAAGTATATCCACACATATAGCACCCCTTTCTGAAGATACTATGAAACAGTGCCAATATAGAATTACGTCACAAGCCGATATTAGAGTTAATGGAGTGCAGTAGCTTCACGCCGGTGATGTGGGGTTTTTTGAGGGGCTCACCATTCTCGCGGGTCTAACTCAAATCTAATCCTAATTCCATTTCAAACCGAACTTCATCACCAATTTCTACACTTTCATCCATCACCATCCTCTATTACCCAGATTTGACTCCTTTAAACCCCAGTTTCTTCAAACACATAGCAAGTACGAACCTTAGTCGTACATTCTTTTCGTACTAGCACAAACTCTTCTATTTGTAATTGTAGTAAGCAATCAAGTCCTAGATTACACATTTGAAAGGACAGATATACGATTATGTGATTTCTTGTCTTCCCAGTCATACACAGCCAGCGAAGTGATTCACGACACTAAGGACTCATTAAGGCAATAATGTTGGCACTCAAAGAAATTGTTCTATTAATAGCAACTTCTGAGATTGCCTGCCTGGTTTCTAACATCTAACCACCAACCTATTTGTCATCTTGATAGCACCTGTATTCATCGCACCGCCATCCATTTACTCTCTATAAAGACAAAACCACCGGTATGTGCTTTGGAAGCAGCGACAACAATAACGACCCAGCTCCTAAGCCGGCTCAAGTCCAACTATCGTACAATAACACAGCCAATCCAACAGCCAGCATGCCACAAGATTATGCACCTCCTCCGGGACCACCACCCTCTCATCAACGCCAGGGTCACACTTATCAGTCTCAATCTTCTTCAAATGACTACACTCCACCCCCTGGTCCCCCTCCCTCTCACAATTACGCACCTCCGGCAGGTCCGCCGCCACAGACGTCATCACAAGCATCACCCCTCCCATCAAAGAACAACCCATTCTTCAACAACACCAGCAATAGCGGTGACACAGAGTACGCCCCACCACCCGGTCCTCCACCAAATGCCAGTTCCCAAGATCAAAAACAAAAACAACATGACTGGCAAACCGCGGTCCCGGACACATCTCTCCTCCCCCCACCACCAAATTTCTTCTCCGGCTTCGACCGGTCCCCCGCGAACAACGCAACGGAGGAAGAATGCGAAGCCGGAGAATCATGGTGTGCATCATACCCCCTCTACACCCCCATGCCCCTAAACCCCGCCGCCGAGGCCGCGGCACGGGAAGGCAATATCGCGATATACGCGCCGCCATTCTTCCGCGGCACCCTCACGCAACTAGGCCCCGGCTTCTGGCAAGGTACCAGTCCACGCGGAGGTAGCGATGCAAGTCTAGCCACCTATCCCCCCGTATACCACGCCGCGGCGCATAGTCCACTAGTCACGGGTCGAGCCCGTAAGACAGCTTACTACGAAATCCGCATCCTAGAACGCGGGAGTAGAAAAGAAGTTTCCCTAGCCCTAGGCTTCGCCGCACCACCGTACCCCGCGTTCCGCCTCCCCGGTTGGCATCGCGGGAGTTTGGGCGTGCATGGTGATGATGGACATCGATACGTTAACGATCGGTGGGGTGGGAAGACGTTTACCTCCCCCTTCAAACGAGGCGAGACACTAGGCTTGGGTATGGATTTCCTGCGTCGGGGAAATGGAATCGGAGTTGAGATTTTTTTAACTAGGAATGGTGTGGAGGTGGGACGATGGGATTTACATGAGGAGACGGATCAGCAGCAGGATTTACCGGTTACGGGACTGGAGGGATATCATGATGTCTGCGCGTCGGTGGGTGTGTTTGATGAGGTTGCGTTTGAGGTTGTGTTTGCGCCGGGGCGGTGGTTGTGGAGGGGATATCAGGGATAGATGGATGTCTTCCCTTCGGATTTAGTTGAGGGCTGAGGAGGGATAGGGTGGTTTTTTGAAGTGGTAGCCTCGGCGTTATGAGTTGTAACTTCGCTTATCTTGATGGGATCCGGAATCCGTATGGTTCCTTTCCATTAATGAGTTATTTTTATATGATTAAAGATTTAGTGCAAACCGTAGTGATGGGTTTTTTGGTTTCTTCGACTACAACATCTTATCTCGTATGAGTATGAACTGCCAGCACCTTTTATATTCGCTATGAGTTGCGATATGTTGTGCCTATAGGACGTATTTCCGGTTGCTTGTGTCTCTCAAAATGCCCATCCACTCCTCGATGCGTTAAAAAGCTCCACGAAACTAAATATACATGCTACGACTCTCACAGCAACGTAAAAGCTCACCAAAGGACAAGCTCTTCGAAAATTAAGGCGAATGAATACACGCGACGGATTATAATTAGCTTGCTGCATTTGATTCAATACTGGTCATCTTCCCTTTATCAGGGAAGGAAATAATAAAAGGAGATCTAATCACAATTCTCCATATCATATCATGTCATGAGGTCTCGTATCCTCAATAACCCTTCTTCGTCCATTCATGATCTCCTTAGCCGCCTAGCTAATTATCATCCATCGATTCATTTAATTCATAGCTTTCCCGCCGCCCTAACCGGACCGCCCCTCTCGCCGTCAAGTCAATCCGAAATCGTCTGAGCGCCCTCAAACGCATCACCCGGGTCCAGAGTAGTCCAACCATTGACCGAACCCGCCTCAATGCAAATCATCTTCTTGAAGCCATCCTTAGGCTCGAAATCACCCATACCAGCCGCCTTGTCAGTCCACGGGTTCCAGACGACAACGTCCTTAAGGTTGTCTCTAACAATGCTGAAAACCGCTTCTCCTTCCTCGGAGACGACGACGGGGGTGGAGGGGCCCTTGGCTGGCGTGTATACGCGGTCCGTCTCGCCTATGATGGATATAGCGCCCGATTGTGTCTTCGCTTTCGCGGCGTCTACTTTGTCGACGTATTCCGAGTCCTCGAGACCTGAGACTTGGATCTTGGAAATATCCTATATATCATCGACCATTAGTAAGCTTCCTTATATTTATATCTTATTTGTATATATAGCGCATGGGTTTCGGAGGAATATAAACGTACATCGATTCGCAGGTAAGTGTGCATCAAAGTCTGGAACTCAAAGGGCTGGTCACCGTCGTTGGTAACAACGATGCTCGTGCTCAGGTTCTCAGGTGTCAAAGTGACACTGTAGATGATGGAGAAGGTATAAGGCCACTTGCTCTTAGTAGCGTCGTCGAGAGTCGCGGATGAAAGACCGAAGTCGAGCTTGACAGAAGTGTCGGAGGGACTTGTTGACTCGGAGCTGGACTTTCCTAGGAATTCCCAACGAGAGTTGCGCGCAAAGCCATGTTGCGGGAGCTTCGAGCTTGCGGCATGGTCCGGTGCTGTTCCGAATACCTAATTATAGATTATAATATATCAGCTAGCTAGTTCTCCGATGTCGCTATTCATATATGATATATTTATTGTGTATATTGCCGTAATGTCGCACATATTTCATACGAGCAAACAAATTTTATTGGTGAAATATAACTTACGGGAAAGACGAGAGGAATACCACCTCGAACTGCTTTGGATCCGTCAAGTTTGGCAGCATCGGACAACCAAAGTCTCTCGATTCCGAATCGATTCTTCCAGCTAATGACAGTAGCGCCATATAGTAGAATCTCAACACTCTCACCAGTGGGAAGAGCAGCGGATACTCGCGAATTGCTGTGGGAGAAGTTGACTTGAGGTTGAGGAGGTAGACCAGGCGTAGTAGCCAAAGCCGTGGGCTTGTTGGGTCGGTCAACCATGGTTACTTTTAGTAAAGTGGTAGTAAATTACTAAATTGAATTATTTCGAGTCAGTTGAAAGCGACCTTGTTTAGTACGGTTTGATGTTTTGGAGGGTGGTCTTAGATCGAGTTATTATAGTATGTCAATGTCAATGTTTATGTAACTTCTCGGTGGATAGAAGATAGATCGATTTAATAGAATAATTGAGTGGATTAATGTAAAAGGCAAGAGCAACTTTGGTTCGGTTACCCGAATTGCAGGTGGTGATGTCAAGAAAGAAGTGATAGACAAGGGAAAGAGGTACTTAAGAACGTACGTAGGTTACCGGGTTTGTATGGGTTTGTACAGCGGAGTATGGCGGATGGCGGGGTAACTTTGCGATGATGGTCGAAGGTCTAAGGAAGGTTGGATCGAAAGTAAATATTCCCGTACCAAGTATACTTTTTAGGGTCTTGTTGGTGGGGTAATAGCGAATGTGATTAGTGGTAATAATAGCAACAATTATAGTGCAAGTGCTCCCCGTAGCTATAATATTTAGTGGATGATAGCTACTATAGTATAGCTTAAAGTTATTGTTTGTTACAATTTGTGTTTGCTAAAAATTAAGATGAGGAAAGAAGAAAAGCTGAACAAAGACGAGGGAAACTGAACTTTATCTATCAATCCGAAAATCAAGAAATAAAAAGAGCAAAGCCTCATACTACCAAAAAAAAAAAAAGTTGGGTGGAGATCTTAGAGGTTTGAGGTGATGGTCGATCTCCAGCTTCGCTTCGACTGAATGGAGAAGGGCCACTTATTAAGGTACCTACATAACAAAATAGCTTATAGATCAGTTAGAAATATAGTGGTGTGTCAATTAGTACCGTACTTTCTAGGCGGGGTGTGCCTCATTCATCAACATGGTTGTCGCACCGCATAACCTGAAACAACTATTTCTCCTCCCCTGAAGCTACCTGCGAGCCTGCTTACAATAAAAGAAGATGCATGTGGAAACACCTACCTCGCCTGCATCGCCTATATCGCCTACCTATGGGAGGAAAGTCGGTACCCGGAGATCTCCCAGTAGAAGGAATATTCCCCGATTATATAATAGAAACGAGCGCTGTTATCCGAGATATATATCTGCATGTCATATACCAACCAAAATAATTATATTCTCGGGTTACATCACCTGACTATTTAATTTATTTCTTAGCTGAAGAGTTATTTTTGCGGTGATAGGACATTTGTTACGTTACAGCCCTAACGATATGAAGCACTGTGAGTGGTTCTGTTACTACTTCGAGATATTTAATAGACGAAATAAGATCTTAGGGTGGGTACTTAGGCGATGATGCTTTAAGTAACCAACGTCAGTTCCTTATGCATTGAAGTAGAAGTGCCTGACTGAAGCTGTCATTATAATTGTGACGTTATACGTATAATAGCCTCGGTCTGATGGTTATACAGTTCAATTAGACAGATTCATTCACGATACACATACAATAGATACAACAGATATTAAACGGTAGCATATAAATATTATATCATATATTCAATTCGAGTAGACTTGGTAGGTAATCTACTTCAACTCCTTAACTCCATGCCAATGACCCATTATCGTAATAATTGGATACAACTAAGACCTAACTATGTCATGTCCCTTACCAACCGTTTCTTTAGATAGATACCCTTTCCCCTCTGTCATGCAAAAACCTAACGTCGGCTCCGGCTTTCCGCCTGGTATAATTCCTTTTTGATATCAAAGAACATATCTTCGATCTTGTTCACCTCTTCTCGGGTCAACGACGCCGAACGAAGACCTTCCAATCCATTCTTCAGCGCACTCATGATTGCTTCGGCGGCTGATTTCTCACATGGTTCTTCGACTGGAGCAGATGGCTCAGCCATGATTTCAATCGCCTTGCCCGCTGCTGCTTCCTTTTGCTTATATTCTTCATCCTCCTCTTCCTGTTCAACCATTTCAACATCTGCATCACCCAATGCCTCATCGTCATTCAATATTTCTGGAGGAGTAGGGGCACTTTCTGATTGTTGAGATGCTTCGGTAATGATTTGTAGTTGTACCGCTTCTGTATCAGAATCGCTACGTTCCAGATAACTGTCGTCATGTATCGGCGATGAGCTTTCTTGTTTGGGTTCTTGTTTCGAGAAATATCGCGAAGAGATTAGGGACGCGTCGGTGCCCAAATCTACATCAGTATCCAATTCCACGCTTGCTTCCATGGCAGCGTCAGTCTCAGCTGCATCAGCCATTTCAACTTCATCAATTTGGCTATCATGAACCGGTTCTTCTTCCTTTTGCTTTTGATGCCTTCGCTTCTTATGGCTACTCGATTCTTGGCTCTTTTCTGTATTTCGCTTTCTCTTCCTTCTTGACTTCTTGCCTGATGGAGGATGGAGACTCTCCATCTCTGCAGATGACGAAGGAGCGACTGGCGATGATTGTTCATTCTCTTGCTTCTTGGATTGACTGCGTGTCATCCTCGAGCCCGCATTTACCGTAATACAATCAATAGATGGTGTACTTGTCTCTTGAGGTTTCTCAGGCGATTCGGTTTCATACCTGGGCATAGGATCGCATTTCCTGGAATCAAGCTCGACGACCAGACGTGCCAAGCTTCGCTCTTCACCATCGCTAAGTTCAAAAGAACGATCATGAGGTTGAGGCGACGATTGAGGGCTTGAAACGGCTTCTTTACTCTTTGACATGGCATTGCTTCGAAGAGTCCGGGGAGATAAACGAGTTGGGCTAGTGAGAGCATCCACAAACTCATCAGGACCAGATCGAGGCGAAGACCCTAGTATCTTACCCAAGGGCCTTTTCTCTGGAGTCGATGGTCTCTTTGGAGTATGAATTTCATTGGCGTTATCGTCCTCAACAGTCGCAGGCTCGTGACTGGGCTTGGAGACCACTACTTTGTTTTCCTCATCCTGCTCGACTCCTTCTATGACGCTATCCTCGATATCTTCACTACTCTCCTGATCCACATGGGCATCCCCAGCGGGTGCTTGCTGTTTACGTGGAGATCCAGAAATCGGCGAAGATAGTATTGGGAATTCCTGAAATACACTATTGCTTCTGGACCTGGGTCTCATTTCTGCAAGTAGATTTCGACGAGGCTCCGGTGGTGACGAAGGAACATCATCTGTCATTTCATGGTCTTCATCTATAATAGTAGCTGCGCCACGTCGAGGCGTCGGCGTGGATACGAAATCTTCAAGATTATGCTTTGGTTGAGGTGTCGAGGCCCTCGCTTGTTGTGGAATCTTCGTTTGGATTGAATGTCGTGAGGTAGGTCGAGACGTTTGCTTTTCGACGCTACTTCGGATTTCAGGGAACAATCCGGCATTTTCCTTTTGTCGCTCACGGACCTCTTTTTGACGGTCCGTTAAATGTTGAGACTCCATCGCATCAGGACCAGGAGAAGATGATTGAATGGCAGCGAATTGAATTTGAGAATCGTCATGTCGCAGCTTTGGGGTTGCACTACGTCTCGCTGATTTTGGTCGAGGAGTAGAATCAGTTTGGCGTTTCGTAGGTAATGAGAGCCGAACGGACCCAGGAGTAGGGGGCTGTTTGGAAGATGAAGGCCGTTCAACTGGTGGAGTTTGATGATGACTGGCCACATCGAAAGAAATATCCGCCACCAAGTCATCTTGGGAATCAATAAAAGTTGGTTCTTGTCCGCTAAATTCATAGCTCGAAAGATCTAAACCAGGAAGTGTAATATCGACATAAGAATGGATCGAAATGAGGACCTCCTTGAGTTTCTCCGGGTATTGAATCTCTTCAACTTGTTCGAAAATGCGATTCCATAGAGCTGAGATAGTATTGATAACATGTCTATGCTTACTTTGGAATGCTGAGCATAGCAATTCCTCAACAGTGTCGAGTTGTAGATCATTGGGTGAACTTGCGTCTGAAAATAGACCACATATTCGATCCCATAGAATATCCACCTATGAAATATTAAAATACAAGACAATAAGATGAAATGAAGTAAAATGAATTATGCACTTACAGCTTCGGACACATTCGAGGATTGGGTACTGCTATACTGAGTATCTGCGTCTTGAATCCATAGACTGATGCCATGTTGCAATTGAACTACTGATCTGAAGACAAGAGAAGAAGTACAACGTGTTAGGAAGTCAGCGGCCTCTTTAAGCAAAGGTACTATGATGTCGTTTTGGTCGTAATGTCCTGCTTGTACGTATGAAATTTCGAGTAGTTGATTGACGAGTCGGTAAAAGTTCTCGAAGGGATCAAAAGAAGCGGTCCTAGATCCGGAAATGGATGTGCCCCATAGACGTCGTCGAGCAGCATCGAGCGCCTGCTTATCCCGAGGCTGTTTGGCGGTAGCAATCAACTCAATACTACTCTTTAAGTGATTATAGGGTATCGCATCGTGAGAAAATGCCGAGAGAGATTCCACGAGGTTCTTAGCTAACGGTTCTACTACTGCAATAGCACAACCTGCCTCGCCTGTGTCAAATGTGACTCGAGTCACTAATAATTGGAACAGCGAATGCCATTGGTCGTAAGGCAGATGTGGTGTTGACTGAAGGCCCCTTTCTAAGTGCTTGACGATTTCACGGTACTCATGACCGGGTGTTGTCGGATCACTCCCAGAAGCAGTGGACTGGTGACTAGCCTGGCTGCTCTCTAAAGATAGAGATAACACATCGGAAATGAAAACCCATGGTCCATATGGAACCAAGGCATCCATAGGTAGTAATTGCGTGAATTCGCGGGCTAGATCGACTTTTCCGGAAGATGAAGACCGGGAGAGTAGGAAAGGGTCGAAAACAACTCGGATCAAGTTTGACAAGCCGTCATCATCCGGAATCCCTGGAGGTAACGAAGAGAGTATAGAAAATAGGTGGTGAAGAGGTGTTCGTGTTAGGCCCTGGCCCTTTTCCAAACGACGAGAGGGCGTTGCTATTGGGATAAAGGAATTCTGTTGATTTAATGAAAGTAGTTTTTCGGTAAATGGTAGGAGGCCCAACGATTCTATTATCATCATGATATAGGTTTGTATTGCCTCTAAGAATGTTTGGGATGAATCGGTTTGGACATCGACATCGGGTTGGGTGAGTCCTTGCGTCCATATCCTGACTAACACACTGAAGGCGTGCGCCATGAAGGTGGCCGTATCAGTAGATACCTTGATTTCCTTGGACGCGGCAGTAGCTACGGCACCAACAAGTGTGCGCCAAAGCTTGTATGAAACGGAATCGGGGTTCGCGAGATCGAGGAATGTCTTTTGTAGAATAGGCTCTACTACATAAAATACCCTCGCAGAGTTTTGCCTGACCCATTTTGGATCCAACGCAGGCAATTCTTCTGGTTTAACCGGGGAGTTTTCGGCGACCCGATCTTCTTTCCACATTCGAGGTGTTGTCGAATCGAATAATCCGGTGAGTATTAACGTGGCCTGAGTGAGGTTCTCGGTGGCGACCGCAGAATTCTCTGATGGTTTACCGTCTACTTCAGGAGAAACCAATCGTTGAATCAAGGGACGCACACACGCATCCCAATAGCTGCCGACCTGTATTGTACTTATGTTTGGTCTGAAAACGTAATAGTAGAGGTTGCAGATACTAGCAATGACGGCCTTTCGTAGTTCGTCCAATTTCTTGCTACTACCTTTCCTTTTCATCTGACTGATGAATGGCTGGCACACCTTCTGGATGGTTTTCGAAAGAGATGAATCGTTTAGATGTAGAATGTAGACGAGACGATTCCAAGCATAGTTGGCTTCAAGTTTGGTGTAATAGTCTCCGCTGTTGAAACATTGTTGGATAATTTCTAACCAAGGGTTGAAAAATTCCCATCGATCAACTGGACACCTGAGTAAAAGAATAACGACACTCCATACTTGAGGAACTGAGGCCGAGTCGGCCTTGTTTTTTGTCATAGCCATTAATCTTTCGGCGTAGTAATTCATATACTTGATCTCACCATCTGGGAATTGTAGATTTTCCATAACCTTCCTGGATAGTTGTTTCTCCTTTGCGACTGTGAAACTGGCTTCCAGACCGAGCGTGATAGCTGAAGCACGGATTTCCTTGATGGTACTAACCATGTCGGTGAATAAATCCGAGATCCAGTCCGTATGTGTGACCATATGAGATTTTGACTGTTTGATCAATTTCCGATAGATTGCGATACGAGACATATAAATGCTTTTCCCCTTGACATGTTCGTCGATGTTGTGAAGAGCGTTTACTAATCGGCCAACGCGATCCGCTGTCATAACCTTCGCCGAGAAGTTTTGTAGTGCCACGATTTGCATCATATGTCTGAGTACATCTTTGGGCATTGAATCATTCTCGAAAGATTTGATACAATGGTCGACGATGAAGCAACCGAAATCGGAGGATAATGTCGAGGCGATCCCAGGGAAATTTAAAAAGGTGCAGAGCAAGGTGATGGCGTGGTTTACCATAGACATATCCATATTTCCGCTTGGACTATACGCTGTGATGTCCCGTTGAATGAACTGCATGAATAAACTCATCTTGTCTTGTAGGGCGAATCGATCGGGTAAATTGTTAGACGTTTTCAATGTCTGTACTAGCAACGTATACGCATCGATTTTGGAGTCTCGGTCAGCTCCAGCGAGCTGCTGGATCGTGGAATCCAACATAGTGACAACATCGACCGACCCGAACCCGTCGTCGCCAATGGTCGATGGGTCTAGCGAGTTTAATAGGCCGGGGCTCGAAGTCTGTTTCAAAATAGATTTGATAGGTTTCAACGAATTTGTCGATGAAGGAACCGAGCCGGGTGTAGATTGTTTTCCAACATTTTCTTTGTTCGCATATGTTGGAGCTTCTCGATATTCTGCTTGTGCTAAAAATCCAACCTTCTTTCGCAATCTTCGAGAACTTGTGTTGGTGGTATCGGCAGGATCTGGGGAATAACTCGGCGGTGTATGTAGATTTAATCGGGCATCGGCGGATTGGGCGGATAGGATATTCTTGGACGAATCGATGTCTTGTTTCTTTTCTCGAGGTGGAGTCGGCGGTCTCGCAGGCAAAGCTTCCAAACTTCTTGGAATAGGAGATGATTGTGATACCATGGCGACTCCAGCCAGAAACTCCCACCACACAAAGAATCGACCGAAGTTTTAAATATCATGTGTTGTACGAACGAAAGAGACAAAAAAAAAAGAAAGGAAAATTAAGAAAAATCCACGAGCCTCAATTGAAAAAACTATTAATCCCAATGAGTAATTGAAAAGGGACAGAAAAATAATGAAGGAACTATCAGAAAAATTGAGGTTTATTTTCGTCAGATTCAGTAGATGTGAACTGACTACGTATAGTACATGCAAAATGTCTTGATATGTCGTTAAGACAACGGACACCCCTGGCCATTCAATATTAAAAATGATTGAAAAAGACGCGACGCGAAAGAGCTTGTCGCGTAGTTCCCGTGGTCCCGTCAAAATTGGACGCGAGACGCTTGGACCTCCACTTTAAATTCGGGCGCGGGCCACTTAATTACTTAGCACCGATTGGTCTGTCTTATGTAAGCAATCTCCTCACTCTTCTCACTGGACAATATCAATCTGCCCCGCACCATCTGTGTAGATATCTCCACTTAATACGCGCATTTAGAGAAGTGGCTGGCTGATGTTTGTGTCACCAACCTTAAGTGGGGGGAGTACATATAAACAATGAACTCCGGATCCCGTCAAAATTACATAACCAATGAAGTACCTAAGTAGAGCAAGGAAGTACCAAGGTACATGTACTATTTTAGCTGACAGCTGTACATGCAAACTCTGTAAAGCGGGTGAGGTTGAATCCCTGCTGCGTCATGCTCGATTAATTGGACTATTCTCCCTCCTTATCCTTAACAAATCAACCCAAACTCTTGTATATAATTCGATATTCTATATAAAACTCATATCATACGGTTTGGACAAAAACCATTGTACGACGACATCATCGGGGATTGTTTCTTAATTCTATTCCGTGGTAAGGTGACACTGCTTCTTACTTCGGGTCCGTTGTCTCGTAGGTTAGAATCACTCACCCGATGCCAGCAGCACCAACAAGTCCTACAAGACATTATCATTTTTAAAAGGGTTTCCCGGTACGTTAAACTACCTACATATCCTATCCTATATTATTAGACGCTTCAACGTTGACAATACGTCTGTAATTGGCCTTGTCCTATCTATTCCCACCTATCATCATCCCCTACTTTGAATCCTTCGTCTTTTGTAGTTTGCTACCAACTACCTACTTCCATGATATATATTTCTTTCGGGATATAACCCCACTTCATGTATGTTGTCTATTCGACATCATAAATAAATTATCGATCTTGTAGTGTAGTGGATGATATGTATATATCACAGCCGTCTAACACTTTCTTATCTGCTTCTCTATCCTCCCTTTACTGGCATTTTCAAGCCGACCGCAACCCATCTGACTCTCTTACTTACTATGACCCCACAGTCCCCCTTGGCCCGTTCAGGGTTGCTTTGGCGGTTGTTTTCGTCATCACGTAATCGAAAAGCTGGTTCAGAGGAATTATTAATTCATCCTGAGATGGCTCAGCCCAACCCACAGATTGCTGCAGCTGCAGCCCTTAAAGGGCCTGGTTAGTTGATGGAATTCCCCACGGATGTGTAACGATGCTTACGGAACACCCAGCAAAACTGGCCGCTGTTACAGGCCTGATGGAGAAATTAACGCAGGATCTCGAAACTGTTAGCTTGCTCCCTCAACGTTAGTTGTTTACCTTGCCTACCCGAGTGAAATAGCCAGCATATCTAATTTGATCATGATATAAGAACGTGATTCGGCCCTGGAAGAGCTCAAAATTTACGGTAGAGACCCGAGAGATGCAGATCCTATATTTGCTAAAGAGGTAAGTGGTGAATCTAAGCTGGAGGCTCCGGAAAGCTCACAAGTTCCAAGGGCGTCGAAACACTTACTCGACATGCATTCAATAGCCCGTCAAGTGCCACATCCAGAAATGCTATGCGAGTCCTATGCAATACACTCTTTCTAAAAGAACAGGCGCGGCAGGTATTCGTTAACCTCGGATATGAAGCCAAGCTGTGCGAAAAGCTAAAAAGCGATAACCGTGATGATGAGTTTTTAGCATCTAGGTTACTCTTTTTGACAACATATGGCACCAACATGAATTTGGCCGAACTTATCGACAAACATCAATTGGCAGACTCTATCAATAAGAATCTTGAGCGACACGCGAAACGGTATAGTGCGCAAAATTCGAGTACGGATCCTATGGAAGTAATGGCACTCACCGAAACATTAAAACTTCTCTTTAATGTCGGACATTACTGTAGCTCTCGAATCTCATCATTTACCGCGGCTATACCACACATTGTCACTATCTTATGCAAGGGCTCATTCCCAGCCCTGAAACCCCTAGATCCTCCAACTGGCTCATTAATCCATGCCCTCCTCAACTTGGAAATTGGCTCCAAAGACGTACAGGCCTCCTTATATCCTCAAAGCGATCCAGGCATTTTGGCAAACCGTTTAATCGAATTGCTGGGTCGTGCGACAAAGGCGTATAGCGAGGGAGAGCTAGAATCAACAGTCACACCCCTACTCGGCGTGATTTCTTCAATCCATGAACACGCACCAACAGATGTAAAGTACACAATACATACGAAGCTTCTACCAACAGAAGACGATAGAGCTCAGGTTCTTGGTCGATCTGAATCATTACCATCATGGCTCCTGAAGAATTCGACGAATCCCTTGGCACCTTCATTACGCGAAACGGTATCAAACTTATTCTTCGATATGTCAGATAAAGACGCATCGAAATTCGTTGAAAATGTGGGGTATGGCTTTGCATCAGGGTTCTTATTCAATAGGAATATGCCAGTCCCTCAAAATGCTTCCGAAGCGTTTAGTACTGGGGGTAACAGACCTGTTAATCCTATTACTGGTCAATTTCTGGACAGGGAACGACAACCTGATGCCCCTCCTATGACCGAGGAAGAGAGGGAAAGAGAGGCGGAGAGGTTATTCATCTTGTTTGAAAGGTAAGAGCAAGTCACTCATACACTCGGACATTACTAAGTTTTACGATAGGTTGAGAGCAAACGGAATTATATCGGCTGAGAACCCGGTAAGGACAGCCGTTGAGCAAGGCCGATTTGAGGAATTACCGGATGACTACCAAGAAGATGTAGACTAAACCGGGGTTCAAGTGAGGGATGGTAGGCGTGGGCCTCTTACGCTTGAGCAGGAATAGAAGCATGGCATGAAGTTATGGGTGTGGTTCAACATGTGTTTTTCCTAACATCGCGATAACTTCGTGATAAGTTGGTGAGATACCTAGGCAGTTTATATGGACTCGTTTTCCTATTTTCCACCCACGCTATGCTTTGGGACTGGATACATCTACTAGTTGGATACTGTTTATTTAGCATCCTTGAGCGTATTCGCCTCCGCCAAAATACGACATGAAGGTAAAATAGGTACCGGATCGCCCTATGGAAGAGGCCCGGCCAGTGTCGTATGGGTAAAACAGGGGAAAGCATAAGTCGGCAACAGCCGATAAAGGGGCGGCTGGTTTACTCGAGAAAGGCGCCCTAAATACTTCTCCCGCAGTAAACTGATCGTACACCGTGAGTGTTTAGGCCTCTAGCTGGTTGTCTGTTCCTAGGTACTGAATGTGTTATCATTTTCGTACGGCACCTAATATTAGCGAACAGACGAATCAACGCCACAAATTATATTCCGGTGCCTGTCAAAGCAAAAACCTTAATGGCATTAGAACCTAGTAAGTATTTGACCATTCTTTTCACTCTGGCTAGGGATTCCGCTGGCTGGTAGTGGCCTATATAATCGAGTCCCTCTTATTTCATCGAATCCAATCTTAAACACGATCACCTTGAACACCTATTCCTACAATATACTTCTCTTCCAATCAAATAAGTCGAAACGACACCGGTCACCAATTTAGGCCAAGTGCCCGTTTCCATTTCCTCGTAATATTTTCTACTGTCGAACTTTACCTCCGGTAAGTAAATCCACTCTTGCTCATTTATCCTCATCAGGCCGTGTCACACCGTGTCATACCCTGTCATGCCCAGACATGATACCCATTACGATACATACTCCAGAGGCTTCAGTATTCGCGCACTAACGGCAATAACCAAGTCCTAGAAAATGTCCGACCTTCCCATCTACGGCCCACTCCCGAATCCCTCCACCCAGCAAGGGCATGGCTTCCAGCTTAACCCAGAAACTGGCGACGCGATAGACTTCGCCGACGATGAAGGAGATGGTGGCCTTGCGATCCAGCCGAGACCTAAGCGCATAGGACGTATACCCTCGAAGATGGGAGACACACTCCCGTTTTACTATAAGGCATGGGGCTTGAGGCACAAATACCGTCCATTCGATGAAGTTTTCGAAATGGATCGATGGCTAACCGATATCCATAGTTGCTTGACTAATCTTGAGCTCCATGTCGTTAAAAGCGAGCTAGCCAGTGCGCGTCTCCCCTTGACTCGAGCCGAATACCAGTCAGCATTATCCACCTATGCGCTGGTGCGCACGACTGGATGGAGCGTAAGTATCCTACTCCCACGTTTACCTACCTCAATACCTCTAGGCTATAGATAAATACTCACGGACAATTATAGCGTGGCGAAGCCTTATCCCACGTTGAATTTCTTTACAACCTCAGCTCTCGACGCTCGAAAGTACGTGCGTACAGGTACCATAAGCTCGACACGACTGACGTAGCTGACGAGACTGACGACAAAACAAACATGGATGACTGGGTAGCCGAGCGAATTATTTGGTGGCGCCGTGGAATTCGGGGTCGTGAGTATCTCGTGAAGTGGGTTGGGCATTTACCCACAGATAACACTTGGGTACCTGCGCGCGAATTGAAGAATCGCAAGACCCTCATCGCTAGGTTCAAAGCTGCCGAGAGGTCCAGGCCGTTGCCATCGGTGGGCGGCCTGGGGTGACAATCAGTTTTCTTTTAGAAGGCTGTGGATTCTGGTATGATCTTTGCTCGACTTTGCTCTGCTAGAGTTAGCTCGGCTAAGTTACGCTTTGCTATGGACATCTTTCATTTGTATTTTTTTAATAGTTCAGACACTATGTTTTCTGGGTTTGATACCAGTAAATGATACCCGATTGTTGGCACGAATACTAATAGCACAAATAATTGTTAAGTTGAAGTTGCAGCTCTTAATAAAATAAAAGTAGAAAATGTAAAGTGAAATAGAGTGAAGTTAAAGTGACACAAAGATAGGCTATGACATAAGTGGTCCTAGCGCATCTTCCCCAAAGCTAATCCTATTTTAGATTAGCCTTCACACAAAGAACCGGCTGACAGGGTCACACGTGTACCTAGGTACATTGGATACCTTCTGCTTCTGATTTATTACGTACCAGGGGCGTGTTCGCTTTTTTATCGCGTCAGATCATTTTGCGCCAGCTAGCCTCAAATTTTTAAGATTTTCACAGCCTCACCTAATTTCTCTTTTTTAAAGACCTCAACGTGGTCTTATCTAATTATTTGAGGTATATCAAGGGCAACACACAAAATCTATCTGGGTATTTCACGAAAATCTAACAACGTCCACGATGGAGGCCCTACAAAGTGCTTTACAGCCATTACGGCCTATAACCAACAACCTACCTGCTCCTATTCGTGATCTTGGAGTATCTATCATCGGTGATACTTGCTACAAGACCTTAATCCTCGAACTCGATCCTACCGATTCGGAGTGCTTGAAGTTAGCTGTTTCCAAAGGTCTTGGCATCGGAATCATCGGTGCTTCGTCTATCGTCAAGGTTCCTCAGATTCTCAAGCTCGTTCAGTCTCAATCTTCGTCCGGTGTCAGCTTCCTATCTTACCTACTCGAAACTTCCTCCTACCTTATCTCGCTCGCCTACAACTTCCGAAATGGTTTCCCCTTCAGCACCTACGGCGAAACCGCTTTGATTCTAGGCCAAAATGTGATCATCACCGTGTTAGTTCTGAACTACAGCGGCCGAGCTAGTATCGCAGCCCTGTTCGTCGCTGCTCTAGCTACCAGTGTTGTCACCCTGTTCAACGGCGGAATCCTGGATATGCAAACTTTGAGCTATCTGCAAGCTGGTGCTGGCGTGTTGGGCGTAGCTAGCAAGATCCCACAGATTGCTGCTATCTATCAGCAAGGCGGGACCGGCCAGCTCAGCGCATTCACCGTAAGTACCCACAACCCACAACTTGACGTGTATAAACTAGAAAGAACTGGAGCAAGCTAACATAGATACCCTTATGTAGGTCTTTAACTATCTCGCCGGCTCGTTATCTCGAATCTTCACAACGTTGCAAGAGGTGGATGATAAGCTGATCCTGTACGGCTTCGTGGCAGGTTTCGCGTTGAACTTGGTCCTGGCTGCTCAGATGATATACTACTGGAATGCGCCATCTGCTAAGGCTAGAGGAAAGATGAAGGAATCTGTCCCAGTTCAAGCCAGCAGCCAGAGTACCGGTGTGTCTTCGGCCACCCCCAAGAGTAAGGGGCCGACAACACGACGCAGGGGTTAAATTTCTTCTCCTAGCCCCGAGTCGAGTTGATTGTTGCAGCAGGATGATCTTTTTTAGACCCAGACTATTTAATACACTCACATATGTTATCTTGCCGCGTTCCTCGCTTCTTATTTGGTTCTACCACTCTTGGTAATGGTTTGGCTGTTATCAAATACTTTGACATGTCATGTATTACCCATAACCCCTCGCCCGTCTTGGCCTGGCCGTTATTAGCTGGAAAAAAAGGAGGAAGGTAGAAAACGAATATCTATCTGCATGTCTTAGGACGGGGTAACAACGTAGTAAGTGACTATCTATGTGTCAGGTATGACTATGTAGGATATAGCTCATACGAGCGGGAATTATTCTTCTCACTTTTCTGCCCTTTCGTCTCCGCTTCCGTATCTATTTGGGAAATAGATCCGTCACGGCAAGATGCAAAAACGCAAAAATACATGGTGTGGTTATGAGAAGGATTCCCACGCCGACAGCCGATGCAGATCGGGGCCGGTAGTCACATGGAGCATGTTGGTTAGGCTTGGATGATGAGAAATATGATATGTGCTGGTAATCTTTCCGGGGTTTTTATGTCCTCGATACACTAGCTTTGGTTGCTGGTTGCTGCATCGCCACGTCTTTCCGTTGTTCCCGTGTTCGTTTCGATTCGCAAAAAGTTTGGTTTGGACGAATCTCGATAGGTGCCCGCACCCACGTTGGTCTGGCTGGCTTACGAAGGGCGTCGAGTCTGGACTTAACTAAGATGTTCCCTGCGTTTCTTTATATTATCAGGTAATGAACAAACGTTGAGGTCAAAGCCTAAAGTGCGGCTGGCGGTCTTGCGCGAAACTGATGGACTCTGACGTGATTGTTGCTGATGTAATTCATTTTATTTTCTTTTTATTAGTGTAGTACTGGTAAGTGAGCTGAAGATTACCTAAATGTTCTGCCTATATACACACGTGCATATACAATTTACAGAATATGTACACCGTCTTATTATACAGTATCAGATATACAACTGTACGTATTCGTACCTATACATTTCCCGGATCAGATAACAAGGTGTCAGTCGATCTTGGGTTGCCATGGGTATCCGTTAGTATGGAATAGTATGGAACATGATGATAGGGAATCGTAATATCCTTACCAGTATCCCCAGATTTCCAAAGGTCATCTTAGTCCGAATACACCTTAACCATTATTCAGACATGAAGAGGTAATAAAGTCGTACTACTGGAACAACTAAAACTGATGAAACCGGGGTACGAGTTCTTTAGCGATGCATAGGTATACATATTGATACGTATACATCTGGGGGTGATATCTTCATGCGGAGTTAAATCTCAACCCCTTGCATTGCCGAGCGAATCATTCACACGACTCAATTCCCAATAGGGGAAGAGACAAGTAAGAAGGTTTATGTTGATTGGTTGACGGAGTGTGGGTTAATTAAACCACGCCGGTCTAGGTATAGTTAAAAAAGACATTGGGGTATTTTTATCAATACCTACATGTATTCAGATAGGTACCGCTGTATTGCTCCACGGGGAAAAAAACCAGCGGTGTCTTTTAGCGCATCTTTCACCATCGTTCGCCATTATCACGCCAACCACGATCCCGATTTAGTTGATCCCACAAACGCACGTTTGTTCTGATATTTTTCGGTTTTATTCGTAACGATGTTTCGATGTTTCCTCAAATATTCCAGGTACCTTAATCCCGGAGGTGTATCATCAGTCTTGGCTTTTTAAATAGTCCTTATTCACCTCGCATTGGTCGATTCCCCCCTTTTTCCCCTTGCAGTCAAGGTCGGATTCCCCATGTATAACCACACAATCAGATCCGACTGGTTCGTATTGTTACTCGTAAGCGGTTGCGTTTTAGCCAAACTCCACGATCTTCAATCTCCGAGAATAGGCAGACCAAAACTACAGTCAGGCAAGCAAGAGACTGTCGGAACTATCTCGCGCTAATTTGACCTAGAATCTCCTTTTTACTTAATCCTCTTTGTTTCCTCTCTTCTTCTTCCTCTTCTTCTACCTTAACTTCTCCTATTTTCATACTTAATAGCAACAACCTTTCCTGTTGTTGTGGTTCTTAAATAAGGCTGTACTAAGTCCTCTCAACTCTACTTTACCTAGTCTTGTTCAACTTCTCTTAGTCTATTACTCTTTTGCTACTCTGTAGCCTATTCAATACAATTATAGTCTTAAACTTAACATAATGGCTCCTGATATCGATTCTATGCCTCGTTCGGGGCCAACGCCTAACGGTTCTCACCAAACGGCAGCCCCAGCAACCAACGGTGTTAATGGCACCAATGAATCTTCTGAGAAACTCCCAAACATCCTTTTCCTCATGGCGGATCAATTGGCTGCCCCCCAACTAAAGATGTACAACCCAGAATCACAAATCAAGACTCCTAATCTTGATGGACTAGCAGCAAAGTCTGTTCAGTTCGACTCGGCTTATTGCCCTTCGCCACTTTGCGCTCCTTCGCGCATGAGCTTGATCTCTGGTCAATTACCCATGAAGATCGGGGCCTACGACAATGCTTCACAAATAGGAAGCGATGTGCCTACTTACGCGCATTACTTGCGTCTTAAGGGTTACCACACTGCTCTAGCTGGTAAAATGCACTTTGTCGGAGATCAACTCCACGGCTACGAGACTCGTCTTACTAGCGATATCTATCCTGGAGATTTCGGTTGGGCTGTCAACTGGGATGAACCGGATAGACGATTGGAGTGGTACCATAACTCAAGTTCTATTCTCCAAGCGGGAGCTTGTGTTCGAAGCAACCAATTGGACTATGATGAGGAAGTTATGTACAAATCTACTCAATTCTTGTACGACCAAGTTCGTGAGGGCCCGGATAAGCGACCTTTTTGCTTGACGGTATGTAACCAACAGAACAACCCCTCCTTTTAGTCTCAATGCAATTATAAGCCACTGACTAACAGCTATCGTTACCACAGGTCTCACTTACTCACCCCCACGACCCCTACACGATCGAGGAGAAGTACTGGGATCTATATGAAGATGTTGATATCGCCTTACCAAAGGTTAAGATACCCAAAGAAGAACAAGATGCGCACAGCAAGAGATTGATGAAAGTGTGCGATCTCTGGGATGAGAACTTCACAGATGATCAAATCAAACGAGCTCGGCGAGCATACTATGGTGCCGTCAGTTACGTTGATGATTGCATTGGGCGCATTCTTCGCGTATTGAAGAATTGCCGTCTAGACGAAAACACGATCGTCGTCTTCAGTGGAGACCACGGTGATATGCTCGGGGAACGTGGACTTTGGTAAGTCGCAAGATAACAAGCGCATGCGAAGAGGGGTCAATGCTAATGGCTCTTTCAGGTATAAGATGAGTTACTTCGAGTCATCCGTACGAGTACCTCTATTGATCTCCGATCCCCGACGGTTCACCCCTCATCGGGTTACACAGAACGTGTCAACTCTGGACATCCTTCCGACGCTATGCGATTTGGTGGGAACGCAACCGATACCCGGCCTGCCGATGGACGGTCTTTCTCTACTTCCCCACCTTGAGGGAAGAGAGGGTCATGATACCGTGATCGCCGAATACACAGGTGAAGGAACCATTAGTCCTTACATGATGATTCGAAGGGGACCTTGGAAATACATCACATGTCCAACCGACCCCCCACAACTATACAACCTTGAACGAGATCCTCTTGAGCTTGTCAACTTGGCGCAGCTCGTAAACAAGACAGAAGCATTGACGCCTGAAGAAGAAGAATCCAAGGCCAAGTTTGAGAAATTCGAGGCCGAAGCAAAGGCACGTTGGGACTTCGAAACCATCACTCAACAAGTATTGTTGTCACAACGGACACGAAGACTTGTGTGGGATGCTTTGAACAAGGGCAAATTTGAAGCGTGGGATTATAACCCAGGCGACAACGGCACTTCCAAGTAAGCTAAACTCCTCTTGAAATTATTGATTGTTGTCACGCGACTAGAAACAAGGAACTATAAGCTAACTATTTCTTGTCAAGGTACATCCGATCCTTCTTACCTCTTGACGATCTAGAGCGTAGGGCTAGATTCCCACCTGTTGATAAGTACGGCCGGGAAGCTAGAGATGTGTTCATCGACCAAGCCGGCTCGCATGGTGAATAAGTCGGCTACGCTTATCTAACCGCTCTTACGTTATGAAAAATGATACAGGCCTTACACTAGGCGGGGGGTTATTGAATTGGGGGGCATTAGGTGGTGATGCATTTTCGCAAGGCGTCCACACATATTTGAGGACTACCTTTATTATTAGGTAAATTTTGCGGTGACATTTGGGACTATTCAGGGATATTTTAGCGATGAGTTATGGGCGCATGATATTATTTTTTCCCCCTACCTAACCCTTCTTTTTTTTTTTTTTTTTTTTTTTTATGATGAAGAAAAAATGCGCTAAAGATACCTATATACCTGCACTGCACTTAGATACCTAGCTGGCTATCACCTATCTTTCGCTTCTTCCTTTTCTTATTCTTGCATCGATCTACAGTAGGATCGAGAATGGAAATAATCGAAAATAAAATCAAATTCGGTATTTTAAATCCGCATGACTATTTTTTTTTGGTTATCACATGTAGGTAATAAAGTAATGAAGTATCAATTCAAGTGGGTACGACGTCAGTGGACCCTGAAAATCATGGATCCCCTTGATAAGAGCCCCTCCTAAAAGTTCGTTACGTAGTATTCGGCTATCGGTGCTAGGGGGGTAGTATTTATGAGGTGGAGGGGGTGTAGACTTAATCAATGACGGGAGAAAACCGTCCGTTGGTTGCGTTGAAAATGCGAAAGTGCAAAAATGCAAGTGCGGAAGGCTCCGTATTTTTACTGTGACTGTACTTCTCCGTATGTACCTAGATACTTTAGTACTAGCACTAACCTTAATTGATTGGAGAACAATCACCCCCCATCACAAAGCTGAATCCACTCATTTTCATTCAATCAATCACAATCCATCATACAATAGCTCTTTCAATCGACATCGCATTTAGAAATTCCCATCCACACCTCTTCCCATACCAAGATACCGACATAATCCATGTAAATCACTTGAATATTTGGGTCTATCAATTTTAACGTCGATACACTATTTATCGGTCTTGACTTACCCAAATTCATCATAATGGCATCCGTAGGCCTCAGCGATGCCGAGTTTAGGACTCTCGATTCGACACGCCACCGACTTTCGCAAATATCTAGTAGTCTTGCAAGTCTCAAGGCCGATGTCGTCGCAAGTAGACCCCTACCTAGCTTGTACGTATTTCCTCCCTTTCCCTGCTTATCTCGTTTCGCTTCCATGCTTCAAGTACCAGTTATCTTCGTTGGTTACGTAGTCTCTCTCCACTTACTGACGTGTCGCTATCGCGTCGCATCACAGGGATTCTCTTCAACGCCAAAGCGATGTCCTGCAAACCAATATTCAGAGTCTGATGGAAGTCTCCCCGAACGTTGCCGAATTGTTCTCCCATCTCGTCGTACACCCGTCTACCAATTTCCCCGGTCGAACGCAGGAGATGATACTCCTACAGTTACTTCGCAAGAAACCCGAGCCTGATGTTGCGACGGCTATGGATGAGGGGAGAAAGATGGTTGCGGAATTACCACCCACTTCAGATCTCTTAAACGGAGAAGGAGGAGTCGGAAAGGGTCCCCAGGACGAGTTGGAAAACATATGGGAATCGCGACGGAATTTCTTCAATACTCGTATCATGGATTACGTTACTACCGAAGCCGAAGATATGTTTACTGAAGAAGAACGTCAGTTAGGCATCGAGAACGTACGAACGGGGCTGAAAAGGTCGCTTGAGGAAGATGAGGAAGATGAAGATGAAGACGAGGAAGAAGGCGAGGGTGAGGATGAAGATGATGATGTGATGGTCATCGACCGCCCACCGCCTCCACCAGCACCCGGAGTTAAGACGCAAGAAGTTGAGGGCGTGGTGCTGGAAAATATCATGCGGTTCGCGTCAAGAGGAGAATTCGTCCCTACTCGTTAAGGCAACTCCGCTCTCATTCTCCACTTCCCACGTTGCGATGTTTTCTATCGAATCGAGGGGGGAAGTGGAATCCCGGTTGACATGATGGCGTCCACGAGTATTATATGCCATAAGTCTTATATGATGACCTTACGAAAAGTCCACATATTTCTTCTGCCGATGACGGTTATATGGGGCAACGAAAAGTGTTACCTGGAAGCCGGAAGCGAGTTTCCTCATTAGGAAAATACCTTTTCATGATGCCCACAACATTCATGGTTTCATGATAATTCTCCAATGTGCGATATTCGCCCAGAAATCGGAATATTGCCTACCTGAGAGGGATTATCGAAGATGACCATCGGCGATGTTACCCGACACTGGCCGATAATATTGCGATCTCGGCCTTCTCAGCGAGTGGATGACAAAGATGGGAATAAGCAGTTAATTGCACAATAACAGGTACTTGAACTTTTACAACTATCGATTGTCCTTTTCCCCTCGTCAAACGTCAAAAACTAATTACATGAGTAAGCAACAACAGTGTGTAACTGGTCCTTAATTTCTCTTTTTTCATTCATTCTTCTTGAGCCTCACTGGTATGGTACGGGATGTAAGCCGCGAGATATAATCTAGATTGGGATTTCCATAAGCACAATCCCACCCATGATTAGCCACCGGTCTACAAGTCCGGTCACGAACGCAGTTTTGTGTTACCCTTTCAGCCTTGTTAGAGGCCATTCTTGACTCTACGTAAGCGCCGCAACGGGTCTGACTACATGAGATATCTATGCAATACGTACGCTCGTTTTCGTTGAGCTGAACGTATTGTTCCTTTTAGGAATACCGAACGCAGCCCGATGTACGGAATTGACGTGGGGGAAGATGAAATCAATTCCAACAAGTGACAAGTGAGCAATTCTCGTCTATGTGTTGGAAAGCGATTCCGAAACCAACGTAGCCTATATTTTATATATCCCGGATCGATATCATATGTAAAAATGAAGTGTCGTTTTCCGCCTTTTCTCGTTTCTCAAGACAGCACGAATCCTTTATATGCAACAATACCTAAGCGAACGCAAGCTCATACGTGTTTTAATTCATACGGGGGTAAGATGAAAAAGGGAAAAGGAAAACCAATCGGATTAAACCATAGGAAGGTCAAGAATTCGTATCATTCGCTGAGTCCAACAGATCCGAAAAGCTGACTCGCAGATTCGTACCCTGCTAACCTGTCCGCCGTCGTATTGCCGTAACCAAGAAAAATGCAAATGATGACAGGAGTGGGTGCTGACGGAAAACAGGATTGCTTTTTCTTCTCTTTCGCTCTCCAACGAAGCAACGCACGCGTGTGACCAAAAACGAATGGGGGAGGGTTTCTCCATTGTAAGCTTATGTTATATTCGCATATTCGCAAGCGGGTTTTCCCACGCCCTTTTTGACCCTCTTATATGGTACTTCGTCATAACCGGTTTCCCGACCCCCTTTCGTTGCTGACGAATTCGTTTCTGATTGGTTCGTCGTATCCAAGTTTATTTGTTGGCGGTCAACCAGGCCAAGTTATATCTTACTAAACCGTGTCTAGAATTACACTTGCCTACGTTGTACGGGCTGAAATTGCCAAATGAATTGGGTACAAGAGGAAGTAAATGGGGAAAAGGAGAGAGAGGTGAGGGGGTTTATGCGCGCGACTTACAACCTAGCTGAGATCGACGAGGGATCGTCGTTTGGTATTATATATCCGGTGTATACCTTCCCGCTCTTCTAGAAAGGAAAGAAAAAAAAGAAAGAAGGAAGTGAGAAAGTGGAAGAGAGGTAGGACATAAGAACGTTCTTACTTACCTATACCTATTACCTACTGTTACTTCTTTTTAGAAGTAATTTCTCTATTCTCTATTCCACTTTCTATAAATAATATCATTAGACTTGATGTTAGGTTAGGCATATAGTCTAATCCTTCTATTTATCTATATTCCTTTCTCACTTCATTTGTCTATTAATAATTAGACCTTTTTCATTACTCCAATGATATAACCAATCGAAATCAACCTTATAACACAGAAACGTCGAATTATACTATAGAAGGAAGAAAAATCATGCATGAAGAACCATTCGACGGGGATTGCGGATGGCAGGGTGGAAATGTCGGGCCGTGGGGGCCGGCCGATTGCGGGGAACCAACACCCGTTACCATCTCCGTTGACGATGATGACGACGACAACAACATTATTCCCAACCTTACCAATTTCACCAACAAATCCAATCCTACCACTATAACCAACAATCTCGAATCCGTACCCGAATCTACTTCTAAAAGTCTCCAAATTTCCTACCGGGATAGGGAAACCCTAAGCGAATTCGAAGCACTCATGCTCGGCGAATTGTCTAACGACGGATCTTCGGAAGACGACGATATGGAATCTTCGGGCGCTAGTTCGGCCGACGACGATGCATCTTCTTCAGCGTCAGCTTCGTATTTTCCGTTTATGGAATTACCGCTTGAGATCCGATTACAAGTATATCATTGGTTACACCTTATGAACCCGATCCGGTTGACGCAATTCGCGCCTTGGTACCCGATTCCGATCGTAGGTGCGTATTATGTCAAAGCTGTGACATTGGATTTAGCGCGGAATAGACCTAGACGGGATTCTGCAATTGGTACGGAGGAGGGGGAGGGAGATGTGGAGGAGGTCCCGTTGAAGGCGAATATTCCGACGGTCCCGCTGCTTTCGCCTTGGCGCCCGCATTGCTGTATGCCTACTGCGATGCTTAGAGCCAATCGACAGGTTTATTATGAGAGTCGGGGTCTGCCGTTTCAGGAGAATGAGTTTGTGTTTGTGAATTGGTTCGCTTCGGGGCTTTGGGCTGCTAGGTCGTTTATTAGGGGATTACGACCTTGGCAGGCGCAGACTATGCGGTATGCAAGGCTTGAGCTATTGTCGAGGGATTTGTTGGGGAGGTATGCGGAGGATTGGAGGGAGTTGTGTGGTGTCTGGAGTGCTGGGCTCAGAGGCTTGAGATTGAAGATTCTTGGCGGAGGGGGGGCTAGTGCGGGTGGTACGGGAGCTGGTGGTGTATCGTGGGTTGTTGCTGGATCACCACAGAGAGGTGCGCCGACCGTGAGGGTGTGGGATAATGAGGATAAGGCGGAGGAATGGATTGAGAACGGTCTCAAGCGATTGAAACGACTTCGATGTCTTGAGGTTGAGCTGTCGGTCGCAGATTGGGACGATAAAGCTAAAGTAGATTGGTGTCGATGTCTGGAGGAAGCTGTGAACGAATCAAAGGCCGACGGAGAGCGGCATGTTCGAGTTTCCTGCGTCGAGAGAAAGACCTAGGACTGGGAAAGATACATACGTCATTCGAGATCAGGGGGTTATCATTAGTTATGAGCACATTAGACGGCAACTGTGAATTTGGAAAGGGGAGTTGCGACAGGATAAAGGGCCTATAAACACGGCGTTGCCTGGGGGGTATATTTTAGACGGTTAATACTAATAATCACTCTGCACTGCTATTTGATTTTCAGTACCATTTTTCCTTCTTTCCAGTTGAATGATTAGATGGTTAGGTACTTTTCCTACCTGTACTGTGAATCTGACCAGTAATACGCCGAGTTCCCTTGTTCACAGTTGGCCTGAGCAAAATCACAGTGCAAACCGAAATAAGTGAATTACATTGACCCATCACCTTACGTCTTGAGTCGTTCTTTCTGTTCACCTTCCTCTATTTTTTCTCTACTATTTAAATCGCCCTCGTCCATTAAAATCCCTTCTAGAATTTCTTACCTAGAATATTGGCCTTTCTACCTAGGTAATTTTCATAACGGCGCCCACCGCGTTATTCTTCCCTAGTTGATTTTTCCTACAAAAGAACGCCGCGATTTTTCACAAGATACATCTCTTGTGCATTCAATCATCCTTTTTTTTTCGTCGATTCTTTGCAAGGAGCAACATTAGGACTAGTTGTCCGCCGTTCGCCAATACAAGTCGTCGAGAAAATCACCTATAGCCACCACCTACAACAAAACTATCACCGGTCGCACCATAGGCACAATGGACTTCTCGTGGGTTTCTGCAATCTTTTCCGATACGGCTGCCAATTTCCCCGAACTCACTAAAGCAATCCTAATCGTTGCCATTTCGTTGGGTATGATTCTCATCTGGGCGGCCGCCATTGAAACCTTCTACGAGGACATCGCTCAATTTGAACGCCAAAATGAGGACCAACCCGTCGCTCCCATGACCATCCTTCGCGAAAAGCTCGAGCTTATCGATGTAGTCCGTTTCTTTGCGAAAGGATGCGCATGCATCATCATCTCTATTTTCATCATCCCCATCCTGATCCTAGGCGAGGTTGACAAGCGTTAGGTACGCTCGTCGCGCCAGGAGACGGAGGAGCCACCTGACACTCTGCAAGGACTCTTGGAAATGTTTGAGGAGGATGATCGTTATATGATGTCGAGAGAGCAGATGCATGAAATTCTGGACATGATGAAGCGTGGCCGCAAGAGACGTCTTTCCGAAATTAGCGAGGCTGATGAGGAGCGCAGCATGGACTATGATGACGATGATGACAAGGACGGCGAGGACGGCGATGATGGAGATGATGGAGATGACTCTGGCACCACCTTTACTCCCACCGACAACACTAATGATGAAGATGAAGCCTAAGGGTAGGAGGAATGGAGTGCACTAGAGGGGATAGAGTGGCTTATGGAACTAGTAAGGACCACGGTTTATGATGAAAAGGGAAAAGCCGAAGGAGACACTTGCTAGTTTGCTGTCCGGCGGGAAGCTCTATGGACTTAAGGATCGGTCACTCCTCTTCTTCCTTTCTTGACCTAGAAAAAAGCTTTACGACAACGGAATCTTCTAACATATTCGCCCTCTCGACATCGACATCGCGATTTCTCGTTAATACATCAGCATTTGCCTCCGAAAGATTCTACTTTGCATCTCTGCGACATTCGGCATGGTTACGGCTTGTTGACCAGGGATTGCTGTCATACACCCACAGGAGGATATGAGGTTGTCATTTCGATTCTTCGGTGGTAATAGGAAGGCGACCTAGTCAATACATACTTATTCTTCCCCCATCGTAGCTTTTTCTTACTCTTGTGACACTGCTAAGGTACCACGTGATCTCACCAACACTGAAGTCCTCACACGGTTAGAAATGAAGCAACGTAATTTCCAATTCAACACTTCCTATTGAGGAATAGATAGGACATTCGTATTTCGTGATATATGATATCTCGTAGACCCATGGAAATGAAACGCCCAACCATGTGACATCGCGTCCTCGCTTTCTAGACAAGGTGAATGAGTCACACTTGGCGCACGGTGAGGGGGAGAAATAACGCGTTATCGTGATGTCATATAACGAATCCTCTTAATTGAGCGGTGAATTAAATAAATCTATCGATTGTAATTACTATTAATAATAAGTAGTAACAATTGGCTTCTTGGAGAATTGAATTGGTATTTTAGAGGAATAGACGGTAAAGTATCGAAGATAAATAAATTAAGGAAGAAGGAACGTGTCCGAAATGTACCTATGATGGTATTATAGGGCTGATGACTAATACGGCATGGTCAATCTAAGATATGCGGGGGATCGAATACAGCTACTAAAGTAAAATCTCCACCTGCTTCGGGGCCGCTACCGTACTTTCGCTGATTTCGCATTGCCTAATTTCTCCTAGTTTCAAGATTCGAGGCTGAGCATTATTTCTTTCTCCACCGAGTACTTATTTACTTATCGTTGACTCAACTTCTTGTTGGTGCTATATTGTTGTTGTCGTGGTATATATTTATTAATAATTCTTCTCTTCTAACCTAGTATCCTCAGGCTCTCAACTATTCCAAGCTTCTCCCGCCTGAATTTAGCGCGTGTATTGGATATCACGATACTGGCTTCAACAGCCCAAGAATTTGTACCTCGCGGCCAAGAAACATATTATCAGATCAAATATGGACGCCCGTTGTCAATGTGGCGCCGTTTCGTTTAAAACACCCCTCCCGGAACCACTTGCGCTCTACATTTGCCACTGCGCCGAGTGTCGCCGTCAAACTAGCTCCGCCTTTGGCACCTCCGCCATCTTTCCCCGATTCCCATTACCAAAAGCTGAGTTACTCTCCTGCTATTCGTAGGTTCTTCTGTTCCTCTCATTACCACAGAAAGCGAGGGGATTTCGATCCTAGTCGTATTTGGATACGTGGGTTGTTGGTGGATTTAAGACGAATAGCTGACTGGCATGTGACAGTCGTCCGACCTCTTCAGGGCATACTTTATATTGGTAAGAGTCACACTTGAATATTTGGGTTTATGACTTCCCGAGCGACTCTAAATCGACTAATGGCTCTTCTCTAGTTACTTCTGCCGAGCCTGCGGGTCTAGACTTCTCCATACGACGCCAGTACGTCTCGTCTGTTACCTAGCTGCCCAGGCAGTAGCACACGCGGAACATAAGCACTAATGACTAATCTTGCAGGGTAAAAATGTTGTCTCTATAAAAGGAGGCGTAAGTACCCCATCTTGCATTTACCTCTTCGTCCCACCGTCCTTTCCTGGGCTGGACTTTAATTTTTCTCGAAAAACCATCTGTGACTGTTAACATACTAACACCAATCATCCATAGTGCATTGAAGGATTAGACTGGACACGCGCAATCCATATATGGACCAAATCTGCCATGGTCCCAATTCCCGAAGGGTCAGAATCATACTCAGAAGAACCATCTGAATCAGATTACTGCGGTTCACAAGAATCTCTCGACCAACCTCCTGACGCAGCGGGAATACTTACGGGTAGTGGAGGAATACCCACAGCGGCTGATTATGCGGGAGCTATTCCCCCTAACCGCGTGAGGGGTGCTTGTGAATTGAGTGGGAATTTAAGTGGTGGGACAGTATCAGATAAGCCATTCTTCGGATAAGAAGCGTTGATGATTATGTTAGTTGAGAGACTTTCTTTCGCCGATGGCAACAGGCGCGTCACGAAGATGTAGGGGAATACCATCTAGTGATATGTATATATATATTTATATTTTTTTACAATTATTTAATACCTTATGAACTAAAATCACAAAAGCGCACCCTCATCATAATACTCCTACTTAAACATTCTCTAAACATTCTCCCTTAATGGCTCCCCACTCTGTCGGTCATTGGTGGGGGAAATCCGATGCTGCCCCTCTTCCGCCGCTTGCTGATCCTTGGTGACATCTGAATGCTTGGCCGGGTCGAATACGTAAATAGGAAACTCAAGGAATATAGTCCTCTTGATGATAGTAGGAAGTTTCTCATAGATCTCAGGAGGGAATGGGATGAGTATACTAGTACGGTTCAAGTATCGCTGATAAGCATCCCATTTCGTTCCGTCCTCATATCGCTTCTTGGCACCTGGTCGTTCGGATAGTGATAAACCCGAGACGAATAGAATCAGAGTGAGGAGGAAGAAAGGTCCCAAAATGGAGGCGTAGAGCGCCTTGTACGCACTCCCTTGGACGGAGCCATCTGCGGCTGGCGAGACACAGATCATGTAGATCCCTTAAACATTGCTAGTTAGTGATTTCCTTTGTAGCCTGTGAAACACAGAAAACTCACCGAATTGAATAATAATCTCGCCAAAATAATTCGGATGCCGGCTCCAAGCAAAGAACCCCTTATCACAGACACCGAATCCATTGTCGTTCTTGCGCCAGATATACCTCTGCGTATCGCTCACAGTCTCCATGATAAAACCCACCCCAAATAGCACCGTACCCGCGATATCCCTCGCAGTGCCGAAATGTGCCTGGTGCGCGGCATACGAGCGTACAGCGGGGGAGTTGAGAATAGTGATAGGTAGTGAAACACTCCATACCCAGATCATTTGGAATAGCCAGAAACCGAGGAATGCGAATAACCTTTCGCGTGTTCCGTCGAATCGGTCATCTTTACCTGTTTTGAGGACACGGTAAAGAAGGAAGATTGAAAGACGTAGACCCCATGCGATGATAAATACCGATGCGATTATTTGGCGTGGATCGGGGTGCTGGCTGAGGCAGAGTGTAAGGATAGCTAGCACGACGAAGTTGGTGCCGCCTGCGAAGTCTGTCTTGTTGTTAGCGATTGATTACTACGGGATGAAATAAAGATGTGTAGATCTGGGTAGAAGTTGATGGATTTACCTGTTATCTTGTCGAACTTGAAGCTGAATGCGACCACAAAGAAGAGCAGCTGGTACCCGAGCGTCACAAGCAGTGTGATAGCCAGGTAGTAATCATCGAGGACGTGAATACCGCCCGCCATTTTGAAACACCCGAATTTGAAGTTGTAAATATTCAAATATAGTATTAAAAGGTAAGAAGATAGATTTCTACCGTCGTGATGCTAGGATGCAGGCTGGGGATTTTATATGAATCGCGCTTGAGCATCAAACAAATGGAGGAAAATCATGAAACGCTGCACAGGCAAAAGAGGAAGTGAAACGCATTGTAACTATACGATTCCATCCTCCACGGCTTGACGTTTTCCGATGTTTAAATCAAATAGTTTCATTTTCATTGAACCAAGTCTATTAATTACTACAAGAGATACAAATGTGAAAAAGGGGAGATGTAAGATGAATCATGACAATAGTTACGTACCTAGGTACCTAATTCGATGGTTGCGATAAGAAAAGGTCCCTGAAAATCGCCAAGCTTTAGCGTATCTAGACGCTAGATTATAGTGGTTGAACAAGGATTAGGTCGGCGTTTTTGGAAGGTACGTTAAGCCCTACGACGTCATTATCGTTCTTTTTCTAGAGGGGTCTACGGCGGCCAACCAAAAACCGAGTAACAAAGTAGAATAATCAATCCATCAAATCGACGCAACAAACGGAATAATCTGGATTTCTGCACGCAGCATTGTTTTGATTTCTCAATCTTAAACTTGTAAATAATGAACGCCGAGATTCTTCATTTATTTTTCGTCGCGAGTGAATATGCGACGCCGTGTCGCGCACCTGTCGCAAAGAATGTATCACCAGCATCGCAATCATCTACATCATCGTATGAACAAATTATCATGCATTACTTATTGAATAACCTCATAGCCCAAGGTACGAAGACCCTAATCTCCTAATGGATACAGAAGAAGAAATATTGAATACATCAGAATCAAAAAAAGTACAACAACTCCGAAAACTTCCTTCCTAACCGACCGACTAGATGGGTTTGATAATGATGATGGTATGAGAAAACGAAGACCTAAACGCCTGTCTGCTTCTCTGTGTCAGAAGACCTGCCGGAAAGACAAGAAAACAAGAACTTCAGCAATTTGCAATGCCATCTATAAACTCCTGCGAAATCCCTTGATCATTACTCATCTTCACCCTATTCATCGGGTTTTCATCAGGCATCCTATTGACAATCATCACCAATTTCTCGACTTTCAATTCGGCTCAACTTAACGCCAAGCCAAGCTACCTCTTTCCTTTCGAGCACCAGCACCCGCCATACCCGCACTACCAATAGTAATACGACGTCCACGGTTGTTATCTCGCCTCTCGCTTGGGCTAGTCATAGCTCCCGGACCTCGAACGCTGCTGCTAAGGTTCATTCGTCGAGCCTGTCCCGGGGTGAAGGCCTTAGATTCACGCATTTCCGGAGGTGAGCAGCTGATGGGAGGGCTTCTACGTCTCTCAGCACTGCCACGTCGGAGTCGTGAAATACCATTGGTGCTCGAAGAGAGTGGACCCGAGTAACTGTTGCTAGCCTTGTGCGTACCGCCGAGAGCTCCAATTGACGACACCCTTCTAGAGGTCGCAACGGGTCCGGTAACGCTTCCTGCTAGGGTAGATAGACGCTTAGGTCGCTTGCTTGCATGGATAGCTGACCGAAGCTTGGACGTGTCAATGATAGCAGACGTTTCTGAATCAGATGATGGTGGTTGGTTCTCATCCGAAGACGAGACAACACGAGGCATCGGAATTGATGACGGACTGAGAGATGAAAGACGAGTCTTGGGAGAGCTGATGTTACCAGCTCTAGACACATCAAGACTTCGCAAAGGACTAGGTTTATCCTTTTCTTCACCATCAGACGAAGACGCAAGGTTAAGAGAGATTGTCGGAGGAGTGGGTGAACCACCGCCTACATCCGACGGGCGAGCCTTGGACAAGAATCCAGCTTGGAATCTGTTAGGCTTCGCAGCAGGTATGCTTGACGTTTCGGGGATAGTTAGAGAAGGACTTGACTCATCCGAAGAACTATCCTTGTTCAAGTTGAACGGGATCGAAGAAACATCTGGCATTGGTTTCTCGGGCGAATTACGAGTAGGTGAAGATTCAAACTTCTTAGGAGTCTTCTCGAAATCAGCCAGAGTACCTGACTCGCCATCATCATCACGCCATCGTACTACACGCTTCGAAGGAGACTTCTTCTTGACTGGGGTGAATGATACACCCTTGCGCGCATTGAGTACTTTACGACGTCGGGGTGAGCCTCTAACTGGGGAACCGGACATCTGAGTTGGTTGAGCTGCTACAACTGCTGCTAGCTGCGGATTAGGAATTGGCTTCAGAGCATCCTTTCCTAGGCTAGCCGTCTTCTTTCGCTTCGGAGTACCACGTTTCGTAGGTGGGAATGCTTCAACGGGCATCTTGGCACCATCGGGCTTGACTACCTGAGCGGTAGCCGTGAAACCGGTCTCTAGTAGACGGTGGATGAGACTCTTGGCGTGGGCGACGGCTTCTTCCTCGCTCATATTAATCGTCTCCGAAAGCGAAGCAAGGATTTCGAATTGCGCAGTTAGAAGGACTTGCATGATTCCTGCATCGCCCGCCTTATCTTGTTCGAGGACTTCGCGATCAGCTTCCCTGGCGAAGTTGGCCTTCCACAATTCCGCTTCTCGAGTTAAGCTTTCGACTTCACCATTATCCACCGTATGACCTTCTCCTGCAGGTAACTGGTTGATACTATGTTGGAGAGCTCCGTCAATAGCGCGTTCCCAATTCATCTTACTCAACCTTTGGTGGATGTGTTGTCGGCTATCCTCGAGTTCTAGCTGAATACCTAAAGCCGTCTTGCGCATCGTTGTTAGGTTCGGCGGCATCGAGTCTTCGTCTTCTCTTGCATCACAAACCGCATCGAATGCTGCGATCCAAGATGACAATAAACCGATACGACGCTCGATACCACGTTGCTTCTTCATTAAATTCACCTTCTCTTGCCGCTCTGGCATCGAGTTTTCGTACGCTGTCTGAATTCTCTGAACTCCTTCCTTGACGGACCAACTCTTCTTTTCTAGTTGCTTCTGGAACTTGGCAAAGAAAATCTTCTCTGCATCTTTCTGTTGCGCCTTCAATTCGTTGATTAACGCCATTTGCTCGTCGATCTTGACCAAGAAATCCTTGACGTGTCGGTTGACATTGAAGACGTTTCGAGTAACCTTGGTTTGGATGTTCTTGGCTCGGTTGGCATATCGAAGAGTATTCTGGGTTTCATCAAAGTGCGCACTTGAAGGACTAACACAGACGATCATCACCGTTTTGCAGTTACCACCAAGGGAAAACTTCAACAGTCGTGTCAACTTGCTGTTTCGGTATGGCACATGGTTTCGTTTTCGAGGGTCGCACAGCGCATTGATACAGCTACCCAATGCAAGCAATGACTTATTAATGTTGGCACCCTCCATTAGTCGTTCGCCTCGGTTCTTGGTAGCACTAGCTCGTTCGCTACCTGCAAGATCGATAATACTGAGAGTGGCCATGGTGTGAGGCTCGTTGACAGCTGCGTTGCGGTCTTTTTGAGCGACATTAATCTGAAGGACGGCGTGTGATCGAGAAGAAGTGGCATTCGCTTCTGTTGGCGAAACCGTTCGATATTCATTCCCTTGAACAATCATGTCCATAACCTCCTGAACATCCTTAGGGTGGTGACTAGTGAGTCCAGACACCGTGACAGCTTGGTTGGAATCCTCACGGAGCATCAATCCCTGCTTGCTGCCTCCTGGGACCAACAAATCTCTGATGGTCTCGTTATAGATCTCCAAATACGATAAAGAGATCTCGGTGTGTTTCTCATCACTACGCTCGGCAATTTTCTCGAAGAGTTCTTGCATCGTCAGAAAAATAATGCCGGGCATCTGCGACGTTCCGGTAATGGTATGCGTCTTTCCGCAACCTGTAGCGCCGTATGCGAATACGGTCGCATTATATCCATCGAGTACACTATCCAACAATGTCTTTGTTGTTGCTTCGTAGACTTCTGTTTGGGAGGTGTTTTCGTCGAATATTCGGTCGAAGGCGAAGACTTGGTCCTTGACTTTCTTGCCATTAGGTACTACGGATCGTGAAAATCTTTGGACAGGGTTATCTTCCGGAGGATCGAATACTCTATAATACGGTTGTCAGCGAGTCATCTCGAAGAAAACACTAAAACAGACACCAATGGACGAGTACTTACAAGCATCGGTCATCGACCACTTTAATAACGGATCGGATTCCACTCTGCTTCAGTTTCGGTGTAGGAGCTGCGGCTAGAGAGCCATCTCCTAGGAATACCGTGCCATCGTCATTTCGTTGCCTACACCGATATTAGCATCGCCATACTTCACTATCTTCGAGGTCGACATACAATTGTGCAGCTTCCCGGATTGTGAAAGGTCGAACTCGGACTATTCGAAACATTAGAATCCTCCTCCATACACCGCGCGATACAATTATGTTGGTGTCTTACCTGCGACCGTGATGGAAGATGCACCAGGGTCTTTGAAAGAAGCCATCCTGGATGCTTCTGTATGTTGTGTTCCTTCTCGACAATACTCCCTCTACGACGTCTCAAGATTAATCTATGATCGCCGACATAAACAATCACAAAATATTAAGAATAGCTGTGATGGGAACGGCGAAAGAATGAAACACTGGTAGTAATTTTCAAACTCCAAATTACGCCAGCAGCAATGATGTTTCTATTGCTAGTGTTCGTCAATAACGAACGTGGTTGGATTCTTGTGTAATGAATGGCGTCCTTATTTTGATATGGCGTAGTTTAGTCGTGTATGTACTTGTAGTGGAGGAAATCAGATCAAGTACGGCGTACGACGTAAGAAAATAAAATAAAAATCAGTCGTCATAAGGGGAGCTACTACCTTAAGGTTATGCACGGCGGGTCGGTAGCTTCTATCTATTATTGACCGAAAGAAAAATAAGGTGTGTTGATTTTTTTTGGTACTGGAAAGTTGACACGGCAACCGGCACCTACCACTTTGCTAGTGTGGCAGCCTCAGCTAGCTGTTAGTGGTGTTAGTGGGGCATCAACAGAGGGTTCTTCGCTAATGATTGGTCGCTAATAGCCCAGCAGGCTTAAGTACCCCAGAATTCCTGTTTCAGTGTGTTTAGACCAATTAAAATCGTCGGTGTGGGCGCTATGGTAAACACTACCAAATTTACTACGCCGTACATCATAAAAATGATAGTGATGATTCCATCTATTGAAGTTTAAGTAGCGAATATTTACCAAATAAGAGTAAGTTATGACAGAACCATCGGCATTAAGACTATTCAAACCTACAAGCTCAATATCGAATTATATATCATACATTCAAACCTTCCCAACTTCATCAACCCCAACCCCATCCGCAAAACTAGTCTGTTTATACACACCCACCTGATCCCTACCAACGAGGAAATTCTCCGGCGGGCCCAAATAACTCGGTCTAACACCACCTAAATCCACAATAATCTTCTGCACTATTACACTCGGCGCCAGTCCCCAGACTCGGAGCGTATACGCGCCTTCCTGCGCTACATTCCACGTTGTCGTCGTATTGTGGATTGGATCAAGACCCCAGATTGAATCGGCGACGGCACGACCCCAGCCGGGTGGCATACCGGCGCCGACGCTCTGGCCTACAAATTGGACGACTTGTGGTTCGGCTTGGGGTGCGCCGGCTGGGAAGAGGGATACGGCGAATTCGAGGGGTGTTTTGTCGGAGAGGTAATTCTGTGTAGGTGAAAGGTACAGTGTTACATTGGCTTTGGAGATGTTGGTGAAGAGGTAGAGATCATATTCGAGGGCTGGAGCTGACTTGGTTGTCTGAGGTGGGGCAGTTTGTGGCCATAAGGTGACGCCGCCGAGGGTACGCCCATAATTCTTTAGTGTGTGGTAAGTTATCTCCGAATCTGATGCGGCATCAGAAGGTGTATAGGTGCGTTGATAGTGCGGCCCTTCAATAGCGATGTGCTTATCTGATTCAACGAATCCTTGAGTGAAGTTGGATGGAACTGAGCGTAAGTTGATAGGAAGCTGTACAATTGGTTTACCGAACCAATTTGAAAATCCTTCGCGGCCACATCCAGTTGAGAAGTTGATATTGGCCACCGTGTTATTGGCAACTTGCGGTGCGTTTTCCCAGTCTACCGAAACGAAGACTTTGGTGTCTGTGCCATTATCAGGACCAACCGTCCCGTTGTATTGCGATAATTTCACCCAAGGTAGGTCTGTTTGAGCCGACCAATCACAATTTCGTGTGCCTCGGGAGAAAACATCAAACCAGCGTACTACAGGACCGTACGGATCCAAAGGTGGAAGTACTAGAGTATTACCGGAGTTAGAATGATACTTATCATCTCCTGGAATACTGGCGTTGAGCCCTTCGACAGCAATTCCTACGCTACCTGCTATCGATGAGACTGATTTCTGGACGTAGGACATGGCCGGAAGAACATTTCGCATCGGCTGTTGCCAATAACCATCATAGCCGAAGTGGGTTTCTAGAAATTTAGTAAATCATCGTAAAGGCGTTAAGGGGGGCATTTCGACTTACGATCAAGCATATGCCTCCATTTTCCATCTAAGATACTATCCCACCTCACCGTAAGATCTGCATCGGCATCGAATGTAGCCAGCACTTGAGAAATGAGATCATTCGCCGAGTTTCTGTGCTGGTTCGCATATACCATGTTTCTTTCGGCGTTGATATGAACCTTATGAATAATCTGGCCACCAATAATTGGATGCAAAACCATCTCAAAAAATGCTGCTTGATGGGCTTCATCCAATTGCTCATAGATGGCTTGTGCATCGTCGGCTAGGCCTTGCCATTGTCCTAGAATTGCATCTCCTTCATTATAATTGACAACAGAATAGACGTAGGGTTCTACCAATTCGAATTTCCTTCTCGCGGCGAACATACCGAAACGTGTCATGATTTCAGTAATAGAATTGGCGAATTCCGAACCAAATTCGCGAGTCGCCCAAGCAAGTGTCCAATTGCCGACATTGTTCACGTCCCATTGTTTAATATCGTATGCCATATCCAAGAAATGAGTGAGTGGAATCTCTAGCGGCTTCAGATCTCCAACATTGACAATCCATATTCGATCAGCACCATGAGAATATGCAAGTTGCATTTGTTCTGCGGTCTTTTCCAGTTGGATTGTGTTTATCCACTTGTAATTTCTAGTGTCGCCGACGTAATCGAAATGGTAGTAAACACCAGCACCTCCGGATCGTGTCGTTTCATTGTCAATTGGTACTCTTCGCAAATTACCCCAATTGTCATCGGCCCATAAGAGAGTTATATCCTCGGGAATTGTCAGGCCTTCAAGGATATAGGACATAACCTCTTTATACAGGCACCAAAGTTGAGGAGCTTCAATAGCCTTGACGTCCAAAACATCTTCGATGATATTTCGCTGGTGTTCAACAAGGGTTTCAAGCATTTGGACAATGAATTCAACACCTAAGCCTTCAATAGCGGTATCTCCGGTCCCTCGCATACCCATGGTCCATAGACTGTTGCGAGCATATGGTTTCGCTCGCTCAGCGCCATATACGAAGTACTCGTCGATTGTCTTATTGTTTAGATTGTATGCCCAGGGGCCAAGTCCCTTGTTGGTGTAAAACGTTCCAAATTCGTTTTGCGCACGCATCATTGGTTCTGTGTGCGAACTTCCAAGCACGATTTCCCATGCATCTGCAAGCGGTTGACTCGCTGGGTCGTCGATCTCGAACATTGTTCCCCACAACGCCGGCCACAAGTAGTTTGCGCGTAACCGAAGTAGGAGTTCGAACACGTTCGAGTAGAAGTCGCTATTATAACCATCTCCGTAAGGCGTATCGGGATAATTCCATTTGACCCATCCTGATAATCCAGGCTGTTCATCGTTGATGAAAAAGCCACGATACTTGACTGAAGGAGATCCTTGTACTTTGCTGTCCGGTAACACGTAGATCTCCTTGGACTGCTTGATAGGGACATCTGCCCACCAATACCACGGACTAACGCCGATCTGTTCGCTGATGTCATAAATGCCGAAGATAGTTCCACGGGGATCGCTGCCTGCTATAACCACGGCTTTCGAGGTTCCATTTACAGGATCTTCGATAATTTTAGTTGTGAAAGATTCCCATTTTCCTTCGATATCCGAGATGTTCAATTTTCCAGCGCTAACAAGATCATCAATAACCTTAGAGTGTCCTATTGTGCCTGCTATTATGACAGTGTTCTCGGCCGACGGATCAGTATATTCAGGGCCTTGGAAATATTGCGTTTCATTAACCTCATACTATTATGCGTTAGTAAAGAGTTTTCAGATATTGAGAAATTTAAAGTCAATAAAAATAGCTCACATGAGTATAATTCCGTGTTATAGGTCTATATTCATATGTTGCTGGCTTGGCTCCCGCTTCTCCATTACTTAATGTGAAGTTGGTTCCGGTCACTCGTCCAAAGTCTTTCGCGAGATCACCTGCAGCACGGATAACCCCCCAATAATCATTACTCGAAATGAGAATCTGGGGCTGGGCGATTGGACCAGCTACTTGAAAAGCACCTTCGCTGTTAGTGAAGCTGATTATCTGTTGCTGTCCGAGACCGGCTGTGAATGGCGCGAATCCAATCGCCGCCGCCAGCAATTGACATTTCAAAGATGGGAAACGCATGTTTGGCAGAAGCCAAGAAGACGCGTCATGCAAACACCTAGGACTGCTAGGCTAGAGGAACTGCGTTCACATTGTAAATCACAAACTGGGAACATAGCAAATGATATACGAATACCAAGAAAGCTGATTTCGGTAGAAATAGAGCGAACTACCCTGGTTCATGTCTAGAATGGACTTCCATCGTGAAGACGGAAATGTGACCTTGGTTCCGTCACGATCGTTCGAATATTTTCGTCACGTCGCAACACTATTCAACACTAGGAATACCACCCAAGATCGTAATTGATTGCCAAGCGAGACGGTGCCTGAACTGACTATAGTATGTCATATACTCCGCATTAGGAACCATGATCCACGGGTCTAGGTAGCATTGACGAAGCTCAAGAATGATGAAAGTCGGTTGGCGGATAATTTGATGTAAAATGAAGAAAAGATGGAAAAGTTCGGGGTGGTTCAATGTTTGTAGGGGAGTCGAAAATGCACTAACGGTCCCCCGCATAGCACTAAGTCCACTATAGTTAGTGTGGCTTATAGTGTGCGGGGGTACCTCATAGTGGGGTAAGCTCATGGGAATAAATTAGCGGTAATCGTCCCGTACGCCCGGTATTAGAGCCTCGACAACATCCTCAACTTTCACATTTATCCGGAATATTATCCATCCAATACGAGGCTGAACTGCATCAACTATTCTGGGTCTAAAATGAGAGGTGAGTCCCGCCATTTACTACGTATAAGTGTTTCTTTGATTAGGTAAAGATATGATTCCATGAGGTTATCGAAGCCGAGAATATTTCGCGAGGAAAGGTCTATAACCATCTGAAGAAGTATCTAATAGGCACACAACATACCAATTTCTCAAATTCTCCTCCAGATACGCTTCTTTCTATTGAGTATGATGAGAAGCTATCCAATAATTATTCCACAGTATCAGTTTTGTTCATCTGCTCGTTGTTGTCGAGATTGACACTTGAATCATTGTCGGATGCAAACGAGAGCAAATCCTCTTCGACCTCGGACTTGACATAGATCGCGTTTCCCTTATGATCTCTTGATTCATCGCTCGAGTAAGACATAGAGCTAATAGATCCCCCAGGACGATGCCGTCGGGGTTGGAAACGTTTCCATCCATACATAGGAAAGTGATGTCTTTCAGGCCATATCATAGGGAGAAATTGGCCAGCAATGATATGGCCCCCTCCATTATACCCCAGCTTGTACCCGGACCTCCAAATATGAAGTATCTGAGTTTCATTATATATGTCGGGGATTGGGCCTTCTAGGAAACTCTGAAATTGTCGGAGTACAGCATCAACCCAATAACGATGACCTAGAAATACAAATGGTCAATCGTGGGGCGCGATAAAGGTAATAGGAAAGAGATGTTAGAGAATACTAACCTCGGTAGTATTGTTGAAGTCGGTATCTCGTAACGCCAGACTTCTCTAACCGATTTATCCAATCTTCGACCTTGACATGGCATCTAACCTCATTTCTAGAGCTAAAGGCGTAATCTTCGAGTTTATCACCCGCAATTGATAGAGGTGCTCCCGGCCGGCAAACCGTTAAAGTGTTTCCCTCCGGATCAACCTCCTTCAACTCGATCGTAACGTTTTCTCCACCTGGTATTTCAAGAATGACTACCCAAGTGTTACGCTGGTCGATATAGTTAGTAGAAAGGAATCCGGTTTGTCTCTCACGAGCTGCGAGCCAACATCCCGAAACTGGTTTTGATAGGAGTATCAACCAATTTGCGGGTTCGGGCTTCGCCAGTTCATGTGAGAGGAGAAGTTTAGGAACAAACTCGCAATCGGGCGCGGTACCATCGCGAATCCATAGAAGTGCGCTGCGGGAATACCGAATGAATGGCGCCATAGTAAATTATTTACATGGATGATACCAAAGTATATTAAGGTTACTCTGGTTTCAGTACGGTAGAAAGAGAAACGGCGTAGACATATTTCGACGCTCTAAATAGTAAGCTAGAAAGCCGTACTAATAGAAAAGTCAAGAAGCAGTTGGTTTACAACGAACATTGTGACTTGCGGCATTTTGGCATATCGGGTAGTCGAAGCATGCAAGAGCCTGTCACTGAAAAGTAGACATGTTATGGAGACTAGGTACGGTCACTTACTCGATGGGATGCTTAAAGAGTAAATCCCTTAAAGGAAAATAAAGTCGGCCGCTTTGTGCTGGCAATTGATATGCCATCTAGACGCGTTCCATAGAAAAGGGGTGACACAATATAAATACACGTAAGTGAGTCACATACTCATAGACTTAGCAATATACCTAGATAAGAACCACAATAATTACAGATAATTTGACCAGACTCAAGTGAATTTCATATCCAGGTCATATGTACAGTGAATAAATTGCCGAAGTAAGCCATTGAAAGCCATTGGGAATAATATACACAATTCGTTTATGCTCCCTCCCCCTCCCCCTCCCGGACCTTAATAAAGACCTCTAGTATATCCATCGGATCTTGGGCACCTTCAAGGCGATATTCTCCATGCTGTCCCTTAATAACAAAGGTCGGAACCCCAGAACCTCTATATTTCTCCTTATTCTTCATAGCCACCTCATCTACCAATTCCGCATCTTCATCCGAATCCAGGTATTCATCTATCTCAGTATCGTCAATACCGCCTCTTATCGCAATTCCTCTCAATACCTCGCGCTCAGAGATGTCTAACTCCAACGAATGGTACGCCTCAAACAATCCCTCTACAACATCATTAGCAACGCCCTTCAAAGCGGCCAACCGGATTAAACGATGCGCTTGTCGAGTATCGGGTCCGATTTTCCCGCCCCATCTGAATTCAATGCCAGCGGCACGGCCCGCCCTCTCCATCCGTCGGGTTAAGGCTTCATGCTGATCGGGTGTTAAATGCGCCAGGCGTTCTGCAGCGAGGACTGACTTGTCCACGCTATATGGTAACGTGTTGTAGTTTAAGTAGTAATGCTCCCATACTACAGTGACGATATCAAATTTCCCACCTGGGTATGTCTTTCGATACAATTCGATGGCTTTATCTAGATTGCGCTTAGCGATGTAGCACCACTGTTATGATTAGCATTAGTCTGTGTTGAATCTAGAGGATTCATGTAAATATACTCACTGCGCAGGTAATATCGGCAATCACGAAGTTTTCAATTACAGCGGGCATGGTCTCTTAATTGACGGGAGTATTCGCACGGTTCAAATTTCTAATGAAGATTAAACCTTTTGGGTTTGTAACTGAATAAGTTGAATTAATTGTTGGTTGGGTTTCTCATTTTGTTGCCGTATTCGGTGCTCGGTGTTCTTATTTCACCGGAATGGATGCCTACCAACAAGTAACCCCTATTATTGGAAACCCCTTAAATAGTTCCACTTTTAGTACCAACTTAACGCCAACAAGGTTTGAGAACATCAATATGAGAGTGAGGTTACAACTACTTGCGAGTGTGATGACTAGTTGAGTCACTTCTACGTAGTAACTTCCATCAAACTGGGGACAAACTTACAACATGATCACTACCTGCCTCAATTTCTGAAAAGTATACTTCAACTAAGTGTTTGAGTTAAATGTTATTATCATATGACTCCGTCAAAGTAAACAAGCATATATACATATGTATTTATAAGTGAACGTATTATGACTACCTAGTACCCAGAAGTATTGGAATTAGATATCTGTACTGTTGAGACAACTCTTATTCCAAGGGTGGAGTCGAATAACCAGTCTCATAAACGCCTGCATAATAAGTCGAACGATGTCAGAAAGTCTAAGGGATATATAAATTCTAGATTAAATCCCAATTTTCTCCTTTCAGTTTCTATCCTCTTCTCCATCTTCATCTCCGATACCTCACAACGCCGATTCATACCACATCCATCACTTATCCAATATCCATGTTCAGGTTCTCGAAGCAATACCATTACTTAAACACGTCATCGAGGCCGGAGTCATAGAATCTCGAAGTTAGTTACATACCAATGTGCGATGGCGGTTCGCAGCTTCGAACCATGACGTCAATATTGGCTGTCTTGGAGAATTGAGAGACGTCAGGAGAGATGACCCCAATCATGGGTCAGGTTTACCGGTTCTACGGCCGTATAGTTTTATGAAAGCGGCTGTCAGTGCACGAGCAGAATCCAACCGCATCCTGCTCCAAAACGACGAATTACCCTACGGAAAAAGAAGTTGCACATGTGTCTCTACACACCTCCTAGTTTCCGCCAATTCACAACACCATCTAAGCCGAACAAGGTGGGCAAATAGGAGGGGTAGATCCAGAGATCTGGATACGACCCAGTCCGCTCCTCGTAAGCTCAACCCCTATTTCCTCTAATGCAGAGTACTGACTGGGGGGGCAGGCCATTTCCCGAACATGACGATATTCGCATTCCTCGAAGCTATACAGCCCGTCGGAGACCGTATTACCCCAAGGGTAATCATCATGCGGTCCTGTAGAATCCATTTTACGCTGAGCATATGGTGTAGAATTTTGGCGACAAGGTCAAACACCAGCCTGGTAGGGTATATCTGTACAGATGAGGACAGAAAGCAAAGGGCTACTCCAACGCTGATTATCAGCAAATTCACGAGGAGGCATAAAGCCCTTGACTTATTGCAGTCGAGATAGAACCTAGATAGGGGTGGCATCCAAACGTCTGATAACATATTCGAGAAGCGTCAGCGCAAATTTACCGGTGGGGTTTCACTGAAGTCTTAGAATAGTACTGTTAGTAACATCACTACATATTAGGTGCTAGACGGATGTCCTCAACCGAAACTAGGCTACCATTTCATTGTCAAGCCTGGCCATGTACATACAGCTACTCATCTCCAGTACAATTCAGGAATTTCTTACTGAATGGATAGTCAATGTACCCTTTAGTTTGCCCTCGCGTGTAAAATGTCGAGCGATCGTATGGTGCAAATTCAATTCCCTCCTTTAACCGAAAGACGAGATCCGGATTCGAAATAAAGTACCGTCCAATTGCGACGCAGACGTCGTATTCTTTCCATGTCTCATCCACTGCCTTTTGTGGTGATCCATGGGAACCAAAACCACCAGTTAGGATCACTGGGCTTTGATTATCCCAGAGCTCAATGAGGAAGCGATTGCTATATGTTTTACTGGTGAAGTCGGCGTCGTCGAGGTACATTCGTACTTCGATAAGCTCTAGAAATGCGAGTTTCAAGGGTTTGAGTTGGCGAATTAAGTATTCGAGCTGTGGGTATGGATCGTGTGTCATGACTCCGGTTTGTATGAGGGAGTCGCTAAAAAATGGCGATAGACGCACGCAAGTTCGATCAGCACCGACGGCATCAACTACGACTTTAATTACCTCAAGGGGGAAGCGGACGCGTTTTTCGATGTTACCACCGTATTCGTCGGTGCGATGGTTGTAAGTTGTATGTAGGAATTGATCGAGGAGGTATCCGTTAGCGATGTGGACTTGGACACCGTCAAACCCAGCCGCTATGGCATTCTTAGCCGCCGTCGCGAAATCACCGATCGTCTTCTGTATATCGCCCTCGCTCATTCTATCTGCTGCTACGAACTTGAGGTACTCCGAAGTCTCGGTTATTTTCCCGAATTCGGGAAACCCGATGCGACCGCCGAAGTGCCAGAGTTGGCAGTAAATAAAACTGCCATTTTCGTGGACTGCGTCGGTAACTTTGCGCCACGCGGCGACATGGGCGGAGTTGAAGATCCCTGGTGCGTTTTTGTGCGCAACCGGGTCGCCGGATGAGGGTGAGATGAGTGTCCCTTCAGAGATGATTAGGGTGCCGGGGATTGATGCCCTTTGCTTGTAATATTCTATAAGAGGTCAGTTACTCATTTAAAATTGTTCTAGAAAAGCAAAATAATACTAAGCGAATTGATCTATGGCATTCGAATGAGGGATCTTAAAAGGGGGAGGTTACATTAGAATAATCCAGGTGAGTACCCCATGAGTTTCTCATCAAGCCACGCGTCGCTTACTGACACGATAACCTACTATATTCCGGGGGCTTCTACTACAAAATTTAGAAATATTACTTACCTTTCATCATTGGCGTTGGAGCCCCCGCGTCGTCACAACGGTATCGGGTTAACGGGGCCATCACCACCCGATGACCCAATGTGATGGAACCAGCCTTTATTGGCTCGAACAGCTTACTTGTAGACATTACAGATAGTTGATTGTCTATAATAATAATAAAATATAGATGCTAAGGTCTCTAGACGACAGTTACCGTACCCCATTGAAGACTACCTACGCTGTTTATGTATCCAACGGGCCCAAAGGGTCGGGTATATAGTTACAAATCATACCTTTCTTCACTTCTATAAGTCGGCCAAAATTGCCAAAAAAATGTACTCGAAGATTTATGTTGATGTTGTCGACATTAAGTCCGTCGGAGACATTCCGAAATTATTATCGGGTACTTTCCGATGCGACAGCTAGGTTACACAAGAATAGGATCGTTCCGATGCGAAAACTAGTAGAAAACCACCACGTGGTATACTTTTATGCCTAATAAATTAGGGTAAATAAATGAGAAACTCGTGCGAACGGGGATATGTGCCCATGGATGCGGATAGCTTCCGGGTACGCGGTCTTGGGTCCGAAGGTGCGCGGATTCTAAATATTGTGAGGACTAATGAGGAGACGGGGGTGAAATTTTCGGATGCTAGCCGAAAAAAGGAAGGGGGAAAAAGATATATCGGATACTTTCCGAAATATGAACTCACCTTCAACATTCATATTTCAATCGCCATGTTATCATGCGCGACGATAATTGACAGTTTTAGAAATGTTGACGATTCTTCTAGAGGGACTTAACTAGGCTATTTATAATTACATGAGGGGACTGACTATGACAATCTATTTCGGTTCTCGTAGTCAGTATATACCGAGAAAATGATAGTAGTACCGGATCTATCCCGCTCTAGCTTCCCGTCTACTCCGATTCCGGTCGGGCGGAGAAGCGACAATAGCGATATCTGACAGTAATGATAAGACTGAAATAGCTTCAAATAATTCTTTCAATTATAGAAAATGTACTCAGCGCGGCAAAGTCCTAAATCATAGTCGCTTGAAAATCTACGGGAATATATTTATTTTTAGGCGATAAATCGACTCGACTTCGGGTACTTCGTCTGACCAGAACTAAGAAATGGAGCCGTATCAGTTAACCGCAACGCAAGTCCTTGAGAAGTTCAAAGATGGATCGTTAACAATTGAGCAATATGCTCGTTCTTTACTCGCTCGGATCGAGAAAAGAGACGATGCCGTTAAGGCGTGGGCGTATCTGAACCCAGAGTATGTGATTCAGCAAGCGAAAGAACTTGACGCCGTTCCCCTTGAGAAACGAGGGCCTCTTCATGGTGTAGCTGTTGCTGTCAAGGATATTATGTACACCAAAGGTTCGCTCCCTACCCCTTTTGCTCTTTTCTTCATGTGACGCAAATATGAGAGCGCTAACTCCCGGTAGATATGCCAACTGAGCACAACTCCCCTATATACAAAGGAGACGAGCCAAAAGTCGATGCATCAGCCATAATGACCCTCCGTCACGCCGGCGCCTTAATTCTCGGTAAGGACCTAACACCCCCCCTTTCCCCCCTAAAATAAGTACCCGAGTACTCAACGCCACCAGGTAAAACAACCACCACCGAATTCGCATCCACAACTGCCGGCCCCAAAACCAGCAACCCACACGACGCAACCCGAACCCCAGGCGGTTCATCCTCAGGCTCCGCAGCCGCAGTAGCAGACTTCCAAGCACCAATCGGACTAGGCACACAAACAGGCGGAAGCACAATCCGCCCCGGTTCCTTCAACGGTATCTACGCCTTCAAACCAACATGGAACGCGATCAGTCGCGAGGGATTGAAAGTGTACTCCCTGATCCTGGACACGATCGGTTTTTTCGCGCGTAGTGCCGAGGATCTTCAATTACTATCTGATATCTTCCTGCTCGAGGATGATGTCCCACCTCCTACCAATTTCTCGGTCAAGGGAGCTAAATTTGCGGTGTTGAAGACTATGGTATGGCCTTCCGCCGGACCCGGTACAATCGCTGCGCTTGAAGCCGGCGCGCGGATTTTAAAGGAGCATGGTGCCCATGTCGAAGAAATCGAGTTACCGCCATCTTTCGACAAGATGCCGGAATGGCGCCACATCGTCATGCAGACCGAGGCACGTCCCTCCTTTCTAGCAGAGTACCGCGTCGCGAAAGATAAACTAGCGCCGTTTCTCGTGGATCATGTTGAGAACGGACAGAAGATATCGCGAGCGGCGCAGTTAGAAGCTTTAGATGGGATAGCGAGACTGCGACCGGAGATCGATGAGATCGCTGGTCGGTATGATGCTATTCTTACGCCGAGTGTGGTGGATGAAGCACCTGTGGGTTTGGATTTTACGGGGGATGCGGTGTTTAATGCTATTTGGACGGTAAGTTGCGTTTTCTGGGTACTATCTTGAGTGAGTCGCTGACTTTAATGGATGTGATAGGCACTTCATACGCCGGTGGTGAATATACCGGGATTTAAAGGTGAGAATGGGATGCCGATTGGACTATCGCTAGTTGCGCCGAGGTATCATGATAGACGTCTACTTGTGGTTTCCGAAGCCGTTGGGAATATTTTCAAGAGCGAAGGGGGCTGGAAGAAGCAGATTCATGATTGAATTAACTTAACTCGATTTCATCGCATTTTGGATATGATAATGACAAGCTACGTATCGGGCTATGCGAATGAATATCTCTGATCGGGTCGTGCCGAATGATTGAAGATTTTCGAATTCTGAGCTTCGGCAACTGTCCGATAATTTTACCCCTCCTCCAACCATTTGTGTCACCATAGCTAGATCTTTCAAATCGCAACCTCTCAATTCTTGTAGACAATTTTACACCCCACCAGTATCATTGCCATCAAATCCTCTCTTCATCTTTTAAAGGCTCAACAAGCACAGCCGGTCCTCTAGGAACAATAACAGCAGCCTGACTTCCCGTAACCTTAGACCTCGCCCTCGAATACCCCTCGGCGTAGAATTTGATCCACGGCGCCGTAGTCCGATGGAAAGCACCCGCTGTCTTATCATGTCCATCATCCCAATACAACCGACGGAACCATCTGTGCAAGAAAGGGTAATCATGCCGAATACTCTTAAGATTGCACTGGAAGACGGAGTGGTACGCGACATCAAAGCGCGCAATCGTCGTATACAACCGGATATCGGCCTCAGTCAGATGATTCCCAAACAAGAACGGCTGTCCCTTCGCCAAGATCGCCTCGAGTCTATCAAGTGACTCGAACAACGGGTACACATTCTCATCATACGACTCCTGCTTCCCAGCAAAACCACACTTATACACGCCGTTATTAACCGTATTATAAACCCAATCATTCAACTCATCAATCTCCTTGCGCAAGTTTTCCGGATACAAACCACCGCCCGGTTTATTAACCTCGCGGAAACGCTCCGGTACGAATTCATCGAACTCGGAGTAGAACATGCGGATTATTTCGCTAGATTCGTTGTTCACGATGGTAGCGTTTTTCTTGTCCCATAGGACTGGCACGGTAAACCTACCGTTGAATTCGGGGTCGGCTTTGAAGTATAGATCCCGGAGGTAGGTCAACCCGTATAGAGGGTCCTTTGGGAGAGTGCCGTGTGAGCCGTCGAATACCCATCCCCAGCCTTCTTTGCTCATGCTGGGGCTTAGGATGTAGAGGTCGATCACATCTTCGAGGCGCTTTAGGGCGCGCACGATCATTGTGCGGTGTGCCTGATGAATGTTATTAGTTGCCGTCGGATTTGAAGTCACGGTATACGTACCCATGGACATCCTGGGGAAAGGTATAGTGCATAACGGCCTTTCTCGGCGGGGAATTTTGAGTTGGGGTCTGCGGAGATGAAATCGCGAAATGTACTGGCTGGTCTCGTGAAATGACCATCTTTCTGGTATTCGGTCTTGTGACTTTGTCAGCTTCACCATGTACAGCACAATTAAACGGGCGAGTACTTACTGGTTGAGACATGTTTCTAAAAAACTGATGATTGATACGCCGAGTAAACGATTCCTGATAAGGAACAATCACAATTCGTCGAGACGAAACTGAACTTCTTAAATACGTCGATGTTAAATAGTTGAAGGATGAGATCCCGAATCTCTTGGCTCGGATTACCATATCATTGGATTGAGGGGCACTTTTACGCCATCTGGTGAAAAGTTGCGGCGCGACTGAGAGAGTTAGGTTTAGTCTTGTACATTCTCATACGATTTGGAGTAAAAAGGGACATTTAAATGTCTTACAATCATCCGGTGACGTCGATTACAAATCTGGGAATCTGGAGTAGGTAGTGACTTCCGGGTCTGTTTATCGTGTAACCACCGGTCGAGTTTAATTCGAAAATAGTTGATTCCAAAGCCTTAGTAACTAAATTCATAGCCTATCCATTCTTAAGACCGATATTTTAGTTGCTTACGAGATTACTTATTGATTTTTATTAATACAGAACTCCATCCAGATATTTAAATATTGGTATACTGCTTCTGTTTGCTCGAATACCAACGTACAACACTGCGATAGTCCAGTTGTACAAAAACGGTGTTATGATGCTATTATACAGGTATCGGTTACGCAATATGAACCGGCTCACGGCGTCTTTTCATACCGACTTTGCGACAATCTCGCGTATTGATACTTGATAATATACATCATAGCTTCGAGTCTTTCTTATTATGGGCACCCTCCTCCCTTTCCGCGGGAATATTATCACTTGTTTCAGCCTTGAGGCTGATCGGATCGCCTAATTGACTTGGATTGGCCTCGGGTCCGTGAAGTTTCTTCGCAGCCTTCTCTCTTAGACTTTCGTCGTCATTATTGCCCTTTTTCGTGTTATCATTCTTGTTCCTAACCTCGTTGTTACCGTGCGAAGTTCCAGCACCCTTCTCTCCCTCTGTAGGTACGTTGTCGCTTTGTTCTGCTTTGACGCTGATGGGATCGCCGAGTTGACTTGGGTTGGCACCGGGACCTTGGATTTTCTTGGTAGCTTTCTCTCGTAATGTTTCTGGCATCCTGTTGTTGGGTTGGTGGAAATCTGTATTTTAACGGCCGTGGGTTGGGATTGGTTGAGTGTAAGTATTGTCTTGGTGTTCTTATGGCTATGCTGGATATGAGGTATGCTACGGGATACACTCGTAGATATTCACAATGGGACAAGTTGATGCGCAGTTGAATTGGGTATTGATCGAATTACTATTTACTCGGATGTCATGAAGGGAAAAAAAAAACATTAAACATTACCTATTGAAGTCTCATCATCATCATCTATTTGTTAGTATACACTTTGCAGTCATGATTCGTGGTCTCATTCATGTGAAGTCGATGACCTCACGATGTTTTCTCTTCATTCCGAGAACAGGCATTATAGCGCTAATATCGCAGTAATAATACCCCTAGAACGCTGGAAAGTTAGCGTGGAGAGCGCTGTAATTAGAGTACCTATACGCTAAAGATTAGCGAATACGACGGGGCGCGCGACAACGTTCACCATCACGATCATCGACAACGGTAGCAGAATTACCTCGACGTCGACCTCATTTCAAGTAGTCAAGTTGTTGTATCCTGAAACACATTAGCAGTAAAAGCAAGCAATCAAGACCAACGGCAAAGCATTAGCATACTATAAGTAACATGTCCCAGAAAACTAAACCTCGTTTACAGGTTGTTCATCGTGTAGTTGGTTGATTCAGTCAGCACACATAACAATTTTGAAGCCATCACAACGCCTAAATAGGAAAATCTAACAAAACACGACATCGGAGAAATACTTATCGCATAAAAAAGGGGTATTTACAGCTTCATCATCATATGTACAATTCCAAGGTCAACCCATCTAGATGACTCGTCTTCGACCCATAGGTCTGACTCTGGTAGGATCTGGTGAGGGTTTCTGCACCCGCCCAATCTCAGGACTTCTCCTTCGCGCCGACCTCATCAACCCCGGACTCCTATCACGAATGTCTCTACGAAGTGGACTTTGCTTAGAAGAAACCACCTTTGCAGCCTCATCATCACCTATGTATGAATCCGAGCGAAGTTCGTTTCGTGGTGTTGGTGTTTCTGATTCGTTGGTATCGTCACTCGGTGCGGAAAGACCCATCGGTGTGGGTTCATCGTCGACCTTGGTGTCCTCGTCATCATATTCATCCGGATAATCTGGTTGCGACTCTACTGTATGGTCTTCTGAAAAGTCCGAAATAGACGTAGTTGGTGTGTCGGGATCATCCGACTGCGAGGTCTCTTCATCATCGAAACCTCGCGACAGAGTACCCGACAACACCATTGGATCTGTCTCGGCTTCCGAGAAGGATAGCGTTCGTGCTGGTGTCGACACCGCGGAATCATCCGAACACATCGTGAGGGATCGGGGGGAAGGAGGAAGATGGCTCGCTGGTATAGAAGTAGTATTGGTGTTGATGGGGAGAGGTTCATGCGTCATAAGAGGACCATCTTCCTCGGGTTCGTCGAAAAACGCATTGGACGCGTCGGTGCATTCATGCCACGGATGATCGTCTGGAAGGTAGGACGCGAAGTATCTCACGAGAGAATCTAACGACTTCGTACGAAAAAGCTGAAGAGCATATTGCCACTGGTGAGTCCCGATAAGATTCGGGTTAGCTATAATCTCGACCGAGGCAGACTCTAAACTTTGGTTCAACTCGTTCAAACGAAGCTGCTTGCGTTCAGCTAGTAATCGGTGAAACTCATCGGCACAGCTTGCAGTGTTTGAAATCTCGTAGACGTCGTGGTGAAAGGCTTCGGGGTCCTGAATCGAGAAAGCGACCGTGTTATATTGATCATGTAGTTTGGTGAAGAGATCATCTCTCTTCATCTGAAATTTCCAACAAGGCCATGACCAACCGGGTTCGTCCATTCTCTAGGGGTAGGGTTATATCGTATCGACCTCAATCTCAATGAGGAAATAGGTAATAGGAACCGGGTCTTGGTGCGTCCGGTCGTACACTTTGTAAGGGGGTATCGTTGGTATCTAGGGTATCAATGTATTCTAGGAAGTCGTTATGGGCAATATAGGCGGTATTAGGGCGTTTACTGATGCGATAGAAAGGAAATGGTAGTGGTACAGGCTTGATTGATCTTGATTTGGTACATAGAATAGTGCTGTTGTTTGTAGCGATTGAGTCCATCTAATAAAGAGGTATAGAACACATTTTGACAGTTAAGTTTGTAGGGCGTCTTCGTTGACTTATTGCGGTGTTTTAGGTACCAAAGGAGGTGGTTTTTAGCGGTGTCGAGGGGGTTTGTTGTGGTGGAAATGATTTTATTCACTGTTCACGGCTCGAAATTTGGCTTTGTTGTTCCTTTGCTGTGATTGTAGCGCGACGGTGATGAAGACATGTGGGAACTCGTTTGGTACCATACCTGTGAAATTGTTGCCTTAAAGGCCTAAGGCATCAAGAAATTAGGTACTTGCGTTGTTATTGGGGGGCACAAGGACATCGCATCCGGATGGTATTGGCCACTAGTCTAAAGTGTTGGCCAATCATGAAAAAGTGAGCTGCCCTATATCCAATCAACAGTGAGGCATGATATGAAAGTGGAACAAAACTAATGCGTAGGGCTTGCATATTCTCCACTCGGAGGCACACGGACCACCAATCCAACACACCACCTTTTCCTTTACTGGCCTTAGTGTAATCGCCATCTTCCCTTTCGTTCTTTTTTTATCAGTCAGCCCTCTGTATTTTCACTCTTTGCCTTTTTAATAAGCGCAACTCTGAGTGTATGACGGAATAGCAGTAATATGAGGCAATATGTGGCTCAATTCGCCTATTCTTTAAGAAATCTTTGATACTCACTTTATATTCTTTGTCCACACCCGTATTGAATGCAATTATTATCCAATTTCATTGTTTGGATTGAAAATGCTTGCGATAAACCATCGTCAAACGTCACGGAAATGTTGTGAGTTTCAAGCAAAAGAGGGGTGAATAGGATTGGAGTCGATACCTACCCAGTACATTGTAGTACTTCGAGTCTAAGGCAGGCTATGTTCCGTATATCGGCGGTGTAGCAGGCAGGAGAGGTAGGTAAGAGATGGCTCAGCTTACCCAGCCACTATTTGGACCATTGGATCCGTTGATTTCCTTGACTTTCTTAACTTCCTAGGAAGTTGGGGGCCGGAATTTGACCGTTTAAACCGTTTGGGGGCCAAAACTGAGGAAAAGCACATGGGTGCCGGTTAACCGCCCCTCCTCGACTATTCCAGCCATTCCCATCGCATTGTTGCCTACGAGGTCGAATCATTTGATGCATCAATCGCCTGCCCCGACGAACTACTGAGACAGTGTTCGCTTTCCCTATCATTTGCAAGTTCTTACTGTTCATGCAACGAGCCGCACGCTATTATCAACCTCGGTCATCCTTCCTTCCATTGTCCTCACTGTAACGAATACGGTGTTGCATCGGAGCGATATCGAACATTCAGCATTCAGCCCTAGAAAACTCGTGACATATCCAAAAGCTTATTCTTTTTATTTCCAAGTACCCCTACTCTCTAGAAATGGTGGGAAGTTACTTATTGTAATACTTGAGTTGGTTTCGAGGACATTATTTTGCCTTTTCTGCCTTGTTATTTCTATTATTTCTTACAAGGCGAACTGCCCTCACCACCATCAACATTTCCCACTTCCCACCAACCCTTAGCACCCAGGGATTAATAATATGCCTACACACTTACATACCGACCTAGGGCATTCTTCCTAGGCAGGTATAGTAGGTACATATCAAAGATGACTCTACGGAAAGGCTAAGTAATGTACAATAAACAGGCCCGGGCAGGTTAGATGGGTTAGATGACTGACCCTAGGCAGCCGATCTATCCTGTTCATTCTGTCCCCCCCCTTGTCATTCTATTCCCCCAGAGCAGAAGAATTGCGGGATCAGCCGCACAAGCATCTCACTTTATTTTTTCTTCTACTTCTTTCCTTCCTCTCCCACTGCCCTCTGCCCTCTGCCCTCTGGGAATGACATTATGACTCTGTTCATCAAGGCTTACCTGAACTGGTTTTGTCAATGAACAGGGTCTGGAGGACAGTTCACCTGACAATTTCCTCTTTCTAAAATACTAACAGAACTGTGTGCTATTCTCTATTGAATGCGCTAAAGGAGTAGCTTATTGAAGCGACTGTGTTGAGTTGTTCTGCATTTTCCTTTTCTCAGCATTTTCTTCATTTTTTTCTGTCTGTCTATTCTGCCTGCTATTCAGTCATCAACCATCGACTCATTCAACAATAACTAACTAAACAATAACGACAAACTGTCTATGCTATCATTTCTGTCCAAATTAAGGTCCAAGCTTTCTTCTATTTTCCCTTATAATAATAATCATTTCTTCCATATCCTCACAATGGCGGAAGTCTTCCCTTCAGAGGAGAAGACGGAGCCGTTTACTACCGAGGAGCTCCAACAGAGACTTCAAGGAAGCATACAAGTCGATAGCATTGAAGAGGAACATCATGATACTATTCCGCTAGATGCTCTAGTCATCGAAGAAGACCATCATAAGCAAGGCATCCGTATTCTCGTCCGACCACTGACGCGAAATCGTTCAGTGAGTCCGGGAAACGATAATGTCCAATGGTTAGCTTTGCGCGCCGAGGTAGCGGACCCTTCGCAGCCTAGATCTAAAGTGTTGGCGGTGACTCAGACTTCCAAAGATATCAACTTCTCCATTAGAATACCACAAGGCGACGATGAGAATAGGCCGCCAATATGGTGCGAGCTGTACTATGATCCGGCTAGCGATAGTTTGATATTGGTGAACAAGTCAGAAATGCCTATTGTTCTCACCAGGGTATCCCAACCAGAGTCTACTAGCGATGTAAACTACGGCCAGGAGATCTTACCAAAAACTACCAAGGAAGTGTCGCCAGGTACTTGGCGAATCAGCATCTACGCCATTCCCGTCCTAGATTTTAGGATCTTGGAGAAGCGACCCGCCAAGTTGGTGATCCCTCGCGATAGTGCCGATTCGTCCATAATCTCCAGTTCGGACGTCGCAAACTCCTCTGTTAAGCGGTCCTTCTCCGATGCCAGCAGTGATGAGCCAGTCAGTCCCGTCGCCGAAAAGCGAGCTCGTAAGACAGATGGTCAAGAAAAAGACGGCGTCATCATCTTCATGGGTCCTAAGGATAAGGAACTTGTTTTCCCATTTCCTAACCCAGCCAAGACGAAGGAGGTCGCCATTCCCAATGGTCATCATGCGCTATTAGAAGTCGAGAAGGATGAGACTGCCGACATACCTGGTGGTTGTGAGCTAGATCAATACCAGCTAACAAAGCGCGATCAGATCGCTATGACAGGCGCTTCATCAGTCTTTACGGCCGAGCACTCCAACGTACCTGACGGTGTCATCACGGTCAAAGTACTGAAAACGCGAAACCCCAACGCTTCAGATACTCGACCGCAAGAGACTCACCACAATGTAATCCGTCAAGCCGACATTTGGCTACGAGAATACCAGAGCCAAGAAGATCTACAGCATGAATCGATTGTCCGTCTGTATGGCGGTGATGCGCGCTACTTATCGCTATATATGGAGCATGTTGACGGCAAGGATTTAGCGGCTCGCGGTGTATGGCGTGATACCACCGACTTATTTGTGGGTGATCGTTACGACGCCGTGCGTATCCTACGTGACATCGCCGGTGCCCTAAATTACGTCCATCAGAAACGCAAAATCCACAACGACATCAAACCAGCCAATATCCTATACTCGCGCGAACGTGGCGCCGTCCTTTGCGACTTTGGTCTGTCAACACGAAGCACCGACCCAGCCACCAATGGCGGTACTCCCTATTATGTGCCGCCCGAGTTCATCGGGCAGAAGTTACGCGGCCCGGCTTCCGACGTTTGGGCTCTCGGCGTTACTATGTTATACGTTATTCGCAAGATTCCATTCCCTGATGCTCGAGGTCGTCAAGGTCATCCCAAGCAATTATACTGGATGATTGCAGATTTGAACCGAAAGCCAGGCCCGTCCCATCATCACGGCCATCACACAAACAACAGAGCCACGTCAGCTGTCACCCAAATGCAGCAATGGCTTAGTGAAGTCAACGAAGCCAAGGGACGACTCAATAAACTTGATCGCATCGAATACCTCATCCTACAGATGCTAACACCTAACCCGAACCAACGTATAACGATGGCTAAAGTGATGATGGAATTGAAAGACGTCCCGAATAAGTGAACAAATGGCTAGATCGCTCGGAAAAGCGATCGAACCAAACCAAATCAAAGGATTTCAATCTACATATTCTACGTATTTGTTCATCTATCCGTCCATCTGTTACATCTGATCCGATTTGAGCTTATTCTGAGCTGCTCGGATCCTGGTTTGGATCTTGTTTTACCTCAACTCTATCGCTGTTGCCACGCGAATGATGTACACAATGCTACCATTATGTCGCTCCGAAGCCTTGACGTGGCTCGTCTGGTTCTAGCTGAAATGCTATGAAAGCTCCAGGAGGCAAATATCAAGCGAATATAGACGTTGCTTACGAAGACAATGTATACGACTACGACTACAACCGCAACTGAGTTGAGGGTTAAATGTCGCTTGTTTTTTCTGCGATTTCCTTATTTGATTCGACGGAGTTGAATCCGGAATGGAAACGTTTAACAGGACGCGTCGCGCTACTCGATAGAGACGAATTTGCATAAGAAGAAGACGTCGCGGTACAAATGGGGATTGAATTAGCGAGAAGCCATTCCAATCATCAGCGATATTGGCCACCACGGCCGAAAGAGAAGTTGTCCATTACTTGTCGCATTTTTTTCGCAACCTCTAGGATAATAACGTAAGTCTCAATTCGTATTTCTTTTTCTCATTAATGTCGTCGCAATCGCGCAGCTCGAAAACTAACGTAACATTGCATTTGTGTAGCCATTCCCCATCATCAAAGCTTCACGCCTCGGGGTGTTTCGCATATCTATGTAGCAAATAGGCAATTCTCCATTGATTCTCGGTTTCATCCTAACAACCTTCTATTTCCCCGAGAAGATAGAGTAGACGGAAATGGCGCATCCCTTTCTTCTTAGATACCTAAGGCAATCATGAAGATAGACACGAGGCCAATCATAATGGCGAATGTCAATCCACTCGCGATTGTTCCTGCTGCTGAGGTCGGGGAGGAAGTCGCAGAGGGCGGGGCGGATACTGTAACTGTGGCGTTCGGGGTCATCATCATCGGCATTTCATTATTCTGATTGATCCAGGTAGCGGTAATGTGGGAGCTATTGTGGCATATTCCATCGGGAACCTTGGCATTAGCTCGATAAGTGATATCCGCACACTATCACAATAGTCAGCCAATTCGCGAACACACCTCGTACTCGCGCGCGCACACGTCATAAGAAAAAAGAAATCATTGTGTTAGTAGGGTTGCGACTTACGTTGTACAAAGCACCAGTCCAATCCATGGTGATGACTTGAATGCTGGCCTTGGTACCATCGGTGATGTTCATGGGAGGAGCAGGTAGAGCGGGGATGCAGAAGTTACCGTTGCCGGTGGTGTTTAGAAGATCGGTGGTGAGAGACATGTTGAAGTCAGCGACTTCATCGCCGAGGCCGACGCTGACGAAGACATAGGTCCAGGGGTGGCGGAGAGTGAGCTGGATAGGGCCACCGGAGATGGGCCAGTCGGTTCGGTTGTAGTTACCGTCTGGAGAGACGCCAGCGCCTGTATTTCAAATGATTAGTATTGAATAATCGGATAATACAAGGATGAATATTAAAAAAATATTGAAGTTGACGTGATTAACAGTGAAATGGAATGGGAGTATACGTACAGGGCCAAGTCCACTGGGAGTAGTTATCCGAGGTCAAGCTGTCGGTACGCCAGATCGGATAATTGATCTTGAAGTGGGCGGAAACGAGCTGAGCGGCCTCGAGAAGGAGGGCGAGGATCGCGATGAACATCATCTTAACGGTGGGTAGGTATGTGAATTGTTCTTGGTACTTGATGGATTGAAGGAGTGATTGATTGAATAAGAAAGGTAGGGTATGCTTCCGAAGAAGAACAATTGAATACTCTTGATCAAATCCGTCGAAGAAAAAGTAAAAGTGAAGGGTTGAAGGATTGAATAGGTAAGAGGAAGAGAAGTGGTGGGGGTTCTTGATTGTTGTGGTTGTCGCAAAGAAAAATTAGGGTGATCTGATTTTGAGTTGGAAAACAGAGCACACTAGAAATTGCAAATAGGAAGGACCCAGGTTTTTGGATGAATGAACTTGGAGGTAACTGCCTCAATTAGCTAGGTACAAGGACTAATTGATTTTTTGCTTGTCTACTAGTACTGGCATTACATGTGTGTTAAATACTTCAATGTTGGGAAGGAACTGTCTACCTCGGTGTCTTAGTGTCTCGGTATCTTGGTGTAGCTCATTCGATTTTTAACACTATGAAGCATCGAACATGGCTAGCCTTCCTTGATCTGAACGTGCCTGCTTTCATATGACAAACAACTAAAATACATGTTAAGTATGAGTAGACTCGGGTATCTTATCAATCTACGCCAATAATACCGTACTTACTTCACCTAGGTCTACATCGAAGCAGGGCGCTAGAAATGATTCTTCGATGATCTCTCGGCAGGAACTTCAGGCTACTCGCAGCACAAGCGAGCAAGTTTCCGTGTTACCAAATATTCGGGTTGTGCAATCCTGGTTTCGGTAATTGGTACAATACTTGTGTATTTCTAACGTTCTCGTGGCTTCCTCGTACATGGGTAAACTTCGATGTTCTTTGCTACGTGTGTAGGTATAGATGTACTTGGGTTGTAGTTGTACAAGCTATCCTATTTGGTTTGTTCTAAATTCTTGTTTCATGAGCTTGTCTCGCTATTTTAATGGTATTATTTGGGTAGAGATAGTACTTGGGCTGGGTACGGCCTTAAAGAGGTGAAGGTGGGAGATTGGTGATACCCGATGCTTTTGCTAAGTATGCCACTTTGCGAGTCTGGCATTAGGCACAGTACAACAATTTACATAATACAACTACTAGCTACGTGTATGTACCTACACTGTGGTTTTGAGATAGTTGCCTAGGTACTCGTACATGGGTGTGAGGTTTAAAAACGGACGCGAATTGGTAGCTGCACAGTGAGCGAGGCTTATCATTGGCCTAACGAATTTGAACAACCAAATTTGAATGACATATATGTAATAATAGTTGTCAGTATTCTAACAACAAATCAAAGCCTGTCTGGACTAATTGGTAAGTCGCTCAGGTGCTCTTGATGTGTGGTCTAGCGGGTTAAGGTGTAGGAGAGCTGGCTCCGGCTCCGGCTCCGGCTCCGTCCTGGTCTTAGCCCAATAGGTCACACAGAGGATAGCCCACCTGAGAGATACTGGTTCGAAGCCACTGACTGACACTCACTTTTTTATTTTACCTTTTTGGATTTCCAGCACAATTAAATTTATTTACATGAGCACCATTAAGAATCTCATGATAATAATAAAAAAACACCGCCCCCGCGTAAGGTGAGAAGCAGGAACCACCACCAACCATACCTTGCGCATGCAGATCGTGGGGTTCCCAAAACTCAATGTTAGCCGCAAACATCCCCACTAGGATCTATGAAGTTAATAAAACGAGGATACTTGAATACCTGCTCAAATATACTCGAATGGCGTACAACGATGTTCCCGGTTCCTCCACGTGGCTACCTGCACTCCATAGTTTGATTGCTTCACGCGGATTTCAACGACAAAGTACTAAAGTACATGTCTACAAATGAATCTATTAATTGTTTGCTCCTCAATATTTTGTTATAGATACCCGAGCAACCTGCCCATTCGTTTGATATGGGTACGAAATACTTCCACCACGATCCCTTACCCCCCGAATCGTTGTACACCTAAATCACAACTTAGAGCATTTGAATAATAAAAAGCCGAATGCCGTCGGTCGCGTACATATTAATGACATACGTATTCACTCCTCTTTACCTCTATCTCATTACCACGAACGCCTAATCGTCGCTATTTGAATGTTTACCTCTAGCAGTGGTTAGTCAGCATACCCCTATTCTTTGAGTAAGTACCTAGGTACCATAGCAATTCCGATGCTAACAGCTCAACTAAGCCCTGACAATTGCATTCTCCCAATCAGCCGTTGATTCATTATGATTTCATTCTTTTCGTTGTTGCAATTGGATCGAATACAAATCTATAGACCATTATTCGCCTAATAGGGAAGTGAATATCCATTCCAAGAGCACTGCCACCATGATGACTGCCGTCTGACTCACCAATTATAAGGAGGTATAGCCACTCGTACGTTCTAGATATGTTTTTCCTACATATTCATACCAGACAAATTTTCGAAGACATTCGATCAGTAAGACCTAGCTAGAGCTATTAAACATTTCTCAAGTTATTACGATTTATGATTGGCCGGTATTAACATACCTAGTCCGATTCTATCAATTCGAAGAGTCTTCTGCATAGAATATAGTCAAGACACTACCAGTCTAGCCGTTGTTGTATTCAATTGAATCCCCGCTTTGGCCTGATTAGTATAAATTAACAATCTTTATTGAGTCTACAGAAAAGACACCATAGCCCTGAGGTGAAATCAGTCATAAAAAATGGTTTGGATATAAATGCAAATGCAATAATAGTATATCTCAACCGCCTCTCTAGACTACATCATACTTATTCCGTCTCCTATAGGACGACGTATTTCACCGTATACTGTTGTGTAATTGAGTCATAGTAAGCATGCATGCGGAGTATACATAGAGTCGTCATTTAGTCCTATAATCTCTTTCTGGATATAAATACCCCTAGATCTCCGCACTCAATTATACGAACAACAAAAGCTAACAGACTACATGTTATAGGCCAGCAAAGCTAGAGTATCCACTACGAAACCCTCGACCTTGCAGACATCGCAAGCAAATACCTTCCCACCTGTTCATCATGGACATGTTCAAGTCTGAAGCTTTCGCTGCCTATATGGAGCAATTGATGAAGCAGCACCATGTCCCGGGACTTTCCATGGCTGTTGTCCAAGGCGACGAGATTGCCTCCGCGGGTTATGGGTATACTTCTCTAGACCCACCCAAGCCATGTACAGCTGATTCGCTTTTCGACATCGCGTCGTGTTCCAAGTCCTTTACAGCGTCTTCGGTCGGACTTCTTATTGGGGATAAGAAATACCCCGAAATTCAATGGGGTGCAAAAATGTCGAAATTGCTACCCGAAGATTTTGTGATGCCCTCGAAGGAACACACGGATAATGTGACAGTTGAGGATATCTTAAGTCACAGATCGGGAATGGGCCGGTAATACGCCTTCTACATCGGATACTTTTTCGTGGTATATGTTGACAGTAGAATATCTCAGGCATGATTTTTCGTATATGGGCCAAACCGCCGCGGAACCGGATACCCCACGATCCGTCACCAGAAACCTCCGAAATCTATACATAGGAGCTCCCATGCGAACGAAATTCATATACTGCAACCAAATGTTTACGGTAGCAACACATCTAATCGAAGTCAAGACCCAAAAGACCTTTAGCAATTTCCTTGAAGAACGCATTTTCCAACCCCTGAATATGACTTCAACTAGTCTTCAACCATTCCGTGTCAAGGCAAAGGGTCATGGCGACCGTATCTCTCCCGGATATTACTGGGAAGAAGAAAAAGAGTCATATCGATCAATCGAAATTGCGGATACACCAGAAGACCAGGGCGCGGGTTCGATCATCACCAGCGCAAACGATTTCATCAAATGGGTCAAGGCGTTGATGTATCACGAAGGACCTATCACGAAGAAGCTATACGAGGGTCTTGTAAAGCTTCGAAGCTTTTCACAACCGTACCCGAAGAAATTGAAACCATTTCAATCACCATGTTTCGATTGTGCGGGTGTAGAAGTCCATTGGTATCGTGGGTACATGATGGTTGGTCATGATGGGGGGATTTGTGGATTCTCGAGCCGTTTCTTTTTCCTTCCGCAACTTCGTTTTGGTGTTTGTTTGATTGCGAACTCTTCTGGCGGATATGAGATTTCCGAAATTATCAGGCCGTTGCTGATTGATGCGGCTCTGAAAGTACCTGAGGCGGAATGTGTCATACGTATTCCGAAAACAATCACTGCGAAAGAGGATGATCTCCCTGTTCGCGAAAAGGACAATCAATCGTCAGGTCAAACACAAGATAAACCCAAGGCTGGAAATGAAGAGAAGGAAGAAGAAGAGGAGGAAGCAGAGGACAAACAAGCATCAAAGAAGAAAAAGTCAGGAGGTTTATGGGGTCGACAACAACCGGAAGCTCATACAACACCCCTAAGCGCCTATGTGGGGAATTATTGGCATCCCGGTTATCGTAACATGAAAGTCGAAATAACGGACGATAAACTATTCATCGATGCTTCGGACCGCACGGATGGATTCTTTGTTACTTTCGAACATTTCTTGAAGCAGACACACTTCACTGCCCATCTATATGATAAGTATGAAGGTGGCGATTGGCCGGTAAAAGCCAAGTTCGAGCTTAAGGACAGCCGGGCTGTGAGGCTGGGAATGGACCTGGAATCGTCTTTGAACGATTTAATTTGGTTTGATTATCAGAAAGAGGGTGAATAGTAAACTATAACTGCTGCTGGTATTTGCTAAATACGAAAGAAATAGGTAGTGTAGAGACATATTTTTACGATTGAATATTTATGGCATATCGAGTAAAGCCGTATATATTGTAGGAATGACTACTTCAAGTCTTGAATAGATGTCTGCTTATGTGGTTTATCTGGTGGTGCCGGTTCCAGAGTCACATAATTCACGATTGTCACGCGTAGTAGATAGGTTCCTGCCTAAGGTATTTGAACACGCGCTGCTCGCGCACTTTTGTAAAATTGAACCTAATTAAATGGTTATTGAACTATATAGAATATTGGATATCAGTTGCATTCTAAAGTTTTTTTCCCACTTGAACTCGTAAGATAGCATTGGTCGTACCTTACAGCACATAAAAGTATCCAAGAGACTATCATCTAAATGCTCTGCTAGTTTTTGGGTAGTTTAAACCTTTTCTCTTGTCTTTCCTTATAAAGACCAAAAGGGAGCGAGAAAATTAACACTCGTCTTCTTTCCCAAATCAATACCATCTATATTTTTTTATTCACCCATCCAACCAACTGTTCGTTGACGCCCTTCAATTCAATACCATATCCACAGGGGGGCTATATTTTTATGATACTACTAAATATAGTAGAATCAACTATGATGATGACTACCTGAAAATAAATCCTTCGAGCGAGTAAGCTATCTTTTCTAACCACTTACGGTTATTCATATGTCAAAGACTTACTGACATCCACCAAAGGATGCTGAGATCTAAGCGATTCAAGTTTCTCGTTGGTCCTAACCGTCGAGAGTACTCCGTACACGGAGAAGTTTTCGCCGCCATCTCCCCCGTGCTCCGAGTCCTGATTCAGGGGGGATGGCGTGAATCTAAAGAAGGCGTTGCCGAATGGGACGATATCGACGAGGACACCTTCGGGGGCCTGTGTAGATTTGCTTATTCCAGAACCTACGAAGTACCCGTACCTAGCAAACCGCCTACTCCGCTTCCCTACCAACCCGGAGATGAGGCCACAATCACAGCCTACGAAGACGTTGAACCAATGTCAGTTGGCGACGACAGCCGAGCAGCGTATCTCCGCGAGTTTAGGCGTAAATATAAGTCCCCTTTTGGAAGAAAGGTTTATAGAACGGGGCATAGAGATCGACTTCTCGACTGGACCGAACCGATGATGCGGCACGCGAGTATGTATATCCTCGCAGACAGATACATCATCGAAGGCTTAAGGAAACTAGCACTTTCTCGACTTGCGCTCTCGCTTTGGGATTTCGAGGATCATTGGGATGCCGTTCCGTGTATTGTGGGATTGATTCAGTTCATATACGACAACACCGTGCCAAAAGACTAAGCACGAGAAGCGATATGTTGCTACGTGACCTGTCAAGCTCATCGACTCTTTTTACATCCTGAAATGAAGGAACTACGCCTACACTACCCAGAATTCGTCAGCGAGGTATTAGATGCGACAGTACAACGAGATAAGTTCGAACTCGACCGCTTAAAAAAGAAAATACTGGCGTATGAACTACATGCAGAAGCGCGCGAAGCACTCTTCCAGGGCTACATGTATAGGGAAGGGTATTGGTACAGGATCTAGCCCATGTGTAGTAAAAATATACACAGCTGGGAAATTTGGCCCTGATGGATGATCCAGTACGACCCAGCAGAATTTTCCTTCACCATGGACCCATCTCGCAACGTTCGAGACCAGCCGGTTTCCTCTAACGGCATCGTGACTACCACGCATTCTTTGATCCCCTTTCCCTATCAGCTGACCGGGGACGAAGTCCTCCGTATGAGGACCACGCGAGAGGCTATCAGACTAGACAGTCCTGGCCCGTCTCGGTTTGCCCCGGTTTTTGGGATTACCTCACGCAGGAGACAGCTTGGAAAGGTCCTCGATGTATTTAGACTTGTTTTTATGATTATAATGTTATTTGTAACTTACCGTCTACTAATGCGTGAAACTTGACGATGTACACCCAATACTCTAACAACCCAACAGTGACGTAGACACCCCAAGCAGACATCCCATCTGTTCCAATCCGATCCGACCTCCCAAATAAAAGCGCTCGTCAACCTTCGCTATGACCGTAAAACTCACCAAGCTTCGATCTATATCTTGCTTCGAACTATGCCATGACGAAAACGCACCAACTTGCTATGACCCGGAAAGAACCTACCGCGCTCCAAAAATAGACGAGATCGCTAGCCCTTTATCACAAGACGTCCATCTCAGTATCTGAGCGCCCTAGTTAAAAGTTTCTTAGGCAAATTGTACCTAGTATAATCATCGAAACCTGTCTTGCTGACTAACCACGAAAAAAGGGGTAACTAATAACCCCCTTCCATAAGCTTGTTGCTTGTTTCCTTGTGACTAATCCCGCGTCACAAACGCCTTGGCAATTGCCACCTTCCATTACTCAGACCTTCTACCTGCGATAGCCGAGCCATAACGGATCTGTATTATCTTATGGTGACATTGGAAGTCTTCTTCCATCGGATCTGTACTTACTAATATTTCCAAGATCTCAGAACAGTGCCCTAGGATGGAAGGTCGACGACTGTTTCGCAGTAATGTGTTACCTGCTTTCTGCCTAGAATGAGGTAATCAACATGATAATCCGTGGTATTTATCATCAGAACATCACAAAATCGAATTGCTTCGAATATCCAATTTACACCAAAAGTAAGAGTCTATTCGAATCTCGATGATGCTTCTAATAGCAGATATGCATAATAATAATGTAGTAGTAGGTAGGTAACCCAACTCTTACCGCTAGCCAAAGTCAATCAGCCAACAATATTCTAGGTACTTCATTCAGGTCTTTTTCACCAGACCCAACTTTACTGCTTGCTTATTTTGTTCGCTCGTACCTCGTCAGGTTACGCAACCTCTCCTTTTGATAGTACACAAAAATATCCCGCATCCCCCCTTCCCCTCCCCGTGTCCGAGACCTGGGCGTGACGTGACTTGACCATCATCGTTCGTCAACCCGTTTCAATCCCGTCATATGCAATTATACCTGAACGCCGGGACGAGGGAGAAACCCGTGTTCTCCACACTCCCTTTTCCCCCTAAATTGAAAAATAGATGACGAATAAAATCACAAAAAATGTGCATAATGCTACCCCAAAAAACCCAATCAGGTCCGTTACGCCAGTTGGTTTTATTCCAAGGTGTGTGCGAGAAATGCGTGACACAAATGAGAAACGACATATGCTGGTGTCGTAATAGGTAGTCCAATGCGTTAAGATAGGTACAAGGCCGCGAGCGAACGCAATGAATTGGCGTAATTCGATGGCGGTAATAATGGTATTAGACAAATGAGAATCAGTAATACGTCGTCCGTCATGATTATCAATGATCAGGGTCGTGTAAGTATCCGGCCGACATGCTAAATGCTGGGGTATATAAATCCGGTACGTCTAATTAATTGACGGCGTGTAATGATGTTAGATGTATGATATGTTAATATGAAGAGTACTATTTGCGAGTCCGTTGTCTAGTCATCTTCGAGGAGGATCTCTTGGATCTTGGAATTGTTGGTTACGTCGACCATTCTCTCCACGAGCAGCAACCCATTCGGCGTTACCGCTTTGTCGGCCTGGTTGTTCGGCGGGGAGTTTTTGGTCATCGTTGGTCGAAGAAGAGCCGGAAGGACGAGCTGTAGTACTAGGTGCGGAAGAGCTTGATGGTCCTGGAACCATTCGTGTCACTGCTTGTGTAATAGAAGCAACAACATAACCTCGGAGTTCTCGATCTTCCTTGGAATCTTCTTTCTCTAGTCGGAATCGTTGATCCTTGGTCATATTCGCTCGTCGAATATTCTTGATCTCTTGCATGATGTAGAGCATCACTTCTTCAGGACATCGATTCCTCTCCAAAGCATGTTCGCTCTTACGGACGTATCGTCGGGTGACGTCTGTTGCACCATCTATACTGAAGGCAATACAGTATGACATCTGTTTGCCCCATCCTTCAGTGTAGAGGCGTGGGTTATCCCATGCTTCTTCACAGGCGTCCACATGGATCCACCGTTGCTTGTGTTCCGAATACACTTCCGTCCATACATGGTCCTCGGCATTCCATACCCAGCGCACACGGCCACCCACAGCGCGGCAGAGCATGCTAAAGCAGTTAGCCCATTCGCCGCATCGGCCGCGCCGGGTTTGTAATAATCGCCAAACGTCGCTGTATCGTGGAAATCGCTCGTAGGCCCTGCATGATTGGTTGGAACATTCGTATAATTCGACTCGTAACGCACCGCAGGCGCTCTCGTCCGGTGTCGGTTGTGTCATACCCCTCGCAACAGTTGGTGACATGCAAACAGGACACGGTGGGTTGTTGACCCATGTGAAAAATGATCGCTTGAACCATCTGCAATTGGGATGATGTTAGACACCTTGGACCACGAAAATGAGGGGAAATTGAACTTGGCGCTCATCTCTACTCACCTTAATAATGCCCGAATTACACAATCTTGGTATCCCCACTCGGGTTTTCGACCGTCGCCCATACTTTCAGCTTGGGCTTGTAATACTTGAGACTCCTCCTCAGCCTCACTATATATCCTGTCCAACGGTATTGCTTGAAGGGCTTCGTCAAGTAAACCGGGGTTCTCGTATTTTGTTGGTGTTAATGATAATGATACTAATAAGTTGCGAAACTTTTGCGAATCTCGGTCGTGCGGGGCGGGTGGTGTTGGGATCTTTGGTAAATTACGGAGTGAGGAGTAGGATGGTGGCATTGCGGGAGAACCATGGCTATGTCCTTGGCCATATGATGAGGATGGTCTACTACTACCAGCAGAAGGCGCCGCTGAAGGTGCTCGGAGGTTAGAAGATGATGCTCGTTCTCGGGGGTCCGGTGAGTCGAGTCGGGATCGATTCGTTCGCGATTGTTCAAATTCGTTCATTCGCTTTGTTCTTAATAATTGTTCGAATTGGATTCGTAAATCCCGAGCCCAGTCCTCCCCATAATCGTCCCGGTCATTGCCGGAGCCATCACTTCGTCCGGCCATTGTATCGCCGGTTGCCTAATTATCAAGTCACGGGTGAATTGAAGTCGATGCGATGATGTCGTAATGTAATGTATATGCTCCGACCAGGAGAATTATGAACCGACTACGTGTCGGCTGGGATGATGATATGCTGGAGGTATTAGAATCAAGCCTAGATTAGGCCGAAGTCGAGATTACGCGGATAGGGTCGGTAGACTTCGTCAGCTACAGGATTGCTGATGATGTGGATTTGTCGACTATCCCTTCTAAGATTCAATCGCCACCAACGAACAAGGGTATCGTTTCGTCGAACAAGACAAATCGGTAGCGGCAATCAATCAATCCTCCATAGTCATCGGTGGCTAGCATTCGTGTTTCGTTCCCTCTAATAATGCGTCGTCGTACGGTAGTGTATCTAAATCTCCTCGTCTATTTCTTCTTTAGGCAATCCCAGACACCGACAGACACCGATACACACACAAGCGCACACAATCATACACAAAGATGTCTCTCGTCTTGGTGTCGCGCAGCCGACGATTAAAAAGAGCGGACGACGGACGAAGGTCAACGTCGATTATCTAAAGAATAGGGAAGAGAGAATGGTTGATTGAGATTATCCGCGCCAGGAAATGTAAGGGTGGTACTCGTCAAGCAGAGGCGACAATGAGGCGGGAAATGCGAAAAGTGATGAATAGGGTAGGGTCAGGTAGGTATGTAGTAGATGGAGAGACGGGATGGATGAATACGGATTATTAGGTACGTTAAGGAAAAGGTTAGGCCAAGTATAGCCAAGCCAAGGCAACGTATGGAATTATGAATTTGCTACCGCACTTTCGTAAGTGTCGAGAAGTGTAAAGTGGTGGGGGGCGTGTGTGGGTGGGTGTGTATAATTGTGTATATGCGGTGGTGGTAGTAATTCGTTCACAGCAAGGAAAGCCGACGATGGTTATTGGGGGGGGGTGTAAGGTTGGTGAACGAAGGCGAAGGGGAAGAAACGATAGGAAATGATAGAAAGACAAGGTTGATTAGGCAGTGGAGCAAAGAAGTCGTGGAGAAGTCGTAGATTACAACGAAGGTCGTGGTTGCGGTAGGTAAAAGTTGTAAGTGCATGCGTAGGCGTAGGCCCGGATAGGGATGGCTCAGGACACATGTGGTAAGAAAAAACAGAGAGGGAAGGAAAAGGTGGAAAGTGTCGCCTGCAGGGTTTACGTGGGTTTGCGTAGGCTTCGTAGGCCTTCTCCGCCCATTACCTTCTAGGACTCGCGTCATTGGTCGGGGTCTACGCTAAATACAGTATAGACAGTATAATTCGTGAGAAGGAACCCCCCATCGGTACTGTACTTCGCGGCAGAAATCGCACTAGGGTGCAGAAGAGAAAGCGTGAACGCGCGTCTTCTGAGCCGTCTACCCAATCAACTAACACCTATTCGGCCATGAGGAGTGGGGTCATAACGACTTTAATCCTCAAAAGATGAATACTTCCCCAAAGTATACAAGTACATATGTACTTTAGGTACCTAATTCTTTCTATTTTCCATCGTTTTCGCTTTTTTCGATTCCCCCCTTTTGAATTTGCCCATTCGTGATGATTTTTTTCTTTTTTTGGTCTGCAGACATCAATAGCATTGTCTTATTCTAAGTAGCTGAAATGTCATTTGTTGTTTCGGTCATCCAAGGTAAGAATCAATCTTGGTAGACACGTGTATAATGTATTGCGTACAGACATCAGTGTCGCATTTTATTAGGTATATATGTATATACTTCGGGTACCTTGCGTAGGTACAGAAGGTAGATGTACCTAGATAAAAGTTCATTTACTGAACTCAAACAAGCGTTAGGCCAATTTACAATTCCGTTCTGCATCCGAGGGGAAAAAGATAACCATTTTGTGGAGGCGATGACGAGGCGTGGCTTGCTGATCGTGGCTGGAATTGCTAAATTGAAGCAAATTGAAGCCTCCAGGTGCCTTAGCAGCATGTCTAGGCGTTTTTTTAGCAATGCACCGCCCGTAGTTTTACTCCACTTTCGGTCTTAGATTGTTACCTCTACCCTGTTCTTCCACACTCTCACACCATGTACTCTTCTTCTTTCATACAACGTACCTTGCTTTACCTCGCCCTACCTCGATCCTCCCGAGATTTTCTCTGTTTCAACGTACCACCAGAATTCATTCAATTTCCATTTTATGGGTTTGATATCTTTCGATACATTTTCCCTTTTCCCAGTAGAACTTGGTTTTTTGGCCCCCATTCCGAGTCTTGGCTTTTTTACCCGGCTCCATTGATTGGTTTCTTACTCCACACACAACTACGAGTTGTCACTTATTCCGGGACGGGAAGATGTATGCATTCATCATGTATGTCTGAGGTCCGATACGGATATTCGCAGGAGAAAAGCAATATTTATTGGGATCCGAGTTGAGGACTGTCTAAGGTTGTCATCATTTCCAAGTTCGAGAACAATTCTATATTACCATAATTTCTCTTTTCAGCCTCGGTCTCGTTTTCCTCGAATGAAGTCTCTTCGCAATTATTCATAGTTGATGCCTAGGTAGTAAACATCATATCATACGCATACATCATACATGAAACGCAACACATTTTACCAACTATGTATGCCTACGCCATATACCTACACCTACACTTACACACTCCACAGCTCAACCAACCTTTCGGTAACCCGGTAGGATTCCCAACTCCACGGCGCCACCGATAAACTTGTCGGTCAGCACACGGGCGGTAAGCTTAAATCTTGATCTGTCACTCGACAATTCTCCGGCCCGATTGTACGAAATGAATTGAATGAGTCGTACGTGGAAAAGTAATCCCACGTGTCGCACCGTACGTATGCAGTTCAACGCGCGGGCGTTAGTGGGTTGGTTACCTAGTGTAAGAAAAGAGCCTCGAGAAAAGCCAGGGCTGTTTTTTTATCGCAAGGGGAACCATATCACTGTAAGTTAAAGCCTCAAATATGACTGATCAAGTAGTTCATCTCGGTTCAGTCACTTGTTTTGCCTAACAGCCTAGTTACTTATCATCAGATTACGTGAGAGGCATTGTTCTTTGAAGATTCTATTCTATGCTAGGTATTGTCTATGTATCCATTCAGCCATATGCAACTTACGAATGATTACAGGACCAACACACCAGCACACACATACGCAACTGCCAGATGGAAATCCTGATCGCCTTTAATTACCATCTTCGTCCTCATTTTCCATATTATCATGAAAATTCCAAATGATCATGACTAACTCTTTCAATAAAGAACGCGTACCTATTCAGCAACAGGTCGCCGATCACGTGTGAGCCCATGGTGTTTCTACGGTCTACATGTCTATACTTGTCTATGGTGTGTTCCTAGTTATTGGTCGCCTTTTTAGTGTCGAGGCTTGCTTGCGCGTCCTGCTCCCCCTTCAGGAGACTTGCGTGTTTCTGACCAATAACAGCGTTGCCACCTCTTTTCGAACGTCGAATCCCACCGCTCCTGTCTGATGATTTGCTAAGCTAGTCACTTCTTTTTTTCTGGGTCATGCTACGTTGCTTGCTTCGGCTCTTTACATATCCTCAATTTTCGAGGCTTGGCAGTCCTTTCAATATTCCAAGAATCTGCGGCTGATTACCGTAATTACCATATCTATAGACGTATACCATGTAACATTCATCAAACGGATTCAGTCCGGTTCGCAACACAGTCGAAAAAGTTCTCTCGTCTCTTACTATACCCAAAACATGAGAGGGGATCGATGGAGATTTCTTTCGTTCTCGTCAGGGGTACTTCGGATGAACATATGCGGCATGAAAGATAGTACCCAGAATTACCCAGCATTCCACCAAGAATATTGGGTACACTCGCAGTTATTGTTATGCGTGTTGTATGCGTTGTATGTAAAAAGATGTTTCATTCTCGGCTTGACCCGATTCAAGACGCTCGTCCACCTTCAGACAAAGGGTCGTCATCCGACTGGGTTTACACACTCGGGTCGCTCAAGGTTCCGAAGCCTTGCCGTCTGGGCGTTTCCCATATCTGTAGTTTCTTTCTTTTCTTTTTGTCCTTATTGCTTTTTTGTTCTCTCTATTTGTAATTCCATTCATCGATCGCATTGTTAATTGACACATGTATTCGCTACCTATCAGAATTAGCAATTGACATATTCTCCAGTATTTCTCCTCTTGACAATGTCGCCCTAGTCGTGTAGCGTAATACGGAAGAATACTAATAAACGCTACGGATTGTCATTTCACAGGCAGACACAACACTAAGATAGATAGGCTGATGGGGTGTGGGAATTGCGCTTGTGCTTCCTAGGACGCGCGTCTCTTCCTTCGAATTGCACGAACACACGGACTTTGTCTAGTGGATCCTCATGGCCCCAGCTCATTAATCCCCAGGATCCCTGTCGATCTCTAAATGACGGCATAACGATCGAGGAGGGCGAAAAAAAGGAAAACCCCTGCTCAATTTCACCGTAGCGGGTTGCTACCTAATGAGTTACCACGCAAGCAAAAGCCGTACATGTAAGTAGGGGTTCGTCATCCTAGGCACGACAACTACGACTCCTTTCTTTCAAGACGTTGACGTGCGTTGCTTTGACATGAACATACTAGCTACCTCGTGGCTATCCGATGACACGCAGCAAGGTCCCTTCATCAATAGTCATTCATTTCTAGGATTCATTCCGAATTCCGAATAACCGGTCATTTTTACTGTCATCTCAAGCTCAGGTACTTGTTCCAAAAACACCCCGTCTAGAACCCCTGGACCCCCATTATCCCTTATCATGCCGACGACCTGGTTTGGCCGCACCGAGTCGTAAACGATATCTCGCCAAGCTTTTTTTCATATAATATCTATCTAGCGAACCGCCGCAATTGATTCACCGCGAACGTTTCTCCAACAACTATATATTATGATAAGGACGCCCGCACCCCCCAAAACATAAACCCCCATTCTCGTCAGCCCACGCTTGATTGCTGGAGATATTGACCTACGGTGAAACGAGTCCGACTCGCTAGTTCGGGAAGGCTTCACGAAACTTCCCACGCGCCTGCTTATCCTGCGCGGGTTGCTTGGATCTTGGGTAAAAGGGTGTGATCTCGTGGGATCGTAACTTGATTCTGTTGTGGTAATTGACATTAACCGTAGATGATGATAGGGCCTTTTGCGCTGGTTTTGGCCGAGTGAATGGAGATAACCGAATTATTGATCTTAATGGTAGTGAGACTTGATGGTTTGAAACCGGGGCATAGCTCTAATCAAGCTTAGAATATCCCATTCTAGAAGCATTCCATCGTCTTGGCTATTGGTGGTTATTCAGCCAAGGCCGTATCGCATTTAGAAGTTCATTTGCGTAGGTTAGAATGTTGTAATCCTATTTGCCGGTGTTGTTACTTGTAAACTCCTATTTTATTAGACCGAAGCGATACAGTCAGTAGTGATGCGTATATCGTGTACTTTGTGTAGAAGTACCCAGGTAGCGTGACAACAACAAACTCGCCCACTGATCGTTCTGAGAATTCGATTCAATACTAATTAATGACAAAACAAAGCGGTTGGAGCTCTCGTTAGATATTTTCCTTCTATAAGATACCTACCTAGGTAGCTATGTCGTGCTCAAGACGTCTAGGTACCTGTGTGCCTATCAGTGAACCGAGCGCCACACTGATGCTTCCTGAGACCTTTCAGCGCGTCTCCTACTAAATCCTAACGATCCTCTCGATTTCGCCGGCTTCCAACATATGAGAAAAAGACCGAATGCGACGATAAGTGATTTGCCACCTATTTATATCAATTAGTTCGAGTTGTATTCCCAATACCATCTCTGACGAATCATGGCGATTTAGACGATAACAGCAAGAGTGTATCCCGGTTTGAATAAGCGCTCCCTTCTTTATCCTAAGAGTCGGAAGCTCTAGACTTCGGCTAGAAGGTTTCTTTACACTCCCTAAATCCGAACAAGCTATATGGTATGTTTCCTATGGATTCTGGGTATCGCGTGAGGGATATGTGTTCTTGCATGTTGTAATATAACTTGCCACTATCTACACAAAGGTTCTAGACTGTTTATATTTGCCAATATGTAGTTTTTTTTGACCGGCGTCTTGAATATCGCAACTTTATCGTGGGGGTCATAGAAGCTGACGACGAACGGCCCACAGTTGATATTAAGTGAGCATGTAGATCGTCTGGACTTTCGAGGTAAAAGGCCCTTGGGGTGTAATTGATCAGTCTACATTATTCATGATAGACCTTTGAAAGATTCATTTATAAATAGCTGGGGCTGGACCACGTTGGACACATGGTCTCGATCCCTTTCAAAGAGCCGGTCTTACGAAGCCTCGGAATTACTCCAAGGGGACACCTGAGGACAAACATATCTCCTTCTCACTAAACCAACACGTTGCGTTTATTGTGCCTAAGGACGTAAGGGGGCAATTTAGATCATCTTAAGAGCCGAGCTAAATACAGACCGTGGAAATGGTTTATTTATAGAGCGGTTATAGTCTTTTGTCCTGTATGAAAAGCAAAAAACGTAGGTATTTATTTTATATAGTAACTTGTCCTTTAATCGCCACCCAAATACGTACAGTTATTACTTATGAAACTAATAGTGAGGGCTTTTTTTCTTTCTTTATTTTCTTTCCCTCTTCTTCCTGCTCTTATCCTTGCTCTTATTCTTATTCGGTTTCCTTTCCTTCATATTCCTATTCTTCCTTTTGTTTATTTTCGTATTCTTTTTTTCTTCTCCTTTTTACCTTTAAGGGGGTCACTGATAACATATTTATCCTATAATACATAGGTTATGGCAATGTGGTAACCTGAAAACATAATACATGATGAAAGTCTGTGGATGGCTTCACCTTAGATTGAGTTAAGTACTTCGGTGATGATTGTTAGGCCACATATGTAATAGAGGAAGTGGCCAGCAGGTTTGGGGGATGCTTTGTAATGGCACTACCAAAAAAGGGTCTTTTACACTCCATCTAGTACAGCTTCACATTTGTAAAGGTCGTTCAACATTTTGTCACCTAACCTAGTAGCCCCGACCGCAGAGCAACCCTTAAGCCGGCCCTAGATGATAGTGGAGGTAATGCTTAGATAAGTTGTATAGCTTCATCTCGCTCGCAATGTTATGCTAGGTGCGATGTCTGGTCAGGATACTGGCTTTACTATTCCTCTCTGAGATCGAATGTACACGACGAACAATGCTATGGTGGTAGGAAGGAGGGGATATCTAGTCGTCATCTTCATCTTCAAGAAAAGACATGATTACTTCCCGGTAGAGTGCGGTATCTTTGCTGGGGTTCATGCGAATGGTTCGCTGCTCTATTTCTTCTTCGGATAGTTTAAAGTGGTGAAGAAACCGTTTGCATTCGGGGAATGTTGTGGTTAGAACTATCTTGGTACGATCAAAATCAAATCTGATGATCCTACGAATTGATTTAAGCATGGTACTCTGCAACGCACTATAGCCCGACTCCTGGATAAGGGTTCCTGTATGAATTTCGTCTAGAATAGTAGCTACCAAGGGCTTCATAGATTGACCAGGCGCCGGTGCGGCATCCTTGCATCTGCGGAATAAGACGAACTGGTATGGCCATGTGTATGGCATGTATGTGATATCGTCGTTGTAAATCTTTCGTCCGTAGATCTTTTGCTTGGATCTTCCAAATCGTCGTAAAAGCCGACCAAGGCATGCTCACCAGACGGCTGTCGCAGGAATTCTACGTGTCGTCTGGCAACATTGTAGTTGGGTTGAACCCATAGGATGCACCCTCTACTGGGTTCTGTCGTAATTTCAGGATTAATAGATCGCATCGGGGATTTCCTAGAAGATTGAAGTACTTGATATCGAATAGTTATAGGAAGCAGGGAAGAAATAGAGTTGTAGAGGCGTAATTCGTAGTTCAAAGTAGGCGCAAAAATACAGTAAACGAACACGGTCTAGAGCTACAAGTAGCCAATAATAAGTTAAGTATTTAGTTAGCATAGCCTCTTAAGGAATGTGGGTAGCAGCTTGGCCAATAGATTTGGCGTAACTGTGGAGGAACTACATTACTCGCACTGTGAAGCCCCTCCAGGGGGGGTAGAAGAGCTCATAGTATATAGTCTTTATCAGTAGCAAGAGACTAGATACCTACCTAGATAGGTACTCATAAATACTTTATGTCTAAGGTACCTTGTTGTTTCTACCTGGTATAATTGGATTGTACGTGAGGAAATTGGCTACATTCCCCCGACTATGTAAGGACGAGACTATTAATGCTCCCATTGGTCACCATACTTCTTTAACAAGAACAATTCATCACGTAACATCGGTCAATTTTGATATATAAAATTTGGTATGTTCATCCGATGAAAATACAAGTCCCTTCTTTCCCCCTACCTGAAGATGGTTGTAGATGAGAGAGGAGAAAGGAAAAAGAAGTGAGGGGTGGGACGTGTCTGGGTTATGAAGACGACGCGTTGCCTAGGTGCACCTGGCAAATAGGCAATTATATATATAGGAAGGAACCTGCTATTTATTACAAGCAGCTTCACCCGTTGCCCTGTGCAATTGTTATTATTCGCTTAGACCCGTGATTTGTTCAAGAAAAGAGCAGGCAAGTGGAAAAGTGGCAGGCGAAAGTAACCCGTAATTCAACCGCAAGTCATCCCGTGAAAATATTATGGAAGTGAAGGCTAATCCGAAATCTTTAATTACCAGGAAAATTTATATTGGAAGCAGAATTAGCTTAAAGGTGTAGACCAATTTGTCACTTCACGGAGATGCTTGAGAATTTACGAAAATGAATTATAACGCAGGTGAAAAGCCCGAGCCTATTGCTATCTAACCTAAGTACAGAAGAGAGGATTTCCATATCCCACACGAGACCCTGTAGACACCCCTTCCTCGTAGCTTCATTCTCTGTTACTGCAATTTGACGCCTTCACGATCCTCCAGTTGGTCATGAGCGTTCTGTAAGCACCTGGTTAGCTTCTAGGTAGTGACGGATTACTCCTTGCATTGCGAGCACTCCGTCCAACTCTCCACCTCATGTCCCGAGGTATTAATCGCCTCCTCAACGGCATCCTTACGCAACTGCTGCAACTCCTCCGCTCGTCGCGGGGTATGCTTAGCATCGTTCTCGCAGTAGAGATACACACGTCGACCTGAGGGGTTCGCACAAGTAAAGTCCCACTCCTTCTTCCACTGGCAGTGGTGCGGTGGCAGTCCGGCTACTCTGAGCTGCCAGTCGTTCACCACGTCCATTCCGCAGCCTTTGCAATGCTTCTTGCAGTCGAAGGGCTTGTCGCAGCCGAAGATTGGACATACTTTGTTCGGGCAGAAGGTGGAGAGATGGTATTTACGACCGGGACAGGCTCCGCAGCGCTTGCGGACTTCGCGTTCTTCGGGGGTGCCGAGGAAGCGCGCGCATTTGCGTGTGGTGTGGTTGGTTTCGAGGCAGAAGTGGCAGATTACCTTGCAATCGAGACAGCGGTGGATCTTCTCCGTGTTGCCTATGTAGAGACAATATTGGCAGAGCTCAGGGCATTCTGAGCGTACGTGGCGTGGGTAGGGATCACATACGCAAGCGTTGTCCTTCTCGGGACAAGCGGGGGACCAGACATGATCCTTGGAGTTGCAAGCACCGCAAGGTTCGACACACTTGTTGGTCTGGTGGCCCCATCGGCCACAGTTCCAGCAAGTCGAGGGCTTCGCCTCTAGCTCCGGGTCCGGCGCTTCGGTCATCAGACGTTCGAGGTTAGGAGCGCGCTCGCTGACTTTGAAGTTAGGCAGCTGAGAATTGGCCGTCGAGGCTGGGGAGAATGCAGGCTCATCCACAGGGGAAGTGCTTATCTTGGTGCCCTCTGCCTCAGTTGAAGGGCCTGCGACATCCTTGCCTTTGTCGGAATCCGTACCACCACTAACGGGGGGCTTGATGGGTTCCGAAGGACCATCGGATGGGATTTCGTTCTTGACTGAGGCTTCACCATAAGGGAGAGGCTCCGCCAAAGGAGCAAAAAGGCCTTGAGGTGCTACATTACCGCCATCGTGCTGCTCGACGTGGCCTAAAGAGAGAGCTAACTGAGCAGGAGTCATACCGACAAACTGGGGCTCGAAAACTCGTTCCGATGCCTCCTTGTCCGGTGATCCCGGGAATTGGTAGCGATAAGTTCGCCAATCCTCATTCTGCTCGCGCTCAAGCGCAAACTCGGGAGTGTACGGACGGGCCAATTGCTTGTCCTCGGCGAATCGAGGATCGCCAGTCGCGATAGCCGTGCTGACCAGTCGACCGACATTCATCATGCCAAGAACGGGTCCCTTATTCTGGCGGTACCAGAATAAATAATCAATGTCCTCTTCCTTGCGGCGGAAGCGGCAATCTTGGTAGCGGTGACCTCGATAGTTACACTTGGGGCTGCAGATAAAAATACATTGTTAATAATCCAATAATACAAACGAGATAGATAAATTCGAAAAAAACATACCAAGCACCATCCATGCAGCCCGTCAGTCCTACTCGGATACAATCACGAGCTTTATGACCAAGACGCTCGCAATTGCCGCACATAGCTTGAGACGGTCCCATTCGTCGTCTCTGCTGGCGATCACGACCGCCTACATCAGCGGTCTCACGGGATCTCTTCTGTCCCGGAGGGTCGATACGAAGCCCGACGTTGTCGGAACCCCCGGCATGGGGGAACGCGATTGCAAGCATCGGATTAAGACTGTCATCGGTCCTGCTGGCGGGTGGTGCTCGACCGGGAGGAGGACGAAGGCTGATTAGTCTTCCTGGGACGGCTCCTGGCGGCAGACGGCGGCCGCGGCCACGGTCACGGTTAAAGGTATTCTTGCCCTTCGTCATGATTAAAATTTTCCAATGAAAACGATTGAATCAGAGGATTGAAATGATGGAAAGTTGAATGTGTAGGGGATTAAAAAATTGAAGGATCGAAATGTTCCTACTTGGGAGAACAGGTGGCCAACTAGAAGGTAGGTACCGCGGGTTAACAATGGGTTCTTGGGGCGAGCGCATTAGAGAATCATACTTAGCTGGGTACTTGTCTCACCGGTTTCCGGGCAGTAAAAACCCAAGGTGCTACGCGTCTTTCTGTTGTTATTTCCAGGCGCTTGTAAGGCGAGTGCACGCGCGTTTGGAACAATTCAAGGTAGATACCGCCTTTAGGAGAAGTCGAGGTAGTTGCTGTCACTTAGATAGGTCGAATAATTGTAGAACACCGATAAGAGGTGCCCGATAAGCGATATCAGGACAAGGTATATGTACCGAGGTAGTGAACAAGTCAACAAACGCGTGAATACGCGTTCGATACTTCGATTTATTTGTGCTGGGAAAGCAAGGGTTATCATTACAATAATGATGAAGGTATGTACGTCACCTTTCATTTCTATTTCTCCCACTCCCCATCTCCAAAGTATCGATCTGGCATATCAACATCCCATAACGGCCTCTCAACTAGAGCTACCTCAAGTGCTTCGGATTTACCTTTCCTTACCATATCCTTCGATCCATTTGCCAATACTCCTTCCCCATCATCGAGTGGCACAATGCCTAGAATTGGTCGGTATTTGTATGTATGCCAGAACGCCAAGTTTTCTCCTGATTGCGATTCTGGTGCCGACTTCCCCTGAGCACCCCGAAGAAGTGCTAGATCACCTTGATTATCCTCATCTGAGTCTTCACTTTCGCTCTCGTACGCTGGCTGGCTAACCTCATCTTCATCCATAGGGTCGGAAACGGGCTCATCGAGAGGAAACTCCTCATACATTCCATCCCCAACCAAATAATTAATCCTCGTAGGACCTGCCACTCCTATTTCCATTTTACTACCAGCGCCACTGTCAGGACCTCTCTTTCGCTTTGTTCCATGCTTCACAAGTTCTCCATTAGTAGAATCGTAGGATGGGGTCGACTCTGCCAAATCTTGAGATAAGTCCAGCATGAAGAGGAAAGTATTTCCATAGAGCCAGACTCTCTCGCCTGACCAAATGGCTCCTTTGACAAGGTCTCGAATATCTCGAAACTCGACAGGAAATCGGTTGATAGGATTTCGTCTAGACCAAGCGGTTAGAGAGCCAAGGGTAGGGTTAATAAGGAGAATTTGTGGTCTAGCAGTGACAGTAAGAAGGGTATAATCGTCTGTGGATTCGTCGTCGTCGGTTGTAGAGGAATTTGATGTTGGTACGTGAGGGGAAAAGGATAAAACAGTAGGAGCAGCTTGCAGCTTAGGAATAAGAGAGCCTTTAGGGTTGCGAGTCCAACGTAGACCTCCTTCGATGTTTTCAGTTTGTTCCTCGCCTTCACTGTCGGAAGAATCGTCATGATGAGTTCCGTTAAGACCATTCTGGAGCTTCGATTGTGCTGTGCCCAAAACCCATGTGTCGATATAACCAGCAAGATCTGCCACTGCTAACATTTTGCTGTCTGGAGAGAATGTGATGTGAGTAATTGATCTGTCGTATTGACCTAAACCTCCCAAAGTCACATGCTTCTGTATCTTCCTTTCAATACGTTGTAATCGAATTGCTTTGGGATGAATTGTTGGTTTGTTGTTCGACGTAGAGTCTTGCAGTACAGGCAGAACGAAAACCTTACTACCACCTTGAATAGCACATAACCATTGTCCATCTGGTGAAATTTGGACATCCGTTGCACCTTTATTCGAAAATTCCTCTTGCAATTCGACTTTGGAGACCTTGAGTTCGTCTTTCTTGGATTCGCTCCGGGGTTTTAAATGGAAAGCCTTGATATCAGACGTTGTTGATACTACTAGCAGTGAACCGTCTTGACTAATTGTTGCTGACGTGATATTAGCTTCGCCTTTGATCAAGATTCGTGCCACTAGTTTTCGGTTCTTGTTAATAGCAGATTCTTCGTCTGATATGTCTACTAAATCTCGTAGCGGTTTTCTTAATCGCCAGATATGAACCTCCCTTTCCCACCAACTGACAATTAGTCTACTCTTTGGTGCGCTTTGCAATGGTGGGTTCTGAGGTAGATGTGATAGAGATCGGTGATTTTCCATTCCAGCTTTTTGTAACGGCAAAACCATCGGACTAGCATCCGGTCCTAAAAGAACGGTTAGCGATCGCATATATAAAGGTCAAAAGGATATACGGACCTCCAGAAATAACCACACTAATCCCATTCCCTTCAAATGATGCCATAGTCTTGACATCGTGGCTATGATATCTCCTATGCCAAACTTTACTCCATCTTGCTGTCGCGCCCGACATCTTTCTGTATAGAACGGTTCTTCGATCCATACCACCACTAACAATTGTCGAACCATCGGCACTAGTTGCAAGAGAAAGAACATCTTGGTTGTGAGTTTGTAGTCTTTGCGCTTGTGTGTACGTCTTTCCGTCCCATATGCAAATTTGACCAGTTGAATCACCAGAGACGATATCGCGCCCATTGAGGCATTTGACCGACCAAACAATAATCTCTTTAGCTCCACCAGAGAGATCCGAACCAAGTGTCATCTTTCGCAAGACATTTCCATTTCGCATATCATAGACTCGGATCGCACTATCGGAACATCCAACGACAACAATATTTCGGTTCTGGAAAGCGATGCTAACCATCTTGGTTTTCTTTGAGGAAGAGCGCACTAAAATTCGGTCGAATCGTAGGTCATCGTCGTCAATTGAGTAAAGAACGAGGCTGCCATCCATAGTTCCTGCGACCAATTTTTTCCCACTTTGAACGACACCATTGGTAGACTTGTCACCTTGCTTCTGTGGCGTGACTAACGGTTGGGCGGCAAGACACCATATATCACCATGCATACCACTTGCTTGTTTCTTCGGTCGTCGTTTCTCGAGGTCCCATTCAGTAACGGTGCTCGTGTAGCCAATACTGAATAATCGCGACTTTCCGATAAGTTTGGTGCCATCTTGTAAAATTTGATCAGGTTCGTTAACCCAGACAAGACCGTCGATACTCCTATCTTTTCCTCCGTGTAGAGTTGTTTCTTGGTGCCATAACCCATTCAAAGGGTTCCAAATCTCAATGTCTCCATTCGCACGACCAATCGCTAATCGAACGGGAGCTCCTCTTTGGGATTTCGTTACTGTCGAGTAGGAAAAAGCGACCGCATTGATGGCAGAGGGAGGGTAAGGAACGAAGCGGCATCGGTGTATATCCATTGTCGCGGCTTTTATTCAGTGTCGCCGGTCAAAAGGATTATTTCATGCCGTGAAGCACGCGATGTATTAAGAGGAAAGCGTTAAGAAATCCCGGCGATCAACTTTTTTTTTTCTTATCCGCGTTATCGTCTTATCGCTAGAGGTATCGAGATTTAGAGTGTGGCCCGTGCGCCGGTTCCCATAATATGGTACGTACCTTCAACGCTCCCCCCTTTTTCTACATCTACTAATAGAAACCAGCAACCACCTTCAAATAAACCTATGAATATCAAGTCATCCAGTGAAGAAAAAGGTCGATATACATATCAAAAGAATATGCAATTATAACCTCTGTTTGTTATTGTTGAAGTGGTATTTTCATTCCATTTGATACCACTAAGCGACTTGCTACCCCCTAAAATTCCCTAGGTACATTTACCTAGGTACTTATTTTGTTAGAATACCAGACGTTGATGCTTTCGCTACAACTGCTGTATAATAGGGCTTATAGAAGACAATGGCCACCTATGCTTCAGGGCGCTGCTCTGGAAGAGGGGCTATTCGGAGCGCCCCAAGCAATCACCCCACCAATGCACATACTGTAGGTAAGTGCCCGAGGGAATTATACGGGCATTTCAACGCTGCATCTGATAGTGGAAGTAACCTGAAAATAGCGACTATTTCGATTTATTTAGCGCTTTTTAGCCCAAGGAGATACTGTTTTATACTGGCTTGTTTCTCAAAATACAAGATACTAACGCCTCTTATAATAACACGATAATTTTAAAACTATCTAAGATAATATAACACTTATATCTCAATTTAAAGCTATTGATTATAATAACCGAATATCAGACAGTTGGGTTATTTAGGATAATATATAACATCGGCAATCGAATTCAATGACACGTTACTTTGACCAAGACACTTAATTAACATGATGTTGCGCCTAAGCCTTACCGTTATTGTAAGCTGGTATTCCCCCACAACCCGCTAATGTAAGGACCTATTGTGCTGCTAATAATACGTTAGTGCCGAATGAAACCCCTGAAGATCGACTATTTAGAGCGGGGACGGGCAAGACTCCCAACTTCATCAACTCATTTTCCAATCAACAATTAAACCCTACGACCACAATATTCTAACTTCCTTTTTCTATCATTAGAAGAGTATAGTACGACATCGTATTATCTTCTTGGACATACACTAGCTATCATAGCTTCTGTATCATAATCATTCTACGAAGTAAGGACTGCCAAGAATCCTTGGTCTAATTAGGTGACTTCGTGGGATTCGACCCGACTAATGCTACAAACCCCGCGACGCCCAAAGCCAGTTTCAAGATAGATATTTCAAGGAACCAAAATAGGAACGAGTCTTGTCATTACAGACTAACTACATAGTTCATGGTGGTTTATTGTTCTAGTGAAGAGTGCCGAGGTAAAAGCTAATCCAATACGAGCAAGAGTCACGATGTCATGAACCATTGAGATCTTAGATGCTTCACGCAATGTAACTTACCAGTAACCTGGTGGGCTGGAAAGGCCCGAACAGCAATTGACCATGCGAGAACAATAGTGACCGGGAAACATTACAGGGGCTGAGCCGCCTACTACATCCATCATCATCATCCATCACATATAGGAAATGATATATATCGAACTCGGTATCACAAGATGGATTATGATGTTTCGTTCCTTTTCGATTCTAGCAGAGTGGACCGGGGAAATATCACAGGATCAAAAATATTGATATCTATATAACGTCGTCAGAAGCCCTAAAGGTCGTGCGCCTACTCGAATTCTGACATCAGGAAACGGACAAGACCTCTCTCCCAATACACATCTTCCATATCCGTCAACATGTTTAGGAAAATCAATTTGAGGTTGGCATTACTGCTTGCCAGCTCGACATTCATACTGCCTTCAGTTGTCGAAAGCAAGCTCGTTTTTGCCCACTACATGGTGAGATCCCTAACCACTCACATACTTCTCACGAACAACTTTCGACTGACACAACATAGGTCGGCACCGTAGATGCCAACACCGACCACGCCAAACAAGATATTGACGGAGCAATCAAAGTCGGCTTCGATGCCTTCGCCCTAAACGTAGGAAACCCTGGTGCAGATTGGGCCAAAAGCACAGCGCAACAACTCTTCGACTACGCGAGCGACAAGTCGTTTAAACTATTCTTCAGTTTCGATTTCTACGGCAACAGTGATATAAGCCAGCACCAAGCGCTATTCGCCCAGTTTAAGGACCACCCCGCACACCTAAAGTACGGGCCTGATGATTTACCCGTAGTGTCTTCGTATAGCGGGGGTGGCGCTGGTCCTGATACCTGGAAGAACTTCAAGACCGCTAATAACGTGTACCTCATCCCCAACCCAGAAGCCGACGGAAATTATTACAGCAACCCGTCTGCTTTCTTCGAGAGCTGGAGCGATGCTGTTGATGGTGTGTTTAGTTGGGAGACGGCTTGGCCTGATACTTCGGACACACCAGTAAATGTTTCCTCTACGAAAGATGAAGCAGTTAAATCGGCTGCTGATGCTGCTGGAAAGGCTTACATGATGGGTAAGAAATATCAGAGGCACCTAAAAACAGCGACACTGACCAAATTCTAGGCCTATCATCACTCCAATACAAGCACTGCTGCGGGGACTCCTGGTACCGCGCAGGCGAAACCAACCTCCCGGAACGGATGGAGCAAATCCTCTCCCTCTCCCCGGAATTCACTGAAGTAATCACCTGGGTAAGTCCCCCTTTCCACTATAAAACGCCACCAACCACCCCGGACCCCCCCTAATTCATCCCACCTGTCCCCTAACTAACCCCCTAATTACAGAACGACGCAGGCGAGAGCCACTACATAGGCCCATGCTGGGCCGAAGGCCTAACCCCCGAAATCCTGCAATACGGGAACTCCGACAGCAACCCACACACCGGCTGGCAGCCCCTAATCTCCTCCTTCATCACCGCCTTCAAATCCAACTCCACCACCCTAACACCCCCGTCAGGCACCTCCTTCGCAGGAGCCCTCTGGTACCGCGCCGTCTTAAAATCCTGCTCTACGGATGTCCCCCGCGGCTCCGGAGCCGCTGTTGATGCTTTAAACTACGCTGTTGTCTTACCTGAGGGGAGTACGGGATTGAGTATCAGGGTTACTAGTGGAGGGAAGGAGGTTGCTACGCAAAGCGTGGGGCCGGGGTTAAATTATAACTTGGTCGCGAGTATGGTGACTGGGGCGCAGAAGATTGAATTAGTGGATGCGGATGGAAATGTAGTTGCGGCCGCGAACGGAAAAGTGGATGTTTCGGATGCGCCGACGGATGGGTTTTGTAATTATAATTATTATGTTGTTGGGTTGGAGTGAGGTTAGGTTGTCGAGGAGGAAAGTTGAGGATGGGGAAATGTGCAGAAATTATTTATGAAATAATTTTTGTTGGATAGTGGTGTCTAAGGGCACCAGATGAGTTTCTACTTCATTCTCCCCTGCCTAATTTTCCTGTAATCCAAGAACACTTTGTTCCTACGAGGCGGGTTTTATTACAAATCCTTGCGCAAGGCATTAGGAAGAAATTGCGTCGAATACAAACAGCCAGACCGTCCCTGAATTTTTGGTTACGAGGCTTATAATCATATTATGAAGAATCAACATATCCATCGGTTAAAATATCACGGGTGCAAGAACCAGCATAACTCCTTATAAATCACAGCACAACAGTATTCTTATTCCAATCACATTAACTTAAGTCTCCTAACATAATATTCAAACACTACTATCAATAATCACATTTCAAAGACCCAAAGACCTATATTTGGTCATATTGATTCTCTTCTCATTCATCCTATCTTCATTGATCCTATCATGTGATCACGTGCCTTCCCTATACACGTTCCCCTTCCTATCCTCGCAATGTATGTAGACTCTCGTGTCTAATACAAACAAGCCCGACTGAACTTGTATCGCGTTTATAATCTCCTCTCGTAGAGTTCGTATGGCCTGGAGATGTTCGTCGACAGCGGCCGTAGTCATCATATGATAGTGATGATGAACTTATACGTGATCTATTATCACTCAAAATCACCTTTATCCTAAGGTGACTCTTGGCAGCATATTTCAAAGCGAATTCGAATACTGCTGGAATTATATGGAGAAATGGGCGCTCTCCTAGGCAAATCGACTTCGGATCGAACGTCACGCGACGTCTCGATGTTGCACATCTAGGTGCTCAATACAGTTATAAGCAATCGTATCATTGCTTTGGTAGGTCTTGTTGAATTTCCTCTTCAGAGTCCGATTCGTGAACGGGTGACTTCATCTTTGAATGAGGAAGAACATCAAGCGGCTGGGATTTCCTAGACGTTGAACTGCTACGTTTGCCATCTTGGCTACTGCGACCTATTGGAGTATCGCCGAAGGAATTCTGGACTGTAGGTGTGTTGGCTTGGCTTCCTCCACGTTGGCCATGATAGTGCACGACTTGGGGAGGTGGTTGGCCATGCTGACCAAGTAAATGTGGTGGGTACGGATCCAGATCCTTGCTGGAGGTCGAAAAGGTCGAAACAACAGGTTGATGGTAACCATTCGTAGGGTTACTTCCCGTTGAGCTATGCGAGGGTTGAGGATTATGTGTGGTCTGGGGGAGTAACGGCTGTCCGCTATGTTCAGCTTGTGTCGGAGTGCCTACATCGTTAGGAGTTGCTGGCCCACCATTATCAAGTTGACCAGTCAAGCTTGTCATACCACCCTCAATATCACGAAGTAGACGAACGTATTCTTCCGGAACCAAGCCGCTTTCTTGGGTTTTGGGATCTTCTGCGACGAGCCAACCTTGACCGTGTCTATATGATACCCAAATGATCTGACCTTCGACTAGGGGTAACTCGTTCTCGTTTTCTCTTTCGAAATCGAACAAAGCAACTGCTTTGCCATGCATTTCTTCATCGGGTGAGGTGATCGTGAATTGGTAATCTCTTGAATACCTCGATTCATCGTATGGGTGGTATCCTGGGGATGACGTGGTGCTTGAAGCGTCCGATTCGGATCGGTATCCGGTATCGTTCTCTGGATATTTACGAGGCCTTTGGTCAGACGCAGAGTGGTATGCGCTTATAGAATGCCTAGCTTGTTCGGGAGGATAGGTGACATATTCTCCTCCTGGGCCATTGGCCTCTCCACCTTGGCTCACGTAATATCTTTCACTGCCGTCGCCGGCGGTACCTGCATAATACCCTCTTTCGACATCCAGGTTACTCGTGCTTATAATTGAAGATGCACCACCTCTCGTTTTATGGTGTCCCGTGACTGCCGAAGTCGATTTGTGTTTTCGATGTCTGGAACTAACGACAGGGCTCTGTAAATCTTCGTCCTCACTCCACGGAGGACCATCACCAAAGTGAATAGGAGCTAATTCACCACCCTTACCTAGACCACCGTCCGAAGTCCAATCCCAACCAATCTTAGTTTCCCACGAGGCGGGTGGGTCCGAAAGTCGTCTTGTCTCGCTGGCAGGTGTGGTCATACCGGAAGGCGGTCTCGAAGGCTCCGGTGGAGGGCCATAGTGTAAGGGATGCGTAGGTGGATAAGCGAAATCTCGGACGGTGGTATACGGTAAGCTAGAGTGAAAACCGGGGTAAAGAAAGGAAGCAGGTCGCGAGCGCGACGGGACTGAGCCCGTCGAATATTGCGACAATCGATTTCTAGAAGCGTGGGACATCGGTCGTGGTATAGCGGATCGACGTGAAGAGGGCGGTGACGTTATTAGAGGTGCTAAGGCGGGGTGGTTCGGATTTGAGGACGTCTGTTGTGGTGGAACTACTGGAGGCGAAACGGCTGGGGATGAGTACGATGAGGACATGATGGCGGTCACTTAGGGAGGGAGACCGGAGCAATCTTCGTATGCGTACCCAAAAAAGAAAATGTTGGTGGAATTATACGCAATGCGTATATTTGCTACATTCGCGATGTTCTTCGTATCCACGGTGGAACTGCGCAACGGCGAAAGACCACACTCCTCCACAAATACGGACGCACGCACACAATGCGATTGCCGTTAATAAACTCGACCCGCAAGTTATGCCGCGATCCTGCACGATATTTGATCGAATACGGTCGACGAGTCGGGGAGAATGGCAAGATTGCCTGAATCGTATACGATATTCCGAACGGAAGTTCAACGCGCCCTCAGCGAGGTTGCGACGACGACAAAGACGTAATAAATATTTGCCTTCCTCTTCAGGGAGGTTGACTAAACTTGGTAACGTTCAATGGGGAATCGTAATACTACCAAAGTGGAGGGTATTGGAATTGGCCGCCGACTTAGTATCGTATTATATCTCGCCGTCGTGGAATTGAGGTAACCGTCTTCGAAAAATGGACGTCCGCAGCAAATGAATGAAGTATTAGCGAAGAAAAGAATGTCGCGAACGAAATCGCGGGCGCTGGCGCAAGCGATGTATGTGTAGAGGGTTTAGTGAGAATAGACTCGAGGTCTCGAATCCGAGTCTAGGTAAAAGAGAGGTCAGGTAGAAGCCCTAGCAACCCTGTAAAATATGACTAGGGTGTTTAACAAAAAGGTAGGGTAGGGGGAAGAAAAGGCATTCGTAATTCGCAAAGTACGAAAAAAATAAAATAAAAAACCATCCGCCGTACATAAAATGGTGGTAAAGTTAGGTTAGGTAGACAGGTAGGGTAAGGTTCAGGTAAGTGTAGCCCAGGTAGCCCTGAAAGTATCAGGTAGTAGTCGAAAGGAACAAGGGACTAGGGACTCGATTGTGGAGATCTGTGGGTGAGAAAGTTCGAGTGGAGATGCAGTGACTGCAGTGAGTGTACCTCCACTGTGATGATTGGGAAGGTTTAACTGGGCAATTGAATGAACTAACAGGAACTTTTAGCAGTGACTATGATTTTTTGCTCTAGGCTAAGCCGCTAGGGCCATGTACCTGCAATGATTTCAGGACTAACGGACGTAAAATCGGTAGGTGCTGCACTTTATTTAGGTACGTATTTGTACACATTAAAAGGGGTTTCAATCTCAATCAATATTTTTGGCTAGAACAAAAGAAATGATATATCAATATGAAATACAATAAAGTGAATCAAAATGTAGGCACATAGAAATACAATAGTAAAGAAATACGGACCCGACAACAAGTCATAACCCCCCTCGTAGTTTTTTTTCTCTCTTGTGCTTCTTAAGAGGAGCGGCTCCTACATATCCATTCAACTGGTTCCAAAGAGGAGTAGAATTGGTAGGTTCTGATTTTAAGCGCGCGGAACAACAACCCTACTGGCTGGATCCCTTAATTAGCGGCTCCTTGCCCTTGGTAACTCTCAGGTGGGGTTTTAGCGAATGAATGCTCGTAGATGGTACCTAAATGGTGAACGCTTAGGATGGCGCCGGTGATTGTAAGTGGTTTCTTAGTGAACAAGCACCAACCTTGAAAATCATAAAAGTCACTATCAATTACCTGAGTGGTTGAAACAAAATCCAGGCCGAGGTAAGGCGAATCTAAATTTGAAGATACCAAATTTCCTTTTAGAAATAGAATTATTTATAGGTTAAAGACGAGTATCAAAGCTATTCCATTCTCTTCGTTTAGAATAAAGAGATAGGAAATAAGAAACATTTTATGAATCAATAAACTCTATGTCGCTTTGTATAACATTTTAGAGTGTCACAATTGACTACAAATGTAAGTGACGGTTGTTGTTAGTGCTTGGATGTTTCTATTAATAGATAGACGAAGTTTTACACAGTACTGTACTTAGTATACCAAGAGAAAAAAAAGCACCTAATTCTCTATGGAACATTGACACCTCAATTTAAGATGAACTTACCTAGGTATATTATATGGAAAACCCGGATACGAAAGACAAGACTCTTACTCGGAGTATAAACTGTTTCTACTGTTTTGTTTTCATTATAATAACGAAACAAATATGATTAACAACATCCCGTATTTATGCTAGTTGTAAGTATTCCGCATGAGGGCGTAACATCGGCTCCGTTTACATACCTAAGTGAGTAACTGCAATTTGGTTACATTTTGGAAATCCCTTGCAGCCCAATAAACCGGATATCTACCTGACCCTATTACTTCGCTACTGTAGGTACCATTCTATGGTCCCGAGCTATGCGTTACCTAGAGTTATATACCTGATAGTTTCTGGAATTCTATTGATGTATAAAGTGACATGCCCAGATACACCCCGAGATATAGAATTACTTGCAGAATTATATGGAAACAGAATCAAAATTATAGAAGGTACTTACAGAGGAGAAAATTGCTTCGTCATGCTTCTCTAGCGCTCACGCCATGCAGTAACCCATCGCAATCCATTCCTGCGGACCATGCATCTAGTTAAATGGTGAAACAAGTCGGCATTCTTTGATTCGCGCCGCACACGTGACTCTTAACCGATGCTTCAATCCGTCATCGCCCTAAAGCAACGTAGACGCAGACGCAGACTTGCACACAAAAGAGCGGTCTGATATAGTAGGAATTCGGTGTTTGAATAATGAGGCTAGATGGTGAATTCTTGTTTCGTGAAGAGACACAACCTAATGTAATGTAAGACAGCTTCAGTATATATTTCAGTACGTACCTAACATTGAAGCAAGGAAAGATTAATACATATAAGTTATGTATGCAGTCAGACCGACATTCGAGTTATTTACTACAAGTATAGACTCGTCAACGAGGCTACGAATACCTACATACATATCCCAACAAATAAGGAGGATACATATGTAGGTATGTCGGACGGAATCAAGAGTTCACCATAATGAGGCAAACAAACAAATGATGGCTAAAACTTCTTCCCGTTATGGAGCCTTGGTACGTGTATTCCGGACCGGACTTTGTCTTGGTTGGATCGGATGTTGCATTGAAACGGGAGGGAGAGTTGGAGTAGGTGGGAAAATTAAGGACTCGGAGCGAGTACAGTACATTAAGTACCTAGGTATGTACGTATACTTTAGATGTGCAGATCGTGCTTCTATTTCTGGATCCCACCATTTTTTTAAACTCTCTCCTATTGCCTTGAACTTTGCTGTTACTACGTATGTCGGGCGCCGAGCTACGGTAGTGGAAGTGTGACCGCATATGATGGAATCATCCTATTGGTTAAAAAGTCTCTTCCACCGCAATTGTTGGAGTCATTCTCTCGTTTGTTTCACATTTCCTGCACATGTTGTGAAACCTTAGGAAAGCCAATTATAATGGTTATATATCATTTGGCAAATTTCAAACAGCAAGATGAATTCAGGCTATCTCACATTGACATGCAAACGCATTTTGTTGGAAAAATGATGATTTTCATTCGGTTGTATCAGGTAGAGCGAAGAAACATTTGAAGGTTGCATTCTTTTACGACATATGTATCCATGTATTGTTTATGTAATTACATATGTAGATCCTATCAAGATCCGCCAGATCCAATAACATTTGATTATATAATATCATCCCGGAATAATTATATACCGGTAAATCGCGTATGGCAAAGCACGGTGATAGCAAAGCAAATCCTTGTTCTTCACTTCCATCATCAATTTCCTTGAATCTGAATCGACTTCCTTCCATTCAACTATTGCAAATCATAAAACCCTACAGTAATTTATTCCTATCTAAAGGTGCGTAAATAAAATAAAGCCATTGTATTCCTTCCTCGCTACATCTAATGATGAAAATCAATATTGGAGCTGTCTGAACTTTTATGTTGACACTCTTTTATTACCTTACGCAACTTTTCTGAATGTTTCAAATATTTCAAACTATTCCTCTGGTCACCTAACCACCCAGCGCTTCACGCGACTAACACCTCATTTACCAGTTCGTTGATTTAATTTGCGATTTCGACGAGCATGCGAAGAACCTTTCCATCATTCATATAGCCCATGGAATCACGGTGAAGGCGATATCCAACGAACCAAAATGGAGGCCGCAAATGGTACTTCTGCGACCGCCGCCCCGGCAACCAACGGAGAACGGGAAGATCCAGGTGGTTTCAAGCTTAAGTTCTGTACGGTTTGTGCGAGCAACCAAAATAGGTACGAGATTTTTCCCATTGCAGCCATCTACGTCGAGAAGGCTAACAAACAATTATAAAGATCTATGGAAGCGCATCTCCGTTTGTCACAGGCACATTATCCTGTTATTTCTTTCGGCACAGGATCTCTCGTTCGATTACCTGGTCCCTCAATCACACAACCTAATGTCTACCAATTCAACAAGGTATCTTACGATGCGATGTATAAGGAATTGAACGAGAAGGATCCCCGATTATATACCGCCAACGGTCTGCTTAACATGTTGGGAAGAAATCGACAAGTAAAATGGGGTCCCGAACGGTGGCAGGATTGGCAGGTTGGTATTCCTAGAACTGAACATGCTTCCGACCGGGGAAGTGAAGGAACAGAAGGTGGTGTAGTAGATGTAGTCATCACTTGCGAAGAGAGATGCTGGGACGCGGTAATAGATGACCTCCTTAACCGAGGATCTCCTCTGAATCGGCCAGTCCACGTCATCAACGTTGACATTAAGGATAATCACGAAGAGGCTTCTATTGGAGGACGTGGCATCCTCGATCTTGCAGACTCTTTAAACGCCGCCGCTAAGGAGGAACGAGAGAGCGTTGGACCTGTCGCGTTCGATATGGCAAGTGCTGCTAGCAGAGCCTCATTTGATGAACGTGTACCGGAGATCATTGGAGAGTGGCAGGAGAGATGGCCGAATTTACCGGCAACATGGACACTGGCTTGGTTTTAAGGTTATGGTTATGGATTTTCCTTGTTGATGATACCCCGGGATAAACGTTTTCTTTTTTTCGTCACTGGCGATTTGATGGCAATGAGGATTTGGCCATGTTTCTAGCATGTGCGTACGGGTTCAAGCAGTAGATATGGCTTGATCTTGACACAAATGAAATACGACGTTGCCTATATAAACAGAAGATGCTTTCACCAGTCTCGTGATGTTTTATTCCATGGCTAACGTTTAAACGCCAAGCAACTATTTAGAATGCGGCTCTGGTTATTGCTGGTCAGTTATGCCAAGTTTGCAAGGCTTCATCCATGCAAGGTTCAATACCCGGGTGTGGTAGTCATGGATAATTCCGACTCGGGGGTCGAGAAACATAAAAACAACCATCAGGTAATGCCCAGCGCTCTTCAATTGAGGCTCAGGCTCACAAAATAAGGGAACGCCAAAGGATCCAAGTCGATTCCAGCCAGGTCCTGAATATTGAAGGATTCAGCTCAGATGCAGAAGCATCCTACTCGAACGAGAGGGAGGCTAAAACAAGACATGAAACGAAATCCCTTCGCTTTTTTCTCCTTTACACTCCGCTGGTTGATTATAACCAAACACGTCTCTTCGTGGTTAACTGGACACAAATAAAATAATATAGCATGATTTGAACGGCCAGCAAAATATGCTGGATGAATCTATCTAGCCTCGGGCTTCAAGTTTATGGCAATGACTGTCGCGCCCAACTAGATCCGAGTCTGGCTACTGAGGTAGAATGTAGGAGACAAAATGATTGAACAGACATGGTAACAAACCTAGAAACCATTCAAATATTCAAAGTCCCTTCCTCCCATAAGCCGCTAACTTTTTCCTCTTTTACTGTCCATAACAACCTACAAACAGAAGCAATCGTCACCATTTTTATCTTCGACATACACGCAACCTTCACCGTAAGCCATAACCATATTTTCTTCAATAGTATGTTTTTTAATTACATCTGATCGAGTAGTGGGTAAAGGTGAATTACTTCGGATGCGGAAAGCGAGTCTTTCGCCCTCGGCGACGCACAAACGATACGATGGTTCGTTGAGAGCGTTGACTTCAAGTAACTACATCCCACTCAGGCTTAGTATTTCTCTCGTTTGGCTGACTACGAGCTAATATAGAGAAATCTGCACGTACATTTAACTTTTCAATAATTTTCTAGTCTTCTTGTTGCTGTTGTTGTTGCTGCTGCGGTCGGTACCGTTGACGTCGTCGTTCCCAGTTATTTTCTCTAATTTCGAGGTCGTAATCCTCTAGCCGTCTGTTGAAAGACTGTACATAGTCGTGGAAGTTTATCAGAGAACAACATGATGTCCAACAACCACGTTATCATATCCATGAGTGAACTTAATATATCGAAGAATAATGCTGTAATAGAGAGGAATGACATTATGGCATCGACGAATGACGACATGGGTTCGATTTCGAGGGGATAGCTGATGAAGGAAGAAGAATACCTAGGGAGCATCTTCTATTGAAGATGTTTTTTATACTGAGGTTCAGGCAGCGGCGAGGCTGGAGAGGCCTGCTGCCTAGAGGATGTATATCGAGGTAGTCACCGGGAAACATTTACTCTTATACCTTGTTGTATCATATCTGAAGATCTAGGTGCAACAATTCTACCAATCACAGGGTGTATATCCTCAAATTCTCGTTGTATAATAGAGCTATGCTATCAACACCGCCCTTCCCATGGTTTTAGTTCGAAGCTGATACTTGATGAGCTAAGTAGTCCTGCATGAGAGCCAGTTTCTGTATATCTTTAGGTTTTCTATCGTTCTTCTGCCTAAACTTATCGTCATGGCAAAGTTGATAATAGGTATTGATTGGTTGGTGAACGACGAGGCGAGTGACAGATGTATGGTGTTGTGATATACTAATGTTGTGTTAGGTTACGAGTTATAATTCATAAAGGAGGTTACAGATAAAGCTATTAAGTGTTATAATATAAAGCTTTATATAGATGGCCAAAGCTTATGATCGTGAATCTAGACCGTTGGTTCTAAACTTATCCTTGTGTTATGTTATTGCACTGTGCTGGTTGGGTTTGATAACTTGAATTGGTTAAATATTTTGATTAATGTAAATAGGGGTAACTCTAGCCCTATCCGACGCTATAATTCGGAGGCGGTTAGCACCCGGGCACCGAAGCGCGCGCGACGGGAAATAGTTAGAACCACTGGAATAGCTGAATAGTTACCATAAAAGCCAATGAATAATAAAAATTGGATATCCTGGGCTGACTTGCATCTAACCTAACCAACTTTACGTATTTATGTGTCCGCGTATACAATCAATCGGTCAGTTCATTAGAGTGGACAGTGCTGACAGAAGGAAATCCCAAATTCCCATCAATTATTCCTCTCCTTCTCTTTTGGATGGGGAAATCTGACATGTCTAAAAAGACCCCGCGAAGCCGCATCATCATGAATCGGGGTTAAACAAGATAGGAATTTGGATTGTCGATCCTCCTAATCTCGATCTTTCCTATGCTGCCGTCAGCGGTCGAGACTCTATGAGGCCGCCTTTGACGATCTCCCTTTTTTTTTCGACAAGAAAAAAAAAAAGAAGTCTGGGACCGAGAAGAACGGGGGACCGGACTTCTAGAATGCAAATAATAATCGTTACATAGTTACTAGGTATTTACGGATGATTCCGAACCAGTCATAAAAGATGAAGAGGGTCAAGAGGCTGGTGAAAAAAAAGTGTGAATTGTGTGAAATTGTATGAGGGAAAGGTCAAAGTGGATGGCGCAGCATATTTTAATCTTAAAACCCACATCCCTATATTCGGTTGTGATCCATGTACCTTTGCGTCTTGAAGGAAGTATACGATCCCTGCAGATGCATGTGGGAATACTTTCATTGGTACTTGTACACATTTAAATGTACTATGTAACATCACTACGCCCATTGATGAGAATGGATCAAGGAAAAAAAGCTTAGTTTAATAAGGCAACGAAGATTACGACTATACTTATTTCGTCTCGCATTTCATTTCCAGATATAATTGACAAATACTTCTGTAACTTTTGTGAATGTTCTGAATATTTAATGCTTCAAATGTGCATATTATATACATGTACATAATATACATATGTATATGAATACTTGAGCAGATACATTAGACTATTAATTCAAGGTTAAGGAGATAAGGGTAAGGGAATACTTAAATGTAGTATATAGCATTAGATTCACAAGTAATTGATCCAGTCACCCATTCGCCATTCCAAGTCAGGTACGAATACCCCTGTCAAACGTTCTAAATGGTCTCCGCCCCCTTTCCCAATTGGTCAGAATCCCCATCATACCCCCTGTCACCCCTGTACCAAGTCCCTCCCTCGTCTTACTTCAACCGCTTTTGAGGTTTCATTCATGCTTCCACCATCTTTTTTTTGATGCTCGATACAATACTTTCTCCCACGAATTTCAATCTCCCACCTCCCGCCTATCTCCACGAAACCTCCGCGTATTACTGTACATACAGAAATACTCACACATTCTTTTTGTGTTGTATCTGTTGTACTACGTACATAGACAATCCTCCTTGGAACGATCATCCCATCCCCCCAGCTGAGGATCTGAGACGTTACTAGCCACAACTAACATACGTTCTTTTTTTTACTCCTAGTCTGTCGACGGAGTTGCTTTTTTCCCTCCCTTCTCAAATTTCCCCCTGGTTGAGGATTTTCTCTCCCTTACCTTAATCTTTACTTTCTTTTCGACATTGATCGTGCGTATTGGCACGTGGAATAGGTAGACCAGCATTAATTCCGAACCGTCCACTCGTGTTACGATTGCACTACATCGTTGTTAGCGACTTACCCAACTTTCCGGCTTAGCACGGCGTTAATTTCTATCAAATCCGACTTGCGCCTCTTTGCCTTTGTAAGACAAAGTTGAATCGATCTTTCGATATCGCTTCGGTGTCGTCCCTCGCTTAACCATTAATAACCGACCGTCTTTACATGGATTGAATAGGGGTATAATATCGGACTTGCGATCACAGTAGAGCAACAGTCAAGGAGAAGAGAAAGAAGAATTTGGGGACTGGCCAACTACCGGATTGATTGATAAAAGCTGAACTAGATATCTAGGGGGAACTAGCAGCATTGGGTCATTCGACTAGACTAAGCTGGGTTGGATTTGAGACATCGACTGCCGTCTCAATTCCTCCTTTTGGCCGCGTGGCGCGCGTAGTTCCCGCCGCCTTTGTTGTTTATTGTAAAGAAGACCGAACCTTCGCATACCATCCACCAACTTTACTATGAATACTCGAAATGCGCCGGTCTCCCCTGTTTCTGTAAGCGCTAGAAGCGTATGGTCCGACGCTCGAGGTCCAGTTTCTCCTCCCGACTCTAGCGATTCCAACGGGAATATGAATGGCTTCCCACCCGGCCCAAGAAGTGTTGGTGGTCCTTCGCCACCACCTTCGGTAGGACGATCCAGTGCTTACGCCGGAAGCGAAAGTGGAAGGAGTATACGCGAAGAGAATGAAGCAGTTCTAGGAGAACATTATATCGCTCTTAAGAGATATCTATCGTCGACGTCTAAAGATGGCAGAGCAAATCCACCCCCTAACAAGGCACGCGACAAATTATTGCGACTGTCATCCGTTCAATTCCTCGAATTATCTACCGATGTTTTTGACGAATTGATGCGACGACAGGCCTATAGCCGAAGACCACCTAATGCTCCCCCAAATGTTGGTCCGCCGTCCTACTTATTACCCGAAGACACCTTCCACCCGAAGCGTAACCAAGCACGTCAGAAGTTGTCAACTTTGGGTTCACCGAGATTTAGGGATTTGGCGACCGATGTATTCTGTGAATTGGAAAGGCGAATTCCTCGTTTTATTGCTGGTGATATACCACGAATGAGTACTCCTGGAATGCCTGGAAGTCGAGCCGGTACACCAATTAGTAGTATGGGACCTAGAGGACCGAATGGTATGCGACGACCATCCGACGCGAGTTCTATTCGCTCAGCAGCTCCAAGAATAACAGGCGACTATCCTGTACCTCCATCTCCCGGCCTTCCGAATGGCAATTTCGATCGACCGCTCCCCAAACAATTCCAGAGCAATACAATCGTACCCAACAAAAGTACTATGGTTGAGGAAGATGATGATCTAGGCGGTTCTAGTAGTGGTGAGAATGAAGGATTCAGATCAGTCAACCGAGCAAGTAAAAGAAGTACAGGAACAAATGGTATATCTGACGTAAGTTTCCATCGCTTCGACTAACCGAACCGAATTGCCAACTGATGCGTTTTTTTTCTAGGTGGATAAGAAACTTATCGACGACTACCAAAACCAAGTGCGAGAACTACGAGAAAAGCTAGATAGCATGGAAGATCAATTGAAGAAAAAGGATGACGAACTTAATCAATTAATGGATGGCGAACGATCTCGTGCGACGGCCTCGAATCTAGAAAAGAAAGAGTGGGATGACTTGCGAACAGGTCTCGAAGACAAGTTGAACGACGCGCAAGGTCTTAATGACTCGTTGCGGGACGAACTCGATAGAGTACGAGACGACCATGCTATGGAGACACGCAAATTAAGAGAAGAGATCGAAGAAGCTCAAAACAACAGGGGCGTCGGAGGTGATTCCGACTTAATCAGGGAGAATGAAGAATTGCGAATGGCGCTCGAAGAGCAACAACATGTGACAGAAAGTGTCAGACTTGAAGCTCGACAATTCTTGGAAGAGATGAAGGTATTATCGCAACAACATAGTCCATCTTGGGAGAGACAATCCGAATTAGAGAAAACGGTTGAACGACTCGAGCAAGAAGTCCGGGATTGGCGAAACCGATACGCCCGAACTAAGACTCAACTTCGCAGTATGCGTGCCTCGTCAACAGCTCTTACGATTGACCAAGATGTGGCCAAATATGTTAGAGAAAAGGGTTTCACCGAAGAACATGGCCTCGTCAAGGATGTTCACGTCACCAAATTCCAAATCGCCGTCGATGAATTACTACAGCGATCTCGAACCGACGACCCTGAAAAGGTAATCGATTCTATGAAATCGGTTATCGTTAGTGTCCGTCGTATCACTAAAGATGTCGATGAGTCGCAGCTGAATGATGGAGAATTGGTCCAACAACAAACGAAACTTAAGAGCCGAGTTTCTGCCACTGCTAACAATTTGATTACTGCGTCCAAGAATTTTGCGTCAAGCGCTGGAATTTCCCCAGTTTCCTTACTTGATGCCGCCGCTTCTCATCTTGTTGCCGCTTTGGTAGAGTTGTTGCGACATGTCAAAGTACGCACCACGCCCGCTGACGAGTTAGAGGAAGAGGATGATGGAACAATTACGCCAGTCGATTCGACTGGACTTTTCTCGAACCGTACTACGACGACGCAACAAGATGCGTTTCTGAAAGCGCAAGAATCACCCCTCGTACCACCTCCACCTTTCCAAGGTCTACGAGCAGGAATGCGTGATAGTGCCAATTCCTCTGCGTATAGCCCTGTTAGTTCGCCACGGGAATCTAGTGAACGATATAATGGTGGTGTAAATGGGATGTCTTACATGGGCCTGAATAAGAATTTACCTACCCCTCCTAATGGCCTCGGACGACAGGATATGAAAAATGAAGACTTGAAGATCTATTTGGAAGACCAGACCGAGATTATGGTTCAGACTATTCAAGGGCTAGTCGGTTCCATTCGTGGCGATGCGCCTATCCAGCAGATCAACGATGAAATCACTACTATTGCTGATATTGTCGGTAAAGTTGTGATGCAAACTGAGGATTACGGAAATGGTGGCGATATGACCGACCGTCTTTCCGCTTGTCGTCAACGATTACTCGAAGCTGGCGAGCAGGGTAAGGACCTAGCAGCTCGTGGTTTAGGCGAAAATGACCGGGAATGGCGTATGTGGACACAAACCCTTCCACCTATTGCCTTTGAAATCGTCCGCGAAACCAAGGAATTAGTTCAACGAATCGATCGCCTAGTTATGTCACCAACAGCAGACGACTTTTCTTAGAAGGAATGTACGAAGCGAACGAGGTTTACGCCGTTACTATTACCGCCGTTACGTCTCTGTTATTAATTTCCGACTTCTTCTCTTTTCTTTCTAACTTATCTATTTTACATTTTTATCATTTTCCTACCAGGCCTCGATCAGATACCCCAAGAGCTTTTTTGCTTTGATGGATCGTATAGAGCTAGTTGTCTGCGTTTTTCAACTTGACTTTGTTACCTAACTTACCTGCCGAACAATTATTCTCGAATGGACGGACATATGGAACGGGACGACTTAAGTCGATACGACGACACGTTGTTTTTCAAAATCCTAGAATACCGGTATATACTATATCTACCTAACCTAACTCAACATGTTTTAACATTAATCGATTCCTATCCATCCGCACTCCCGATGCCATTCTATCTATCAATTCAATCGTGGACACCAACCGACCGGAGAAACGCGAGCGGATCAAACCGGGATAGGAATCATATTTTCTTTTTCACATTTTTATCATCACGTTGACGTCTTATTCATGCAATATCTTGACGGACAACAGGGGTATTCTCGGTAGGGGAGGAAAGGAGATGTAGCTAAGGGGGAAGACTTGCTTGCGCACGTAGAAGATGGCTTTTTTAACGGGGTTTCTTGTTACGACATGAGTCCCGAGGAATGTTTTTCTCGTCACTTGGAGGGGCAAGGGCTTTGCTTGGCATGAGGTGATGGAGGGTATGTCATGCGAAAGAGGTGACGATTACGGATGAAGATACATAAAGCCACCAACTATAGCATATCATCAATTGTAGCATAGACGAGAGTAGCAAGCAAGCAAACAAACAATTAAAGGGACTTGGTGGATTGCTAAGTCAATTGACTATATACAAAGACAGGTTTTCGGTTGTAATGAGTGTTTCTAGTGGTGACTAATGACCGGAAGTGAGCGGTGGTGTATTATCCATCTCATGTTGGATTGGGTATTAGGTATCATTGAATTAGGTATATCTCAAACGCCCCATCAAAGACTTTGTCGACCCCACCACATGTGGTACATCTTCAATCCTCCCGTATGCCGATGATATCATCGCATCTCTCACAAGGTCACTTCATTGCTCACCCCGGGTGGAAAATCGTGGATTGAAGGGCAGTGGAAAACAGAATCTCCTAAACTGCACCCAAGATCGATCCAGCAACCGGTCATGATACCGCATGTAATGAGTGCAACTCCTATCATAACCAATTTACCGCCGTTACCCAATCGAGGATAGCATTCGCAGTGAGTGGTGGCAGACCACACCTAGCTGATCATGATACCGCAGGTCATGATGCGCCTTCGGTCATGACTAATTTGCCTCGTTCGCGCACACCTGATGTCTCTGACTGCCAGGTGGGAATATATCGCGGGTGTGTTACCACCGTTTTGAGGTCTGATCCTTCGGTGGTACTGCCCTTTCGCTCTCCAGACTCCTAATTCCCAGGTATCACCAGATACAGTCAGCTTTCGTCCTCACCTCGGCACGCTGGTCCTGCGTCTTTTCGTGGCGTAATCGATCTGTCTCTTCTTTCTATAATTTCTCTTCGTTAGTATCTCGAACGACGACTATTCGTTTTTTTTTCTACTTACTCTTCAAAGTGTCCTGCTGAGAATCAAGATAGAAGAAGGCTGTATAGTCGATGGAGCGGGTGTCCGAGTCATACAGAGAATTTCGCACACGCTGTAGTGGTGAAGGCACTGGGAACTCGAAATCAAATGGCGGCAAACCGACTCTTCACCAAATAGTACACCTCGACAAAGCACAGTCTAGGAAATACTATCTCGACTTCCTCTCCTCGAATTCAACCCTGAGCCCACCGCTTCCCGTGAGGAACTTGAGGACTTGCGATGCCGCCCTGGCATCAGTGGGTGTGGTGCCAGAAGCTCGCGTGGTTGCTGCGGTTCCTGCTCTAGTCGCGGGCGAATACTTGACGGCGGACGTGGTCGCAATCCTGGCTCGGTGAAACTCCGCAACCTGTGATGGTATTGAAGATCATCCTCGACAGTTCCCCTCCTCAGAGGCGGTCGTGGAGCTGGGATGGGGATTGGAGCGGATGATGTTGGGAGAGGAGACCGGGGACGAGGGATAACTCGTGTCCCATTCCTATGACTGGCTTCCTCAGCGACTATTTCTGTCGGTTCGACCTGTGTGGCCGGGGATAACGGCAGTAACGGGAGCTCGACTCGCACGCTTTCGTTCATCTCTATCGATTTGCTACGATTTAGTTCTGGCGTCGTCAAGCTCCTGTTCCGATGCTGTTGTCGTTGCCTTTCGAGGTCGGATTCTTGTCGAGCCAGGTCGTCATGGAGAATGGGAAGAAGTTGTGCCCAACGTGCCCGGCACTCCTCGGTGCTTCGGCGTGTCCAGATCATTTGTGCAACATCGTCCCAGTGGTTCACGCCATGTCGAGCGACACCCTGCTTTAAGATGTGGTCTTCGATCTCGGACCAGCTGGTCCTAGATTCTGGTGAATGCTCCTGGGGCGTGTTGGAGGACATGTTCTGTCATGTCTTTGCCAAATGAAAACGGTGATTGGTGTGCTGCGGTTACGTTGGTGTTTAAATAGAGGTTCAGGTTTAACTCTTGCTGAACCTGTTAACTGGTCTCTATTTATTCTTTCTCTGATGGATGGATATTTAGATGAGTTAGGCGAATTGGGTGAATTGGGTGAACTGGTCAATAGATGAATGGGTTGATGGTCTGATGGTCTGATGTTGAGAATGAAGTGAAGTGAAAGGATGAAGAAGAGATGTCCCAATCATGGCATTTTATACTCGTCGTTCACCTTGCTCCTACTCTCAGATCTCTCTCATTTATACTTTGGTGAGGGTATCACATGGACGATATGATGTCAGGGGAATGAAAGTAAGTTTCTTGAGTGCATATGTAAAAAGGGTCTCGACCCTTGATATGACTTTTATTGAAGCCTATTTAAACTTCGCGTACCTAGATCTTACAAGCATATCTTAGATACACTCAATAGACTGAGGTTAATATTTATAAGGTTTCCTTTTGTATCGTGCGTAACTTTTGGTGTAGCACTGGACTCACCACCTTGACCTGTTCGTGCCTAACTTGGCACTCATCATTGTTGTCAATACCTTTCAAAAGTTGAGTGACATACTGTATGTGGCTCTTACTTTGTAATTCATACTTCAATAGTTCGAAAAGATAACCGAGCGCCATTCTCGAGGGTTCCTGAAATTTGACTGGAAACCTCCTACTACCACTATGGTTACATTAATCCTAACTTACATATATCCTTCTAAAACTTCTTTGTTGGCATTATCCCCTAAGGAAAGTACGCGTGGCTCTTTATTGAGCTTTTTAGTGATGCATGTTCCAGCAACGTAGTTATGACCATCGCAACATCTCGAAATGATGTCGCGCTTTTCTACAACTCTGAGATGAGCGAGGCAAGAACAGGGAATCGAGAGGGGTTTGAATGATATTAATTCTTGACTAGATGTGCCTCTGACGTTTTCCCACCATAGCGTTTGAGTCATTTCTTAGCCAACTCACATATGAGATTTCTGAACGATTCAGAAGGCAGAGACAACGACGCATGATTTTTGCCAACACTCGGTTTTGCTTTCTGGGTTACTTCCCTTATAGAATTGTTCTTTGCTCATTTTGATTCCTCATATTGTTGTTTATTCTAAGGTGGAAAGACCTTTAATCATTTTTTCTCGTGGCGGAAAGAAGCTATCATCTGTGCAACGTCAACCACGGGGGAGTCAGTCTTCATTACGGTGACCTTAAAGCGAAAAGTTTGAAATTCTTTACGAAATATTAATGATTACCTAGACAAACATAAACCGCGGGTTTACTAGCTCGTTACTCATCAATACTTGGATATTATTGTGACTGGAGGTTCGATGTCCAAGTTCACACGCTTGTCGACAACTAGCTTCCACCATATTGTAGCCTTTGAATAATTCCACGAAGTACAAAAGTTCCATTTACTCTAAATACCTAATAGCGAAAGAAAGACTTCTACACCATCCCAGTGATTTATGAGCTCTTACCCCTGGTTAGATGCCAAGCTTCGTCCTATCCAACCGCACACTAGGCCCCGATGGTGGAGTCTTACTTTTGGGCTTATTAATTCCCCAGTTACCTTGATGACTCGAGTTTATTCCATTTAGTTGGATAGTAGCTGATTATGTAGATGAGATGAAGAGCCTGAAGATGGCATTTCGAGTCCCCTGGTTTAATATTATTACTTATCTATGCCTGCGTGCGATGCGAAGGCCGCTATTTTGAGAGCGAAATGGCATCTCCAGTTATACCCGGGAGAACTATCCGACGACCTTGTTCATCTTATAAATCAAGCCCTTTTGCTTGCGAAAACGCATCAACCAACACATTAACTCGAAATAAAGTTGGCAGTAATTTACAATTGTCCCCTGTTCATGGTCCCATCGCCTGTGATATTACATGTTCTCGGAGGATAATTAAAGATATTCTATACCTTTTTTGGCGACCCCATAATTATCATCTACTTCTATGTAATTATCATTGCTAAGCTATGTCAAGAGCCCCTACACGTCACAAGGGCGGCCAAATTGGCCGGAATCTGTTGTAGCGGTATTTGATATCCTATAAGAGTACTGGAAACCCCCAAGTCATGGAGTATTCCGCAGAGCCTCAGCGCAGAGCCGCAGTAGGAAGTTACTCAACTCGGAACCTCAGTTGTACGCCATGCATTTCGCCAAGTTAGCTTTGCCTTTAGTGGCAGCCATAGCTACTCAAGCCACGGCAGATTTGATACCATGGGACAGCTGGGAACATGGGCGTGTCGCTCTCGAGGATGTTAGCATTCACTTCCGCTATGCTGGCTCTGGTCCCCCGTTGCTACTTGTCCATGGAAATCCTCAATTCAGTTTAACCTGGCAATTTATCGGCCCCATTCTCGCACAGGACTATACCGTCATCGCGGCAGATAACCGTGGCGCCGGCGACTCCAGCATACCCCCCGATGGCAACTATAGCGCGACGGCTTCCGCCGCTGATTTAAAAGGTGTCTTGGACTTCCTAAACATCAGCTCAACATATGTCTTCTCCCACGACAAAGGCGCAGGAATGGCCTTCGCCCTGACCGTCCAATATCCAGATCTCGTTAAAAAACTAGGCGTTTCTGAGTACGCACTCCCAGGTTTCGGATACGAGGAAGCCACCAATCCCGGACCTTTCTGGGATTTATACCAAAACCCTCAATTGTCTTTCTTCCAAATACCAGATTTTGCGGAGTTCTTGATGAGTGGCAAGGAGAAGCAATTTCTGGAGTGGTATTTTTACCACCAAAGTTATTCTGGTGTGACATCGTTCTCCGAGGACACGGTTAATAGGTATGCGACTAGTATCGCGAAACCTGGGTTTTTGAGGGCAATGTTGGGTCCATTCACTACGCCTGCGATTAATGCAGATAGGTCGTTCTTCAAGGGGACTGTCGGTGTGAGTCCGTTAAGTACACCGACGCTCGCGCTGGGTGGAGAGGCGAGCTTTGGGTTGATACCAATAATGCAACAATTCTGGGGCTCAGTGGCAAGCAATTTAGAGATTGATGTTGTCCCGAAGGCAGGACATTGGATTGGTAAGTCACGATTCTTAGCTAAGGGTCTATAGATGTGACTAACATGCATTGATGTAGCTGATGAGAACCCCGTTTGGGTTGCAGATCGTCTCCAAAAATTCTTGGCGAATGACTCCTCCCCTCTAGAGGCTGTCGACTTGTCATATCTCAAGGATAGAGTCACGTTGAAGGTGGGCTATTACGGGACACTGAGAAATGCTGCTTTAGGAGGATTGACGGTATCGTGATCGTATGAATATCGCCGGAGGGGGGGGAGATATGAACCTGGAGATTGATTTCTAGATGGTGGTACTGGAAAAGAGAAGGGAGAACCCCATGATCTGCTTGTCCCCCCCTATTTCATGTGATCACGTGATCAGCACCCCTTTTTCCTACGACTGCTACAAATTCATGAGCATCCTATTCAAACAACAACATTAATTTTCAACGAGAAATATACGATTTAATCGCTTAGACGTTTCGAAGTGCATCAGGCTGTCTTAGTGTTTGGATCTTTGAGAGTGGGTGGCTATAGCTGAGTGAAGGGCGAGAGGTCTAGGCGATAATCAACCATAGTCATTCATCTGAGGTAATTCTCATGAAGATTTCTATGGGATAAAATCGTGGTATGCATGAAGTTATCAATCTCATTAGGGGGAACTTGCTGGTCTAACATACCTAGGTAATTATTAGAAAATATCGAAGTGCTATAAATAGAAACGCTACCTAGTTGTTATCTAACCAACAATATTGCTTACCCTAGCTTCTTATATTCCAAGTTGTTACCACGACATCATTGATTAACTAAGATCTTTTACCATTATGGAAAATACTTCTAATCACTCCAATTGAAATTCTAGGGATGAACGCCCTCAATTGCGACTTCAACTCTGCGCTTCCACCGGCGGGATTGTATACAGAATTGATTCCTCGTTTTTGGCGGAGTTAGGTATTATTAGGCGAGATGGTGAGATTTAAGTAACATACGTCAAGAAATATCAATCCTGTCTACTTAAGTAGGTATCTAAGCCGTTCTTTATATTCAGTCAACCTATCCTCCGTTTTCTACCGGGGTCGGGAAATCATTGCCCCTTAAGTAAATCCGCAAGGATCCGGAATCCCTTCACCTTCACACTTCTTGTCTAACCTCAAAATATACTACTTCTATGTCCGCATACACTCGCAATTGTTAAAATATTCTGTGAGGTTTCGCCTTCAGAGGCTAACATGTGGATTTAAATGTTTCTGTTTTTATTCAATAGCTAAATTCTGTGCATTTATTACCTAAGTTATTGTGTTCTTCCAAGGTTGCTTAATGGACTCGATTGCCATTGCCCACGATCCAGTCAATAGGATCTACAGAACATCAGTAAGTATTTCATGTGAATATTTGACTTGATCAACCTGATCTCAATAGTATGAACGAAAACGAATGAATTCCGGTGCCGAATAACGGCGCTGTTATCCAAATTCGCCGGTTTCCCAACAATTAATAGGTACCTAACACCCCGGTCCATCGTCTAGACTGACGAATCCTATGATACAGCCCATCTATTTTGAGAGCTTGATCATGTGCAACCAATCCCAATGAATTCTGCCTGGTTATTCTATCGGACGAATCTCTATATGGAATGTCTCAAGCTATTTTCTGGAAATTGTGAGATCAAGATCTGGTCATTTTTACGGGGTTTTACCTCGTGGTGGCAGGGATTATCATTCATTCCTTACATACGAATTTATTTATACTGTCGAGCGTCACGCCCAGAGAATTATCTTTTCCTTACGTCTATTTTTCTTTAAACTAATATTTTTTCCTATGTTTACCTAACGGGAGTATTGGGACTATGTTAAATTCCACTATTTCCTTGGCGCAAGATGAGATCACATTAGATGGACCAGCGGGACCACCTCCGGAAGGTGTCATACCAAATTTCGTTAACCCGCCAAACAAGACCGATCTCTCTTATGCTATCACTACTATTTGTTTAGCTATTACGACTTTTCTTGTGGTTACTAGACTCTATGCCAAGACATATTGTACAAAAGATGTTCACATTCCAGATTGTAAGTATCTCTTCTTCTAAGACTGAAGAAGGGTATGACTAACTTAATCTGCCAGTTTTATCATTCATCGCATTTGTACGTAACGCCCGAATATATCCCCTACGCGTCGTCGTACCCCTAAAACTTACATGATAAGGGTATATATTGTGGCTACGCCTATGCTTTATACGACTGTATACACGGTTCTGGCTTTTTGATTGACATTTGGAACTATCAACAAAAGGATCTACCTAAATACCTCTACGTATGTTTCCAAATCTACCCCTTCTCTTATCAACTCTGCGATACTAACAATATATAGCCTAATTACATCATCACTATTCTTTACCCCCTGGTACTTGCTTTCTTAAAAAGTGCCATCTTACTCGATTGGTGCCGAATACTCGTTCCCTTAGGAACGCGAAATCGTTTCTGGTGGATATGTCACGTTCTGGTAGTATTTAATGTGGTATTCTACGTTACTATGTTCTTTGGATGGACTTTTAGTTGCGACCCGGTGGAAAGATATTGGAAGATATATGGTCCTGGAAAATGCGTTAATTTGCTGGTCCTCGACGTGATCAATGGTGGATTCAACCTGACGACGGATCTTATTGCTTTCTTTCTCCCTCAACAGGTGATATGGAGTTTGAATATGCCAATAAAGAGATGTATTGGTGTATCTGCCATCTTTGCGATAGGACTTCTGTATGTTTCCCCCCCCCTTTCCCCTATTTCCTGAGCAATATCCTAATGGTGAATTGATAGCGCTTGCATCATCGCGACATTACGCATTCCATACGTTGTCCAAATGTATTCTTCAAACAACCTCACATATGATCTTTCTTCACTCGATCTTTGGAATTTTGGGGAGATGACATGCGGGTTTATTGTTCTCTGTGTGCCTTCGTCCATTATTGTATATACTCGCTTCAAGTCATGGCTCGGCTCAATCCCTTCAAATGAGAGAGACATTGAGGGCAAAAACAAAGACCCTTATGACTCCTCGACATTGACAGGATCAAGTTCAACAAGAGAGTTATGGGTATAAGAAGTGATTTTAATGGCCACTAAAGATTGCATATAGGAAAAAAGATATCAATTTGAGCTTAAAGATGTTGAAATACGTTTCCTAAAATATCGGCATAATATGAGAATTAATCAAAAACTGTGGTCGACGGTTGAGAGGCTGTAACCTCGATTCCCCGGGTCACCACCCTAGAGGTAGCCGTCGGCTGGGCTTCGATCGAAACACCTAACTATATAGGACAATGCCATGAGCATATCGATATTAGAAGATTATTTCAAAATGAAGTGGAAGAGTTAGTTCAAGAATCCAAGAAAGAGGACATGTTTTTATGCGATGCTATTACCGTGCATTTTTACCCCTGTTCTAGTGGCTTATGTAAGCCACCGAAAACAGGGGTAGTTACCATAGAGAACACCCGATGTTGCAATACGCTATAGCAAATTATAACATCAGCCACCATTCAATTCATTACAAATGAAAATGTCTAGCTTTGCGAAGAAATGCTAGCGATACTGGACTTTCTGTATATGTTCACTGCTTCCGTTATGCCTGTAAGTTAGGGCTTGAGCGGCTTTGACGTGCAAGTACGGAAACCCCCCGCAGGCGACCGGCCGGTTTGGTTAGCTTCACAGAAGAGAAGCGAAGCGAAAAGGGTAAGCCGGTATGTGGCACATGGGACCGGGGTCAGTGCCGCGATTTAGTTGTGGGGCAGCATGTAAGAAACTGTTATATCAGGGCACATCTACCACTATATACCATCTTCTGGTATTAACGATAGAGGATTTAGAAGACATACGCTCTTACCATCGGCTTTACCCGATCTACTCTTGATAAAAGTCTGCGCCGTTAATGCTATCCGTTGCAGTGCAGAGCTTTGGACACAACTCAGTCGATTTCGACACGAATCCGAGAATGGACGTCCCCGCTTTAGTCCCTAACGACCCACGGGTTGAACACAAGTTCCTGTCTGTTGGTAATTTCACTTACCACTATTTGCTAGCAAAACCTGAAGGCGAACGAAAGGATGTTGTCATCCTTATTCATGGATGGTATTCTCCCTGAAGCCCATCAATCGGGCGACCGCTGACTATTAATAGGCCTGATCTTGGAATGGGATGGCGCTATCAAGTTCCCTACCTAGTATCCTTGGGCTTTGAAGTGATCGTCCCCGATATGTTGGGGTACGGGCAAACTTCCGCTCCCGAGTCCCCAGAGGAATATTCAGTAAAGAACGTGATCTCGCATGTCGCTGCTATCATAAGATCACGTTCCGACCAACCAGTTATACTTGGCGGTCATGATTGGGGTGCTGCTATTGTCTGGGCGACAGCAAAGTATTACCCCAAACTCGTCAAAGCAGCCTTCGCCTTTTGTGTCCCATATTACCCTCCACCACCACAGATTATAAGTCATGAGAAACTCGTTGAGCTCTATCCTCTTCTTCGTTACCAACTTACCAACCGAGACGGAGCTGTTGAAGCAGCAATCGGCGATTCGAAAGAAAAACTAAAAGCATTTATAAATGGAATGTTTGAAGGGTTAACCCCAGAGGGCGAGCCGATATTTGAGCCTGAATGTGGCATCCGCGCAGATAGGCTGCCTCGAATTGGTCAATCACCTCTGCTTGACGAAGCAATCATCGATTTCTACGTCCAAGAGCATTCACGTCACGGGCTGAGTTATCCTTGTAACTGGTACCGAAACCAGGAACGGAATAGTATAGATGAGCTCGCGTTTGCTAAGGATCATCCGACCTTCAAATTCAATATTCCTGCCATGATTGTTATGGCAGGGAATGATAGATTTTTACCGCCAAGCCTCGCGGATGGGATGGAAAACTACTTTACCGCCGGCCTTAAAAAAGAGGTTCTAGACTCTGCCCATTTTACCTTGTTCGAGAAACCTCAGGAGTCAAATCGGTGCATTAAAGAATTCCTCGAAAGTGTTCTGGGAGAAGAATTACAGCTACGAGCTTAGGGAGTCGTTAGTAGGGGGCGATGGTACAAAATTCCCTACAGCGTCAGCTGAAATAGCGCGCTCGTGTACTGTAATTTTAGGCCATTTATGGAAACTCTAGGTGGGTACCTAGCTAAAAATTACAGAGCAGAATGCGCTATGCCATAGCGACTTTTAGCGAGTAGCCCCCCATAATCATCTCTTGACAGCGCTTAATTATAGCGTACTCATCCACTATAATCCACTATAACCCACCACAATTTTCGGATGTAGCACGCCATATCGTGGCGAGCATAGCCGCCCAATACATGACACAATGCCACATTTGACGATGATTCGATGGCCTAAGAAGGTAAGGTTTGACTCGTACTCAATGTCTATGAACTGGCGTCCTCAATATCCTCAGCGACTATCTCCATCCCCTGATCGTATCCCGAAAAGGATACGTTCCACACCTTATCGCTTGTGGGACGCATCACCACGCTTATATCGTCGTCTGGCACCGGCAAAGCATTGACCAATGGCGACTTAGTTGTCCCTGGTGTAGTCCATTTACCATCTACAGGAAGAAGGTCAAACCGTAGAACCATAAGGGCGGAAAACATTAGGATCTCGGTAGAGGCGAAATGCCTGCCAGGACATAGAGTTGTCCCGCCCCCAAATCCACGAAAGGCGACCGGGTTGGTACGTTTAGCACCAGGTTGGCGTACGAATCGCAAATGGTTGAATTCGTGTACGCTATCACCCCAGATAGAATGGTCTGTGTGTTGTACCATCGCTGGCATCATGATAGTGCTCCCCTTTTTGAGGAGATACTTACCACCTAGGAGATGGTCCTCCATAGCTATGCGGGTGGCAGAACTGGATGATTTAACGCGCATCATTTCTTTAAACGTCGAGAGTAGGATGGGGCAAGAGCTCTTCACGTAGCTCAAGTCAATTGTATAGATGTCCCCATCCTCGCGTACGCCTTTGTATAGCTCAGCCTTTATATCTTTCAGAATGGTCGGGTTTGAGAAAATGTAGTATATCATCCAAAAAGCTCCCGGAAGAGTATTGGAGAGGATGCCCTGACTACCGCCTATCTCAATCCTTGCCGTTTCTGTCAATGTGATACCGAAATCGTTATTTATCTTGACGCGAGTCTTGATAAGTTCAGAACCTTGCTCATAAGAGCCTCGTTCAAAGTATTGATTCCATACTCCCACCATGTACTCGCGAGCTTTATAGCCCTCCCTGGCAAATATTTGCGATGGAAGATTTAGAACGAACGTCATTATGCTCGGCTCAAATGTGCTGTTGTGGAAGTAATTCGTCAGTATTGTATTTACCTATTATCGGAGAGGCGGAAAGGAATGAAGTGATTGTATGATCAAGGATCCTACTATAACTACTTACTACCAGGCCTTTTCCATGGTGGGATCACGAAACGGGTTTTTAGGCCCGTAGACACCTTCTGTGGTTGCTAGCAGAAGCTCGTGACGAACCCATTCGTACAGTTTGATGACTTTAGTTCCCTCCTTTGCCCATCTGTCCAAAGACTTGGAAATAACTTGAATTGACCTCCTGTTCATGGCATCAAGGGCAGCGCCAGCGCTCAGAGAGGAATGAACATACTTGGGAAAGCTCATTAAGTAGCTCCCGTCTATATTCACGTCATGGCCTATAATGTCATTAGTAGCCTTGTTGACTCCGATTACACTGGCGGCTATATTTGCTTCTATAGCAGGGAAAGAGAGCGCTCGAAATTGGCTCTGAACTGAGGTAATCAGAGAAGTTGAATTGATGACATATATGCGCGATCCGGGCATTCGGAGCGTATATATTGGTAGGTTGTATTTATCTCTAGAAGTGAATAAGGTTAATTCAATCACCGCTCATTATGTCGATTGAATACTCATGTTTCGGAATAGCTTGCCTCATTATTCGGTGAAAGTGAACACCGTTTGATATCATCTTCCACATGGGCGTGAGAAAAGGGATGGTATTTCCGATTGACGGTGGCTCCCTTGCGTCCTGGGTAAAATGAAGGAGAGAAAGGAGGAAAATGTAGGTTACAGCAACCCCCCCTACTATGAGGACGAGAATTGAAGGCATGTCGAATGGTTTGGCTGAATGGGCTTAAAGGAGATGACGGTTATTAGCAAAGCAGAAGATGATAGTTGTAAGGTTGAGGATAAGGATGATGAGTCTCAACGAGATGTGTTGGAATATCTGGTGGCTGGTAAACCCCTTAGGGGCACAGCACTTTAATCAGCGTTTTTACCAGTAATCAACAAACCTATTTTCTAAAGAAATAGGTAGGAAAATACAACAAGATATAATACCAAGAAACACCTGTTAGTACGGTACATATATTACGATAGAAACTTCTGCTTTTAAGAAGTAGTCAGCTAATCTTGCCTCTTTAGTTAATTAAAGCGCTGTGCCCCTACTAGGTAAGGGCACAGGTGAACTCTGGTGGAACCTATGCTAGTGATAATATGGGACAGCAACTAATCCTGATTTATTGTCAATTTCAAATGTTGGTTATTTCGATACTACTCCCTTTATGTATACCTAACATGTAGGTACTGCCCCTTACCTACATGGTAGGTAGTATGACAGCACCCTAGACCAAATCAGTCAGGTCTAGCTATACCCCTTTTAAGATTTCGTGCGCTCAAACTCGTACTTGATCATCGCATTTACCTTCTGAGCTCTATATAAATGCATCTCCAACAGCATCTAAAGGGACTAAGATAGCGCCCAAAAACGCGGAAAAGGAACTATAATAGAATAATTTCTAAAAATCTAGGTGATTCTCGGGAGTAGTAGCGAAAGGTACTACGGGTATTGCGCCGCACAATGTTGTAGCGGATTTAGCCAGTATCATTATAAGGAAGTTTCCGCTAAACCCCCGTTAGATTACAGCGCTTAGCAACGCTATAAGCAGGCAGAGTTACCGCATTTAGCGGTTACCTAGATACTAGACCCCTATTAAGCCTACTAATGTCTTCTCCTACCCCGCTATTTCTAGCGACCTAGCCACTATACCTTACCTAGGGAAACGAACGCTATAATCCAGCGATATCCAGCTGTGTAATAGGTGTTGAATAGGTACCTAGGTACGCTAAGAAGGAATCTTGAATCCGCCGGGAATGAGATGTGTGAATACCCCCTTTGGATCTACCCTAGCCCTTAATTCTCGCAATTGCTTCACACTCTCTTCTCCATAACTAGCAATCGGATCTTGCCAATGGGTTGCGTAGTTGAGATATATAAAGGGGTCATATGCGCCAAGATTTCGAGCTGCTTCTTCAATAGAGGCTATGAGTGCGCGGGTCGCTGCGTAAACATGTTCATCGTCGGCTTCATCTTCCCACGCGTTCGTGAAAAGACATACAATACGCGTACCCTTGCGGTCGGAGGGTCCCATCGCATTGGACGATGAACCGTGTTGATGTATGCCTGGTGGTAAGGGTTCCAACGACAGGGACCACGTTAGCCCCTTGATGTCTTTCACGCCATCTAAGCTACTTTTCCAAGCGTCAAATGCAGCGTGGAGCATAGCTTCAGTGGGAACTAGGGTCGTCGTCGCGAACATGTAACTATCCGTTGTTAGTTATTTATATGACAGCGATGCGTTGTGATAAATACTCACCGAGCTATTCCTGGGGGTATAAGTTTCGCTGCTTGTTTCGCGAGTGCCTCCATGCTGAGGGTCGACGTTGTTTTGAAGATAGATGGCAGGCTAAGAAGTTCCCGATAGCATGGTGGTTCCTCCACCGGCTTGGTGTAAACGAGCTCACTGTTGATTACGGTGATACCCTTGGGCTGTGAATATCCAAATGCACAGATAAACGAAGAATTCTCATCGTAATTCTCCGCAGCAACAATCTTGGCGAAGATCTTGATGTGGTCGTCTATAGTCGAAAGGGGACTATAGATACGACCATGCCATAGGAGACCCTGATCAAACGTCTTTAGGTCAACACGAGTGACGATGCCGAGATTATTCGCTCCCCCCTTAAGACCACGAAAGAGATCTGGATTTTCCTTCTCAATAGCTTCTACGATTGAGCCGTCTGCTAGGACTACTTCAAAAGCAGTTGCCGTATCACAAGTCCATCCACATCGAGGTCCTAAATGAGAGATTCCACCTCCTAAAACCAACCCTCCGATGCCGACGCCGCCAACTCGACCTCCAGCGACGCTGAGTCCTAAAGGATCAAGTTTAGCATACACAGCATCCCATGTTGCACCCACACCGATAGATACGATTGACTTGTCGGAGCTGAGATGGATGGATTCGAGACGGCTTAAGTCGATCGTCACCCCACCCGATGAGTTAGACGAACCAGGAACCCATAGATGACCCCTTGACCGAATTGCGACCTTGATTGAGCTGTCTCGGATGTCGATGTTGGTAGTTAGCCACTGGATCACAGTTGAGACGTCGCCGGTTGTCTGCGGCGAGACGAAACATAGGGGCTTAATATCGGATGCTTGGAGAGCGAAGTACGATGATAGAGTCGCATCGTAAGCAGCGCTTCCGGGAATAGATACCTTATCGGCACCTAGTAGAGTAGCCAATGCATCGCACTACTATATATTAAATCGATGTCGTCCGATCATCAGTATGAGGATGCGCGCAATGCTTACTGGGTTGGTGCTCGCCATCATATCTAAGGCTACCTATACAGAATATAATGGGTTATCCTCGCGGCCGTTATTCTTGAAACGGGCCGTCATTGAAACAGTCTAGAGAGTATATAACTCTTTATAAGCACCCCGTGCTGCGCCGCATTTCATAGCCTATAGAACTAGACTATCTTCCGATCGTGCCGTGGGAAGCCTGTTGATCATTGGGTAGATGCGAATACGATATCGAAGTGGGCCATGAAGGCAAATGGCATCAAGAAGACTCATTTTGAATCATTCAGAATAGTTCTAAAAGAATTCTTCGTTGAAATTCATAGGTGAGATGTCAGATCGAAGACGATGGTATCTAGAGTGAAAAAGCGAACGTTATATTCTCAAACCAAGATCATAAAAATATACAATTGGATATTAAACCGCAAGACTTCCACCCCACCAACCCCCTTTAACACACCAAGTGTCGCCTACCGCCTAAGATATCTCAGTCGCGGTTGTTGAAGAGAATATTACTACCGACTCAAATACCGAAGTATCGCTTGTCTGAGGAGACGGTGAAGGTGATATAACTATTGAAATAGTAGTAGGTACAGAAGAAATCGATGTAGGAGATGGTGTAACCGTCAAAATGGTTGATGAAGAAGCACGAGATGGCTCTGTTGATGTAATTTGACTTGTTTGGGCGGCGGTGGACGTGCTGGCTATTGACGTTGTTGAATCTGTGGGTTGTTGGGAAGGGGTTGCCGTTTTGGACGTTGCGGTTGCGCTACTACTACTAACGCCGCCGCTTCCTGACACAGGGCATGATCCGTCGCGCTTTTGATTTGGTGCATTACCTCCTTGACAACTAGAAGCAACCCAGTCCTTTTGATATGGAGAGGATTCTAACCACACACGGTATGCTGCGTGCTTGGGGTTGAAAGGTAAGAACTGATCTGTTAATTGGTTCGAATCGTACTGAACGACAACTATTATCATGTTAGCAGCTGATTTGGATCGTGTAGAACTTACCGACGGCAGAGTTCCCCTTAGGATCGCTTACCTTTGCCTCTTGCAGAAGTATCCGCAAGAGAATCAACCTCATCTCTGTCAGTTGGCTTGATATAGCCTCTCTTAGTGATTGGTACACCCTCGAAAGGTGTCCCAGCACCAAACAGCGTGGTCAACAAAGTATCAATCCTTGTGTACTCCCAATTCGGTGCGCCATCCTTCTCATCGCAGACCTTATTTCCGCTCGCATCTGTTGTGTAGGTGCAAGGACCTGAGACGTATATTTGTACGCTCTGAGAGTCCTTGTTGAGGTCACCGTTCTCAACGGCAAGGTCCGCGGGTCTCTCATAGTTGCTGTTGCCATCCTTTACTGCGGCATCCAACTGATCCCTATCCGTCTTTCGTCCATCATCGGGCATGAATCCTGTCTCCATAAAATGAGAAATCCATGCACCTTTCTCAGAGATAACGATGATCGAAGTACATCTGGCATATTGTAAGCGGAATCCTTTCATCGGTAGACCGATAAGTGGACGAAATGCTACTTCCCTAGAAGATTAGTGAATAAATGGAGAGAGAGCTTACCCGGTGACTCCGGCAACGTATTTGACAAATGCCTTGTTCAAAAACTGGTAGTACTTAGAAACAGCGATACCCTTATTCCATGCCAGCCCTTCGGCACCAGAACTTGACAAGGTGCTTATGATGTATTGATCGATATTGCTAATCTTCCCAGTAGGCTTCAGATTTCGCTTCCCCAGGTTTTGAGAATTTGCGATTGGTTCAGGGGTGCTTGTAGGATCAGCTGCCCTTTTAGAAGCTGCGCAACCTCCTGCAGCACAACTGAAATCACATACCCACCCAGTTCCCGATGAAGTGGTAGCAGTAGAGGTAGTAGTTGTCGCAGTAGTCCCTTTAACAGAACATCCTGTGATAGTTGCGCACACCGTCGTGGTGATAGTCTTCACATCTGAGGTTTTAGTTGTGCTGTCTGTGTACCACGAGGTTGAGAGCGTGATCGTCTTAATACAACTTGCAGCTGACGTAGTAGAACATTCGCTCGAGGTCGAAGATGTTTTAGAATCAGTAGACTTATCGCTACTAGTTGGTTTCTTGGTAGAAGTTGGATCATCATTTTGGCCTTTCTCCAGTTCATTTCCAATGTCCTGAAGTGTATCTGTTAAAGTCTCAACGGTGGCTATAACGGGATCAACAACATTGACCGCGTCTACCAAGTTTCCGACAACCTTGCTTGCGCAACTTATGAGTTTAGCAGGTGTAGTTAATAAGTCCTTAATACCTGAAATCAAACTTCCGCTGCCGCTCGTTTTGGAACATTCTTCGGGAGGGTCCGATTTATCGGGCAAGTTGTTGTAAAGCGACTCAACCTAGGTGCGATATTAGCATAAAACAACTCACGCAGGTGAAATTGGAGATCGAGTTCGCTATATGGACGCACCTGATTCTTAGTGCTGGATACATCCTTGATATACTGCTGCTTAGTTTTATCATCCAGGAGGTTCCCTCTATTTTTCCAAACTGCAACGAACACGGGTGCAATAGCAACTGCGCTAGATGTTTCAGCTGCGCCAGTGATGGTCGCGGTTGGAGCAGAGTAGACTGGGAAACTTGTAACTGGTGTGAGTGAGAATTGTTCACTACTAGACTGTGATGTTGTCGTTTGGCTAGTTGTGCCACCTAATAAGTATGAATATTTAGCATGTTATCATAGTCATGAGCAGAAATTAATCATCAAGATGGATTAAACATAAAATACTCACTACTAGTTGGTATTGTTGTACTAGATGAAGTAGTTGACGAAGATAGCGTAGTAGAGAGTGAAGAAGCAGTAGAACTCGAGGATGTGGATGACGTGGATGATGTTGTGGAGCTTAAAGTATTTAACGAACTCGAGGAGCTTGCAGAAGAGCTCAGAGTACTCGAAGAACCCGAAGAGGTCGAAGAGGTCGAAGGGGTTGAAGTAGCCGAAGAACTTGGTGACGAACTCTTAGACGAGCTCTTAGACGACGGGATGCCTGAGATCCAGGATGTTGAAGATGTGACGATCTTTCACAGGACGAGTAGTTAGTTCATAGCGTGGACGCTCCAAATCAATAGAGTAAACTCACTGTTTCAGAACTGCTTGTATTCCAACCACGGTGTTGTAGATTCAATTTACCATGTGAAAGTAAATCCCGTTGTCTTGGTACTGATGCCTCGATCATACAAAGCACCAAGAATAACACTATATACTTAAATTTAGCCATGTTCAACACGATCAAGCTGTTTAAATTGGGGTTGATAATGAGAATAGAGCAAGAGCTTGCAAGCACTTGATATGACCCATATTGAAACTAAATTTCATCAACAGCAGTTCACACACACATATATATTCAAATATGCATATTTTGTCATACCAATACCTCCGTACGTAAATACGTAGGGAATAGTGATAGCTACATGTTAGTAAGGAAGTTCGGTCTAGAAGAGGAATATCCCTTAATCTCGCTGTTTCTACATTGCTGGCCGGGAAGGAATCCGTTCAGGTGTGGAAGTGGTCATTCCAGGTACTCAATTGCACTTTTCTGCTTGGAATATCCAGCCGAACCTATCCTGCTTCGCGCAAAATCAACTTACGATCATAAGATAAGACCTGAGAGAGGCGCAATGGCTTAGAAATGACGTATGGTTAATTAAAGAAGGCATTTTCATGTTTGATGTAGAAAATGGTAGATAACCGGTGATAGTATGCGACCGTAGAGTCGTACAGCTCGTATAGTGCATTGATGCCCCCTAAAGTGCCCCTTAAAGGTGCTGAAAGGATTGAACTCAGCGCGGTCAGCTCTACCAAGTCAGGCAACCATCGGCAAGCCACAAATCCTTCGATCATTATAATCTTCAATCTGAAACCAACAATTTAATGGATCATATATTTAGAAAGAATTTGTAAGGTGATATATGATGGAATTAGTCGCCGTTCATACTAAGATTCGGATATGAAGTGGAATTAGTTGTAACTGTGAAGCTCTGTTCAAAATCATGCTGGGCAGTAAAGTAGCCTATATAGTAGCTCGTACAGCACATTCCGCTGCTTAAATCCGGCCTAAGATGACCTACAGCCCACTAGTGACGCCACCACAGACATCCGCTACGTCTCGGCTCGGTCTTCTATCGCTCCCTAGATGTCCGAAAAATCACGCCCCAGCATTCAACCAGCAAAGCTAGACAATTCAGATACGATGGGCGGCGGCGGGCGAGAAGGCGAAGCTACGGAAAATAAAGAAGCCCTTTCGTCTAATGTAACTTGGACTCCAGAACATAATGCGTACACGCTTTGGGAATCAGCAATCAAGAACGACTCTATCTCCGACCTCAAAGAATCCCTAACTCTCGCACGTACCTTTCTCCTCCAATTCGACACCGAGTACATTCCATTTCGCGACGAAGTATTTCAAGATGTTCTCAGCCATGGCTCAATAAAATTAATTACATATATGCTGGACCATGAAGGAGTTCTTATCACCACGGTGAGCCCCGTGTCAATTTTTCAATTGGCAACGAAGCCCCTCATCGAGGCGCTTGTCACCCGCGGATGGGACATCAACACACAGAATGGCCCGGCCTTCAATGGAACGCGTTTGATTGACTATTTCATACGGGCGAGATACGATAAGGAAGATCTAGCGCGTTGGATAGTTGAGGAGAAGGGCGCGAGAGTCGACCATGATCGATCCCATCCTAGCGACATTCTAGGGACGGACCCCCCTCCGATATTGGAGGCTTGTGCGGCGTATGGCACGGTTCATGTGTTCAAATTTCTTGAAGAGCACGGTGCGAAGCCCAGTCGACGAATGCTACATGTCGCCGTTGAAACGGCTGCTAGTCGAGGCGCTGATCCCGAGAGAGATGACCCCGCAGATGATGCCGGAGCAAAATGGAGGAACATAAGCGCCGAGATGTTACGTTTCTTAGTCGATGAGCGCGGGCTAGATGTCAATGCCATGGATACCGATATTCCTCATCGCAACCCGACAAATACATACTGGGGTACCCCACTATGTTACGCGGCGCGTTATCAAGAAGGGGCTATTGTTGTCAAATGGCTGATTAAGAAGGGTGCGGACCCTGCTATCAAAGATCCCAACTCTGGCATGGATGCTTTAGCATGTGCTAGACAAGCTAAATGCGACGAAGTTGTCGCTTTACTCAAAGACTTATAACGAACAGAGAGGCTGCGTATATCTCAGGATAATCCAAGACCCACTGCGATATACAGAAACCCCCTTTTCGTACTGAGCACCCTTCTGCAGCAGCCGTTACAAGTACAATATCGTTCCGTCACGCATTTTTGGAAGGGAAAGAGTTGCCTCTTCGTCTGTTAGGCATGTACCAAGGCTAGCTCGGAATATGTTCTCGTTGGGGATTCATATCTTGATAAAATTATGGATAGAGGATTCGTTGAAGCCGCATTGAAAAAGGGGGGTATGCCAAGACAAGTAACTCTCATTTAGTCGAAGATTACCTAGCTGGGTACATATTTGGAAGGGTATATTTGTATATTTCCGTTTTCCAAATATCTACCTGGGTTGGTAAGGGGTCTATGTTCAATCCTGATCATGTCTCTTGAACTTCCATAGACAAACCAAATGGCTTCCTCAAGCGCTCAAATTCCTCCAGACCCTCGACTTGATGGGAAAATCGCGCGATACGATCGTGATGAAATTATCTCACAATTGGAATCATTTTATAAATTTCTACCCCATATCCCCACCTTAGCCGTCCAACGAGCCCCGCCTGGAGGTTGGCCATCTATCACCGCCGAAATCCTTGAGCAGCATGGCATTCATAAGACTCCAGAAGCTATAAATTTACTACGCCATCTCCCATACATATCGATGGAGAATGGCACACGCCCATATTTTGTACCAGATGGATTTGTCTGCGATTATCGGTTATTCGCTACTGAGGATCTCACAAAATACAACAAACACAACTGGATGAGTCTTGTCAAGCGAGGTGATGGCGGAACTTTTGATGGGAAAGATGAGAAATGGCCCCCATGGGTGATACAACTTTCAGCCGGAACCGATCGTGAGGGTCAATGTTTTATGCTGGATACGACAGACGGGACGGTGACGAAGTATACCGTCATACACTTTCTATTCAAACCCACATACGACAAAGACGATCCACGAAGCTGGCGCGATCGTATGTGTGACGATGAAACGAGGGTATTGAGTGATCAAATTGAGAGATGGAAGAACTACTATCTCAACCTAGAACTCTGTGCGTTGCCGCCCACAGTTAGATTTATTGGGTCTGTAGAGGATCCAATGATATTCATACGAAGACCGGGAGACCAACCTGGCGATCCTCATTGGGAAGAAACAGAGGTATGGCTCATCGACTTATTCCACCGGATACATTCGGCACTGACTGACAACTTCGCAAATGTAGGGTCTAAGAAAGATTTATACCGAATATGGATGGCCTGATAACTACGACAAGGAGAGATGCTGTGAAGCAATGGTGAAATGGTGGCAGAGCCAGTAGACATTTGTGGTACTTTATTGCCTTAAATACCTTACCTAGGTAACATCGTGACAACAAAACGCGTCACATATCATCTCATTTGAGAACCGTTTGCGCAAGATGAAAATGCCCCATAGGTTTTCATGTAGCAATGACCATGAGGCCCGACCCATATGTTCGGTACCTAATCATACCTTCAGAACCAATCATCCCAACATATACGTCACTGAATAATCCGTATCAATCAATTATATGAATATTCATAAAATAGCTGTGACTGTGATACATAGCACGTATCAGGATGTATCAGGAAATGTCGGTCAACAAATACAACACGAATTCCACCCTCATTCTCCACAATACATCCCTGACAACCTCCCAAATATGCGGGGGATTAACAGATTGGCGGATTGGCAGCAAGGAGACCACCTCATCATTTCAATCTTGTAGCCTATTAAAGAAAAATAATCTTTAAGAATCGATCAGCTACCGCCTTATTTAGCAAGCCACGACGCGTTCTCAATCCCTGATACTATTTCTCGCCATTAAGTCAAGATAACCCGCGATCATGGCGACCTACAACAATGACGACGATACCGCGGGTGTTCCCCAAGCACCCGGTGTTGAACACACCGAGTTGCTCTCATTCCTACAATACTTCGAAACCCTTTTCTTAATCGACGACTCCACGCATATGAAACGTCAGTGGAGCGATGTATCGGCTCTGATCCAGGCCGTTGCCCCGGTATGTCTCAAATACGACGAAAACGGCATCGATATCTATTTCATCAACCACCGGCCCATGCTCTACTTCCCCGGTATGTCCGTCCGAAAGTCCGGGTATAACCATATCGGCAAGGTCCACAGCGATACCGGGAAGCGGGACAGCGCGCAGGGAATCTTCCGAGGCGTTAAGCCCGGCGGAAAATGTAACCTCGGTTATCGATTGGGCAAGTTATTGTCTTGGTACATCGAGCAGCTGAAGTTAGATCCTCAGCGTGCTCCTCTCAATGTTATCGTCATTACGGCCGGGATATCAGATGACGACTTTGCTGCGCCTCTGTTGGAGGCGGCTAAGGAACTCGACGCCATGAGGGCGCCGGCGCATCAATTGGGCGTCATGTTGTTCCAGTTAGGCGATGACGAGGAGGCGCGCAAGAAATTCGAGCATGCCGATGATGAGATGTGGAAGAAGGCTCGGACGCGCGATATCGTCGATACGGTGGCTTGGAGGGGTTGGCCTGCAGGTTTCGGCTCGGACGATATGGTCAAGGCAGTTTTGGGAGCTGTGTCGAAGAAGATGGATGGAGCTAAGTCGGCTCTGGCTGGAACAGTACCGCCGGAGCGTCGTGAAACAACAATTTGATGTGCCTTGATATTGGGCGTATTGTCAGCGGATGGGTCACGTAGTGACGATAAAAATGTGTCTCCAATGTATTAGTGCGAAAAGAGGCAGTGCAGGTAGTATGCCCTTGTGCGACCACACGAAGTCGGCTCAAGTTGACCCTTCGTAGTGTGTCGCTAGGCAGCGTACAAATATTACTGGTTATCTTCTACATTATCCACCCATGCATAGCAACGGTGCTATACACAGAACAATTAATTCAGAAAGAAAGTGTTCCCATTCCAAAGGCTTAGCCGACAGATTCGGTGAGGCAAGGAAATGTTAGGTGGCATGCCGTAGGTAGGTTATGCCTCCATAATTTGGAAAACTGCTCTACCTAGGTACCTAGGTACTTGGGTAGGTATCTAAGGTGTATTAAGAGGCCGATGGCCTCTTCAAAATAGAGACCAGGCTCTCGATTACTGCGCCCATAACATCAATTTCGATTATGAATACAATTCCAACGTAGTGATATTACGTATCTTGTGGGTTGGCTACGAACCATGGATTCCTTGTACGACAAGCTGCAACTCAACGGCCCGGGAAAACAAACTCGATTCCTTCGAATACTCCAGGGCGGACCTGACGATGAAATCAGCACCGAGCTATACGTAGGATCTCTAGAAGAAGAGATTCCCGATTTCAAAGCGATCCCCTATGCTTGGGAGTCAGAGGGTATCACCCCCAAGACAATCAACATAAACGCTGTTTATGTTAGGGTTCCAGATAACATCCATACAATCCTTCAGAAGATTAGGTCCAACTTCTGCACAGCGTCGCCTACCGATATATGGATCGACAGTATCTGTATCAATCAAAAGTCTATACCTGAAAAAAACCTGCAAGTCCCTTTGATGGGGGATATATACTCCAAAGCCTCCCGCGTTATCGTATGGCTTGGTGATCGCAATAATGAAGAATCGTGATAAATGGACAGAAGGGTTGAAAAAGATTGATGAACTAGAAGAGAATACTGAAGAGTCGGCAGATGACTTCCACTTAACTAATCTACGACTGCTGATTAAGAATATATCTATGCCAATGGGTCCATTCATCAACGGTCTTTCTAAAACCATGCAGAGTAAATGGTTTCAGCGAACATGGACGTTGCAAGAAGTTTCATTGCCTTCAAGGGACCCATTGGTGATGCGCGGCAACGCGCTTATAGACTGGGACTATCTTATGAGATCGTGCCATAACCTTAAGGCTTTATTGATGAAACCTATTCTATCGCCGTCGTTTGAAGTCCCCGAAGAGCTCTTAGGCCTAGAGGAAAATCTCAAAGACCTACACGATATTTACCATCAATACAGCACGGAGGTCGCCGAGGAGACTCGGAAAGCATATCAACTTGGTAAATGCCCAAAGTGTGGCATGGGAGACTTGAAACAGCATATCTTTCTCGCGCGCGGCCAAAGGGCTACCGATAGACGTGATAGGGTATGGGGTCTATTGGGACTAGCCGATAATGAGGCGCGCCGGAGTCTCCCGGTCGACTACGAAAGGGGAGAGATAGATGTCTTCATAGACGTCTTTAAGTATTTTACGGGAGGCGAAGCAGGATTCCAGATTTTATCGCGAGCTGCGGGTCTAAAATGCATTCCAAACTGGCCAACCTGGCTTGTATATCCTGATATACACCAACGCTGCGAAACGCTAGTCCGAGGACACTATGAGCGTTGTAGGAGATACAAGGCATCTCTCGGTTTAGTAGCAAGATATGAGCTTATTGGCCTCAATCAAAGCCTCGTTATATACGGCATACTAGTGAGCGAAGTTGCCGAGCTAATGGAGACATTAAAAACACACTACTTGCCGCGGCTAGCTCTCAGTGAAATTGATTATGGTTCGATCTTTAATTTTTTCGCCCCGACTTGTGTGCCGGACTTTTACAATCCAAAAATTCTCAACCCGGCAGAGTGGGAAGACAAGGTCAACGTATACGTGGGTGGTCCAGATTCAACTTCGCCTAACCGTTACGCTTATTTGGACTGGCGTTTGATTGGCGGAACAGATTCCAACACACAACCTTGCGATTCACAAATAGGAATGATAAATTATTGGAAATACGAACACAGACAACAAACACTGTAGCGAGGCTTTAGCGCGAGTCATTGTCGGGGATCATATATCCTTAGATCAAGACGACACCGAACATCTTCCGGTATCTAGCGAATTCATCAGCACTATCCTTACAATGGGTTATGGATTGCATAGAACGCGTCAAAAACATCCCCGTGTTACTGACGAGACTAAGAGTGCCACCGATGGCGAGGCTGACAAGGGTTCTGATTGTGAGCCTGGAAGCGATCCTGAGGTGCCTGATTACTCGGGATTGAGAAGAGATCTCGGCTTTAGATTCAAACTCAAGAGATCGATATCACGAACAATGACGCATCGCCTTGCCTTCAAAACCTCCGGCGGATTCATTGGATTCGGCCCGGACGACATGGAACCCGGAGACAAGGTTGTGTTGATTGCTGGCGCAGACGTTCCGTTCATTTTACGCCGGCGGGGCGACCACTTTGCCATGGTTGGAGAGTGCTACGTACAAGGGCTGATGCATGGGGAACTTTTCCAGCAGTATCCAGAATTTGAGAGCGGAAAGCCTTTCCAGATGACTCTTGATCGGTTCGTAGTGTATTAATAGTAACCTCTGTTAGTAGTCACATATACGAAGTACCAAGAAACAACGCCCATATTGTGAAAATTAATCCATTGTGACAAGAGCCTGCGCTTCTTTAGAAGCAGGTCATCTCTTTAGGCAGATATAACTGCCAAAACTGGTTCTTTTCGCAAGAGATACCCCTGGCAGAGTTTTTGCCACCTTGAGAACGCCGTTCATAAATTCTGAGTTCCCAATACAAATAATCACATTTCTGCTTAGGTCTCACGCGGGTATCGACTGAAATTTCGCTTGTATGTTCGTGTATTCCGTGGTATTGCGCATTCATTTGTCGCGATCTCCACCTATTCTCTCGAGTGCTTCTAGCATGACCACAGAGTTTCCTCGGATGACCTGATTCCCATTTGTTAGCCCGAATCGATCTCGAAATATTGGTTATTCGTCGAATACGTACAACCATGCCAAGCTTGACCTTTTCACCTCCATCCTTCTCCTCTACGGCATCATCTAGAACGATATTTAAGAAAACCTGGTCAGAAAGTTAGTTCATACGTGCTGGAGAACGTATAGGGTCGGTGTGAAGATTGTCTATCGCTTACATCGTAACCGCGAAGAATGCCTAGAACCTTTCGACTTCCGTTTAATTGAACAAATAGTCGCTTGTCGAGGTACTATATAACAATGTTAGCATGTCTGCCGTCGCAAATTGAATTTATATTGAAGAAATACCTTCTTCAATTCTGGTTGTGCGGGCGCCATCTTGATATGATTTGTGGTGGACAGGCCGTAGATGGGATTTGTAGGAGGGAAGGTTGTTGATGGGTTCCAAGCTTCGCGGTATAGTGGACAAGATAGCGCCGATAGCTCTTATCGATAAAGAATTTCTAGCGCCGACCATCAATACAAAGGTACACCATTCAACATAAACTTCCACTTAACAGCTTCAATTATTTACAACTTTTAATACCCCGTGCGATTCGAGTACGATATTATCATTCGCATTGAGTTTTAGAAGAAACGTACAAAATGAGTGCATTTGGCGCTAAACGGAAAGCGCGCAAAATTACAGTACAGGACGATGACGATGATACAATTTCAACTGAAGCCTTAAATCCACCAGAAGAACAAGGTCCAGCAATACAACCATCATTTAAGACAAATCGCAAACCATTTAAACAGTCGTCCCTGCGGAAAAGTATAAACATCAATAGAATCGAAGACGACACACCCTCAAATCAACAATCCGCATCTACAAATAACAAAGATGAAGCAGACGATGATGAGGACGGAGGTGCTCCTTTACGGATTCGTCCACCACTGGGAGGAAGGACAGCTTCTACCAAGGCCAAGAAACGAGCTTCTAAGTCCCGACTCTCATTCGGCGGTCCTACAGAAGATGCTCCTGAAGATGAAGATTCCATGATATTAGGGGAGGAAGTATCAACACCTAAACGAGGCAACACACTCGCACACGCAGCAGCCGAGAATAGCGCCTACAAACGAGCAATCGCCAAAAACCTACCTCTGAACCGACTACCTATGCGCTCCGCCGACACCGACGAGGATCGTCCACGGTATAGCAAAGAATACCTATCCGAGCTTCAACTCTCAACCCCCAACACACCCCAAAACCTCGCCAAACTCCATCCAACATCCGACGATGAAATGAGTCTCGACCCCTCCGAACTCGAAGGCGCCCTCGTCGTCGAAACCACACCCACAACATCAGCGCCCCCTCCGAACCCCACAACCATCCTAACCGAGACCCAAATCCGGGAGAAAAAAGAGCGGCGGGCGCGATTAGCCAAAGAAGGCGAAACATCCGACTTCATCTCCCTCTCCGACTCCGACAACGACCGCCGCAACCACGGGGACTCTTACCTAACAGTCTTATCCCAACGCCCCCAGCACTTACCCAAAAAGGCGCCCACGCGTCTAGTACCCGAAGATGAAGACCTAGGCGAAGGCTTCGACGAATTCGTCAACGACGACCCACTCTCCCTAGGCAAGAAAGCCGAGCGCGAAGCCCGCCGCAAACGACGGGCGGAAATGGCGTCTCTAATAACCGCGGCCGAGGGCTCGGATAACGAGGCTTCATCCGATGACTCCGAAGCCGAGAGACGCGCTGCGTATGAGGCTGCGCAGACGCGTGCTGGTATGGATGGATTAGCTGAGGAGCGGGAACAGCAGAAAAGGAGATTGGGTGCGGGAGGGAATGGGTATCATATGGCTATTCCGAAGATTACGCCGTTGCCGGATTTAAGTGTTTTAGTGGAGGAGTTTAAGGCGAGGATGAGGGGGAAGGAAGAGCAGATTAGTGAATTGAGGATGAGGATTGAGGATGTAAGGAGGGAGAGGGAGGGGATTTTGAAGAGGGAGCCGGAGGTTCAGAGGTTGTTGAATGAGGCGGGGGAGAGGTATCGTGCGTTGATGACTGGTGGCACTGCTACTGGAGCTGGGGAGACGGTGGCGAATGGGGGTGCGAGTGGGAATGAAAGTGGTGATACGAATACTACGACAGACAATTTCGCAGCAGCAAAATCGCTTTTAGAGCAAGTCAGATCCAACGCTGGTACACCCGGGCAAAGAGGACTCGAGAGCTTAGGAACGACGCCGGTGCGACAACGGCAACAATCAGAGATGGAGATATAAATTTAGATGAAGGCTATGATACCCAATACTAAAGTCTTCATATTATGAAGATACTTCAAGTCAATTTAATGAATCTTATTGATAATGTCTTGAACCTTCTACATAATGAAAATACCGTGTTACACTCTCCCTCTTATGAAAAAGGGTGATATAGAGATGATGATGATATGCTAACCAGCGCCCAATGTATTGTTTCGTTCGTTTCCCCGGTATCAGTACACGTATGATACATCTGCATCCGCATTACCTATCACCTACACATAACGTGACGGCGTAGCATTTCTTCCTACACTCCTAGCGCACTTCTGTAGTGAATTCCATTCCTTTCGGAATTGGAATAATCTTGCTTCGCTCCGCTAATTTTCAAGTTGTTTACTTCGACCTCGAAACACCAGCTCCAATCACACCAGGTAACTTCTCCTCGCCCACACTAAACAACAGACCAATCGAAAACGCAATCGTAGCTACAAGCGCAATACTCACACCAGCGAATAACCAGAAAGGGGTACTGACGTCTTGTTTGTGGCATGCATTTCCACCCCAATGGTACACACCGGTGCGTCCCTTAGCATCGGTCTCGTTGGTTGCCATGCAATAGCAGAAGAAACACGAATCATGTTGGCCTTCGACCTTCTCCCATCGATCGACGCATTGTCCGTGGCCTGAGCAACTATCGGTCGCGCTTATGCACGCGTTATGCGATGTGAAGCACGCGGGGATTACTGGGCGGGGACTGCTTGATGAGGCGAACGCGTGGAATGGCTTATCGGGGTTCGGAGCGGAATTAAATGTTGAGTCTGCGGTCGGTAGGTCGATGGGATTGATAGATGTATCCTTGGCCATAACAAGTTCGTCCTCTTCGATCTCGCGACGGCGGAGTTCTTCGGATTGGGAGGATGGGTCGGCGAGGAAGAGGATTGTAGTTTCCATTTTGGTATCGAGGGAGAGGGCGTTGAGGGTTGAGAGGTGTTGTTTTAGTTGCGCGATGGCTTTGGTGTTCTGATAGATGTTAGCATATTATCATTCATACATACGAATTGGTAGGGGAATTGGAGATGTACCTTCGCATCATACTCGAGGTACTGCGTCTTTCCCTTCCAGCACTTTTCATTGTTTGGGTTGATGGATTGCTCGAATCCACAGTTTGATCCTAGCGTCTTCTTTTGTACAGATAATCGGCTCAATCCAGGAGCTGTGAAAGCGAGGGGGACATCGGATATAGCAGCTGTGAGATCCTTTTGGTTCTTGGTTGTGACGCCGGAGAAAGCAATAACCAACTGGGCAGGTTGGTTTACATCCGTCTGCTCAAATAATGGTAGAGGCGCCTTTCCAAATTGATTGACGTATGATATCGCTACATCTTGGGAAAGTGACTCGGGTAGTTGACCTAAAGTCGATGGTTGGTCTAATGTGCTAAGGCGTTGAAGAAGGATAGCTTGAGCAAGCTCTCTTGGTATCGAAGGAGGTGTTGGGAGGCGTGTTTTGGATTGGTTGATGATATAAGCTTCTGCATTTTGTAGTTGTTCTTCGGCGCTAGCAGTGGTAATGCCAGCTAGGGCAGGTAGTAAGAAGCTATGAAACTTCATGTTGTCGAGATTGATGACTCTCGAAGCTGTATTTGGTTGTATTGGGGATGGTGATGTTTAGCTTATGTGACGCTGTAAATGTATCTAATTAGAATTGCAGGCAGTTACTTTCAGGGACTAAGAACGGATTAACTTCGGGAAGTATGGGAAGTATCAAGGTCGGGTGATACAGCTTGTTTCATTCCGCGTCGTACAGACACGTGATACGAAACAATGGTTTAAACCTTGGCATCTGATAAGATGATTATTCCAGTCCACAGTAAAACACTGTAGCGTGTGACAGTGCATTAGTTAATAGTGGGGGTTAAAGTTAATCGGTACAAGGGTCTCGAATTCTAGAAGGGACATGGCTCTCTACTACCGCTACTACCACTACTACCACTGTAAAGGCTGAGATTTCGCCTTGTCTAATTCAATTTATTTCTAACCGCCGGTAGAAAACTTCCCCTCCAAATAAAAATAATATCCTAAACGACGACTTACTATGAGTCTATCAATACGACATATACGACAAATACTTCCAAGGAAATAATATTCTATATTTACGAATAAATCCATCATCGAACAAGCTTGTTACGTCTCCCTTTTTCGGCCGCCACCTTTAGGCGCGCCTCAACTACCTCGCCCATCATGTTGCGACTCTTCCGACCGCGACCGATACCGAATACCTTGTCGCTCGTAACTCGATTTCAGGGTTCCAGAAGACCTTCTAGTCAACTTATTCACGTACAAAGGGTTAAATTCCAGCGAAGATGGTTCAAGCCAAGGTAAAAAGCAATCCACTACTATCCACTTGATGCTATTGATGCTATCATTACTATCAATACTAACTCGTACCAAATTGCATAGGAATGTCGTAATCGCCGGTTGTGTCTACTACTTCTGTTATCAAGTTTATAAATATTCCATTATCGACACTTTAGATGCGTGGGCAGGCGAACAAGAGAAACGTTTAACGGAAAAGGAGCGAAAAGAGATGGACGAAGACTTGATGGAACCTATATTTATTCCTATCCCTTTTACTACGAAACTAGTTCCTTCCGATCCTTACAAGGGAACGGACCCAGAGTGGCAGACATTCATTAAAGTCAACAAGGATCCAGAGCTTTTAAGAAGTATTCAAAGTATGCGAATCAGGACGCTGAGAACGGAAGAAGAACATTTCAACTAACATACTATTAGGAGGCCTAGCGGAACTTGTACGAAAAACTGCAGCTTCGAATTCTGTGCTTGTTTCTGGATGTGGTAAGGATATGACATTAGGAAGATATTGGCTTGATATACAATATCCTCACAGGCCACCACCACACTACGTTCGGAAAGGGTATGATTTCTTGCTACCGGCCATCCGATAAATCTTTGAAAACTAACAATTCAAATAGGATAGAAATAGACGACCACCGTATCTCTATCGTAGAAGAACATATCGAGGGTGCGGTTGCTTCTGTGATTGAACGTGCTCTTTGGCCTTCAACACTTACCCTATCATTATGGAGTTTTTCTGCGGCGTTGGTGAAACAGAATCTCTCGAATTTTGTAAAACTCTTCGGATACGGATCGAATCCTACCCCAGACCCCACGATACAAAAGACTATGGAGAAATTCCAAGAGAGGATAAGGAAACAAGAGGCCGAATCCGATCCCAAAACACGTGACTCCTTATCATCTGCAAAAACGCAAGCAACCGATAGTTCAACGAACTCGACATCCCCCGTCGATACCGGATCCGCCAAATCGTCACCAGCCCCCGGCTCCACAGCTTCTCCCAGTTCAAGCATGAGTCCGATCCCCGTCGTTCCCGGCGCCGAATCTACTAAACCGAAGAGTGTAAATAATATATACGGTATCGAATACGCACGAGAGCACACCAGTGGGCCTCGGCAGGCTTTCGAGCAAACCTTCTCGCAAACCTGGCGGCCGATTAGGCACCTACCTCCGCGCGGCGTTATTATTGTATCCGGACTCGTGGAAGTCACTTCGCCGCGTGCTATAGCCACTATCGATGTTCATGCATTTTGGGATCCGAAAACTAAAAATTTTGATATGAGGACGGCGGTTTTCCGTCTTAGACAATTACGCAGGAGGACACAGACGCCAGCGAGATGAAGATATTGATTCCAGATCATTATAATAGGACGACGAGAAATCACAACGGATGGCATTGATTAGGGCACTTGGCAAGGTCGGCGTTTAGGGATTGGAATGAGTATAGGGGTAAAATATATTCACCTTGGTAGTCGCGCTTGGAAGGAGGGGGATTCTGCACAGCATGCAAGCATATTAGGGGCGTTTCTGGCTGTTAGGATTGAAATATTCATTTTTTTCATAATTTTGTTTTGTTGTCCCGTTCCATTAGTAGCCAGCGAGATTTTGCGACGAGCCTACGTTGGAGAGGGGAGTCTGAGATGAGACGGCTAGATACCATAGAGTCGCATTAGGAAAGCCGAGGTCTCTTCCCGCTGGATAGAGAGCTACGAACTGAGAATATACTTAGTACCTAAGTACTCGCGATCTCCTTTTGGTAATGTGATCGGTGACGGGCTAGGGCAGATTTGGAGGAGTCAAGTGCTTGACGCGTAGGCGACAGGTCACGTCCTTCAGCCGCTTCACCCTAACCGCGGATATAAAGACAAGGCGGCGAAAGTAATGGGAGGGCGTAATAAAGTAACATTAGCCCTAAAAGATCGCTCAATAATAGCGTCTTGCCATACTTAATCTTGCCGTTTGATAGATGCTTCGGGGGGTTAAGCTAGGTAGAATTACAGATCATTTTCAAATCTAACCCACATATTCTCCTTACTCGCCTCACTTTCGGGGCGGGGAGACGCGCCGTCCCGCCCCCGTGTTATATTGAGGGGGATACTCACCGAAGCGTCGAGTGTACCCCAGCCGAGTACCAATCTCTCCGTTTGTTGATGCACCTTAGGCCGGTTAATTAGGTGTTTGGACCCCCTAAAGCCATGATATTACAGTCGGCCGAGCTCCGTTTGTAGCCCAATTTGAGTAAATACCTAGTAAGAGAGAACATGAGAGGCGCAACGAGTAGATAGCCAGGAGATTCCAAATCAATCCTAGCGATGTACCTATCCAATAGAACCCTAAAGCCGATTCGAGTATCCCGGAGATCAAGATGTTGGTGTCTTGGTAATTGTTTCCATCGCCGTTTGCTTTGTTCAAACTCAATACGCGTACCCCCATAGCAACACTTAGAAGAAGCAAGTACGCTCAGTAGATACCTCGAAGGCTATGATCGAGATTCGAACATCTACCTAGAATCAAAAATTATTGTATTCCCAGCAATGTTCCCTTAGTATATAAAGAGAACCCGTAGAGCACAATGTCATTCTGTTCCCAAGCAGACAAACATTTGAAGTCTATCATCTCAAAATGAATACAATCAACTATCGTTCTATTGCCATTTTCATTATTCCATTGCTCACGGGAGCAGTTTCGACTTACTTCATTCGCGTTTGGGCGCGTAACCGTGCCTGGGACGATTTTGATAATGTGCAAATGTTCGAGAAAATCGCAGATTTCAGAATCCTCGGCGGAACGGATTTAGCAGATCGGCTCAGAGCCCGAGCTATCCCTAACCAGCGATTAGTGACAACATTTGACATTCATAGCTCGTTCACAACCATGGATGAAGCAGTCCACAGACATTTCCTCGGCGAATCTATAAGCGTAATCCACGAAATGAGGCCACCAAGATGGTTCACGTTCTCCACGGTTGCAGATGAAGCATTGAACCAAGTCCTGACGCATTTCGAATATCCCCAACGTCCTCTACCTTTAGCTAAAATGGCTCGGCCTTTTGCTTTCATAACCATGTTGTATCCGCTCTTTGGCGTGATGCCCGCTAACGTTAATCTCGACGACGCTATTCAAGTCTCTGAGGAGATTAACTATATATGGGTGGAATCAAAGAGGGAACCAATTCCAGACTTACGCGAGAATAAGGAGCGCCTTCAAGATGCTTTGAGACGCTTGTTACCGGATAAGTACCCCTGCACTGCGGAGGAGAACCCAATCAATATCATAATGCCCGCGTATGAGACTATGTGGCGAGTCGTTTTGCACACATTCCTCGCGGCTGGGTTTCGGGAAGTAGACCAGGAGACGGAGCAACAGTTCCGCGAGGTTATCGAGAACGTGCCGGAGTGCCTGACTTCCAACTCTCTAAACGACGCCGGGATAATGGCGATTAACTTTGCAAAGGTAAGTCAAATCCCCATCCACTTACCCTCTCTTCCAATGAGCCATAATTGCCCCTATTTTCGCGCAAGAACACTTACTAACATCACACAGGAGGGCCTACGCCTGTACCCTCCAACACAACGCATCAACCGTGCCATCCCACCCCAGCAACCCAACCAACAACCAACGCAAGTATCCGCGAACATCCAAGAAGCGCACCGGTACACCTCAATCTGGGGCGCCGACGTACTGTCCTTCCGCCCGTCCCGGTTCGGCCCGGAAAAGCCCCCGTCGGCCTACATGCCGTTCGGCGCGGGACGCCATAGGTGTCCGTCGGCCAAGGATTTCGCGTATAAAGCTATAATCATCCAAGTCGTGGCGCTGGTGCGTCGGCTTGGGATTAGGGATGGTGGGGCGAAGGTACGGTTTAATGATCCGGTTTTGGATAATGATGGAAGGGCGTTGATGCCGATGGGACGGATGGACATGGAAGGGTGGACGATGGAGGTTGGACGTGGCGATTAGAGGGGATTGCGTGATTGAGTGTTTGCATTGGTGATAGAGGGAGTTAAGTAAGGGAGCGGATGGGATGGGATGGGATGGGATGGGACCGGGTATTTCACCGGTGTTGAGTTTTCGTGATTGATCGCTGTATTTGTTTGGAGGAAGAGGTACAGTACAGTATGTCTTCAGCGGCGACACAGTTACAGGGCGTTCCAAGCGGGGAGTTCACATTTAGGTAACTCGAAGAAGCGAAAATGTTCTACAATAATAAGAACATACCTGTTTAAAACATCGTACCATCCTCCATCTTGAAATCTAGGTAGTATATGATTATTTTATTCGAGCACACTACCGAATACCACATTCGAAACCGGTGAACTTTTATTGTAGGTATTATTATCCCCACCCCGGTGATCATCGGTTTAGATCCCGTCCGTAATCTTGGCGATGCGGGCTGGCCGAAATGCGTTGTCGATCTGCCTGTACCCGCTGGCGCCATGTCCCCTAAGTGAGTAATATGGTTCGAAATATACAAGCCTGTAATACCTACCTCATTAGCACCGGTAGCAGTAATTGGTGACACCATAGCACATATTTCTCACTGTAAAACCCTCAAGAACAAAGAAGGATTTACCTACCCCAAGTTACCGTAAGAGCAAGGATTGGTCAGGGTTCTGAGCACGTCATTGGAGGCTTACTTTGTTTGATCGCAGCTGAAGCTTTCCCCGGAGTTCCTTTCTATTATTTTTATTTTTAAAATAACAGCAACAAGCTTTCTTCTATTCTTTCTAGCCAGCTAGTTTGAAGCTACGGATGGACGATGTTAATATAATTAGTATTATACCTTCGATAGCTTGGTTTCGACAATTCATATCTCTTCCCCTTTTTCTACTTTCTGCTTCTTTTATAAACTAATTTGGTGGTCATCATTCTTCTTGTCATTGTTAAGTACTGTCATTCGTTATTTATTTAGCTAGGTGGTTGGGCGATCAACATATCGTCAAACAAGCCAATCATGGCGGAGAGTTCACCCGACAGGGGAAAAAAGAATGAGGAACAGCCAGGTGAAGATATCGCTATCGGAGTCGAAGATGTTAGCACAATTCCAAAGGGTACAATTGATCCAGTATACGAAGCGAAGGCAAGAGTGTTGAACAGAGCTGTAAGAATCAATTGCCGTCGCATTACCTCAAGAGTACTTGTTAATAGGTCCATTTACAGATTCAAGATATTGGTATGGGATGGTACCAATGGCAGCTCTTCGCCGTCGTTGGTTTCGGTTGGGCATCCGATAACCTCTGGCCGATCGTCACGTCGCTCATTTTCACACCTATCCTTAACGAATTCCACCCATCGCGCGGTCCACTTCTTACTCTAGCTCAGAATATCGGATTATTGGTTGGAGCTATGTTCTGGGGTTTTGGATGCGATATCTTCGGTCGGAAATGGGCTTTCAACTTGACTCTAGGTCTGACCGCTGTATGGGGTATGATCGCTGCGTCCTCGCCCAACTTCGCTGCCATTGGGATTTTCGCGGCGTTTTGGTCATTTGGTGTTGGCGGTAATCTTCCAGTCGACTCTGCCATTTTCCTCGAGTTTCTTCCTGGATCCCATCAATACCTATTGACGATCCTTTCAATTGACTGGGCTATTGCTCAAGTTGTAGCCAATTTAATCGCATGGCCATTACTTGGGTACAGGACTTGCCAGCAAACCGATACAGATTGTACTAGGGCCAAGAACATGGGATGGCGGTATTTCATGATCACAATGGGTGGATTGACACTCATTATGTTCATCCTTCGTTTCTTCTGCTTCACTATTTACGAGTCTCCCAAGTATCTCATGGGTAAGGGGTTAGACGAGGAAGCAGTGCGCGTGGTCCACGAAGTTGCGCGACGGAATAAGAAGGACTCGGCATTGAGCATTGAAGATTTGAAAGCTTGCGAGCCGGAGGGCTATGTAAGTAGAGCCACTGCAGGTGATGCCGTCAAGAGGAAGTTGGAAAAACTCAATTTCGATCATATCCGATCTCTCTTCGCCACGAAGAAACTAGGGTACAGCACAGGAGCGTTGATGTTGGTTTGGGCTTTCATTGGACTTGGGTAAGCGAAAATAAGCCCCCCCCCATCCTTTTTGTCGTCGTCGTCTACTAACCCCGTATTGAGCTATCCTCTCTATAACGCTTTCTTGCCGTACATTCAGAGTAGTCGCGGCGCTAGCTTCGGAGATGGGTCAACATACCTCACATATCGCAACTCGCTCATTATTGCTGTACTCGGTGTACCTGGCGCACTTGCTGGTGGTGTTCTTGTCGAACTGCGCAATTTCGGACGTAAAGGAGCCTTAAGCTTAAGCACTATCCTAACGGGCGTCTTCCTTTATTGTTCGACAACTGCAACCAATTCATCGAGTTTACTGGGGTGGAATTGTGCTTATAACTTTACGAGCAATATCATGTATGCCGTGTTATACGCGTTTACCCCTGAGTTATTCCCGACTAAAGATCGGGGTACCGGGAACGCGTTGACGGCAACATCGAACCGAATTTTTGGTATTATGGCTCCTATTATCGCTATGTTTGCGAATCTCCAAACTGCTGCGCCGGTCTACACGAGTGGCGCATTGTTCATTGCGGCGGGACTTCTAGTCATCACTTTACCCTTCGAATCGCGAGGTAAAGCAAGCTTGTAAAGGGAAATATCGGTTAGGGGCTGTGGATTTTAAAAATGATGGTTGGGATGGGAATCGGGTGGGTTTGGGTTATAAGCCCTGTGACACCAGGTTTTGTATGATTACTTTGGGATAAATATGATACCCTATATTTTATTTGATGGGCTTATTGAAATATCTAACTGATTGATATTTGTTTTCTTTATTTTATGGCATTTTGTTTCGGTCGCGCCCTTTGACTTTCGTCGATTTTGGTCGCCTTTTCAGTTGGTAAGTATCACTCTCCCTTGCACATATTCCCGTCAATGCGGTGACTAATTAAGACAAAACACTAGATTTAATAGCAATGCTATAGAATTTATCTAGATTTCTTCTACTACTAATAAGCACATGCAGATAGATCTTGACACAACTCATCACACAAATAGGTACATTTCGACCAGATCGATATCTCCCAGACATCCCGCCTTCTCCCCTTCAAGCCGTCTTATAATGCTGCGTGAAGTCGTATCGCATATCAAAGAAGTTCAAGTACATATTCTTTTGCATTTCCGGATTTTCCTCAGCTTCCTTGCAAGCTTGCATAACGGGGTCACGTTCGAGGAGAGTATCCGGATCGCTGTCGGAAACACGACGGAAATTGCTCTGAGAGATGGGGTCGATGACCGTCTTCCACTTCTCAATCCGTTTCTGACTGTATAAATCTAGGATGGACTCATCCGCCTTACCATCCCAGATACCTGCCAAGCAGTCGTACAAGCCACCGACGTCGACGAATCCGCCTGTGATACCCATACCACCCCACGGGTTGCACAAATGTGCGGCATCGGCGGCTAGAAGGATGCGACCTTCGCGGAATGATGGCGCGCATCGTTGGTGCATCTTATATGGCGACATGTTGATTAATTTGTAGTCGCCTGGCTTCGGGTGACCTGGTAGCATCAATTCGAATTTCCATGGTTGTCGGTCTCGCATTTGATCCCAAGTTAGTCCGGGCGATTCACCGTACGTTACTCGGTAGAGTCCGTCTTCTGTGAGCCTGGCCGCCATCTAAGTAATTTTCATTTCGGTCAGTTTCTCAACAATTTCTCTCCCGCCCCTGTAATCGCCGTAACTTACGAAGAAGTGATCGGGATGTAGGATGAAGTTGGAATCTTTGAAACCGAACTTTTGAAAGTCGTAGTATATCTACAATATCTGATTAGCAACCTTTTATCCAACGTATTTTCTGGTTGAGATCCCGGATCTTACGTTGGTCGCCACAATTTGCCTCTCCCAAGTAAACCCAGGGTATTCATCGCCAAATAGAGATTTCCTAACAGCGCTACCCGCACCATCGCATCCGATAACATAGTCGCCAAAGATCTGCTTCTTTCCCTCCGGAGTCTCGACATCTACCCAAGCCTGCTTCTCATCCTGGCCTGTACCGACGACTTTATGCTTCCAGCTAATTTTGCCATCGTACTTGGAGAGAAACTCATCGAGCATAAGTTGGTCGAGCTTATCCAGGACCAAACATGCCATTCGTAGGTCTTCGCCATTATAATTCTCCAAGACCTTCGCATCCATACCAGTAATCCAACTGTGATCCTTGAACCGTCGCCAGCACATGGACGTCGGACTCATTCCGACCTTTCGGATCTGATCGATGACACCGGCCCGCTTCAGGTCCGGGATCGCGGGAGATCCATAGATAGCGGCCCGGGGTTGTTTGTCCAATTCATGCGACGCCTCTAGGATCTCTACGGGGATCCCATGTTTGGATAGAAGAAGTGCAAGGAGTAGACCCGAAGGACCGGCTCCCACAATGATTACCTAATTGACGCCGCGTCCGTGTTAGTCAAGTTCTAGACCATTACCTCTAAAAAGAAAAAGGGGAGAAGTTTATAAAATTCTATAGACGGAAGATGAGTCTGGACTTTTACCTACCTTTTGAAACGGACGCGACATGATTATTGACAAGTAACTCCGGACTTTGGTGTATACACAAGAATCTAAGAAGAGAAAAAAATGAAATATTACGGTGCTACGAAAACGAAGACGCGGGGTGAGATGGAGGGAATCACCACGGTGGTTCGTTTCCCGGCCAGATGATCTAGCTTCATTGTTGGTTCTCCCCCTTCGTCAGACCCGTTTAGTTAACTACCTACCCATGCTAGCCGGCTGGTTCCAAGTATCCCCGAATACCGAATCGGGAGGGTGTTTATAACACTTGCCGAAACCATGTGCCTGGTTAATAAGATCGAGCCGACACTCTTCCCCGCAGTCTAGATGCAAGTCCCTGCATGGTTGGGGGATTATCTATCCAAGGTAGATTTGGGGTTGTTTTTGTGGACTTTACCGTGCCTTATAATGACCGGCTGAACGGACTGATGGTTAGGGAAATAGATCTATGGTAATGGGATGATGTCATTCATCCGAGATTGGGGGAGGAGACAGGGAGACGAGGAGGGTGGTGAGCTGTGGAGAGTCGGGCTTCTCGCAGTCTGCCGAATACCCTATAATAGAGCTATAACGGGCTTATGCTACACTATACTGCACCTATAATACAGTGGGGAACCAATCAATTATCATGCCACCCCCTATTTATTACTCTACGAGGCTCAATCCTTAGTAGCGAAAGGAAATTCACGATAGTTTACGGCTGAAAAACTCGTGATCAACAAATATCCTAAGTTATCTTCTAAGTAAGTACCTATTTTGCCGAAATCTCGCTTAGAGACTAGGGTAGAGTACGGTGTCAATAGTTTCCAAGATGCCAAGTTTTGGTGGATACACTCGTTCGGAGCGAAAATGCTAGCTGTTCATGAGGCTTATGGCTAGACTATTGCCCCTGAACGTGTACTATTTTTGCCCGAGGCGCATTTTCGTATACATAAAATCCCAAACTAATTCTTCATACTCGTGATAATGTGATGGGGCTGAATATTATCGCGATCTAGTAATGTCCACCTCAAATATGCGCGGCAACAATAACCCGCGACAGAATGGACTGTTTCCTATTCTTCTTCATTCGCTTCATCAACTTCATCTGACTCTTCCTTGACTTCTTCAGCGACTCTCGCGTCCTCAATTATCTCCAGTTCAGATTGTGATAAGAGGCTCTCCTTAGCTGGCCAGACCTTACTCAGAATCGTATAAGTCAAAAACGCACCCAAGAATCCATAATACCAAACCAAATCCGCAATATAAGAAATACCCCCAATATCCACCGCCGGATTAACACTCCTCACTAGACTTGGCATCGTCGGCCCAACACTGACAAGCATAGCGATAGCAGCCCTCCAGTTACATCCAGCAGTGTAACGATACCGTCCATTAGGTACATAAAGAGCGGATACCTCAACGCGTCTCTGTTTCACGATCCAGTAATCTGCAATGGAGATAGCGATGATAGGAGCCAGGAATACACCAAGACCTGACATGAAATTGAGTAAGCCGGTAGCACTCGTTACGATTTTCCAGGGGATCATAACCCAGCCGCCTAGTACGGTGCACACGATTGCGCCTCGGCGGATGTTTATGTATTTGGGGAATAGACTGGCCATGTCGTTGCTGGCTGATATGACGTTTGCGGATACGTTAACGCCGATTTGCGCGACCATCCATGCTAGGCCGCAGTAGAACGCAGCCGCGCGAGCTCCAGGAGATGTCCATTTACTGGCTAGTACCAGAGGATCCCAGATGTATTCCCCAAAAATGACTTTGGTTGCTGAAGCGCCGAGAATACCGAGGGTCGAGATAAAAGAGCAGATTATGGGGAAGAACACGGCTTGGTAGAATGTATCCCGGGGTTTCTTGACATAGCGGGTGAAATCCGAAATATTCGTGCCGACCGTTGACCAACTACCCGTCTGCGCTGTTAGTGTTCCGATAATTAACCACGAACGATTCCAACCGGTTACGGTGGGTTTTTGGTTCCATATATCGCCTGAACCTCCAGCTATCACGCACATCGCGATAACCGTGCCGACCGCGGCAGTGATAGTGAGAAACGCCTTGAGAATGAAAAACCACTTCAATTTATGAGGGTGAATAGTCAAAAAGGGCAATTGAATCATCCAAAACAGGAGGTGACTCAAAAGTCCCCGACTAGTGATCCCCGCGCTTTTAGGGAGAATATTCGGAATCTTCAAATATCCAGGCCAAATCGCCGAAATCATTACAGCAAAGGCTGTACTACCTGTATAGGTCTGAATTGCATGCCAGAAGAGCGCGGTGATCATTCGACATACTACGGGGAACTTGGCGAAGTGGAAACCGAAGGCTGATCGGATCCAAACTGCGAACGGAACGCGAAGGTAGGCTCCCGGGGCGCCGTTGAGGGCGATGAAGAGGGCCATTACGGTGGAACCGACGGGGACACACCATATTGCTTCTCGCCATGTTAATCCGATTGCTAGGACGGATGCTCCGATCTGCCAACTTTGTGCCGATAACTAAATTCTTAGAATAAGCATTTTCCCGATTTATCTTATGCTAACTTAGAGACTTACAATATCAGATATCCAGTATCCGATTATAGATACAGTAGTCCAAGTGCGACGTTCTGCAGGCGTAACATCTAGGTCTATGTTTGTCCATGTCTCCTCTGGGGCGAAAGAGGTAAGCTGTTTGGGTAACACCAAACACGAATTGCGATTCCAACTCTTAATTCTTTTCCTAGCGCTATCTACCCGTTCGCGGACCGAGTCCATCATCTTCGAAATGGGCTCCTCAGCCCCTGAGATAGCGCGATGCAATCAATGTTATTGCATGGTGGCGTAAGAGATGAGCAAAATAGATACCAGTAGTTTGGGTTACCCAGGTGAAACTACCAAGGTCCTTGCCGTCTCTAAAGACTTATAACAGCCATCAGAACCTGATAACGAACCCAACTACGGTGTCGGAGACATAGCAGAATGCTATAAGCCTTATCAACCTATAAAATCGCATTTTTACGATGGTGTGTCCAATGCTGTAACCCAAGAAGCGCGATATCCTATCACATGTATTGGGCTCCAAGAGCGATAATAACTCTCCGCACCGGAATTATTCGCTCTATGTTGCAGATCGATGGGGTGGAGAAGCATCGCGACCCTGAATACTCGAGTTAACCGGTAGCAATTGAGGGCGATATAAATAACGCATAATAGATCCAATTGAGTACGAAAATGAAGCTCCGTGACCTGGTATATCGTCATGCCCCACGTGTTGTAACCCTGCCGTATTTACACCACAATGGGTATAGGCTCATGCGTAGTTGGAGATCTTTGAAATTCTCCTAGGACGGGGAACCCACTCTTGTTTCTTGATGTTAGTTAGGCATGTGATTCACCCTTATAGATTTGAGTGTCTATTTGATGTTGTGTAATGTAGTTAAGCCGTTAGGACCACCCGGAATTCAATGGGTTATAGCTTGGGTTAGAATGCTTCATTTAAATTCTTATTTCAATTAACGCTTGATATATCTCAATTCCAGGTATCGAAAAAGGGGAAATGTCACGGCCGTGAAAAATGCCCCGCATGGTATACCCAACTATAAAAATATCAGCATTGATCTTGAGCACAGAATATGAAGATAGCATGGAAACCGAGCAAAACAATGATCGAGAGGGATTAAAACCTACATCAGCGCCATTTTCGCCAACGAGCTTCGCGATAGGACCTACAAAATAGGTCTGATCCATACCGAGAACCACACCAACCCAACCAATGCAGAATGCAGAAAAGGCAGCGATTCCTAGTGGAAGATACTTCTTATTATCCCACTGATCCCATTTCCAGCCACTCTTGCGACGGAATATGATATGTTCCTGCAGTGTGATGACCACATATATAGCGATCCAATATCCAATAATAGTCAGAAAATTGCTAAAAATTGGTAACAGATATTTGTACCCCGCAATAGCACAGACCGTATAGATAATCACCGCGAAGGTGCACCAGAATAATCGAGGGATTTTCTCAGCTTTTCGGGCAAGAAGCTGGAATGAAAGGCCTGTTGAGTAGGTTGAAGGAGCTATGTTCGCACAAATACCAAGGGCAAGGATGACACAACAGAAGTTTCCAAAGGATCCAAGGGGCAAGAAAGCTTCTGCGAGAAGAGCGCCCATAGAAACATCGAATGCTGCAGCCCAGCTGGCATTGTTATCAAGTCCGCAAGCCAGACCAATTCCCAAGAATTCTATCATAAGCTTTCCAAGGGTGAGTCCTAGAAATGTCATTAAGGCTATTATAAACCTGTTGGATGATTTTGGGAAATAGACATAATAGTCCGCCGACATAGAAGCCCATCCGAGAGGAACCGAGGCGGTTAGGAAGAAGTAACTTATTCGATCACCAGCTACTGTAGCACCGGTTCCCTGACTTGGTGTAACGGTATCAAATTTAGGGCTTGCGCATCCAATTAGGATGAAAAGTACAGCTACTTGAGGTATCCAGGCATACCTAACACGTCTGTCAGTTAAGAATTAGGGGTCTCTTTAGGGATATGTTTACTTACCCCTGATAGAAGTGGAGTACTTTAGTACCGAAGATGCTCACGCCCAATGTTATTAGGGCAGTGACAACAATACCGACGATAGGAGACATTGTTCCTCCGCTAACGGCTGATAGAAGCTGTCCACTAACGATACAGTCGATCAGACCATAACCCAGATTGATCACGATGTTGAATAGCGCTGCTAATTTAGCGGGCCAATACCCCATTGTAAAACGAGCCACCACCAACGTTCGATTGCCGGATAATGCACCGAACGTAGATGTATAGGCGCTACATACAGAACCAAAGATCGTTCCGAAGGTGCATAATCTAGCAAATATCAGCCAATTGACCCCCCATAAGTAACGGAAGACTCACAACATAGCATCCGTAAAACCTAGACCATAAGTAACAGGCCCTAGAATTCCAGCGGTAAACTGAACTGCGGTACAATTGGCGGAGAACCATATAGACCACATCCGAACGTAATCACGGACAGTGGGTTTTCCGGTACGCATGGATTCTGGGACATGTTGAATACCTCGGGCTTCGACTCCGAATATTTTGTCGAATCTATTTGCTAGTTTTTCGAGTCGATTCGTTGGATCGGCGATCATGAATATGTCGCCTTCTTCGGCGTCGGGATGGGTTTCGCTGGAATCTTCTGAGGCTATGGAGGTGAGACCTGGTCGGTCGGCGCCCTTTTCAGGATCCGACATGGCTTTGATTGAACCCGTCATAGTTTTGATTCGATACGTAATATTTGGTAGTTTTCAACACTCCGAATAAGACACCCCTCGATATTGTCGCGAAGAGGTCGTCTTATACTCGTGGTCAAATTAACAAACAGATCACTTATTTCACCCAAAGCAAAGGACCTTGAAGCCCTTGGGGTTGCATCGCTCCAAAGATAACTTTCAAGGTTCCTGATAATGAGTTCATATCTTATCAAGTACGACCTCAGATGTCCTGTTGCATGGTTGGAGCAAGAGTGGGATGCGCCCCCATTATTCACCCTAGGCGGCACGACGACCTTCCGGAAACTTTGGCGATGTTTATGCGACGTCCGAGGCCACTTCCATATACCCAGGCGGGGATAAGTCTTGATTGACTTGGTATTGTCTCGTTTTACGTATTCTAGTCATAAAAACAGATAAGTAGGTAGGTAATTCTCTATATCCAAGTCAGTAAGTTGCATTTGAAACAGGGCAGCTTTTTATGAATTTCCTAGTCGGGTTTTAAAGAGAAAACCCAACCCGTGAATGCAATGATCAATACCTGGGGAAACTGTTAGTTATTTCTATTACTGCTCTAAAGCCCGAAATCACGTACCTTAGCGATCAACCCTGTAATCCATGTCAAAATAAGTCCGTATTTGCTCGCGGTCGCATTCAATAGAGGCAAGGATCAAGTAAACAGGTTGACCCTTCGAACATATACACGTTAGTTAGCTGCAAGATACCTAACCTATGCTAGCTATGAGTTCCAAATCCCAGCCGCCGCGGTACATCACTATGTACCTAGGTACGTATTCATCCATCTCTATCATCGCACATATCTTGTAGCATCATTCCAAGATAGTGGTAGGGATCATAAGCCCTGGAGTCAACAAATAAAATGGTCAACTCCATACATGATTGTATCGTGGGGTATATCATCGAATGTCGAAGCCACCCATTCATATGCAAATACCATCAGATCGTTCAGATCGTAAATAATGCAAACCAAAACTCGTCCTACTTGACGAGTACTTCCAATACTGATTGTTCGAACCACCTTTCCACTTCAACGTAGACCACCTGCACCCTTTTCAACCACAAACGCAACTCCTGATCTCGGACGACGTTCTAATCGAGGAGAAAGCGAATTTCTCTTCCCGGGCGACGAAAACTCCTCTTGCGCAGGGCTACTATCCCTAGTCCCGGCTCTCTCATCATAACCCCAACGTCCAACACCTCCACCCCGAACCCAAGCTTCTAAATTTCGACATTGACTAATATCAGCCCAAGACAAATTCGCGCATCCATCAAGAACACTCTCAATTCCGGCAGCTGTAACACGTACACACCCGCGCACACTCAACCGCTCGAGGTCGTTGAGATGCAGAGCAACAGATGCAAGACTATTATCACTAACCGCACTTCCACAAAACGCCATCTTGAGCTCTCGTAACTGTGGCAAGCCCAGCGCAACAACTTCCGTCGCAGTATCCGAAAGTGCACAGCAAAACGATAAATCCAGATGCGTAAGCGATTTCGCAGCATGCACCAACGCCACGACCGCGTTATCAGATAGGTACGTGCAATCCGCCAGACACAAATACGACAAATTGACAAAGCGAAACGGGGCCCAGCTCTGGAACCCGGCATCTGTAATCGAAGTACAGCGCGTTAGCGATAGGGATTGTAAGCGATTCGATGCGTGTGCTGCCATATGCGCCATCGAGCGATCCGTGATATGTTTGCAATACGACAGATTCAGCCTCTTAAGCTTGGGACACCCGATTACGGTTCCAGGGGGTGGGAGAACCATAGTCTGTTGTTTGTGCTGCTGTGCGCGCAAACGGGCTGCTGCTGCGGAGTTGGAAATTACGACTTGTTTCGCGGTCGGTGGGGGATGGTCTGGGATCACCCATCCTACTACCCGGGCTAGTAAATTGTCCCCGACTTTGCGACAGTTGCTCCAGTCTACTTCTTCCAGGTCCTTGGCGTTTTCGCTCATATCTAGGATTTGGTTTGCTGAGACGTCCCAGACGGATTTCATACGCCAGATTTTGATGTTCTTCCCGCAGGTCTTCCATAGGGCGGAGAACCCTTCGTCGGTTATGTGGAAGCAGTTGCTGAGATCTATTGATATTGGTCTTGTGTTGAGGAAGGGAGCGAGTATGTGCACGAGAATGTCGTCGGTTACCATGCGGTTGTAGGGCGTGAGATCTACGTAGTTACATAATTTTGGTGATTCCATAAGTAGTTTGCGCACGTTTGATGAGAGTACTCTCATGCGGAGAAGCTCCGCTAGGTCGAGGAATTGAAATATCGTAACTAGAATATCGTCAGGAAAAAGAGGTTCGGGTTCTTGGTTAAGATGTGGCCGAGTGGGCAGTGTTTTTATCTTCTTCGCTGGCGCTTCTACATCCGGGGACATCGTCAAAATAGGGAATTTTGTTGGCGTGAAGATATCGGTCGTACGCAAACGCAAACCCTTATGCATAGGTGTACCTGGAGAATCGGTTGGTGGGGGTGTTGGTGGAGCGAGCGATCCTCGTCGTCGGTTCCTTAGATTCTCCATATCGACACTAAGATAGGGATCTGGGTCCTTGGGTTCTAATTGATCTGACTCGTCTTTGACTGGGGAAGCGGGTATCGAAGGTGTGGTAAATGTGACTTGTGGTGGTGTAGGTCGTATGGGTGTTACTGGCGTTCTAAAATGTGTTTCTATTGGACCCGCATCTTTCATCTCAATATCCTCGTCCTTCGGTCTGATGCGTGTCCTTGCCGTATCTTCAACCTGTTTTTTGATATCCGGTGGACACCGCTTCCATAATTCATCTAGAGCCTCACCGCTTATCATTAGACATTCCACGGCCGTAATTGATCGTACAGTTGCAGTACGTCGAAGTGATAATCCCAAGCTTGCGACTTCTCCAAAATATTGTCCTTGTCTTAGACGAGGTCTTATCTGTGACGAACGCGTTATTCTCTTCTCTTGTTGCCCTTTCGGTACCTCGTAGATCACCTCGACTTCGCCGCGTACGATAAAGAAAATCTCATTTCCAGCAGTTCCTTGTCGTATTATATCTGTAAATGGAGAATAAGTTTTGGGTTGTGCACTCATTCCGAGAAAATGAAGTATATCAGGAGGTAATGTCGAGAATAGTGGGAGCTCTCTAAGCGTTTGTCGCACATTCACGAGACCACTTCCTAATGCACTACCCGCAGTTGGATCTTCGATTCCTCCTGGACTCGGTGATTTCCTCTTTTTCGTGTTTACTACGAATCCTTCTTTGATAACGCCGATTTCACCGGTAGAAACTTCACCAGGGGCAGCCTCTCGAGCCGTCATCGACGCCTTCGCGACCTTAAGACTATGTCCGCTTTCCTGACGCTTCTTGTTGAGAATAGTTAAACGTTCATGAGCCTCTTCTCGAATTGCCTTCTCCATATCAGGAAATTTCGGTAATTCCAAACGGAGGTCTTCCTTCTTAAGGATGAGAAGAAGACATTTCGTCCGGGCCACAATGGTCGCTGTTCGAGGCATATCCATAAGTACACCTATCTCACCGAAGAAAGCACCTGGTTTTAGTTCGGCATATACAGCCTCACCGTCACGCGAGGTAACCCCTACGACACCCCGAACCAACCAATACATAGCCTTTGCCTCGTCTCCCTCGGTTAAGATATGATCGTGTGCAGCGTGAACCTGCGGCCTTAAATGTCTCCCAATCGCTACGAGAAACTCCTCGGGAGCCGACATGAAGAGCGGAAAGGACCTCATCCTATCTAATAGATCGAGTGGCATATCAGGGATAGTCGAAGCCGTAAGCGGGGAAGGACGTATCGGCCGGGTCGGGTTTGTCTCGCTGTTGAATGACCTAATCAAGGATACGGAATCCGGGGGCTGGCCATTAGCCGGATGGTGGGCCAGGGCCCTATAGGGCGAAGGCGGAGAGTGCGGGACTCTATTCCGCCTCATGGTCTACTTCGCGAACCCTGGCGGCGAGGGGGGGTGACCTAATATGTTGAATACCTCTTATAAAGCCCAGTTCTTTTTTTGCAGATTCCCGAGGAAATGGTATTCGGCCCTTCCGCCTTGGTTTCACGGGATATTGCGAAAGCCTTGAGATTCGCCCTTGGGTCTATCTTCTCCTCTCCTCTCCTAATATGAGGGGAAAGCTTCGTCTGACACTTTAGGCAAGGAACCGGTTCATGCTATAGCCTGCCGACAAATCGCGGGTTCCCCATGCAGCAACAGCGCCAAAAAGACGGGGTGCAGGTTATTAGGGGTGTGTTTCTTTTCTCCCTTATGCCAACCTTTAATCTGTCATGTGGAGAATGTCGATCTTGGTTAAAACTAGAGCGGAAGCACGGGAGCTAGAGCATATGTCGGAACTGGGACGTCTATGAGGTCGAGCTTCTGGCGCTAAGAAACACACGGCGTCATTAGTAGGATTGTACAAAGCCTACTCGACTCGTGCCTCTTGGAGATATTTGGAGGGGATAGGGTAGAATATCAGGCCGGGGAATGGAAATACATGGCGTTAAGCGTAGTCGCGTGCTCTGGGTAGGAGAAAGGGTGCGTGCGGCTCGTGGAGGTTGTTAACGGTAATATTTTCTAAAGCTGACGCTGACTGCGGGCGCAATTCGATTAGTTTATGCTACTGTATTTTCTTTTTCTTTTTTTTTCCATCTTATTTTTATTGTTATTTTTCTTTCGCAATGCGACCTGGGGGCGAATCGCACCGCCCCGTTGGAAACTCATAGATTAATCGCATACCTGGTAAGTTGTAATTAAGCCCTTTTTTCGAAGCTCAATTAACCCCTCAAGGATAAGAAAAGAAGTCGGAGAGAACGGAAAGGCGCACAATGATTGCGCGGAGAATCCAAAATTCGTGGTTATCAATTCAATACGCCAAGCATCGACGAGGCGCAATCATTTAGCGAAAAAGGGAGGGACACTTTTCGGCGGAGAGAGAAACAGAAAACGTCGGTTCGAAATGACAGTGCGCCCACGTAAAGTACGTAGGAATGGATGGTGGAGGTAAGAATTAAGAGGATCATTCGGATTATCCTGGAATTGGATTATACGTCCTTTCAGGGGTGAAGCTGACTAGGACTACAACAAACAAGAACAATAACAACAACCAGCAATAACAAACGTTCAAGGTAGAAAAGCTAGCCCTAGGAGCATAATAATAAAAAAACTTCCTCTCGACACGGAGAGTCTAGATTATGGCATGCATCTATGCGAGACGGTCGTCTCTTTGTTGTATGCAACCTATCACGCTTACAGCTGCAGAAAGCCGCAGCCTTGGTTAGATAGATCTTGATCCGTCCTGGTTGTCGGTGTGGGTAGGTATTGATAGTGAGCCGTACTGGAGAGTGAGGTATGACAGGCGTGGTGACACCATCGAAAAAAAGCTGTGTGTGTCGAGGCCGTCGGGCCAAAAAATGACGAGAGTCTGAGACACAACGCCGAGCTGATGCAGATCTCTCCCGAAATGTAAGTGGAGTGTGGGACCCGTCTCTTCATCGACTCTGCCTGCCGCTATTCGTCTTGTTTCGTCCTTATCCTAGGTAGGCTAGGGCCATGTCTTTCATGATAATGATGCGGTAGATTTGGAGATCGTACGCTTGTATGAGAGAAGCTTCTGCACGGGGCGCATGAAGGTCCCTGGTAATTCACCCTTACCCACGCACGGATATCTCCTCTGAAGGAACCACTGAAGGAACCGTCTTTTGGAGAGCTTAGTTACTAAGTTTAGTAGCAGTAGGGGTCCACGGCTTTCTTTGTCAGGGGTGTTACCAGTCATAACATCCAAGATCCACGAAATATCATCCACTCTTCTGCTAATAGCTTAGAGCGCTTTTGGTACGAAGAACGCGATAGTACCTACGATTAGAAATCCGTCATTACAATTTCGGCAAGGTTAAGGATCTTTCGGGATGATTTAAGAGCGACTATCTAAACACCTAAAGCTCTTGTCAGCCCCACGATGAAGACTTACGTATTAAATACCTTGGTACTTAGAGATACCTAGAGTATTAGGTATGAGATGAGAAAAGCTTTGCGGTCAACACAACCTTTCTTACTCCTCGCAGAATAGTCCCATTATAGTAGTCAGCAGATTATAATAGGGTCTACTAATATTGGTAATGTTTCTCTGAACATTTCAATATTTGGAGCCTCTGTGCTTAAGCGGCAAAAGTTGCACCCCCGAGTGGTCTCGCTATTCATACCTAAGTACCTATTAAGCCTTAAGAACAACCAACAGTCCTTGACTTAACAGGTAAATGCTCAGGTTGGCATTAGGATTTCAATAGACTAGATTTTTTTTCTTCTAAAGCTATTTTTACAAGTCGTTTTACAAGAATAAGTACAAGCGGGCCGCGGGTGAGACGGGAAGCTTTGAAGTTGCCTAAAGGTCCTCTTCGTCTCTCGGTCATTGAAGGATCAAGTCAATATCATAGCGACTACAGTAGCGTATTGTACGAACCCACGTGGAACAAGAATCCTATCAGGTACAAGAGAGCAATAATAACTCTTCATAGACTTAGCGTTGTTAGTCGGCTATGTCAGTTGAGTGGAATCCTATAAGATTTGTCAACCATGGAGACAGAATCAGATGTTCCAACGTTACGAAGCAATCGGGTATTACTCTCTAACAGTCCGAAGCTATCATCGGAGGCTTGTACAACATTCTAATCCGATCACCGAGGATTGCTTTGTGAATGTTCGTTTTCGCATAGGTAGTACCACCAACAAACGCCCAGGAATAGGTAACTTCTAAAAATTACTGTAATAGGGATCCTTGATCAAGTCTTGGCTGGCGATCTGTCGGGTTACATCATGATTCACAGGCACCATTCCTTCGCCCCCTGCTACAGCTACATGTTACCATTATTGAATCCCGTGTCTTCTGAAACCTTGCGAATTGGGAGGAATTACCACGTTACGGTACCCACGGCCAAGAGGTTTCGGAGGGGATGTTCTGCTGGGCTTCGAGAAGAATTCTAGCGTCTCTTTCCCCCACCATCGTCCCGCTTCAACTTGAAGGTGTTGCGCGTAAGTGCTTAGTGGGCGCGTAGGTAATCCATGCTGATGTAGTATTATTTATTTGAATATAGGTTTTCTCGTGTTCCTGAATGAGTGTATTCCGGATTGAATCACGATGTGACTTATGTTTTTCGACACTATTCTCAACATATGAGTCCCAAGACAGGGTCCAATTCGCGGGGTTGTAGACAGGTAATGATGACAAAACTGCGAAGCTACGTTGACTTTCTAGAATGTAAATAGAAGGACATTAAACAGGAAGGTAGAATATCCCAGACGGCGACTATGCTTCATGATGTAACAAATCCATATCCCCGGTGCTTCAAGCATTACTACTTCATCTTCATAGTTACAGCGAGTTGAATAACACCTAATCCAGATACGAGTTCTCATATCCGCACCAATACATGAGTCCCGCGAAAATAGACACAAAGCGCCTCGAGATTTGTGAACCTTTCTATTTCCTAATTCGATTCGATCGATGATACGAAAACGATGACGATGATACAATAGACCCCCCGGGGTTATCCTTGCTGGCCTTAAACTCCTTTCCAATTCCTTCAGTTGATCCATAGCGTATTTTATACGCGGATAAGGACAATGTCGCCATCTGGTACAGCACCCAATTTAGGAAGTCTAGGCTCCCGATTTTAGGCCATTAGATCGCTAAAATTGCTAGGACCGGGGTATATGTCTTAGCTGCTGTAGCGAGATTGTTGCTGGATAATACACCTGAACAGCGCCACTTTCACGTCGGGGGAACATCGCGGGGGCGGAGGCAGGGTTCTGACGAAACTGGGATCGTTGGCGTACCATATAGCGCTTAGAAGTGCGCTATAACGATTCGCGGCGGACTTTTCGTCTGCTAGAGGATTGTTCAAGCACCTATACCACAGACACCATAGCTGCAATCTGTATCGTCTTGTATGCGACAGCACAATGAACCACCCGCACAAAAACAGCCAGTCGGTAAGAGAGTTGATTCCTTCAGGTCACTCAGCATAGCCTGCTTTACCGGCTTTATGTTAACCATGGGAACCTGATTCGGAACAGCGAATACCGCAGTATCCATAAGAGCCACTAAGGCGAGTCCGCTGGAGGCGCGCATTTTGCTGCTTGAAGAGCTAACGATAAAAGGTCCAAAGATGCGAATAATGTGCAAATGATCGAAAATGAGAATGTTACCAAGACTGATTGATGACGCCTAATTATAAGATAACGGAAAACAAGAGCAATAACTGTAGATAAAAATATGATAAATGTCTCTTTCAAAATTGACGTTGATTGATATATCCAGCCGCGCCCGGGACTCGGACAGACCCGTCACATCGGTACCCCATATTATCTCCGCAAGGAGGTTACATGATAAATGAGTGATTGAAGACGAAGGACTACATTCCCGACATATCACAACCGAATAAAGTAAACATCTACATCATGGACCCAGTAAATCAGCATGTTATTGCATGATACATTTGAAACGACTGGTGGTTGTTAGGGATCAACCTCATAGCCTCAATCCTTCTCACATATCTCTAAACCTTACCAATGAATTTGTGTGGGATACGTATGTCTTGTTCAATTGCGATTATCGGCTCGGTTGAGGGATGGAATCATAGCAGCCTAGCCTAAGCTATATGACAATATTTCTATATTCGTCAAAATCCTGATTGGTATGCATTTCCCTGTGCTGGTTTCAAGGTCTTCGGCGGACTTCTCAATTTTGCTTAGCCACAACTCATAAAATAAGTAAATGGGTACTTCGAGTTACATAGTTCCTATAGGGATCACGGTTGAGATCTGGTCGGTCATCAGGCTGTGATTATGCGCGATCGTTATGGCTAGGTCGGGATCGTCCCGGTCAAGCAGAAGCTGACGGAGACGCTGCACGCGGTACAAGCGGCCTTCTGGGTGGAACTTAACGTAATCGATAGGGATCACGGTTAACAATCTGAACGTCCTTCAACTTCAGTAACCAACGAAAATTTGACGGGTTCGGGGGCAAGTGTAAAGGGGTTGGGTAAAATTGTTTGCTACCAAAGGAATGATGCATGCTTTCGGGTACTAGTCACGAACTGACCGGGATGATCTGCCGCAAATAGGGGGAGCGGGCCACTGGTCCCGGATCATTACGGGTCGGTCGCAGGCGTAAGGCAACATTCTCCTCCATCAGTTCTCTCAGTCCTTAACACTGTCTATGTGCACCTTCCGCGGTCTTCGTCTCGTCAGGGGATCAACAACCCTCACCGACACCTCTGAGACAATTGCCATGATTTCAAAGGGACCCCTCCATCGTGGCTGCGGCTTCGGAAATCTCGACTTGTCCAATGGGTTTTGTTCGGGCCTCATACGTCGATGGACTTCAATGGTAGTATCCGTTCTAAGCGGGAAGTATTCCCACATCCAGTCTCCAATACGATAGGGGTTTTCATCAAGCGTGTCACCAGTTCCGATTCCTCTGGGTTCTGGCATCTATCTCCCGCGCGATCCCGGGTCGCTCGAACCAGTCCTGGACCGTTCCTAATTCTTCAGTCGTTAATTCATGTTGCTGTGGTCGCCGCGTCACACTCGGTCGGCCTTATTCTAATTTAACGCGTACCCCGAATATCTAGTATATAAGGCGTTGGCTGCGTCGCGTAACCTCACTTTGAAGTCCTGGGCCATCGCTTGCTAGGCAGCGAGTCGACACCTAGACTCGCGTAAACCCCAGAAAGATTATAAAGGGGTCACGTCCTGTTCTAAGTGCATCCCACGGGATCCTTTCTGCCCTCTTGTCTGCGCCAGGGCCATCCCGGCATAATACAAAGTGTGTAGAGGAATCGGTTGCCAAATGGCCGCATCATATTATCGCTCGAATCCGATGACGACGATAGCCTGTTGGCCAACTAGCCCGGCAATTCGGAATTCTGCAACGGCTCATCGGTGTCGAACTCAATGTGGCCAATAGATGTGACTGCCGGGATCTGAAGAGTCAATGCAAGTAGGTGGGTTACAGTCACGGCTGGTCCGGGATCGTCACGTTCGACAAGCAACTGGTGTAGTTGCTGGACGCGTTCCTTTACCATCAGTACGCAATACGGGAAGATCTGGTGCAAGTAGACGTATGTTTTCGTCTAATTCGTGATAGGGCCAGTTATTCGAACAGGCCTAAGCGAACTTCATAGTTCCGTTACGGCCTATTGAGCATCCTGCTTGGCGGCTCGGCGCGTCTTCAGGGTCATGGCGTGGTGCGTGTTCTTTGGGCGTCTGTCGATGGCATCGTGAACTCGTGCCTCATCGATGAAGACCTTAGACCCGTGGGAATCTCAGCCTTGGTCCTAAAGGTCCCCCGGTCCCCATATCTTGTGATTCGTGCCATGTTGATCCGTAATCATACGTAATTGGACTATGGGGAGGAAAATGGGACTGATGCGAGAATAGGTCAATTGAGGCTAGGATGCGTTGCATCGAGAAACAACACGTCTCAACCCTCTGCGGTAGCGTCGTCAACCATGTTAGGCATTTGAGTGATTCAGTTTTCACGATATGGATACACCACCGATGGTGAGTACCTAGGCAATTCGTTCCTAGTGTACGGCTACGCAACTCGAGTGATATTGATACCGGACAAGTGTGCGCGGGATTCGTTTTTGTATCTACATCCCGACACATTCAAACCGGAGCATTGTCTAGCTTTCAGCTCGGAAGCCCGAAGAATCCGGAACAGTTCGAATTTGCTTTGATATTTGTATCCCATAGGTCTTATCAAGCCAGTGCTGGGGAGTGGATTGGTGCTCCGTGATTAAGAAGTTGTATGATGTTTAGTTTGTTTGTCCCAATAATAATAGCCATTCTGTAAAGTATATTAAGGGAAGGAAACAAAGTCGCTAGATCCGTGGCAGTGACACCGGATATCGGAATTTCCGGAGTTAAGAAAGTTCCCAAGGTGACACAAGAAATTAGTCGGCACTTTCCAGTGCATTCTCCGCCTCCACTTCTCTTTTTACCCAGTAATAGGTGGGCTATTACATCAGCAACCTTTCAATTTCAGCCGTACGTCAAACCGGCGTCATCGTTTTACATTATTTCTTCTTCTTCAACTACATAACGCCAATTAGTTCGACCTCACGATTTCTTTTGTCGACCCTCATATCGTTTACCTGATTATCGTGCGACAATGTCATTCACCATTACGGTCCGCCAAGGGCCTGCGCGCCTAGCATCTAGGTTGCCAGAGCTTACGAAAACCTCTTTCCGATCCACAACTCCCATCCGAGCATTCCATCAATCCGCCACCAAGCAATCCAACAACTTCTTCACATCACGACCCATCGTCGCATCGACGCTACTACGAACAGCACCGAAAAATGCATTTGCGCAATCGACGAGGAAATATACGCAACAGACGGCTACCGCCCAACAAGACTCGGGATCTATGGTCCGTCGACTCTTAACGGGTGGCGCAATTTTCGGTGGTACACTCATCGCAATTAACGCTGTCTTCAACCGCGAAACACGAGAAGATGGCGGCATGCCCGCATTTGAGCGATCTTACTTAAACTCGACTTTCCTACACACTGGTCTTGGTATTGGTATTATCGGTCTTACTGCGCGACAAATGGTTCAGAGCGGTTTTGTCTACAGATTGATGGTAACAAGCCCATGGGTTGTGGCTATTGGTGGTTTGGCTCTCAGCTTCGGTACTATGCTTGGAACCCGAGCTATTGACCCTGACAAGTAAGTTATCCACTTTCGTTTCTTGAAATTGATATAAAGCTAACATCAAACAGCTATGTTCCCAAGTATGCTCTCTGGACTGCGTTCAATGCCACCCAAGCCGCTTTCATTGCCCCTCTTATCGCCTTCGCCCCCGGTGCCTTGATCGCTCGTGCCGGTCTTTACACTCTCGCAATGATGGGATCTATCTCGTTCGTCGGCGCTACTGCTAAGCAGGAGAAGTACATGTACATCGGTGGACCTCTTCTAGCTGGTGCTGCTATCGTTGCCGTCTCTGGTTTTGCTCCTCTTATTATCCCCGCTACCGCCGTCCGAACATTGGCCTTCACTGAGAACATCTGGCTGTACGGTGGTCTAGCGGTCTTCGGTGGTTTCACCCTATACGATGTTCAGAAGATCCTATACCACGCCCGTATGGCTGAGCGAGGTATTATCAAGAAGGACCCGGTTAACGAGAGTATCTCGCTTGAGTTGGACTTCTTGAACATCTTCATCAGGATGGTTCAAATCTTGATGATGCAACAAAATCGCAGGAAGTAAAGTTAACGTAGTAATGGGGACATCACAATAGCAAGCAAGCAGTCAGTCAGAAGTGGAATGAATCTTTGGAATCAGGCTTGAAGCAGGAGACTTGCCAACATGTGGATTAATCTCAAATATCAGAGGTAGAATGACAACTCTCCTCTCCGGACAACATTAAGATTGTCTAAGGCTGTACAGTGTATAAATGAGTCAAATAAAATAGTGAATTAAAGTAGCCGAAACTATCCCCTATCCCTTCGTGATTCATACTAAATAGCTGAGAATAGTTCGATTTCTCATACGTAACTAGTATAACTTCTTCCTAGTTACATTCCTAGGTTAATTTATGAGATGAAGTGACGACTATACATGAGTAGGGAGAGGAGCTTGACAGATCATTGATTTGTTTCACAAATGCCCACCGCCAAGGAGACCTGGTCGGTAAATTGGATGAGTAACAAGTTATAGCTACGATGATTGGGCGGCGTGACGCTCACAGGTGACCCCGATTAATCGAACATGCGCAGCGGAAACGAGGAAAGCCTCGCCTAGATTCGTAACCAACCGTTTCTTTACGTACCATGTGTAAACTCGAAGCGTTTCGAGTCACATTATGGATAACCTAACCTTTTGTATTTCTTATCCTAGTAAAATAGATGGCTGGAACCCGGTTGGAGTAAGCAATTCAGCTGATTACCCGGTTTTTCTTCTCGTAGAATTATGAGGCTGAGACCTGAATAGGAAATAATAATGATAAAAAGGTAATAATGTATTGATGTACTGCAGGGAAAAAGTAATAAACGTACATAAAATGTACCCGCTAAGTCCGACAATGGCCCTTTCTTTTCTTTCATGACTCCTCCAGTTCTTTCCCCAGCTCTCCCCAGCCTAGCCAGCACTTTCCCATATATACTGTACTATACGTGCTTGGCTTGGGTAACTCAAAAAGTACAGTGCCTAGATAGGGAAAGACCAACCAAAACTTCGGTGAGAGGGAGGCTGCATATGACCCCCTTGTCGGATTTTTGGATTTCTAGGTACAGTAGCTTGCTGCATCTTTTTCTTCTTCGCCTCGCCTCAATTCAATCAATCAATTACTTGCATTACCTTCCCGACTTCATACTGTACAGATGTATGAATGGGGATTGGTTAAAGACCTTGTCGCAATTACCTTGCCTTGATCTTCTTCCTTGCCATTTGCCATTCCGGTTTTCCAACAGAACGAACGCTTTGAAAACCTTCACCTACTTTCGACGTTTTCGACATCATTTTTCTTCGTTACACACCCATAATCAAGTAGCTCGTCATTTGTCGCTTTCCCGCAGGTTCGCAGACACATACTCCGACGCAACCAAGTAGACGATAATCTCGCAATAAATTACCTATCATTCATCCATTGCCATTTTTGAGGTTTAATTGAGTTTAGCGAGGCGAAAAGGTTCCTAATTAGATAATTGGATCTCTTTCTTCCGCAGTGGCCATGAGCCATTCCATGTCTCCATTCAATGGCAAACATATATTCAAGTAAGCTACCCTCATTCAGCTTTGGCCTTCATCTACAAACATTTTTGTATCTACCCCTCATTTCGGCTTCCTGCATATGTCATTAAATTGTCCATGTCCGAGCCTGACCAGTGCTGCGAACTGGTTCCCTGTGCGCGGGTTTTACCTTCACCGCAGCTTAGAATGAGGCTCGATATAATCATCCGACATAACAAAATACTAACCACCATAAAAGTAACGCCCGCTCTAGATTCAAACAATCTCAGCGATTAAAAGACGTCATCAAAAAATTGTCCATAAAACGACTCAAAAACCATAACGATGATGTATCAGATCCTGACGAGGTGGCTGATAATGATGATCAGTCATCTATTGGCAACCCTGTCAGCCCTGCGGAACCCGGCATTCTCACATTGACCAATAACAGCACTAGCATCAGCACTCTGGAAGCTGAACCGAACGATGCTATCGTGCACTCAACGACAAGTTCATCCGAACCGAAAACTTCGGGTTTATTACTTCTTCCTCAAGAGTTATTTGATACCATAACTAGTTATCTAGGTCCAGCCCATATTGTGATACTGGCCCTCGTCAACAAAGAACTCATGAATCGTTTCATGACTTCATGCAAGAAGCTTGAACTATTAGGCGCAGACTCAGAGGAACAGCAATCTTCCTATAAGATGCTAAACGCCTTTGTCAAGAAAGCGGACTCGTCCAAGACTAAGATCCGCGGGACGCTTCTTAGCCTTATGGATTACGACTTGTTGGATTTGGTTTACTGCTATAAATGCAAGAAGCTTCACGATCCCTTCGTAACCTTTAAAGACCGCGCATATGCACCTCATAAAGCTATCCGATGTGCCGATTGGTCTATGGAACATCATATGCCTTCACGTGCGACGAGGAAGTTGCTACGGAGCATCACTAAATACCGTATCCATGGAGCCGACTACAAACACCTGTTACAACAGGTAAACAATACACATACGTTTTACCAAAAGGGTATAATGCTCCAGGTTTCCCTTCGAATGAGATATCGGAATGAAGATCTACTTTTACGAAGGCAGCAAGTCGTCGCTTCGATCGACAAGTCGGCGTTGGGATTGTGGTTATTCTCACAACAGGTTAAACATACACAACCGCTGCCGATTGGTCCTAGTCCACCGACGACATCACCGAGGCTATATACGATATGCAACCACATGTCCTGGATTTCAGTCTTCAAACCATTCGTAGACCAATTGATCAATCCCTTATGCAAGAGAAAGCATACCGAGGAAGAAGGTGAATCACATACAGCAGAGTGTTTCGGTGACGATCGTCTCGACGTATCGGAGCAGGAAGGACATATGGTTTACGAAAGAATGAAATGGAACTCCTCCGGTGATAAACTGAATCCTATGGATACACCTGCACTACTTGGGGATGTCCTAGGTTGTAAGAAATGCACGACGGACTTCAGTATCGATGTTATCTCCTTGCCAGAACCTTTCGGCTGGGGATTCATCTTAACTACATGGCTAGATTTGGGGAAGCTCGACTTCTGTTCGAAATGGGACAGCCACAGAGATGCACGGCCATGTAGGGATTATAACCGAACTTTTCCACATGGAGATATATGCGAAACCTTCGAAGACTTATCGTCGAGATTAGACTATCGTCCCCGAGTCACCGAATCGAATCTAGAGAGGATGCATAATTATGGGTGGAGTGAGCGGGTAATCAACGGAAGAGACAAATTCGTGAATTGGTCCTCAGCGCATACATGCAATCCAACTACAGGAAAGTTAGAGGATCCGGATCCATTAGAGGAGGCAGATTACTGATGATGATTCTGATGAGACATTGACGGCGGCATGGCTTATAGGCTTATTGCCTGAATGACTTCTGACTTCAACATAGCGATATTCATATGCATGAGCAGGTGTTACGGAGTTAGGGAAGAAATTTTTGCTTTCTGGAGATGACGAGAATTTTGAATGCAATGAAAATAAGTAACGTTTTCTCCGACCAATAGCATTATTCCCGGTTGTAGAAAAACTACTAGCTAGGATTCGAATGTTTTCCAAAATAAAGGACGTTCAATCGTTGTCAGCTTATCATCTAAACCATTTACAACCACGTCAAAGTAATGGCCTACTTCTGACCATCTTGGAGTCGATACCTGGCCCGTTTTCGTGAACTTATATATCATCGTGTTAGCAGTCGTTGACTATAACAACCATAGTTATACCGAATTCAACTCAAGCCATCCCAACCAATTCAAGCTTCTTCCCAACCCACTCGACTCGACTCAAATCAACATCACCTCCCCACATCTCACCAAACCACCTCACTGCAGCGGCGGAAACGTCCTCAAGAAATGCGTTGGACACTCGTACCCCGCGGGGTTATGATGCAAATACTGCTGATGGTAGTCCTCAGCATCCCACCATTGTCCCGCCGGCGCGATCTCCGTCACTATTCCTCCTTTATACCACTGTTCATTTGCCAGTTGGGTGACCTCGCGCGCGATGGCTTCTTGTGTGGTGTCGTGGTAGTAGATTCCGCTTCGGTATTGAGGACCTGTGTCCGGGCCTTGACGGTTGGCGGTTGTCGGGTCGTGCAGGCGGTAGAAGAATTCGAGGATTTGACGGTAGGAGAGGCGGGAGGGGTCGTAGTGGATTTGTAGGGCTTCGGCGTCTGGGGTGAGAGCGTGGGTTAGAGATTGGTTTGGGAAAGGGGGGAGGGGAGGGAAGAAAGGGGAGGACTTACGACCAGTTGATCCTGTACACACCGCGCGGTATGTCGGGTTATTCAGATCGCCCCCGGTGTATCCTACGCGCGCGTCGTATAATCCCTTCCCGTCGAAGTGCTTGCGGTATAAATGCTCCACGCCCCAGAAACATCCCGCTGCGATCGTAGCTTTCTCCGCGCCTTCGGGGATTTGTGTCGCGGAGCCGCCGGAGGTGTCGGCTGTTATGCCTAAGCGTGTGCTTGAGGTAAAGGGCCGGAAGAGGCGTGTTGCGAAGGCGGGCATTGTGAAGGCCATTGCTGCGATTAGTGCGATTGCGGTTGCGATTAAAATGGTGGAATTGGTGGAGGTGGAGGTTGGGTTGGAATTGTTGCTCATGAATTTACTATGCTAGGTAGGTAGATAGCTAAAGAGATAGAGGCAATCCGACATGAGATGGATATTCGATTATATAGTGCGATTTAACCGTTGCACCCGGTTGCGATGTCGAGGTTTGGAATTCTTTGTGAATGATTCCACATCAAATCGAGTCCTATCCGACGAGGTTGGTGGTGGTTGGCGGGTCCTAGGTATCTAATGCTAGCTAAATTGGTGACGTTTGGCGTTTTGGCGGGGTGATAATGACAAATCTGTTTCTTATCGAACGCCACTTGTGTAACGAATGATGCGATCTAATTGGAATCATTGTTCATCTAAAAAGCAAAAAGAGCTTGTTATGGAGGTGGTCTATGCTTCTTGCCGAGGTACACTGGGATTTGAGATTTGGATTTTGTCATCGTGACGGAAACAACCTTAATTCGCGATTATAAAAATAGATTTAGAGTATCAAGCTTTACGCCAAAATTGATTGCCGTTTAGATTTTGCTATTAGGTTTAGGTCTTCAAGGTTGTTCGATGTTATTCACGCTTTGACTTCAGGGATGCTTGTGTTTGTCCCTGATTCCATATAATCATGTTGGCCAATGTCGAATTTCGGACTCCGGACTCCGAAAGAGAAACTACAGTACGTTTCCGACGCGAAAAACCACGGTGCTTGAAGTACTAATTAAAAGACTTGACAATTAGCAACATCGATTATGATTTATCACCTAACGTGTTCAAGGGAGCACTCCCTGGCAACTCGATTAAAATGAGTTTCCTTTCTCCAACTATGCTGGTTCTACATAACAAAATTGCTCCCCTTGTCAATAGCGTGGCTCCCTTGTCTCTAATCTATCGTAGGATTCCCGTTCGGCGTCTACAAAACCCAAGAAGCCCGATCATTATCCCAGCTATCCACGCATAATTGTTACATGGAAACAATAACCCCGAGGCTGGTCGGGGGACAAAGCTAGCATTATATACCCCAGAAGGATTAAAGCTTCCCCCTTGAAAGCGCTACCCACGTGCCATGGCAACTGGCGTATTCTTCCCCTTCTTTACCCCTTACGAATACGCGTAAATGCGTTTTCCTTCCCTCCACTCGATCCAGGGTCGCTGTTACGATCACGATTTGTGGACTCGGTAGTGGTCGGCGATAACGTACATCCATGCTTGCCGTGGCATGAACCACTCTCGTGAAATCTGCAGCCGACGATGGAAGCAAACCTTTTATTTTGGCGTCTTTATTAACGACGTAATTATGGTAGATCAAGGTTCCCATAGCTTGGTCCATAGCAGCGCCGATGAACCCGCCATGAACTGTCCCGTTGAACCCGCTTAGACCGGGGCGGAGATCGCATAGGAGAGATATAGATCGGATCACAAACGGCAGGTCGGGGTGTCCGCCTGCGGGGTCCAAAAATGGGTCTTGGTAGAACCCGAGAATATGAGGGACGGCTTCGTCGTTATAGAGGACGCGCTTGAAGAACTGATCTTGCGATCGCGGGCACCCTTCAGGAAGTTCTTGGCTAGGATCTTCACGTGAGACCGGCAAAAATGGTACAATCGCTGGCCCCTGAAGCAGACGGGCACACCAGGGGGTTGAAGAGAAGTAGTCGACAAGCCTGTCAAGGGGTTCAAATGATTCGGAGACGTTCATGGCTGATCGTGGCGAATCGAACTCACGTTGACATTGTGGAACATCTGGTGGAAGTATAGGAGACTTCAACTATCTTGTCTCCGAGAGACGCATACATCTTTACTACACATCCAGGCCCCTGTAGGATATTCGACCGGCAGATGATAGTCGGCGACGTGCAGAAATCCATATCGAACGACACGGTGGGATTGTGGTACAAGAGTAGTATATACGGGTGAATTGTCGGCCGCTATAAAGCGGCATGTGACCTCTGTTGGAACACATGTCGTTATTGTTGGTTTTGGTTTCCAGGCCCGAAAAGAATCTAGAATATACTGCTGACCACGCCCAACATCGCAATTGGTTCTTGGGTTTTTAATGTTGGTAAAATCCAGGAACCTGGCGCCGCGTCTATACATTAGCAGTATAACATCGTTTCTTCAAGAAAGGTTAGTTTAGGTCAGCAAGGTACCTACCAACCAACTATAGGAGTCTTGAAAAGTCTTAGCAGATACCTCTCTAGGTATAAAGACGATTATGTTGGAAGTGTAAACGCAATTCGTATCAAGCCTCCTTGGCAACGAAGGATGATAGGTATCGTCGCAATAACTCTATAAGTCCTAGTATTTTCTTATTGGTTAGTTCCTACGATGCACGTTACTTTAAACGAGCAATGCCTACATACCTAGGTACTTAGGTAGGTATACTTACTACGTGAAGTTATATACCGAATTTCGCCCCTTTATTCCGATTGGAAGCCGATTCTTTAGCATCTGATGCGTTACATTTTCCTCCACAAGTCCTGCGTAAGTCTTTCGGTCTTGTCCGCACCCCCAATTCAATTACCCCCCTGATTTTCTTTAGGATCTTAAGCACACCGCCCCCATGTCGAACCCCCCATTTTCCCCTCGTTCTTGCTGGATGGTACGAACCGAAACCACGTAAAAAGTCCGTCCTGAGTGGGCAGAAATATGGCTGTTTTAGGTATAGATCGTAGTAGGGGAGATGTAACCAGATTCTTCAACACCTTATCTGTTTTGCATCATCCCGCATCCCCTGCTATCATAATCTAGGTCCTTGTCTAGGTCCCTGGTAACTCTTATTTAAAATGTAACCATCAAGAAAATAACACCTCTTTGGGTATAAGGACAGACAGTTACCCACTTCATCTATACGGGGTGTTTGTTTTCGGCTTTTGCGAATTGTGTTGTGCGACGGTCTTCGGACATTTCGATAGCAGCCAAAGTTGGTGGTCATTCGTGATCAAAAGGACCGCCAAGAATGCCTCTTATTAATACATGGGTAGTATCGGAAGCATTATAATTGTATAGCCTGCCTAACAGAACACTATTATAGTATGAATTAGCGACCAAATCTGTAATATATAGTAGGCGGCTGGCCTGTCATCCAGTGAAATGTTCTGCCTAGAGATCTACACTTTATAAGTGCTGACCTCAGATTTCAGCTGAAAGATCTGAAATACTAAAAATCTGAAGGCTAAATTATTAATCCTAGTATGTATGGATGCCTGATTACGTAAATAATCTAATCCATCATTTGACATGATCTTCGCACTTTAAGGCTATTTCTAGTAGGTGCGTTATAGGGGTTGCAGCATTCGCAATCAAGGCAATTTTGCGCAACTTAGACCATAGGACTGCAATCAGGTGGCCTCGGGCTCCGAATATGTGCTATCGGCACTTGTATTTGCATTGTTTTTGTTTCTATCGTGATGGACTAAGTATTAAGTACATTGGGCCTGTGATTGCTTGACCCTCTTGTTGAACCCCTCCATGATACCTTCTATGACCAAGATATCTTTTGGTTGTGTGTACGTAGTTATTAGTACATGTAATACCTATACATCTAGGAGGCCAAATGCCTCATTCATTATCGCTAAGTAAAATGACGTTTTCGTTATATAGATCGATATCGCGCGCTTCTCCGGTCATCGTCAATCGTAAAATTATTATACTCTGTCGCCCGCCGCCACATGTAACTGTTCACTCGATTCCGAGGCCCCGCCTTTTATCGAGTGTAGACTTTGTAATTGCACTCCTTTATTTATATAACCCTTCCCTGAGGGCGAGAGCTCCATGCGGCCATTCCTTTGCCACGTACGGGAACCTTGTCCACCAGAGACGTTCTTGCTCTGACTTGCATCCGCCGAACTTCCGAATAATAGCTTCGCTAGTTTGCTGCCCTTAAAGGCCTTCGGTGCTGTGGGGATGCAGAAAACGAGGAACGCGCATGTTGCTTCGGTAAAAACCCAGAGAACCACGGTCGATAGGGTGTATGTCTTGTCTTCGGAGATGTAAGCATTTATCGCAGTAGCTAAACGGACTACTGCGGCTACACAGCAGCTGTGAATGATATGTTAGCATCACTGTCAGAAGTGAACAGCGGAGGGGTTTTCATACAAGAATCCAATAGCGAAGACCACCGAGATACTCATCTTCTTCTTCTTAGATAGTTGCAAGTTCCAAATGGTCTTGATCGGGAGAATCAAAATGATGACGTCCGATATGAGGTTGATGACACCACTGCAGATGAAGACGACCGATGACTTATGACATAACTGGGCGCGAGGGTTGCAGCTGAAGCTGACGGAGAAAATCGAGGCCATATAGTACATCACGTTGACGATTAAGACGGCTAGGCAAGTCCAATAGAAGGCGTTCTTCGTCCCGTGGGGTACAAATAACCGAATCCACTCAGTCAAAATCGATATCTTGAGGTTCAACATCGTAAGTTCGTATAACACCATTCCAAGGTAGATGATCTTCGAATTATGTTAGTCGTAATATCCCGGGCGCTTAATACATCGATAGTGGGGGGACGAACATGAAGAAACGTAGGTAGGTTCACTGCTGGAACATCCCATTGATGAACGTAGTAACCCGTGAGGTTCTTAAACCAGAATAGAATGTAGACGCATGCTAAGTAAGTTCCCTATTGACACCCTATCGTCAGCCGGTTGTCTCGATCACCTCCATGTTATCCCACATACAAAAGCCAAAAGCGCGAGGACTAGTTTCAATCATTAGCCGGTGAACCGAAAAACATCGGGAAAGGCGTAATTACTATCTTGTATTCGGACCATCTTCATACAGAAGATCCTCGAATATGCACGGATCAATACCGCCGACGACGTTAAAATAATACATATGATGATACCGGCCATCGCTTCGGCATTGCGGTTCGGTGGATTAACGAAGTTGGACTCTATGCCATCGGGCGGCGGCAAGCCTGGAATATTCCGAAAAGACATCTTGCATTACGCCCGCAGCGGGCAGCGATGATTTGCTAAAGTCGAATTGCCCTTTTTCTTTCTCCCTTTTTTTTTCTTCGTCTAACACCCGACTCACAACTCACACTTTCTCGATGGGATATGTTGAAAAGTTCGAAATCATGTGAAAAGAACTTCCACTAGTCTATGGAAAATGGAAAAGAATCATTCCATAGGCCCGTAAGCTCTTATTTGGTCCATAACGCGTGGTGAGAATACTACCTAACAGGCTGCCAGACAGGCATCCCGTAATGCTGCTCAAGAAGGGAAGCTGATGAGACGGGTGTGTTACATAGAGAGAGGGACCAGAAAATCCACTCTCGCTACCGTCAAATCAGACTCTTCAGTATTTTTGTGTGGTGGCGCATGGTTTCTTGGTACCTTGGGTAGGTGTACCTCGCCGCTGACTGGTCGCTGGATTGTCCCCGAAAAATCCTAACAACGATACATGTCTGATTACAAGGCGTGCAAGACTGGATGCTTCGTGCCGCATATGCATACTTTCCCTAATCAACGATCAACGTGCGTGGCGAAGGATTACGCCCAAGAAAAAATTGGAGTTGGTTGCAATCATTTTAGGTGGGTGGTATCGAAGGATTTCTTGTCTTCCTTCGAAGAATGGGGACTTAATCTACCGTGAGCGTTAAAGAAACGACTCGTGGTATGTTGTAAGGCTTTAAGCTGACCACCAACAAAGCTGAATAAATTGCTATGAAAAAATTATGTGGTTCAACTTAGTTGATTGGTGAGGTGGGAATGGTTAGGTACACAGCAGCTAGACGTAGTACAACAACGAGGTCGCGAATCTTGTGTACCTAGGTAATTATTAAAATACCTCACGAAGGGTGGTATGTTGCAATAAGGTTTCTCAGATTCCATGCAGATTTCTAGCTAGAATGCGACGTTGGGTTACATTGTGCCTTGAATCGAACATCTGATGAAGTGCTTTGAAAAGGGTTGCTAATGGGAGGCATAAACTTGATCATCATTATTAACAATGCGTATTCTTGTCATAATACCGATAAGGCTTGTCGAGGTTCAACGCTGTGTCCTTGTCATAAACGTTTCGAACGGTTATTGTCACACACACACATAAGTATGTGTGTGTAGGTATGGGTGTGTTTAAGAGCCGCGCATCACTGTAACAACCCGTGGAATCCTTCCGGAACGATACCATAGTACCCCTTTCTCATCGGAAGCAGCGGCTGCAGCATCAGCAACTTCACCCGCATCGATTCTCTGCGACGAATATCAGAAACCTTTTCAATATCTTATTTCTTGGAGTTTCATACCGCTTGTCGAGTCTTCTCAGGGTCGGGCTCAACCCATTGACACATAACAAATGCATCCCAGAGAGCCTGCCAATAATTCTGTTTGTCGACGTGGTAAAGGGGTCCAAGCAATGGCTTGATTGCGTCGGTGGCGTCCTGGGCGTAGTAATGCGGGATACGACTGCGGGGGGTTTATGTAAGTGATTGCGGACTTTTACTAAAGCGGCGTCTGATACCAAGACTCACGGGAATAGATGGTGAATCACATGGAGATCAATGATGTGATGCAGCATGTATTTCAAAACAACTCCGGGATCTCTATCGACCGTAGCAAGAGCTCCTCGAAGATACGTCCAGCTTTCGGGGTTATATTTGGGTAGGTCAGGCGATGTATGATGAAGGTAGGTAATCATCACTAAGGTGGGCATTAGTCACACCGGAGTATACTATAAGCGCTAGGTGAGACAACATACCAATCCAGTGGTTCACCCACATCCATGGCAAAACGTATCCCCAAACAACATTCCACGATCCATATTTCTCTCCGGCCAGATAGAGAACGTAGCTCATTCCAAGGATACCAAGATCTGACAGGACAATATTCAAGCCTTCGGAGGGACGAAACAAGGAGCTAGTTGGTAGGAAGTGGCTATTGTCCCACCATCCTCTAGACTTTCTTGGAGAACTGTTGGGGCCGGCTGTGATATGTGTCAGGAGGTACCAAGGCCAACCAAGAATTTGTTGGAGTACGATTCGAAGAAAGACCACTACAGGAGCATCTTCTGCCATGTGTTCTAGGTCGACCTTCTTACGGAACGATTCCTTGTATTCGATTTTGGAAAATGGTACGTAATTTAGGTCAGTCGACATGTTGTTCGCATATTGATGATGTCTCCCGTGTGACGACTGCCAAGCAAAGTAGGGGGATAGGAGGAAAGAATGGGCGAGGAAGCCGACAAAATTGTTCACCGACTTGTATTTCGAGAAGGCTCCGTGGCCACATTCGTGTCCAACTACCCAAACGCCAGTAAGAGGGAGGCCGGCGAGGAAAGGATACACGACGAAGCGGAGAAGGCGGCTTGGCCAAAACTCAAGCTGGGGCTCTAGCCATAGGGTACCGGCAAGCAGGCTGCCCCAAACGATGAGGTCTGAAATAACATAACTAAGAGACCGAGCGATAGTAGGTTGAAAACAATGAGCGGGAATGGCTTCGCGGAGTCTCTTGATGTCGACGTTGACGCCCTGTATAGGCTGTTTCGTGTTAGCTAGACCCCTTATCTTGGATCATACACTTACACCATCTTTGACGATCTCCCCATGGATTGTCTCAGTGACATATGTCTCGCTCATCTTGAAAAAACTATAGGGAAGTGCTAAAGTCCCGGATAGATACCTGACCTTGATCAGCAGCCTACCTTCTCGAGTTTCCTCTCCTCCTACTTATATAGTAAATCCACTCTACGTACCTATAGGTATATGGGTCCTAACTTACCTACCTATGCATTACCCACCTAGGTATCTTGGGCGTCTATTGTCTCCGTGAGGACCTCTATCCCATTTTGCCTATTCGGTATTGCCTTCGAAATGGTTACATCCCCCACATCGTGTCTTTGTCCATTCTCCCAATCAGGCATGTACCATTGTATTCGGTAGCCGGCAGCGTTTGGTTGGTCTTCAGCATGTGAGAGATCTACAAACTCGCCGAGAGAATATAAGAGATGGCGTATACTCTTAGGACTATTACTAGTCATATCTAATCCACGAATGAAGTGATATGTCTTTTTGCATTTCTGTCTCATCAATACGACGTCGGGTTCCACCAATGCATAAGGTCGTACTGCCAAAACCTCCATGCATACTTAGGTATCTACCTAGAAATGTTATTTAGACAACCAAAAACAACATTTATACGTACCTAATACATTTAAGCTTACTTCATACCCGATACAAGATGCGGTTAGCTTTGTTATTCCCAGTCTTGGAAGTAAGGGGGGTCTCGGCCCCCAAGGTGGGGAGAGCCTTAGGTGGGACCTCGGTGTTAATATGTTCTTTATCATTAATCAGCTCCTTTAAGAGCTGAATATCTTGGTTCAATATTCAGAACTCGGAAGTTTTCCAACGTTGAAATAGGTCCATTTCAGTCGAACCAGGAAAGATAGAAAAAATGTTTGCGACGACCGAAAATCTGCTCCCTAACATCATTAGACGACAGAAGTCTAGAACGAGGCCATTTGCCAGTATAGTTGGAGTCGAAGGTGTAATCCGGAACGTGACATTCTCTGACTTGGAAAATGCCTCTAACAGAGCCGCGTGGTATCTTCACAAGAATATCGCTGATGATCAAGTGCTCTACATGGGCCCAAACGATATCCGGTATCTTATATGGGTAATTGCAGCTGTTAAGACCAGGAAATGTGTAAGCAACAGATCCCTCCCATGCTAGTGGATTTCCCCATATCTCGTTTAGATCTACCAACCACCGTTCAGTGATGACATTGCAGCAACCTTGAATGATCTTGACTGAAGTTTTTTTCAGGTTTTGTTTCCATCACTTGCCAATCAGATCCCAGCAAACCAACGATTCTTCCAAACAGTTGGAGCCAAGACTCTTTTATACGCCCCTGAAGTGGCTGGTCTGTTAGGACCTCTATTAGAGGCAACACGAGGCTCTATCGAACAGGTTGCGACCCCAACCTACGAAGAGCTGACGAGTGAAGATGTTGCGATAGAGTATCCTTTCCTTAAATCTTATAATGAAGTTAAAGATACCCGATTCATGGGTCTTCATACGTCAGGAACATCAGGCCATCCTAAACCCATCTACTGGACTAACTCCGCCCTCACTACGATTCCTGCATTTCTTGACCCTGACGTCAAGGACAGCGACAGGAATGGATCGAATCTGATGTTCGATCTCTTCCAAGGGAACAATATACTTGTTCCATTCCCACTATCTCACGTATGATGACGATTCTGCTGTGATTCTTCGAGATCGTGCACAGCTAACTAGATCTCTAGTTTGGTGGTATGGGGTCATCTCTGGGCTCCATTTACTGCGACAACACAATAGTCCTCCCAGTACCGGGCGTGCGGCTAACTCCCGAAAATTACACACTCCTTCTACAGCATGGCAAGTGCACGTCGACTGCCACGCCTCCTTCCATATTAGAAGCGATGCTTAATTACCCCCTTGGAGTGGAAGCCTTGGCCAGCCTTAAATGTGTTGGCTACACAGGCGGACCTGTAAATCCTAACCGCGGGGAGATTCTAGCTAATAAGATACCACATCTCTTCCCTATTCTAGCTAGTACCGAAGGTGGAATTGGGCGCTTCGTTTCCTCAGGGGATAGCTCGCACTGGAATTCGTTCAAGTTTGTCGACGTAGGCCAGCGAATGGAGGAAGTGGCACCGGGAATTTACGAGCTGGTATACCCCCGAACCGATCTCATCAACCGAGTGCACGCCTATTTCCACACGCACCCCCACTTGAAACTGGAGTTTCGCACTTCCGATCTATTCTCACCCATAGATGATAAAAATGAGTGGTGGGTATACAAAGGCCGGGCCGATAATTGGATTGCCATGTCCAACGGTCTCAAGATGGATCCCTCGGAAATAGAACACGACATCGCTTCGCATCCAGATGTCATCGGCGTCGTAGTAGCTGGCGCCCACCGTTTCCGCTTATGTGTGTTGATCGAATTGAACAAGCCGGTAGACGATCAATCCTTAGACAACATATGGCCGATTATCGAGGAAGCGAATAAGAAAGCGCCGAAATTCGGACGACTTCCGAAAGAATTGGTTCTATTCGCGACACCAGAAAAGCCATTCCTACGAGCTGGAAAGGGTACCATTCAACGCAGGTTGACCATCCAGGCTTACGAGGTAGAAATCAATCGGCGGTATGATGAGGTTGAGGAAGGCTTGCTTACTAGTGGCATACCCCTACCTGCATCGATCGAGCCTAAGGATTTGATTCCTTTCTTAAAGGAGTTATGTTCGGAGACTCTACTTGATGAGAATGCAGGTGGTGATATTGGCGTTGATGACGATATCGTTGCGTTTGGCCTCGATTCTCTGTCGTCGTTTGTCCTCTTAGCGCGTTTGAAAGCTGCGTTGCGGAAATACGGCGTCGAGACTGAGAAAGTGCACCTTGTTAACAATAAGTTATTATACACCGCACCGACAATCCGACAGCTAGCTGAGAAGTTGTCTCAACTACTATCTACGACCGGACAATCGAGTGAGGCAGTTACTGATAGCCATGATGTGACGATTAAATTACTGGAGAAATACGGTGCCGAACTTCAGAAGCTTGGAAAACCCAATGCATTTAAAGCAGGAGGAAAATCCGATGGTGAGGTTGTATTACTGACTGGATCAACGGGTTCCCTCGGCTCGCACATTCTGGCTTCACTTCTTGCTAAGAGTGACGTGAAGAAAATATTCTTACTTAACCGAAATGGAGACACTAAGTCACAATCCGCCTCCCTTAAATCTCGAGGCCTGCCAAGTTCGCTGGTCGACGATAAGCGCGTTGTCTTTTTCAAGATCAAGCCCACAGAACCAAAGTTCGGGCTCTCAGATGGAGACTACGCGTCGCTTTCGCAAGAGACTACAGCTGTCATCCATAACGCATATCCGGTCAACTTCCTTCTCAGCGTCCAGTCTTTCGAGCCGCAATTCCAATTCTTGCTGAGTCTGCTTAAGTTGGCGGTTGATAGCCCGCAGAATCCCGCAGTGCTGTTCGTGTCTAGCATCACTGCCGCGACACCAGCGACCGTAGGCGCAGATGGCGAAGCAATACCAGAGGAAGTTCTGCACCCAGAGAAAGCTAGAGGCTTACTTCAACAGGGTTATGCTCGATCGAAATACGTTTGCGAGCGTCTTCTGGCCAATTATGCATCTCACTTGGGAGGAAGGGCTTCGGTGCTCCGAGTTGGTCAGGTATGCGGCCCATCTTCAGGGACAGGAATATGGAATATGTCAGAATGGGTACCATCTCTAGTTCTAAGTTCCAAATTCCTTGGCGCTATCCCGGAGTCTTTGGGTAGCCTTGAAGTGAATTGGGTGCCTGTCGACAAGTTGGGCGACATAGTCGCCGAGATCGTATGCGATGCCTCACAACACGAAAAGCCAGAAGAATTCCAAGTATTCAACGTCGTCAATCCCGCGATAACCTCTTGGGGCGCGCTACTCCCAGCGCTCAAAGCGATTGGGTCTGTGGATGTCGTATCCGCTTCTGAATGGATCGACAGGCTTGAAAAAAGCGACAAGGATCCCCACATCATCCCTCAGAACCCCGCCGCCAAGATCGTGGACTTTTACAAACAGACAATGGTGGTGGATGAGCAAAAAGCAGCGAAGATCGAAGTTGCGAATCTCCTACGTGCAAGTCAGACTGCAGCGAATCTGCCGCCGATCGATCAAGGACATATGGCACGGTGGATGCAGGGCTGGGGATTGTAACGGATGTGTTTACCAGGTTTCTTGAAGACCCCGCATGTAACAATCTACTTCAGTGTAGGACAAAAATCTAGATGATGTAATTCTGTTATTACGCCGGTTTCGACCGCAGGATTAGATGATACAAACGGCTTTCGATTTTCTTTTTTTGCTCACGATACACTGCATCCCAGGACGTACCCCCCTCAGGTTGTACGATACTTTCCGTGTCCAGTATGACCCAAGCCACACTCTTTCCGAGACAATAGCGCCGGCGAGAAGCTCCACAATGTAAGAAGCCTCTAATGCACGAAATCGAGTAAGATGTAGACACCGCACTGTCCGGTCGATCGTACTCGACATAATTATCAGGAAATCCAGATTACATCGGTATTGAATGGAATAGTCTTTGATGCTAGGCAAATAAAATATGGGTTTACAGTTATCTGCAACGCCTATGTCAAGGCGCTCCATTGACGCGGGGCACGACGTCGATCTCTACATCAGATACGGGCACTGGCATTCGGAGCTGTAAAAACTCCGCAAATCACCTATCCACCTACTTAGGTAGGTCTAGATAGCTGCGTATGGCTAGCTGAAGAGTTACATCGTCAAGAATACCTCTACTAGATCGAAAGAATCATGTAGATACTTTAATAGATGCGTGTGGCTGACCAGGGACATGGAACAGTTCCGGTAACACTACATATTTAATTTAATTATTCTTGTTATCTCCCCCCCCCCCCCCCTTAAAGAAAAATCGTTACACAATGGCGTACTCAAACAGTGCCGATAAAACAGTGGACGACGAAATCGAACACTATCAAGTTGTTCCTCTAGACCGTCCTTGTCAACACTGCAAGGCTCTCGGACTCGATGATGCGGCGCTTAGAGGCACCATCAAGCAATCCGAAGATGGAACAAGATTCGTTGATTTTGGAGAAGTGCGACAAAAGAATTCCGAGACAAGAGGCGTCAATTTCATGACACTAGCCGCAATGGCTGGTCAAGGCAATACAGACGAAATAAACACTATTCCTAAGTCGGAGCTAAAACTTGATTATAAGCGATACGATACTATTCCCGATCTTCCCGGCTTTGAATCTACTGCTTCCCAGGGATGCGCATTCTGCAAGATATTCAGAAAGGATTTGGAATTAGCATGGGATAGAATCAAGGATGGGGTTAAACAAGATTTCGAAAATGGGTATCAAGCAAAGCTTACCGTTTTTGAGGTGGCGTACCAGCTGCATGAAGCTTCTTATAGCGGTGGCGATGATAAACGAATCTGTCTTGATTCACTTACCGTGTGCTTTACCGTCGAATGGGGAAGCGAGGAAAGCTCTAATCACTCACTGACCTACAATGTCTGTACTGACGCCGTTGGTAAGACAACAACCTCACATGTTGCCTGGATGAAACCGAGCTGACGCGAGTTAGACCCATGCGCATCGTGGCTCCGGATCTGGCGTAGACCTCTATCTAACAAACACTTATCGCCACCTTCAAAGAGGCGCCTAGATGAGCTTGTCGCCAAGTCCCTCCTTGAAGTCCCCGCTCCTACCGATAACAAGTACTACCCCACACGTCTCCTAGATGTCGGCTCAAGTTTTAGCACGAAGTTGCGTCTTATCATCACAGAGAAAGATCCCGAATTCAGAGAATCGATAGGCGCTGGTGGAATAAGATACGCGGCGTTGAGTTATTGTTGGGGTTCTAAGGAGCGAGCTGATAAACAACTGAAAACGACTAACGATACACTCCAAAATCACGTTTCGCAGATTGAATTCGAGAAATTGCCACAAACGGTTGTGGACGCTATTCAAGTATGCCAGGCCCTCGGGATTAGGTATCTTTGGATAGATGCTCTATGCATCATCCAAGATAATGCGCAGGACTGGGCTCAGGAAGCTTTCGAGATGTCTAACGTTTATGCCAATAGTTTTATTACGTTGTGCATTGCTCAAGGGGACTCTTGCTTGAGCGGGTTCTTGACAACACCCCACGCCCCGCAGATGCTAAAAATCGTCTTCCAGTCGAAGTTAGATCCTTCTGTTAAGGGAAAGATATACCTTCGGATGCAAAACTCTCCCCGGGATAACTTTAAGACATCTAGGATGGCGTATATGCCACTCGTCGATCGTAAACCCGACGAACCTGGCCGAAGGGATATTGAGGGAGCCGCTTGGAATAAACGAGGATGGACATTTCAAGAAGCTTGGGTTTCCCCACGACGACTCATTTTCGGGCAACTAATGTTCCATATTGACTGCGGGAAACTACATGAATCAGCAGACGGGTCAATGTTCAACAGCTATGGTTTACCTTCATGGAGCAGCGAGGAGGGTAAAAGTCTCTTGAACAGTTGGTACATCCTCGTCACGCAATACGGCAAACGGGAGTTGTCATACGAAAGTGATAGATTTCCAGCTCTTTCCGCGCTTGCAAGGACTATATCCGAAAAGTTGCAAGGTCAAGAATACTTAGCTGGGTTATGGAAATCAGATTTGCATAAAGGGCTTCTTTGGTCCCCTTCCCATTGGGATGACCTCGCAAGTTACTTGAAACGCTCAGAGGGTAAGTATGTGTCGCCCTCTTGGAGCTGGGCATATAGTCCCGGGTGGCTGAGTTGGATGATGCCAGTTGGCACGGACCTTTATCCAACATCACCAGAATTCGATCTTAAGAGTCATAACATTGCCGTGGAGGAATTCAACTCATTTGGTCGAGTTTCAAGTGCAACATTGGAACTATACGCAAAGACCTTCCAATTTCCGCTGTCTAAGGGCGAAGGGAAAGTAATCAAGGTTCCAGATGATGAAAGGAGATGGGTTGGGATGAATTTCCATTTCCAACTGTTATCTGACAAAGACGAATATATAGCTTCTCTCCGCTTTGATTGGCAAACCCTCGGCAAAGACACTTACCTAGAGGATCCGATAGACAAACTATGGATGGTATTGATCTCGCGTAGCACCCTCAAGTGCGCGCCACTTTCTTGGAGACCGGAGGATAGAGAAAATAAATATTTGACAAGCCCAGAGATAATGATCGGTCTTTTACTGTTTCCAACTGAGAGAGAGGATGAGTTCGTCAAAGTTGGTTTATGGTTCTCTGAAACCCGAGGTGAACAAGGCGGAAGCAAGTTCTGGGATGATATTCCGAAACGATTAGTTAAACTTGTCTAATGCCTGGATCAAGAGGATCGATTCGAAAATTTCCATTCCCCTGAGTCACGTGACAACAATCACAGCACCGACCTGAGTACGTCCCGGGTACACTGGAAAAGTTTTCTTCTATTATCTTTCAACTTGGAGTTCCCCAGCCTCCTTCGCTACATGTATGTTTCCATTACGGGTAACATTATCAAGGCTAACGTCCAAACAGACCAAAGCTTCCAAGCGCGAATATCACCCTCCTTACTACGACAAAGAAACAGATTTCCTATGAGGATTGCTTCTGCCACGACCGCAAACAAATGCTCCATCCACCCCACTGTCCAATACCAACACGCTACTTCGGTCCAACCTATAATACCTAGAGTCAATACCACCCTAGCCGGTATATCTCCGATCATAAGTGGGATGGTTCGCCGCCCAGCCGCCGCATCTCCTTCGACATCGCGAAAGTCTTGTGTGTGACTAGTAGTACCGAATGTAGCCGCAAGTATGAGCAGCCATTTAGCAGCATCGCCTTGACCAGCGAAGACCGAATGTCCAGTAGCGACCTCGAACGGCCCCGCGAAGAAACAGGCGACCCCCACTCCGTTAAGGGCGTTTTTCATGATACCATCGTCGGCGCCTCCGAATTCGTTATAATATACGTGGAATGTAGTCAAGGCGGCATACGGAACTAGCCCTCCGATTGTGAGGCCAACAATAAGACAGAAGGGATGCATGATATATAGGAGTCGCGTTGCTTGTTCCGGGGTAAGTCGTCCGGCTGGGATCGGTCTCCATGATTTGTTCAGCTTATCTTCGTTGATTGTGGCTTCCTGCTTCTGGTTGTGGAGGCAGAATAGAAAGAGGTTACACCATGACCATAGTAGCATGGAAGGTGTTGATGCAATGATATCGTGAATGGAGAGGGCGGGACCCATGGAGAAGAGGGGGGCGATGGTGGCATTGAGTGCACCGAATAGGAATCCACTAAGGATAATATCTCCGACATTGCTGGCGCAGGTAAGATATACCGTTTCGAGATGATAAAGAATGGAGTGGACGAAGCTAACAAAGGACTTCGAGAAGGAGAGAAGAGTTGTGGACGGGGCTTGCAATGCCCGGTGCTGGGTCTTGCTTGAACCCATAATAAATACTATTTGAATGTTTGTTCGAAGTCGATGCTGCCTTGGGATTTTGAACTTGAAAACCAGGGATATTCACTACGAATTGGGCATATTTATATGATTGTTCATATATAGGATCGGCTGTATGGAAGGATGAATAACACCTATTCTCGTCACTTACATCCATGAAAGCCTTGGGGGCTGCTGACGCATCTACGGGTATCGTACACGATGCAACATCGGGATCCCGAAGACTTCAAAGTTTTCACCTTGGTAAGGTGACCTTTCTAGGCGGCCTCGGTAACCATAAGAGATATGTACGGACGTGCGTGATGGGTAATTCGGGTAGTAGACTCAGCCTTGTGTTCCGGGGTACAGAGCTCACTTCTAATATCATCCGAATGCAAAGAGGCCTGATGCCAAGCTCCATAAATCGCTGACCAACTAGCTGATTTAGCACATGATTATCAAGAGATGTGTCCCCATAAGGAGGCCCTTCTACTACTTTCGTCGACATTTGGGGGGCGTTATAGGACGCAAGGGCTATGGGAAGGATCGTCTGTATCTGCAAATGATCATACAATTGAAACTCGGTTCTTTATTTGGACATGTCATTTTTCGGATAGGCGGGGAGTAGCCGAAGTAGGCATACCATATATACTTTGGATACTGATGAGACTAACGTCAGCCATAGGGGGTTTATTATAATTCATACTCACGATCGGAAATTATTGGCCCGGAGAATACGTATCGGTTATTCAGATAATTGTGGTACCCAACATTCTTAGTCTAATAATATTCGAACGGACTTCGAATCCTTCTATTATTGTCTCCCCCCCTATAGTTCGGATTCCATCTTATAGCAAGAGGCTATTTGCGGTCCAAGGATACAACCCCCAGAATAACAAAAATATTCTAGCTACACCATTCTTCTATTTCTTAGCAGATGCCAAGGCTACCTCCCTTACATACCAGCCAATAACCAACGCCGTACCAGGTCCTACACAGAGCGTGATGACAGGCAGCGAGGCAGAATAATACAGCCACTCGTTCCCCATCAAACCAGCAGAGTACAAATCGAAGAATGAATAAGCCAACCATAATAAAGAACTACCAAAGGAACCCAGCTGATCTGCTTGTAAGGCTCTTCGGATAAATGGGACAAATTCAGACTGCTCTTCAGCTTCTGGAAAAAAAAGAGCAGACAGAGAGTACGGAGAGAATAAAAGTGTATGAACCCAGACTCCAGCAGATATCAATCCTAGTACCACCAACAGCAACCTAGGCGACGCGGAAGGACGTCCTTTAAATTGCAAGATGTTAAGAACTGGCTCGACTATGATGTTGGCAAGTCCAATCCAAAAGGGAACCAATTGCCAAGCCCAGGTCCAAAAATGTCTAGTCGCCATGTTTGGGGCCAAAAACATGGCGAGTACGACGGATGTGTGAAGCAAGAGTACGATTGGAAGTAGTGGTACGCTACTTTTATTCCATACGCCGATTTGTCGTGTTGAAATATGGGTCAAGTCGGAAGATGTCGGTCCAAAAGTGATGTATAGGAAGTAGTATACAGCCGCAACAGGTCCTATACCTAAGAATTGGGCCGCGAGAGTGAACACTGTCGGTCTATTCATCGTTAGTAACCCAATAAAGCTACCCGGGTGAGGTTATAGAGGGTGGTTTTTTTTTTTTTTTTGAACGTACAAGTACGCTAAAGTCCAGTTGCTTGTGCGACGATAGGACTCCAGAATCCACAATGCATACACCGGGCCGAGGTCGATGAGGAACGAGAAGACTTGCCACGAAGCAACGCTATCATAACCCAAAGTTGATGTCGAAAACGTCGCCATACCGCCTCGCCAAATTTGGTCAAAAAAGTCGATATTGTGAAAGTGGTCAATTATGGTGACCTTCCCTCCGTCCCATTCAATCACACCAGCGTCCGCGAATGGTTTGGTAAGGACAGACATCTTGTCAAGGTTCATTACCTGCCAAGTCCAGACTGCAATGAACAGGAATGGTATCGCGCTAACCGCGCGCAGAGTTCTAACCCAGAAAGACGCCATGATGATTTTCCTTGGTGTTGAGAAGAAACGACGAATTTTCTGAGAAGCTCAACAAGGCCCTTAGGGGTGACTGAAGGGAATCTCCCTAGGTAAATACCGTGTTTGTGATTGCAAAACACAGTGATGGCTTCTCAATCAGCGGAGTTCGGAGTTATCCCTTACAGATAAATGAGATGGCGTATAGATTATACATATACTCTCATTTAAAAATCATTTCAGGCCGGGAAGGATTCAACTCCTGCAGCAGTTTTTTTTTTTTTTTCTTTGTTATTAAATTCAACGCCTGGCTTCATCCATCGTGTGCGACAAACGCAGCCTGCCTCGAAATCATGACCATGACCTGACAGCTGTGTAGAATTTTCATTTTGTAATACATCAACAGAAGATGCTGTCGCACGCATGCTGGTTGGTAAGAAGGTCGCATACAACGTCGAAGGAAGACCTTCTGATTTGTTGGGTCGTTATTAATATGCAAGGTGAAAGGAGGGGATGAAACGAGGGTGGATAGGTAACCAACAACTGACAGAATAAAGTGCTGACCATGCGAGAATTACCGTACGCACGTCGGTTGTGCCGCCCCATATCCGACGACACAGTCGAATACAGTGTAATACAGTGTCGACTATACGTCTAGGACATAATCTGACGCCACAAATTCTGACTGGTCGGGTATTGGTAGCATCGCATAAAGTTTCTCTGGTTTTTATAGCCCTACGCTTATTGAAGAAAAGGGGGCGGAAAGAAATTTGGTTTGGTGGAGGGTTGGGGTTGCAGTAACACGATAGTCACAGCCGTCAGCTTACATTCAAGCCATAATCGATTATATCCACGTAGTCGCCGGTCCCGAAGTAAGCTAAGTTTATATGATTTAATCAGGGGTGTAGGGGATATCAGATCATCAAATGTCTTAATGATTTCTTACATGAAGAGTGCCGGTCCGTCTTTGCGGGGGATAATAAGCGAAAATTCTTAACTCGAACGATGACAACTAAACTTTCAAGAGAACGAACTAACGTTCCTCATCGTTGAAGCTCTCACCATGTCGGCGTTTACTCCAGAGCAGATTCAGTATCTAGAGGAGCATATTGATGAGACACTCGTCCCGTCCATTTTCATCTCTAATGGAATCTGTCTTGGCGCCGCCACTATCTCCGTAGTTCTGAGGTTCTTCTCCCGACGTCTCAGTGGCTCAGGCTTGGACAAAGATGACTACTGCCTCTTCCTTTCTTACGTTAGTCTTTCTGCTTGAATCCTTCAACATTTCGTGTAACTAGGCGACTAACATATTCTCTAGGTCCTATACGTTGGCTACGTAGCGTCATTGAACACAATAACTCAGTTCGGATACGGTCGACACGTAATACTCGTAACGGACTTCAGGAAATTCTCAATAGTTAGTGTTGGCCCCTCTCCGGGATGTCCGGGATAGAACTAAACCCCTCTAGTTGAGCCTCGTAACGATGAGCTTCTATGTGTTCGGGATGGCGTGTGTAAAACTCTCCAGTAAGTGCCCGTCTAGGTATCATTTAGTTTGATCATCGATATGAGCCCCTCGAACTTCCCCCCCCAGATTATGAAACAACTTTACCTAACGTCGTTCATAACAGTTATCTTTCTTTACCACCGAATCTTCCCCGGCAAGCGGTTCCGCAACGTACTCATCGTAATCGCTGGTATCGTTTCGTCCTGGGTTTTCGCGGCCTTCTTCGCTAGTATCTTTAGTTGCTACCCCGTCGAGAAGTCATGGGATAGTTCCATCCCCGGAAAGTGTATTGACTATGGAACCGTGACTCTGGCCATCGGAATAATTAATGTCTTGCTTGACTTCCTTATCCTTGGGACCCCAATGCACCGGCTCTGGAAATTACATATGTCTACTAGGCGAAAAGTACTTCTATCGGGGGCGTTCGCAACAGGTTGCATGTAAGTCCTGGCAATCCTTTTATTTCAATGTGCATTTTTTTAATTGAACAAAGCGCTTGCTTCGTGAGCATCGCTCGCTTATTCTATGCGCGGAAAGAATCCATGTCATCTACCTCGAATGTCACAATGTCGGACGGGGAGCAAACTTCAATCTATGATCCGAGTTGTAAGTACCTACCAATTTCCTACTAAGACACCGTCACAACGTTTACGTCGGCCCTTGGCTTACTCCTCTAGGGACCGATGTTTGGCCCGGAATTCTATCTGGTCTCGAAATCTGTACTGGAATTGTTGCATGCTGCACAATTACCTACCGGCCCCTTATCGAAAAATTCTTCCTGTCGCCGTCGGGCGAAAAATCAGATGTGTCTCAAGGGTCTTGGAATAAGATTAGTGTTAACCAAGAGGTTACGGTTATGGACAATTCACAGGCCAACTTGACCCACACAGAAGACAATGAAGAATCTCGAGCATGGGAACTTAGGGCGAGAGGATTGGATGGGCGTTGGGAATAGCTTCTTGGGGTTTTATTTTCAATACTCCTCCTACTATGCCTTCGATTGGAATTGTTTTACATACCCTACACCTTATTAGTTGAATAATTAGGTAGTAATAGGTGCTGCTTGGTTAGGTACCTAGGTAGTTTCATCCGTTACACAAGCTCGTGTGGGTCTATAGTAACCAATCATCATCAACTCAAGTTACAAATCAGGAAATATATTAACTCTCACAAGACTTAAAGACATTCTTCTCATCCTCTCGAAATCTTAAAGTGCTCGGCAAGCTTCGTAATTTGTGGAAGTGAGCTCAATAGATAGCGATTCGATTGGTTTAGAAGAGTTCGATTCTTATTGGCCTATTTTCTGCACCTGGGCAGGCAGAATAACGAAAAAGTCTCTAAAACATGCGACTATTTCGAAGGGATCCGTTACCTAGGTAGCTAGTCCGTTATGCATGAATTTAATTGCAGAGGGAGGAGAAACGCTTCCAACCACCTAATTGATACGAGATCTCAAAGACATCTTCATTTATGATTTCCCTATTCCCATGTCCCAAACTAAGGCTCCTCCGTGATGTGACCCTTCCCTGGGACCAGACCACTGACACCATAATCTTCACTCATAACTCCCTGTGATCATAGCAATACAATGTTGGTTAAACGGGCCCGTTCCACCTTTTAATGGGTAAAACTGGGGTAAATTCGACATCCTGGCCGCCGAGACGCCCTCTGTCGTGACCCGATGTATTCATCTCCATAGTAAAATTTTGCATAGTTCTATATAGGCCTTCGTCACCGATATAGCCATCATCCCTGGCGTTGAAGACCCAATGGTCACGTTTCCAACTGAACGACCACCCATATGCACTCTCGAACTCCCACCAAAATTGCTCATCCCTGCTGTTATCTGCAGGCTTCATATCCGGTGGTATTTTGACGAGAATAAGGAATGTTTCTAATCGGCTATGAAATAACAACAACTCAGATACGTCAGTCCCTAGGTCTATAAATGTTTCCTCGGAAATAGCGATGTGTCGGAGGGTTGATTCAATAGGAACGCTCGGGCCATTGTATGGTGCAAAGTCAAAAGACTCAAGGATGGAGTATATTAACTGTTTTTGAGAAACGTAGATTGCATCAAGGGCTTGGTTGAAAGGGTAGAAGAAGAGAAGACATTGTTTATCCTTGGTAAGACGCGACTTCGTAAACCCATTCTCGCGAAGCCAACTCAAGGCAATATGGCGAGCTTCATGGCTAACGAAGGCCAGCGGCAGCTCAAACCAGGTCCCTTCCACCAGATCCGGGCGAAATACGGTGTGAAAATTAAGGCGACTTTCGGGGTCATAACCTGCATCCGACTCATGTAGGGGTTCTGGTCGCCAGCATCCTGTCTTATAGATATACAACAATGGCTTGACTTCTTGGGGCAGAACCTCGCGCCATATCTGATCACGTAATTCGGCAGGTAATTTTGGAAATAAAGGGAACGTCAAAGAGCTAGATTCTGGGTCTGCCATGTTCTTTGGAGAGGCATTTTGGTTTGTGCGGGGATGCGAAAATGGAAGAGCAAAACTGGGATGAGATTTTAGCGGAGGCATGTGAGGGCTGATCATTAGGCGCCCCATGCCCACCCCATCGTACCAACACGTTGCAATTATTGTTAATAGCGTCACTCAATTATTTTACTTAATAGTTAATCTTACGACATGTTGATGGTCCAGCCTCATCAAGCCAAGCTGATGCTTGAAATCGATTTCGATCAACCCCTACAGGGGGCCTTGGCAATGTTGCAGAACCCTGCGGGGATCCCTGATTCGAACCGTGCGCAAGGCAACTTGAAGAAGGTCGAGGCATGTCTAGACGACCATTGAAGCTATGTTGCAGACCACGTTTCAGGGAATGGGAAATTTCAAGCGACGAAGTTCCAGAACGTGAGGCCTCACGAAAGATATGACGTCGCGTCCCAATATCTCATCTGATAAAAATCTCACAAATCTCCAGGGGAGTCGGATCGAATTTGGGAACATCATCGAAATCACCAACTTCGTATTTCATCCAGCGTTGAGCTGTACTCTCCACAGCTTATTACCCACCCTTGGTATTATATTGACGCGCGACGCGCATCTCTCGCGGCCGATCGTGGTGATCATATTGCTACTTTACATAAACGTCAACAACGCGATCCCTCCCATCCGTACCAATACCAATACGCATACCGAAGAATCCGCTGTTCCTATCCATCAAAATGCTGACAAATCGCCGCTCGACGTTTATGATCCCACCGAACCAAAATGGCCGCGCGACATCCTACCAACCCGGTGCACCCCCGACCCTCGGTAGCGCGAAGCCCGAGAGCGAACCTCATTGCGCGGCACCGTCCCTCTTGACATCTACCACACCCAACCTCCCAGGTTACCGCATTGCAAAGGTCCTCGGTGCCGTTTTCGGCTCTACCACGTATGCGCTTAAAGATACCAAAGCTCTCCTCAAAGCAGCAGCCGCAGGCTCCGAAGTCAAGAGCTTGACCCACATAATGTACAACGCGAGAGATCAGGCTGTAGAGAGGATGACGCGGGATTGCGTAGCCAGGGGCGCAAATGCCGTCATTGCAGTAGCTTTCGAGGAGAAGGAAGTTCTCGGCTTCGTTCAGGTGTCCGTATCCGGAACAGCTGTCTACGTCGAGCGTGAAAAGGTCGCGGAGAACCCTTTTACGCCGGAATGACACTAGTGGTGGCTCGTGGAGTTGTTATTTACGCGTGTGCGATATGATCGTTAATTCTTGTGCGGATTGAGCTTTTCATTATTCGAGCGAAACGTTATACGGATTTGGTCACCCCCTTTTTGGGGTTACACAAGAAACATGAGTTGTCATTGGGATTGCTAATACGAACAGCAACCCCCTCCGTGACGGCGACTAGGCTTGGGGTGGCGGAATTGGCTTCTACGCTAACTCTGCGGGGAAACTTGATGCGGCTCTTGGATTGCGTCGGCACTGTTCGATGAGAGCCGGTAGCGGCATAAGTCCTAGGTCGGGGTGTACCCCTATCGTCTTGCGAACTTGTTATGGTATCATTTGGTTATTCGGTCCTCTATGAACTTGTCTATTGTTCTCTATAGAGTTTATTCATCGTTCGGTATTCTAGACTAGTTTATTCGAATTTAGTTCTTGTGTCTTGTTAGCTGTCACTCTAGCTGTGATGATGAACCTAACAATGAATATCACGAGAAACTACGACCAAATATTCCGAAGAATTATACGAGCTCGGTGGCCCGGGTACTTACCAAGTACTTGGAAGGAGATGTCGGAGATATCTGGTTAGTCGAGGTGGTACAAGCCGGCACAAGCTATAATAAGCAATCAATATATTATAATATGTAGTTGTTAATATACATTTGCTTACTCTTCGAGATACTTACCTGAGTACCTACCTCTCACTTGACCTCGGATCGGTCCGTCGCCATAGGTTAGGAGTAAGTTCCGTATGCTGTGCTATGTTGCAAACCAAGATAGATATGGTGTAGGACACCATATCATGCCGGTAGATACCTACCTATTCTGGGCTGAAGACAAGACCAATAGTCTTCAGGTCAAGAGTCCCGTCGCCTTTGTGTAACCCCTAAAACCGGGCTAAATACCTAAAATCAGCTTCCCCATGCTCCACGTTTATCTATTCCCCGTGTGCTACGTGGAACCGGCCCCCCGGGGAAGAGTTTAGATCTGCCTAAAGTGAAATAAGCTCTTCTCGCAGCCGCATCGGTATTGATTGGTTATTTGCCTGTAATACGTGTTCACATCTCCGATCTGTGAGACCACATCATCGCCGGGGTGGTTCTAGACTATCTATTTATAGAAGGGGTTGCATATATTCCAGTACCGGTACTCTCCCTTACTTTCGAGCTGGAATTTACCTCTTTGGATAAGCTATTGCCCGCGAGAAAGCTCCGAGATACCTTGCATGCTATTTCTTATGCAGCCTAGGAGAGCTATTCCTCCAATCATAACCTTATTGTATTGCCTTGTTCGGTAACTGACGTTTAACGCGCCGTGCCCAGACGACTCTAGATGGTACTCGGCCGTAGCTGAAAATTTGGTGTTATGAACATTAACCCCGTATGATTTTCTATCAAATATGTATTGGATAAAAAGGGCAAAAACAATTTAGAAGATATTGATATGCAAGGTACAGACTAAAATAGAAAATGATAGCTTGAAAAATATGAGTATGTTGGTGGAGGGTAGTTCGCCAGGTGGGCACGTGCCACTGTGGAATAATCGCGTCACGATACCTTCATTTCGGGATGTGGGGTTTTAGTGATATTTATCATTCTATTATAATTAAAGACTAGAAATTCAAGGATAGAATAAAACAAGACTATAAATAGATATCTGGACTTTTAGGTCATGCGCCTGACATTCTTGATATAATCGTTAATAAGGTATCGCATGCAAGGCCGGGGATCTAATGAATTAATGCTTTCCGTTGACAATCGTGAGATTTTTTTCCTGAGTTATGCCCGTCCCTTAGTGATATCATGATAACGCCTGTAAATGCCAACTGTCTCCGAGGTTATGATAACCCTCAATAACCCCCTGATCATTTCTTCGTAAAGCTAGCCAGCAGGCTACCAATGCATCAAGACCTCGAAGCAGAGGCCAAACGAGGCTTTCTAAAAGCCTCCAATTCAATGAAAAGAACACCGTGGCCCATTAGATATACCGGTGTTTGATTGCAAGTCCGATGCGTCAAGCTCGATTCGATGCGACGATGTAATAGTGTATGTTCGTCGTCGCCTCTAACCGTAGAGCAATCCAGCGAAACGCAAAGTGCAATAGTGATTAAGAACGAATGAACGCTCAGTAAAAAGCAGTCTCTCGTTAAGACTAAGCGAGCGATTTTGGTCCTAGGTTCGTAGGACCTCGAATTGAAGTCTTTTTTCTTCCGCTGCGTTAAAAGGTATCCCCCCCTATTCAATGCGATGCACGTCTCATATCTCCTCAATGGATATGCGCCGATTGCGCCTCCGTCAATTCTTGAGGTCTGTTCTGCGGATGGCAGTACCAACAGCTGCCCGTCGTGTACTCAGTTCCGCAGTTGCCGCACGTGTGCATGTGCATATTGTCGACTAATAATTATGTACCCTCTGGGTAGAGTAGAAAGAAGGAATATGTTTGATGGCCGGAGTGGCAGGGTATAGCTATAGCTAACGGGTCAGAGAAGAATTTTTTTTTTCTTTTCTCTTTTCTCCTAGAGCTTGGGCGAGTTGCTTACAATAAGAAGCAGGTCCGGCTTGGACTGGCAGAAATTTATGTCAAGATATTAGAATGGGGCACGTGTAGAAATTTGGTGAAGTCGAAGTTGAAGTTGTGGCTTGTGCGAGAGAAAAAAAGTTGGTGTTTGGATCTGGTTCTTTGGTTATGTTGATGATGGGAGAAAATATTCAAAGCTATAGATGGAACTCCCCTCCCTTAAGCTATGGTCAAAATTGTGTGCTTTGAGGGGGGATCCAAACGGGTCCCTGAGAAAGGATCATCTTGGGGATTTGCAGTTTAATATCCATCCCAATTTGGGTCTAATGCACGATCCATTAATAACTTCACGATGGCTGGCTGATGAGACCCACAGACCACCACCTGCCTACTAGAGAGTACTACTACAGCAAGTACTATGTAAGGGTCTTTGCCAATAGCGTGAAAGGGTAAGCAGGACTATGCTACCTGACCTTCGCGAATGGCGAGAGGAGAGGGTACGCTACTAAGTTGTTGCTACCGCACTGGTACTATAGAAAATCTGGTCGAATTTATTTAGGACTACCTAGGCAGCCCAGGTAGAGACTATAACCTCCCGTCCGCAATAGGCCAAACAGAGAAGCTGGCCACGTTCACCACGTGGTACTCGCCTAACGAAAGCCCGTCGCCCTCGGCACCGTCGGTTCCTACCGAGTCTGACCACTCTTCTGCGAGGATGCTCTGTTAAAGACGCAGCCAAGAAAACCGCGGGTTTCCTTTTCGGCCGATATCGTATCAGACACCTCATCACAGGAATGGAACTCGATAGAAAAAAACAGAAAGAGTGGTAGCGACACATACATAAAGGGCGATCTTCCGTTGTTGGCATGGTGAGGGAATATTGACAAATCGCGGGCCTCCTTCGCTTGCAATCAAAGCTTTTCTGGGGATAAACGGACCGGATGCGTGGTCGCGTCTCCTGATTGTGTCCACCTCACCCGCGAGAGAAAGCCCGTAAGACGATCAGTCGGAGAAGTCTAAGTGATGGGCAAAGAAAATGTACCCATTAATCAAATAAATTTGGGATTTCTCCCAATCGAGCAACCGCTCCATATATACCCATAAGTAGTTATAGGCTTGGCACATCTTGTCTCCGATTTTTCGTTTCTGTCGGTGTACTGCAAATAAATATCTGCCAGTTTGCATACCCCATAGGGCCATAACCGGGGCCATAGCCGGAGCCCATAGCAGCGCAGAGCAGCGCAGAATCAACCCGTAGGCTGTAAGATACTTGTTCTTCCCGCATGCTGAGGCTCTCGTATTGAAATGACAATCACGTCAATCATGGCAATCTTTCAAATCCGCAGTGTGTTGCCTCGAAGAAAGCCTTATTGAGACCCTCCTTTCTCGCTGCTGATCTTACTCATCTCGGACCTCTACGCGTATTTCCCCTCGCAATCACTTGAAGCTGTAAGGGCAGTTGAGTCGCCCAATAATAGCGCTGCCGCCGCCAACATGCATTTCGCATTACGCATCACACCCGCCGTCCCCAATCCGGGTACTTACCGAAGCTATGTAAATGTATAGGTATTTTATGTACGTACGCAAGTACTCTACAATTAGTACAGTACCTACCCTACTCTACCCACACCTACGTACCCAGGTAGGGTACCTAGAATTGAGGGTACGGCAAATGCATCGCGATCGGTTCCTGCACCACCACACAACGGATGAGGGTTATCCATTCGCACTGCCAGACCACCTCGTGGCCCTAATATATCCTCGGCGGTCTACCAGCCCATATTGGGAGAACAAACCCGTCTGTGGGCCTTATTCAATCTCCCGACTGAATGGCGCCGAATCAAGCAGCATGATCCAAGCGTCAGTCTAGCGACGGATATCAGATCCGTGGCGCGCGGACTAAGCTAGGCGGGATCCTCTAGGCGAGGGCTTGTTGGCCTTAGCTCTACGATCTAGGTAATAAAGCGCACGAAGAATCGCCAAGGTGGGCAAGGTACTTTTTTTTTTCTTCATCCTCGAAAAGAGCCCTAACCCGGCAATTTGGTTAAGGTCAGTAGCCGCCGTTCGAAAGCGTCGGCGAAGAAAAGAAAAGTAACTCAAAGAGTTGCTGATATCGCTTCTCCCAATCGGAGGAATGTATTCACCATGCGCCTTTTCCTATGTGCAGCAAAGATAAAATCCCAACCACAATGGCATGATGCAGCTGTGCCCCGCCATCGAGGAATAGCTGAGAGATCGTGAATTTTGATTTTCCACCCCGTCAGCCCGAATGACGACACCCACGAATATGACGAGATTCTGCCCGTCAGACGCCCACGTTCACTTGTTGGCCATCCCTTGAGGTGCGATTTCAGGAGCAAAGGATCGGGATTCGGGATACCAAGTCGAGGTGACTTAGTACTACATCGCCAGATATACATTGACAGGGAAGAGAGAAAAAAAGAAAAATTCACCGGCTACCTCTTACTACTACCGTAGTACAAACTACCAGATATGTTCTATCGAAATCTCGATTCTCGATATTTTCGGCGCCCGTCGAGTCATCGATTTAAAAAACGCATTCCTCCCAAGCGAACGCCATTGGTGTAACTGTCCGCTCTACTGTCGCATCCTAGCTGATATATACTATAAACTAATTAACAACAACGCCATAGCAACGTAGGAATTTCCCATTCGCTGTAACTGCAACGCTACTAGGAGGATCACATATCAGATTCTTTAAATGCCATCCAGAAAAATCGCAAAGTTATGGGCGGTAATTTCGTCACATGGGAAAAGTCGATGATAGCCATAGGTTAGGAAGAAAATAGAAATGTCAGCTGTTGTGAGTCGCACCCCGAACTCGACCGTGCGACCAATTGTAAAAAGGTATTCCCATTGTTATCATACACCATCATGTTAGATGACAAAGATCGGATCGTGCGACGGTATCTCATTGAAGGGTATCTATCAAATTTGTAAGCAGGCTTATAGGTGAGTCAGCGGGGTTTATTTCGAGTTCTTCACTCCCCTATTCGGTTCCAAGTGCGCTATAACCTGCCCTCATTGGTACAGCCATTATAGGACTTCGGAAGCACCTGACGCGTCTGTGCGACCGCCACGCCCAAGTTTAGGTACACCACGATTGAATCTGATATATCAGAATCGAAATCCATCTTAAGACATGTCTACGTCCAGAGTACCAATACATACGTCACCGCAAGATAATAGTCATAATGAGAATGTGACCGATTCTTAAGTGATAGACAGGCCTGGAATCCTGCATAGGTGCCCAACAATGTGAGAATATCTTTTAACAGTAATAAATATGTCTTTCCTCAAGATAATGTCTCTGATGCTGTATGAAAGACTGAATGATGAGGGATCAGCAGACGGCAAAGTAAAGACGTTAAGAACCTTGATGTTCTGATGTACCTGGGGTCACCAATAAGCGACGAGCTCGAAGAGACCACCCGCGCAAGGTTGCAGAATCTATAAAATAAGAATGTGTGATATATGCACACATACACCGAGTCGATGATTGCAACCAATAATTGTAACCTACCCTTACAAGGAGCTCACTTTCTCCTCAACTTCTTAAGATAGAGAAAACAAGTGCCAGATGCAACGACGGCTGAAGTGGAATCGGGTGACTCAAGGACGGCACATTACCTGCCAGAGTAGACGCGGGGGAGACAACAAATCGCATTCCCCAGGATATGCTCAAATGAAGTTACTCTACCTCGATTCGATTCCACTTGGGAGCCCTCTTCTGGACCCAAATCCATTCGATATATCCACACAGAAGCACGTAACCATGCAGCCCGTTATATCATATATCGAAGCTTAAGGGTCCAATTATTATGTAATATGGGCAGCTACTATAGCGTCCACTTGCTACTGGTCCATCTTGTAACCCAAAGAATCGATTGGTACGTGTCAAGTTGGGGAATTTCTGACATATCATAGACAGAAGAGGAGAGCTGAATCTGGAGTTATCTGAGTGTAGAGGCGCTGCTTGACTCCTAATTAGGAGATAAACAAACCGTATGATTCCTTCAATAGATACCGGCTAGGCTCGGCTACGAGAATCAGAATGTTCAAATGAGAAAGTTGGGATATCCATGGAATTCCTAAGATCTCAAAGCGAATTTCGAGGGGGTCTATCCGTAGACATGTTAAGCAGGAGGTAGTCAGGTGACTTCCCCGAGTTGGTATCTATAACTCCTCTTTGAGCGCCATCGGCATATTTCATACTGACATATCGGCCAGACTACGTCTATCTGGAGCCGAAAACCTTGGAACATACTAGAGGGTATGTCTTTGCACATAGTCTCAATTGTGGAGCACAGTCTGAAACTATTCATTGGAAAGCAAGCACTTCAATCTTAGGGAACTCAGGAGCATGCATCATCTTCCGATCCTACGGCACAATTGCTGCTGAAAATCCATTCGAAAAACGTCAAACCAGAAATCAAAATACATGCGTAGTATTTCTTGGCAGAACTTTCTGGTAGGGCGCACCTGTGTACGCCAAACGTCAATTGAGAACTTGTCTCGACAATACGGGCGTTATGGAATCCCCCTCTCTTGTGTTAGATAAGTCCAAGTCATATCTGAAAGCTTTCAACAAAAGATGCGACTTTCAAGCGCAAGTGAAAGGAGATTGGTATATCTAACTAACATCTATCTGGGTATCAAGAGTGCCGAGTCGGAGTAGTGACTCCCGTGTATGTCTAGCCTCAGCCTACTATACTCCCACCGGGGCTATTTATGAGGCACCTGAAAATGGCCATTCCTCGCGATACCAAGAAAACTTCATAAATGCGAATGTAGCTAGTATCGAATGTATTCTAGGAAAGGAACCAAATAATGTTTATGTGTCCGCAAATGGCTGTCAGACATAGGGAGATATATTGCGGCGCTACGACTATCTAGGTAGAACAGAACAAGATATACCACCGTCCTTACAATGTAAGTACTTACCTATAGCTATTTGATGCCAGTTAGCTGCGTTATATCTTGTTCGATTTCAGGGGGGGATCGTGGCCTGTGTAACGATTACGTAACACTTCCCCCCTATCTGCTTAGGTGTTCACAGATAGTCTCTTGTATAGATAAGGAAAGAAGACAGAAACGATTCCAGCCTCGTTGACCACCTCCGATCTCATGTGAACTCATGTCTAGAAATTGGCCATTGTATGTGGACTGACAACGGAAAACCGGCCACATCATAATTCTCCAACTTAGGGGGAATCATTCCCCCGGATAGGGGTCTCTCCCTAAAGTGCCAAACGTAACCCAACAATAGATAACAGGGTCCTATTACCGCATCAAAACTTCATATTCAACGGTCATTTCGGCGAAAACCACACGTATTCGAATCCGGGAACCAGTTCGTTGCATTGTACGGGCTTTAAAAGTCCGGAAGTTTGCCATTTTGCGAAACTGCGATCGACGATCAGTCTCCTTTATATATTATCAAGAAAGGGTGTACGCAGATCTTGCTCAGCTTTGATCAGCACCGGCATTGGTAAGCCTTAAATAAGGAGGAAAGGGACATTTGATCTGCCTGACATTGCTTTCAGCCGGCTTGGCGCCTCGTCAACAGCTGAGGCAAAAGTTGGAAGCGTTGGAGATTTTGGGGGACCTTTGGAGAAGAACACATGCCAAAAAGATAGCGAGCTTGCCGGAAAACATATATCCTAGGGCGGTTAAAGTTGCATGAAAATGCCGCTTCAGCCGTTCGGCAGTAATAGCCATGTATGAAAGCTGATCCTGTCTGGTATACGCAGTTTAGCCTTCAAGATCATCCGTGTAACCCTGGCAATATATTCGAAAACCGCAAATCTCTTGGTGTTTCCCGGTTCTTGGCGCTTTGTAACCCTGCCGCAGCGTAATGAGAGATACTGGGTCGTCATTATGGAGGAGTATAAAACCGCCATAGTCAGCATTGATGACACCATTTTCAGCTCATACGACGCCATTGATACTTTGACGGTTTGAGTGTCTAGAACGTCTTGACGCCAACGAGTATACCGGTCCTGTGGAGTTGAGCGCGTACCTTATTGGTGACAACGACGACGTCGTCATGGGTCAAGGTCCCTCGCTTCCAGGTCCACCGGGGACGAAGTTTCGCGTCATCGGAGCTGGAATGTAAGTAGAATCGAGTTGTTTAGCGATTTTATCCTCTTTGAGAAAAATAAAATCGATGTAAACGATTGAGCCGTTTAAACGAAATGTTCTGTCGCATTGATTCATGGCGTGAGGCTGATTTTATATAGGTCGCGTACAGGTACCAAGACACTAAACGAAGCCCTGACCATTCTACTCGATGGCCCCGTTCACGACTCCGGGATCCAGTCCCTCGGAGGTCCAGATAATCAAATAAAGGCTTGGCTTGATATCATGGAGCTTGCTCCGAAAGCGCAAACGTTTTCAGAACAGAAAAAGCTTGATTGGCTTATCTCCGAAGTACTCGACGGCTACGTTGCAACCATGGATTGCCCCGCTGCGACGCTCACCCCTGAGATCATGCGGGTCTATCCTGACGCCATCGTAATAGCAACAACCAGAGACCAGGCGTCATGGTGGAAAAGCATGAACTATTTAAATAGTCTAATGGGGACATGGTATCTTCCAATTGTGGTTCTATGGCTACATAAGTCACAAGTTTATGGAATCTGGCGTGAACGGTTCCACCAAATAATGATGTGGCGCTACCAACAGGAGAAAATCGAAGAGGACACACTTCGCAAGCATGAGGAACATTTAAGACAGGTTGTACCTCCAGAGAAGCTATTCTTTTATGAAGTCAGCCAAGGATGGGAACCATTGTGCAAGATTCTGAATGTTCCTGTACCAGATCGTCCGTTTCCACATAATAATAGTAAAGGAGACGCGGCGCAAACATTTCGAGACCATATAATAGCGGGTGTACTGTCATGGGTTTTTATGCTTATGGCAATTAGCATAGTCATTTGGTTGGTAAGGAGTTGGATCGTTCATCGCCTTGCTTGAACATCACAGATAGCCGAAATTTATAATACGTTTGAACCACCCTAAATTTAGTAAATAAAGAGAATGATAGACCGATGCATTAAATATATTAAGCTATTACATATTGATTAAGTATATTATGGTGTTTGCCAAGTAGATTTCGTGGCTTGTTTTGAATTCCGTGCTTTTTTCATAGCATTTTTGCCCACCCAGGCAGGTACTCTGCGATCATCCCCATTATACAAAGGTGCCGATATTAAGTAACTTCATATGCGCCCTCAATTCTAAGTGATATAACGCTTGAGTTCTTCTATAATCACTGGAAAGTATTTAATTGCTTCGCTATGGGATCTTTCAAGACTGGGGAGTCGTGCCTCACACGGTCATAGTCGCACAAAATCATAGACAGCGGTAAAGCCACTACGATATGAATACTGCATAGGTACTCTGACAATATAATTTCCCTTTGAATAGCGGATAAACCAATGACTCGTATATTGGCTGGTGCATGCTACCTGATACTGCTTTTCGGGGATATTGACCTATATTTCGTAGAGAGTTCGCCCCTTTTGGTGCTCCCCCATGTGCCTCCTTATAATTTGAAATCGAGAACAACAACATCAACACGCACACTTAAATCCAAGTCCGCGCCGTTACTGGCTCGTGTAAATACCGACAGTACATTGTCATAATCGAGCCTTGTAGTGTCAACGAGTGGCTCCGTGGGCGGGAACCCATCTCGCTGCCATACGAGCTCATACTGCGAGTAATTGGTTTCCTTTGACGCTTTCAAGATAGTTAAAGTAGGTGATGAAGGATCCGGTAAAATGAGATATAGATCATCGTCCTTGCTCACGGCTAATCGCCCACGCTTACCACCATATATGCCTTTGACGTGCGGAAGGGCGTGTTGTGTCCAGGTACCTGCTCCCCGCCGCGGTTATTAAAAAATACTAAGTTTGGAATGAGGGGGGATGAATAAAATAGAAGGGGAAAAGGAGAGAAAGAAGAAGTAAAGGGGAAAGATAAATATTAGCCTACCTTTAGGGGATCGACAATAGTGCTTCCATTTCTGCTCACCATCAACAGCATCCCGATTTAGTACATGAACCCCGCCATCATGATCAACAGCTTGCGACTCTTGGTTAGAAAGACCAGAGCTCTTAGGGATCTTAAATGCCATGATTCCCGGTGAATCAGGCCTAACGCTTTCGCCCTTCGCTAAATCCGCAATCGGTTCACCCGCACCATTATGCCATACACGGCCGCCATCGTCCGAGTACGCATAACAGATATCATGATTATTCTCCCCGGAATTGGGTCCGCGCTGCTGCTTGTGCTTGGTATCAAGGGGATCATCCCACCCCTCGTAGTGCACGAAGCCTCTATACACCCAAGTTGCATGCAAGCGCCCTGCTTTAAAATCTAATCCATGAATATACGGATTATTATCGACACCCTTGAGATTCGTTCCTGGTGCGGTGTAACCGTATGATCCGTCTTCTCGCCGACCGTATGTAGCCACATGGTCGTCACCCAAGCCAGCCTTGCCAGTGCGAAACGTGAAAAGGAGGTCCGAATCTAGTTGTACGAAGCGCGGGTATGTGACGTAGCTGAGTAATTGGTCGTGCTCTTCACCTAATCCTGGTAAACGGGATAAATGTGGTGTGAAGAGTGATGCAGACCACGAGAAAGACTCTGGGGATTGCGCGATGCCGGGTTGGGAATGACGGTATCGTATTCTATTACTAGTGAGTGCGATTCTTCTAGGAATATGGGATGAGGCTACAGTACACGTCGCAGTGGTGATCATAGGAAAGATGGATAGTTCCGTCGCCAGGACAGACTCCAATCTTAATTCATTTAGCGCTTCTACATTTTGATTATATGATAGTGCTTAGTATTACCTGAATTGTGTTGTGACCATCATCTGTCGTTTGGGGATAGTCTTCAAAGGCGAATGTCTCCCAGCTCCCCTCAGACAACTTTCTACGCGAGAGGTGGATATATAGTGGTTCTTTAGCACCACCCACTGACAGGGAGCTGTAAAAGCACGCGTACTGCCATCCATTGAACGATTGGATGGCATCCTGTTGGAATGCATTTCCATTCAGGATGCAGTTCCGGTGCGTCGGGTCCGGTCCAAGAACCGATATTGAGGGATCCGCTAACATATTTTCGGTTTCGATGAAGAATAAGGTGGGAAGGGAAATGAGAAATGACTAGGAACGAGATAAGAGCCTCAAGAGAATAGGATGAAATGAGACGCGCCGGTAGAAGGGTATATGAGGCTAAATACAAATGTAGAGATCTATTGGCGACCCGACTTCTAGAACGAATTCGAACGTTTTGCGGTATTGTCACAATAAATTACTTGCAGCTTAAGTGTGAGTAGAGACTAAATTCAATTGATACTATAACCAATTCCAAAGTATAATCAATATTACAACGATGCTCGTACGATAGAATTCGTCTTCAACTATGCATTTTCTAGACGGAAAAGTGCCGGTGCAGCAATCGCCCGAGTTGGAGGCCGATAGGACGGACAATACAGCTTCGAGTTGTAGTGTGATCCGCAACTGATCAAGGGTCCATAAGATACGAAATACCCCACGCTGGCCAGGTATAAGTGGAAAAATTACGATGAAATCCGTCTGGAGATTTACCTTGAGGTTCAGTCGTCGCGTTCAGTTTTTAAAACTGTAATATCTTGTAGATCTGGTATGGTGACACAAACTACCCCTGAATGAGATATGCGTCTTATAAGTGACACTACCACTGCAAAACATCAGAATATGGAACTGCGACGCGGTGTCGATAATGTCTTTGGTACACTTGGATACACGTAATCTCGGCGGAAGATCCAATTTCATTCCATCTAGCTACCTAGATAGTTTAATCGTTTCACGCTCTCGTACAAGTGTCATTGTCACTATAAACATCATAAGATTCAACATCTTCAACAAAACTAAGATAATAATAAAAATAATAAATCAAAACACATGGGAAGAATTCTTCAGCTACCTAACTAACCCTGGCTTACCCCCGGCTCGTCTCCCCCGCATTGAGCCTAAAATGAAGCCCATCTCCGTAGTGGAGGGTCTAGCATCGACATGAATCAACCAGACTGGTTGGTCGGATTTAAGCTAAGAACCAAGTAAGCTTGCCACACTATCTTCAATATTCGGCCCTGACTTCCAGTCATCAGAAGTACATCTCCACTTCCTCTACAACCTCAATTGACAATCTCTAAGATCTGTCCGTGTTATTGGGGACAGTTTCGTCAGTGTATAGACTAAGGGGGTAACAAACCTCAGAGCTAAACGAAAAACAGTCAAAAGGATTAAGGACATTAAACTTCAAAATGATGATCGATCCAAGCTGAAGTGGGTCGAAAGCTCTTGATTTATGGAATTGGTATTTCCCCAAGCTTGGCCCTTCTCCAGTCCCCAGTCTCCAGATCCTTTCCGTATCCTTGGTGGCCCATGGGGTAAGACGACCGGGATGTACGCAAGTCCTGCGACCATCTAGTAGAACAGGCCAGGGTTTCCCTCGGTCCAATGATCCCCAAAGCCTTTCGTCCAGGGCATTTAGCCATTCTGCTTGGTGGAAGAATACGGCACTCGCCTAGCATCGATTTTCCGCCCGTCACGAGCGGTAAAACCATGGCTTCTTCAAAGGAGGTTCTAGGGGACCCAGATCTGCGCGCCATAGTACAGTACATACCTAACCCCCCGGTTCACCCCAATAACGTGGTACTGCAGCCAAGGCGAAAGGACCATCTATCGGCAGCTCGTCCGCGCGGCGTGCATACTTTAAAGGTAAGGTGTCGCCGCCGTCGCTCGTGTTGCTCGGTTCTGATTGCTCTTCTTTTCGCGTATCGCTGGAAATTATCGGTTCACGACGGCGTGCCTGTTCACGATAGAGCATATTGAGGGTGACAAGAGCGATCAATTATAGGGCACAGTGGTTTTGGGATTACTCCCACTAATCAGCAACCATGGCGTCTATATTAAGGCATATCGTCAAGAATGAGGCCATGAAAACTGACCCGAATGAAATTTACGGATGGAGGGTTTATCTTCTAGCTTGCTCTGTGAGTTTCTCAATGCTCTTAAAAATGAATTGGTCAATGAAGCTGATAATCCATTTAGGCCTGTTTCGGCGCCATGTCTTTTGGTTGGGACAGTGGTGTGATTGGCGGTGTTATTAACCTAGACTCATTCATCGCGTAAGTTATCCTTATAACATATCTTTCGATCTCAAACCTGTTTTTTCTAACATCTCATTTCACTATAGTGCATATGGCCTAGGAAGTAAGGACGATGTCGCGACAGCCAATCTCCAAGGAAATATTGTGTCTGTGTTACAAGCAGGATGTTTTGTAGGCGCTCTTGCTGCTTACCCCTTAACCGATGCTTTTGGTCGCCGACCTTGCTTGATGGCCGCCGCTCTATTTACTCTCTCCGGTGTAGCCATGCAGGCTGCTGCTTCTGGTCATCTTGAACCCATGTACATTGGTCGATTCATTTCTGGTAAGACTTCCCGGTTTCGCGGGTTGGAATTTATCGCAATTAACCGGGTTCTTAATTAGGTCTCGGTGTTGGCGCATCTAGTGTTATTAACCCAATCTACGTCACCGAAAACGCTCCTCGTGCTATCCGTGGTCTACTCACTGGTATGTACCAAATGTTCATCGTAACCGGTGGCATGATCGCATTCTGGGGTAACTACGCCGTCAGCGTGCACTTGAGAGGCCCCAAGCAATACATCGTACCTCTCGCCATCCAAGGTCTTCCCGCACTCCTCCTCTTCTCACTTATGGCTATCTGCAACGAATCACCTCGATACCTAGCGCGTAAGGATAAATGGGAGGAAGCCAAAGCAGTGCTAGTACGCATCCGAAACCTGGCCCCCGACCACCCATACCTCCAAGACGAATTCCAAGAAATCGCAGACCAACTCGAGTACGAACGACGACTCATCGGCGAAGCAACATTCTGGTCTCTACAAAAAGAAATGTGGACAGTCGCCACGAACCGCAAGCGCGCGATCCTAAGTATCGTTCTCATGATCTGCCAACAAATGACCGGCACCAACGCAATCAACGTATACGCGCCACAAATATTCAAGAACCTCGGTATCACCGGAACTTCCAACTCGCTTCTCAGCACCGGCGTCTACGGAATCGTAAAAGTGGTATCATGCGGTTTATTCCTCCTCTTCATGGCAGATTCCCTAGGCCGTCGCCGATCCCTCCTCGTATCATCCGTCGGACAGGCGTTTTGCATGTTCTACATCGGCTTATACGTACGCATCTCACCCCCCGTCGACGGCGCGCCAGTCCCGCCTGCCGGATACTTCGCACTCGTGTGTATTTTCGTGTTCGCCGCATTCTTCCAATTCGGTTGGGGTCCCGCATGTTGGATTCTCGTCTCCGAAATCCCCGCCGCACGTTTACGACCCATGAACGTCGCGCTCGGCGCCGCTACACAATGGTTATTCAATTTCGTCGTCGCGCGCGCTGTGCCTAACATGTTAGCCACTGTCGGTGACCACGGATACGGCACATACCTGATCTTCGGCAGTTTCTGTGTGCTTATGTTTTTCTTCGTCTGGTTTTTCATCCCCGAGACTAAAGGAATTTCGCTTGAACAGATGGATCAACTCTTTGGTGTTACGGATGGCGCGAAGCGAGATGTTTCGAAGGTTGAGGTTGAAGAGCATTCGAATAGGTCGGATGGTCGAAGCGTGTAAAGCGGATTGGGAGCGAAAATACCCTTTGATATTGTAAACCTATTTATAGGTTAGCTAGAATTGAATCGAAGCATTTTGATCAGCATTTCGATCCGAAGTCCCTGAATTCTTGAAAACATGCAGGTTCTTTTTCTTTCTTGTCGTCTTTCTCGTGTTCCTCTGATTTTCTTTCGTGGGGCATCTCAAGGATACCCACCAGCCATCCTCCATTAATAAATTAATATTCTATTATGTGCTGTTCTATATTCATATTGGTACAAGTATATTCATTACTCGTTACATTCCTCCTATATATCCCCTGCCATCCTATACCGGGTAGGTACTCATTCCTTCTTGGCATCGCCATTGCCAACACCCACCGGCTTTTTCGTAGTACCGTTCTCCTGTTTCGAGACTGGTCGCTTTTCAACGTCAAGACCCGCAGCCTTCAAGATACCGTAAAGTAAAACCCCAACAAGAACAATGAGATCCAATACATGCACAAACCACCAAAAGTATTGGCGGCCCAGAGCACAATTGGCAAATTCGAATTTCCACTCCCAGTCCTTTTCGTCGAACCAGACACTTAGTAAGCCGGCGTTACCGCCATATTGCCCCATCATGCTTCGAACAGTAATCTCCCTCAGACCAGGAACCCCAGATTTTCCAGGTAGGTTTTCCGCTTGGGCGGTGGGCCATCGGGTCACTCTCCATTGACGTTCGTCGCCTTCTGTCTGGTTGATGTAGTGGTATGTATCACAGCCTTCGTGGTCATGGCCATTCAACACGACGCCTCTTCGACCTCTACCTTGACCAGGTGCATTGGGATCGCCGTTCAATCCAAAGATACCCTCCAAAAACCCGCGGGAAGCGTCGGCTGACAGTTGATTCTGCTCTTTAACCCCACCCCCAGCATGGAACGTAAAATACGGCGCATCGACACAAATACCCTCGGGTTTGTATAGTGGTATGTGCGTCAAGACAACCGTAAAATGCCCTGCGTATTCGACGGCCGAGGCGGTATTAATCACATCGTTGACAAAAGCGTATGTCTTATCCTGAAGACTCTGGTCTGCGGCCGGAGTGTCGAGATTCATATTATTCACATTAACAATGCGAAGTTCGGGGACGAGGCGGTTGGATCCAGGGTTCTTTTCGGGATCGTAGATAGTTACGTTGGCAAGCGGGTTGGTAACAGGTAGTTCGAATCGCAACTCGTAGGCAGCTTTACCAAACACACGTTCGAATCGTTCTAGTCGCTCAACTGTTAGGTCGCCAGCATACCCAATATCATGGTTCCCCGCCACATTTATAACCCTCCGCCTCCATGCCGTAGCATTCGCATCTTCAACACCTAGAAATCCCGCTAACTCGTATTCCTCAGCAGGGTATAAAGCAACATCATCAGGAACACGCTCCCCTCCCTTAAACGAACGCGTCCAAAACCTAGTACTCCTCCTCTCAAACTCATTCGCCCTAATCCATTGACTTCCCAACAAATCTCCAAGTACGGTAACATGCGTAGGTTTAGCCCACCATCGAAGGGTTCGGTAAATATGGGCAAGGTAAAAATCGTTTCCAAACAAATCTATGCGCTTGCGAGTGGATTCGAGGGTATCAGGTATATCGTCGAAAAAGACATCCACAAGATCATGCACAACCTGTCGCATACGTCTCCACAGCGACGGGTGATCCGTCTTATACGTAAGATGGCGGATAGCCCAAGTCAAGTGCGGGAAAGACTCGCGATTGTAATTTCGAATCGACGTGTCGCCTTCGAGCTGCGGATCGCCTAACGCGAGAAGTCGGAACGAGGCCGCTTTATTAGAAGAAATAACATGTTGTTTTAACGTATCCTGGAACGCGGCAGCAGCGGAGTTGGAGTTGTGTTCGGTGGTCTGTGGTAGTGGGAACGCGCAGCCGAGAAAGACGGGATAAAGATATAGGTAAAAAGTCGATGCTAGGGCGAGCGGGATGAGGACTCGCAAAGCATTGCGAAGGAGAGCCGCAGGGGACATGTAGACGACGGCATGTGGGCCGAAGCCTTATTTCTTTCTTTTTTCAAAAACGAATGGTAGTAAAAAGGAGAGAAAGCAATTGAAGCATCGTGAAGGATTGGAAAGATTTGGAGTTGGATGGATCCAATGGATTCCAGAAAAGAAAATAGGGGTTGTAGGAATAGCCGGGTCACGGAATTCTAGGTACTCAGGCACCGAGATCCACTAATTAAAGCGCCGGCCGTCGGAGATTATAGCGTCTGCATTACTGCGTTTTAGGTACTTGTCTAAGACGCGAAGAGAGAAAAAAACAAGACGAGGAAAACAAGTAAAGGGAAGAAAAAAAGGAAATGAAGCAAAAAGCGAAGAATATTAAAAGAAAAAAGAAGAGTAGAATAACTAAGAATTCATGTCTCTTGCTCTACTTGGATAGTCGCCAGTTTATTATGAGTTCTTGTTACCATTTTAGGTACCTAAGTAAGCGTCGCTAAATTTACCCACCTAAATGCCACTCGCGAGCGCTGATGGTAACCTGAAAACTATCGCTTGAGATGGCAAATAGGTATCTCCTTCGTATAAGTAAACGTGATATTCAAAGCAATAGAAGTGCGACTTACACAACTTATTCATTGTAAATGATTGTTTTCGCCTTCAATTACTGTGTCTAGGATGGTTTAAATGCTAGTGTCAAGTTCGTATAGGAAAGAAGTAGCCTGAGGTTTATGAATTTATTGTCTATCTCATCCTCCACATTCCAGCAAATGTGCCAATGCCTATCAATCCTAGCTATGGGTATAAACTCCGTTCATCCTAGCCTGCAGATTTTCACAATTCCAAACTCATAAGTCGAGAGACCGTTGCCGTTTGAAAGAATTATAACGTAGCCCATCATCAAATCGTGCCTCATCAACCAAATTTTGTCAGGCTGGTCTTTCACTCCTCTGGCTCGGGCTCCTCATATCCAGGAACATCAACGGTGAATTCGGCTTCATAATCATCATCTGCATCCTCGGGTACAAATGCGAACGCCACGATGGCGTTATTCTGGATACCGATGCTGGCCGGAGTTTCTTTCTTTCCGGTTTGGAGGGGCTTCCAACCCTGGCTAAGATACTGGTCTGTCTTTTCTTTGGGTACGGCAAACTTGATCTGATTCGGAGTACTAGGAAGTTCAGTCTTTTCCAGAGAGGTGATAGAAGTTGTTAAGCCCGAAGGATAGCGGTCTTTCAAAACTTCTAGTAACTGCTCTGCTATGTCGCTGAACGGCTTCATCGAATCAACGAATAGGAAGACCGTGTGAATGCCGTGTTTAAAACGGACCGACAGGTCGACGTCGTGTAACTGTGTTCGGCTAGCCTAAATTAAAGTGAGCGGGCTTACCAATAATGAGACCAGTATCGGCAACTTACCATATTGTTAATAGGTAGGCTAGAGAAAAAGTTGACGGATAGCTACTTGAAGATCGGCGTGTGAATTATGTATTTGAGAAAACGCGGGTTGGTACAGATTTACGCAGGGATTAAGCTGGGACGAGACACGGCGGCACGTGCACCTTTAGCTTTAGGTACATGTAGGTACTACAATAACGCCCCGCCGTGGAACCAAGACCCTTTTACCCTTTCCAGTTTAGTCTTTTCTTTCTCCAACCCTCAATAGGTCTCAATTTCACAGTTAGTCATTAAGTAAGTCAGCACATGGTCTAAGCGTTTAATTTTGGTGAGGTAGGTGCTGCACAACCAGATGATGCCTCCAAAGAAAGTAATAACATAATAAATCCACAAGGTTCAGTCACTTTCAATTATTTCAACTTTGCAAAAGCAACCCTTCCCTTGCGAAAACGTTCGAGCCGATATTGCGACACAATTCGATATGGCGAACCACAATAGAGACGATAGACACGAACCAAAACTCACTCGAGAAGAATACGCCCATCTATGGAAAGACTCCCGCCTTTCTATACCACCTTTGATACGAATACCAGCTGCAACTTTAGCAGCATTCAGTGTAGGCATGACTTTAGGTCTTGCGCACGGTAGCAAAATGGCTGGTCTACGATTTAGAGCCGAACACGCCCATAGACTTCCCACGACTACGACCGGTTGGTACCTATATCATAAAAGCAAGAATTATCATCTGGCATTTGGTGGATTGAAGGAGGGTGTCAAGATTGGCGCAAGGCTTAGTGTTCTAAGCACTGCTATATTTTGCGCTGAGAATTTGTTCGACGTATATCGAGGAACCAAGGATCTTTTCAGTACTATAATGGCCAGTCTAGCGGTCGCTGGTGGTTTCAGTGTCTTGAGTATGTTCAAATGCTTCCTTCCTTTGGCTGTTATTCTCGTCGTCAAATTTCTAATCGCATTCCAAATACAGATCGTTTTTCGGCTGCCGAGACTGCGAGAACTGCTAAGAAAGGTCTAATATTCGGGATTGCATACGGTGCGGCTCAAGATGTTGTCTCCCTTGCTAAAGGCCGACATGTCGGTTACGTCGAATTCATTCGGAGACATATCGGAAAAGCTACCCAGCTTGAAGAGAAAGCAACATGAGGATTTTTCGATATCGTCTTTTCCACACTAGAAGACTAGAAGAGACCCACTTACAACCTCTTCAAGCCGAGCACCTTTTTAAAGAGTACCTAACTCTTGAAAGAGGTCGCAGGTTTCCCGTGGTAGTAACCTTGGCTGCATCGCCCGTTACTTAGTACCATCCCTTTACATAGGATTCCCGGGATAACCGCACCAGACAGCTTCAAAATTGCTGTCAAGATAAATTGCGGGGTCTTTGCTATCTCAGATGACGAAGTTCACCGTAACTAATACTGATAAAAGGATCGTATCTCAAGGGATATAATTCACAGTTTAACCAATAAGGTATATGGTCCACTCAAGATCAAGTTACGTTATAGTTTTCTTGACGGACCATCATTATGAATCAGCGTATTCGGCCAATATCGCAGTTATGTTTGCGACAATGTGTCAGGGTCGACTAGGTTGGCTTGGCTTAAAAAAAATACCCCACGTTAAGGTCACGGGTCTCGAACCATACAGAATTTACCAGAGAGAGCCTGCTTCCATGTTCTGCTTATTCTTGCTATATTCGGCCATCTTCAACCGGACCGGACGATGCGAAACTAAATGGACCAACCATCATACCAGGGGACTGCCATGTTAACCATACGCGCTAGCTCAGTCTATTGCTCACTCTTTCGGGTCTTCTTATGCCACTATCCTACGGTATTGGTTCTGATTGGTCAATGGCCGCGTTTACTTTCCCTTCATATAACGGCTACTTACGGCATTCTTGAATTCAAAGGACCCACGTGATCATCTCTGATAAGAGTTCCCCGGTACGTTGGGCATGCAGTATCTCCATGACATCGAGTCGTGATTGGAAATCGGATATTATGAAGGTGGACTATTCGCCATCCTCGACGCGGTTCTCTATGCCGTACGATGCGCCCCAGTCGGCTTCCCTCCATCAGCATAGCTGAGTTCATTGCGATTACGGAGATAAACCAGCCATAGATATTGCTATACATATAGATCGAAGATAGTCAAAGTATATACTCCCATTCCTTACTGGACCTTTCATTGTTCTTGATTATTTACTATATTTCTCTCGAGTACATTTTTGTCGTCTTATATACCTCATTTATACCCTATGGTATATAGCACTTTCCTCTCACCATCAGAGCTTAATCATACCCATACATCGCTACGATTCAAGTACCACAGAAACGCTGACAATGGTGCAAAGTTCAGTGTTGGGCAGGTCGTCCCTTCTATCAGTTTATCGGAGTAGTTTAAGGCATCCACCACCAAGATGCGGCCTTTATGTCATATGCCGCAATGGCTCAAATCAAAGTTTCAGAACTATTTCGACAACGAAGAGGAAGATACACGCATCTTCGACAAGACCATCATCGCCCACAGATTCAGCTATTCTAGCCGCGACAGCCTCTGTAAATCCTCTTCCCGCGGAGATACCAGCCGAATCACCTCCAATGGCTAAATCGGCACCGCTATCAGTACTTCCTTTGTCTACAGTATTACGTAATCTAGCTACCACCAGCATATCATCATCACGAATATTACTCCCACCCTCCCTTGCCATTATGAGTGTACTCGCCCACTCAAATCATGCGATACTAAACCCAGATAAAAACCCAGTGCTACGATGGTTCCTCAAGAAGACATTCTACGCTCAATTCTGTGCCGGCGAGAACGCGACTGAAGTTCGGCGTACTATCGATGGCCTTAAGAAAATAGGCTTCACCGGCGTCATCCTAGGTTATGCTCGAGAAATCGTCCTAACCGAGGCACAAACACAAAACCTCTCAGCATGCGATCAAGGCTCCATAGCCGAGGAATGCGTTCGCAACGAAATCCGCCCTTGGGCAGCAGGCACACTAGAAACAGTAAGCCTGGCACGACCGGGCGACTTCGTAGCTCTCAAATTCAGCGGCGCGGGACGACAGGCATTGTACGCGCTTAAGAACCGCCTACCACCGCCGAAACACCTCCGCGCCGCCATCGACGAGATCTGCGAACTAGCCGCAGCGCGTGACGTCCCACTCCTCTTCGACGCGGAACAAACAGCTATCCAAGCCGGAATCGACGATTGGACGCTCGAATACCAACGCAAGTATAACAAAACCCCCGGCCACGCGATTATCTACGGCACATACCAAGCATATCTAAAATCCACCCCGAGTACACTAAGCGCGCATCTCGCCGCCGCAGCAAAAGAGGATTTCACACTTGGTGTCAAGCTTGTGCGTGGCGCGTATCTAGGCGCGGATCCGCGACATATTATCCACGATACTAAATCCGAGACCGACGCTGCGTATAATAGTCTCGCATCTAGTTTAATATGCCGTCAATGGGGCACCGCTCTTAAAACCTCAACGAATACCAAATTTCCACGCGTCAGTGTAGTCCTCGGATCGCATAACCTAGAATCCGTCCGTCGCGCAAGAGCGATCCGTGATTCCGCTGCCGCGGACAAGGGGACTGAACTCGCGATTGCGCAGTTGCAGGGTATGGCTGATGAAGTTAGTTGCGAGTTGGTGTATGCGGCGAAGTTGAGGAGGGAGAAGAAGGGGGAGGTGCCGCGGGCGTATAAGTATATTGTCTGGGGCACTACGGGGGAGTGTATGAAGTATTTACTTAGGAGGGCGTATGAGAATAGGGATGCGGTGGCTAGGACGAAGAGTGGACGGGATGCTATGTGGGGGGAGGTTAGGAGGAGGTTTTGGGGTGTGCTTGGGTTGGGTGCTTAGGTTTCCGAGGGAGAATTGTGATTGTTGGGGGAGGACATCTTGTTACTCAATGACATGAGCTATGAGTCTATGATATCTATACGGTGGCTGCGATTATGTCTTAGGGAGATTGGAGTAGATCATCTCACCAAGTCGGTGTAGGTCGAATTATTAAGCAGAGGAAAACTTGATAGTCTGCGAAAGACGAAAAATTGTTCTCCGTAGCGAGTATTCATTAATATTTATTTACCCTCCGCATTCATAATTCTTTTTCCTTGTATCGGTCCCATTCATCCACTAGCATATTTCAGGCCATATTCACCGCGAATATATGACGACTCATAAACCCCGCAACGCCATACCACCCAAAACAAGCATCTCCGTCTCCTTCCTCCTCTGCGCCTCATCTTTAACGCTATCCAACCAATTCACCCCATTCAACTTATAATACTTGCGCACCTTGCCCCAGTCCGTGAGGTCTGATTGTAGAATTGAATCCGTAAACGGGATAGGTGTGCCGCTGACATTGGTGAGGAGATGTTGGGATATGGTGGTGGGGGTTAGTGTGGAGGGTGGTGATATGAGCACTTTTACGATGATTAGGTGTCTGCTTGTGGGTGTTATGCCGAAGCGGCGGTACGCTTCGGAGATCTGGTTTGTGTTAATATTGTTAATTAGATCGCTAAATGAGTGGGTGTATATGTCGATTATAGCTGCAAGTACAATGGCATTTCATATAATTTTGCGACATAAAATAACATAGTACTAAAGATGAGAAAGGGTAAGGACGTACGTTTTTATTCGGGCTTAGCGAGCATACGATCTCAGAATGGATATTGGGCGTTTTCATATTACCACTCAGTTGTATTGTTATCGCTTTGAAGACGGCGGCTAGGACTTGGAGCCGTGAAGTTACCTATTTGTGTGTAAGTCAGATTCATTATAGAAATTGTTCATTAACATATATCTAGCTAAATATCCAGTTGGATAAGCATGTAGAATAAGACATTAAAGCAAGGGTGAAACTAGAATAGATCTATTTTCGCACTAGGACGTACAGAAGTAGCATCTATGAAGGCATATTCATATTCGGAGTTTCGACTTAATAGCTGTTGGTGTAGAAATTCTGCGTTGGTAACGTCCTTGAAGACAGCGACGTGAACTGTGTGAGTCGAAGGCACGTGTTCTAGTTGAATTGTCTCTAGCACTTCGGACGGCGCCGCTGCGCTATCGTTTTCGGAAGAACCCATCGTTGACTGCCTTCGAATATTCGCGAATTTGATATTTGTAAGTCCTGCAAATTATGAGATTGATATTTTGGGATTCTGCCGTAATTGTCTCGATCATCTAGTAAGTCTACAAATATGGCAACGCCAAGGTGGATGACGATAGGATTAATGATTATGGTGGGGGGATTCCAATGTTCTGGCCGGTGGGATATAGTGGATATGGAGGGGCACGGCAAACAGTTGGCAACCAGCTGTCATATTCTCCAATTCTTCGTGTAACTAATGATCTTCATTGAATTGACCCTTGCATTTTTAAGGGTCCAATTATACATGTACATACTAAATGCAGTCCAAATGCCGCAAAGTCTAATACGCATCCATATCTTTGGTATCGCAAAAATAAACTCAAGAATTAAACACGAAAAGACTAATCGACTGTGCCGCATAACTATTTAGATATCTGGATAATTTGGAATTCATAGGGCTGACCCAACCTTCCGGCTCACCCGTGTCTTCAGTTACATATATGTACCCATTGTTCAGCCACCGTGATTTACGTCGCCTTTTTTGTGGGTGGTAAGGAGTTGAACGAACCACCCCCGAAGCCATCGGAGTTGTGATCCGCGGCTAGAATGTCTTACCATACCGGCATTGGTATTACTTTATGCAACCATCAAGTATTTTTACGGGGAAGTGCTAGTCTATGTATTTGAGAGAAGAAGATGAAAAGGAAGAAAAAGGGAAAGAAGACGAAAGAGAAAAAGAAAAAAAGACGAAGAGCAAGGGTATGAACGGAAAGAAGAGAAGAGTAATCAAAATCCACGTCTTTCGCTTGCCACTATCCGATCAATTTATTCTAGGTGTTTATTCGGCCCCGACAACTACTTCATCCGTCCAGTTCTCCGTTCTAGAAATCCATCGCGACTAGGATCATTTATATATTATTAGTAACTTAGTTGGATCCAAGGCCGAGGTTTCTACTGCCAAGACTCCGTTCTTAAGGCTTAACCAATGCGTAAAATATTATGGTAGTTCCTATAAGACGCTAATATGATCTATGCATGAATAGGACTCGTCGCCTTTTCCGGGTCTACTATAGCAAGCAAGACTATTCCTATGCAACTATAGTCAGTTCAGTACTACGTCCGTAGTTACCAGTTAAATGTGCAGCAAGTTTCAGATTCACCGCTGCTAATGTGCATTTACATTCCTATCATCCGATCTAGTTCGATTTACCTGCAAGATACATTAATGAGATGATTGTGATAGAACCGTCAGGTAAGTAAGGTAAGTAAAAGGCTGTCTTTTACCGATAGTCTCCGTCGGCTTTCCAATTCCAGACATGATCCCGTTCATGTTGGCTCCTTGCGTCCTGGCGTGTTACGCAGAAACAGGACTCGTAGTCTTTAAGTGGAGGGATTCAATAGCACCCATAGTACCCAAGGTAAAGATGACGAATAGAATAAGCAGACACCCTGATGGGGAACCATACCTATGGCTATCACGGGTATCAAAATTCCCCGGAACTTCGTCATTGTTCGTATCGGTGGTTGAATACCGTGTCCGATCTTGATAATTGAGAATGCTTTTTAGAATCAAGACCGGGTTTGAGCGGCATCTTCCGCTTTTTTTTATAGGGCATTCTTAAGTACCTTAACCTTCAGAGCTATCTTGTTTTATTATCTTAGTTGTCGTATTTTTTATTTTTATTTTCTCACTTTCAACTTTTTTCCTGTTTCTTCACGGTGAAGTTAACTTAATTAAGTCTTAAAAGATCGAAATCAAATAATTACGAATCCACCCTCATCCGATTTAAAAGAAAGAGGCTGTGTAAAATCAGCTAATTTGAATTTACCCTTACACATACCAAAGTAGGTAACTCTTTTCAAGGTTACAGAAGGGGAACTGGAGTACCTATCCGCGTACCCAATGGTTAATAGACTCAATTAAGTCCGTGTGTGTACCAAGAGTACCAACCAGTAGCCCACCTGCATAGGTTCCTGGGTATATACATGCAGGGTACCTAAACAATATCTAGGTTATGTACCCGGGACTTTGGTCTATCCAGGCAGCTGCTAGGTCTATCAATTCTATCTTAGCTTCCCAGGTTTCTAAGCTTAAATGCTATAAGGACCTTCTAATAGGACGCTAATTAGGTAAGGAAAGGTCCCTTTCAAACTCCACATGCACCTCCAAAGTTTCCCTTTCCCGGGCACCTTTTAAGGTTTCGGAAAACTCCATTTCCCATTTGTCGCGAAAAAACAAGCTCCAATCCGTTTTTTTTTTGTGCGCCAACGAAACCGCAGCATATTCTTAATTCCTTAATTTTTTATTTCTCACGGGCCTCTTAAAAAGCTTCGTGTCGCCATGCCTCCTGGCCGGCCACCAAAACGGCCTGGTGACGCTGCCGACATCGATTCGTCCGACGCTACTACGAAATGCAAACTACCTCGATTAGATCGTGACCGCACCGCACCCAACGATTTCTCTAGTGTTGTGAAAAGCAAGCTTCAATCTTATACAAGAACAGGACAAGCATGCGATAGGTGTAAGGTATGTTTTTACCAAACAATATGTATCCGGCGTGTGTAATCATGGGAAGATTCTATTTCTGTCGCATTGAGTCATCAATATTGCCTATCGCATGTTGCTGGGTTCTGCAATGATATCCATTTCTTTGTCATGTGGTACTCTACCTGTATCTAACATAAGTCCTGCTAGGTTCGCAAAATTCGTTGCGATGCTTTACCCGAAGGATGTTCGCATTGCATCAATCAAAATCTCGAATGTTATGTGACAGATCGAGTCACCGGACGGACGGAGCGAAGAGGATATATGCAAGAGTTAGAACGCGAAAAGTCGGGCATGTTAAATCGTATACGAGACCTAGAAAAGATGCTACAGCAAAATGGCATTGAAGTCAAACCTTTTCGTCCATCCTCGTCTCCGACCGTCGATTCTACTCCCGATGCAGGCATTGGCAACAACAACATAAATAACCAAATACAAGAATCTACGGGAAAGCCCCAATGGAACCAACATGGGTCATCTATGTTATTTAAGGGTCGATTCCGAGTTCCTGGAATACCTTTCGCAAACGATCTACGCCCCACGATAGAGCCAAGGCCGATAGACGCTCATATAGGAGTTGGTGCAGATCAAGCTCCTCTAAGCTCCGTCAAGGGCACCACTCTATCCATACTTGGGAGTACCATAGATATAAGTTCATTTGATGCCCCGGATATGGACGAACCTTCTCCTGATGCTCCCGCCCACTCGCCCGTATATAACAAGTCCGTCCACGCCATGTTACAATCCGTTACGAATATCAATCCTCCGCTTCATGTCGATTATCCTCCTCGAGCCGATGCCTTCACATATGCCGAATGGTATTTTCTCATGATATATCCCTTTCACCCGGTCTTACATAAGCCTACCTTTATGGCCCTCGTAAGTGTGCGATGTCATAGCTAAATTCACATACTAACTAGTCATTTCAGCTGGGCCGCCTCTATGATGACCCTACCTTTAAACCCACTGTGGCTGAGACGACTATGGTCCACCTGGTATTTGCTTCGATATATCTCCAATATGGAATACGAAACCGAGAACAACCCGATCAAAGAGCTCGTCTTAACGATTTGTCAAATAAACATTACCACTTTGCTTTGAGCAAGTTTTTCGAGTTGTCTACTTCGAAAACCCTCTATGATCTCCAAGCTTTAACCATGCTGAGTGTGCATACGATGCGATTTCCGAAATCTAACACTAGTAGTATGTTGAGCAGCTACACATTGGGTATGGCTGTTGAGTATGGCCTTCACCGTGCTTGGAAGAAACCCGGCGAAGAAACAAATTTGGAGAATGAACTTCGTAAGAGGTTATGGTGGGCGATTGTTTCGACAGTCGTCACATTAAATGGCCGTATGGGACGACCTATGCCTATTCGATTAGAGGATATCGATGCCGACTTCCCGGAACTGATACCCGATGAGTGTCTTACGAAAGGCGGAGTCGACAGAACGAAATCAACAGTGTCATGTCGCTATGAAATTGGGGTTTCTGCCTGCAAAATTTCAGCATTGTTCCTCGAGATGTACGCCAATATATATTGCGCAAGAAGGGATCCAAACCGATATCTTCCAGTAATCGAATCGATTGAAGAGCAACTTGAAGCTTGGCGAGAGAATCTTCCTCCATTGCTACATTTCAGTAATGTGGATTCAGCCGGACCCGAACAGTCCATGTTCGCTTTATATGCAGAATATATGGCCCTTGAATTTAGTAAGCATTTCTTGGCAATCCATAATTCCCCTATTCAACACCCTGGAATTGATGCCAATTGATCTTGACTCATTCTGTAATTGAGGTCTTTGGTTCAACGAATACTAACCACTGACGCTAGGACTTACATTACGACATCCGGCTGCTTGTATATCAAATGATCCAAAGATATTAGCTGAGAACACGAAAATATGTGAAGAGACAGCAAAGAGCATGCTGGAAATCTTGCATAAGGTATATAGATTAAAATCTTTAGATACGACATGGTACTGTCTTGCGATATACGTCACGGCTATATTTTCTACATTAGTTGCACATTGGGAGAGACGACATGAGACCAACCCAACCGAGATACAAACCCTTCGTGGGGATATGAATTTGTGGTTAAACATTCTGGCTGAGACAGGAAGTCTCATGGGTAAGTCATTTATTCAATCTCTAACTGCTGGATTGCTAATAGCAACTACCACATAGGCTGCGGTATGGGTCTTCACGATGCAGTGGCTTCTATTATTGAACGCACTATCGCATGGATAGAACACGATCACCAAAAAGCGAACGAACATATCCCACAACCACAAATATCACAAGACATGCTCAAGCAGTCACCGCGTTCGCCTCCCTATGTCAATTTACCTCCGGCACCGAATTCTAACCCGAGCCACGATACAGAAGCGGTGAATGGGTCAACAGGCCACGTCATCGCAACACCACGCAATAACTATTACACGGAAACTACTACCGAGTCTGGAACGTATCCTCCGTTGGCATACGCAGACTCTACCCCTCATGCGACGAATACACTTCCATACGATCCAAATAATTCTTTCCTATACACGCAAGCAGGGCACGTTGCCGTCGCTCAAGCGCAAGCTCACGCGCATGCTCAAGCACAAGCCCAAGCTCAGGTACAAAATCCAGAGCACAATCCTCTTACACAATTCGCTACACAAGCGACGCAGATGACGCAGCCTACACATATTATGTGGCGACAACAACCCTCGGGCGGGAATACATGGCAAGATTGGACGGCAGCTATTGTCGACAATCAAGAGCGATACAGCGCGAACGCTCTAATGTCCTTGGGCAACGCAGACCCGAGACCGGGTGCGAATGTGGATGCCACAGGGACGGCTAATGGCATGGGTATGGGCGTTAACATGAACGGCGCACCGGCAGCAACATCGGCAGCTATGCAGTGGCCTTTGTTACTCTTTTCAGATGGAGTTAGTGGAACATGAGAACTTGAAGGAATACACGACTTTCAAGACTCTGTCGTCACTAAAGGGGAGTTTACGGAAGGCGTTTACAATATCTAAAAGTTACGGGCGGGACGGCGTCTAGGCGAGAGAACTCACTTACACCCATTCCCCGGATTATATACTAAGGGGCGAGTTATTATTATCTGGTTGGCAACAGTACAGCCCTGGAAGATAGGCGTTTAAACGATTAGTTGTCGGCCTGGTCCACGGAAAAGTTGAAGCGGCGCTAATACCGATATCATCATCATATTTATTGTCTAAAATCTGTTTTTTACACCTATTTACTTTTTTTTATCTTTATTATGCTATCTTTGAGAGATGATGCTTATGTACTATACGAGGAACGGATGGGGATGGTTGGGTGGGTAGGTATATTGGGACAGGTGTTTTTGTTGTTGTATACTATGGCGCGTATGTATGGTGTGGTGTGTATATAAAATATGTGCGGTACGGGACCTAGGGCATCTGGCGAATGGCGGTTGATGGCGTTAGGGTGCTAGGTACGCTATGATATTTAATCGGAACATTGTCCTAAATGGGATATCATCGTCGAAATGAGATTTTGAGGCCGCGCGGCTGTGTGAGTGTTGCTGCAGATGCGATGGTTTTTGCTTTTTCATGTATCTTGCTGCCTAGGTGTTATGGGGAAGATGGGAAGGAGTGCCGATCCGAGATACCCCGGGTAGTGACGCCGGAAACCTACATGATCGGTGTGTAACGCGGGTATTTGCTTTCGGCAGATCGGGGGGTGTACCAAGGTAGGAAGGTGAAAATCAATCGACCGGTTGGGTTTGTCGCACATTCATCTTGTGTAATTGTGCAATTGGGGGGCTCGATGGTATTGTGTTGTATGTGTACGTAGATGGCAAGTTCGAAGCGAGGTCGATTTGGCACTTTGGTTTGTGATACAATACCGGCGGTTACCAAAGGTGTAAGTTGAAAAATCATTTCTGACTTGTAACGTCTAATCTGATTAATCTTATATCCTCTTGGTCTCGATATCAACCGATGCCATAGACTCTGTGTTTATGGTTGACTTATTACTTTTATATAATCTGAACTTAGACAAGAATTGCCCCAGATACAATTTCCCTTGCTGAGGGGAGATATAGGATTACCTAAAGAATAGACGGCTACGTACCTAGCTTAGGTAGAAAGTGTTATGTCGTTATATAAATTCTCTTTATCGTCTGTAGTGATAACCTCCACTCACCGATGTAATTGTTGTGCACCGTGTCTGAAGCCGAAACTAAGTACACTCAGAAAGTTTCGGCGGAACTTTCTTCGTTTATTCAGAGTCATTGAGGACATCAATATTGACTCTACCTTCGCTACAGATCCGTACAGCATGAACTGTCATAATTTGTTTCATGACGAGGGTATGAGAAGGGAGATCTTCTACCTAGGAGTTTGTTTCATCCTTCCGTCCTATCGGTATAAGGCTTGGTTGAGCTAACCTCCGCCATATCTCTCCGAGAGCCATGCGAAAGCGTGAGGTGGAGAGAGAGTATCTGGAGTCAGGAAGAATGACACAGGCTTCCTCCGTGGAACTTTAGGATTTGCCGGTCCTACTATAAGCGATGGGCTTCGGTATCAAAAGGCGACTGGGCTGGTTCGACCCAACACCACGAGGCCTTCTCACCGCAATTCTTTCTGTATTCCTTTCTCGAACACCTGTCGGGGAAAGCGAGAATCAAGCTTCATCCTGTCGTTAGGAAGGACAAGCAACTTTAGCCTATTTGACCGCTTCGATTTCTCATATTTGACTAATCCTCTTCGTAGAAAGAGAAGATCATGCGTATCATGACCTGTACAGAGTAGTCATCCCCAACTACTCCAGACTCGAACGCCGAGACTTGACGTGGATATGTGCTATCTGGGACCGATTTTCTATATATACGCCTATATTTGAGAAGCATATTGTTCTAGACAAGGAACTTCACCAACCCGAGAGAAGAAACAGAATATTCAAGCAAATACCTTCCGTGGTACTCATCCACAATGCATTCCACCATCCTCCTCACCATCGCCTTCGCCCTCTGCGGCACCGTCCTCGCCTCCCCAGCACCAACACGCGTCGGCATCCCGGCGGCCTCCGCCGTTGAAGTACATGCCCCTGAGGGCACCCCCGACTGTACCGCTCTTGAAGAGTACTGCAAGTGCAAGACGGAGTATGTTAGCCCTTTACTATCATTCCTCCCCTTATCTCGCGCACATCCTATCCCCTTCCAGAACAAAAAAATCGGTAAAAAAGAAGCGATATAAAACCCATCGAGAATATGTGATTACATTGACTAATTTAGCACAGGGATTTTAACTGCCAGACTGACCCATCTTGCGAGTGGTGCCGTGACCATAACGCTTGGCCCTCTACTACCACCAATGTGGCGGCTGCGCCTACTGCTTAGGTACCTATCTACACCAACGGGTAGTCAGATGTGAGGGCGATGAATCTTGGCAGAGAAGTTTCCTTTTGTGATGTACACTTATTTTGGAATCTAAAAATGAAAACAAAATGATGTCTTGTTTTCTTGTTACATCGCCGGGTGGTGGGGGCATACTGTGAATGAGGATGAGGATAGGGATGATCAGGCGATCGCTATCGTCGCATCCACCACCAAACAACACGAAAATCGGGATAAGGGGTAGTTCCATAGCGTTATTTACCAGATTGTATGCCAATCAATATTATTTTCCTTTATGGGGAGACCGGGAGTGTGCCTTGGTTTGATGGATGTAATTCTTTCTATACACCGCAACCGAGGCTGGGGTAACAAGCCTTAAGTCGCTCACTTATACTATAATACAGAGATTAAGTTTATCTCGGCGTGAATTCTTCTTCTCTTGCCTTATTTTCGTTTCCCCTTTTCTTCATTCATCCTCACAAGTCATTTTTCCTCTTGAAGGACCTGATTGAGCTGTGACATAAGAACCATTTTTCTTTAGCCGTACGTATGTATGTCATCCCAAACTTGATGTAACCCCTGTCCATCATATGCAAGAATAATGCTGTCGTGTAAGAGTAGAGTTTCGTTCCTGGGTGGTATGGTATTGGTGGTAGTAATAGCAACGGTTGTCGTAGTCTCCCTATACAACCATAATGCAAATCAACGCCTTCCCTCTTAGCGTTCATTATATCATACACCTTCCCCAGATTGTACATAGTTCCTTCATTTTTAGATTTATTTGTTGGCTTCGGTGGGAGTTTCCGCTGGTTTCGAAGGCAGGAACCAGTTGGTGAAAGACGACTTCATACTGCTCACAGCCTCGGCCTGCGCCTTCTCGTTCGCGAGTTGTTCCTCCTTAAGCCACTTCTCTCCGTTTTCACGGATCTCCTTTTCTAGCATTTGATAGTTGCGCTGACCCCGCTCTCGCGCAATATCTTGCAACATCTTGCCCTGCGCGAATGCCTCCATTGGGCTGATTTCGCCTTCAGCAGGAACCATCATGCTCATATTACTCGGCTTTAACCCAAGCATGCCCCCAAGAGCCCCCATACCGCTCTTTCTCTTTCTTTTTTCGGACTCGTATTGTTTTTGGAACTCGGCACGGGCGATCGCTTCCCTTCGCGCAAACTCGGTCGGAATGTGCTTGCCGTCAAACGATTTAATCGCTGTTCGCACGTCCTTATATTGCATGGTATGGATATATTCTAAGAAAGGAATCAACGAGACGAGTTCGGTATCCTTAGGGTCGCCCTTCCACGGCTTTAACACAATTGCGTTTTCGGGTTGGTTTCGGACGTGTTCGGCCTTGGTGTCTATTATAATGACCTTAGAGAGGTCTCGGTTTAAGTAGGATAAGTCCTGTGTATCATAATGTTAGTGGATCTTGAAGTAGAAGTAGACTCCCTGAAAAAACACAATCGAAACTAACCTTTACAATCTCACCATCCTTGTACTTGGTAGCTTCTCTAAATAGAGGCCAAACGATGAAATGGAAAGGATCTAGCTTTCGAACCAACGGATCACCCATCGCAAATGGTACGCTTGTAAATAGAACCAACTCGTAGTATTGACTGAGGTAGCGTAAAAAGTAGTCCATGCCGGGACGCTTAGCAACTCTCCAACCGTGTTCCCGTGACCATTCGCTGTGTACCAACATATCCTCGAGACTAATGCAGAGTGTGTAAGGTCGCTCGAATAGAGGGTCGGGATCGGGTAGTAACTTTTCGAAAGCCGGTTCACTGTAATAACTTGTAACATCCCCAAAGCGGGCCGTCATCCGCTTCCACCAAAGTCCCAGGGACCATCCATTGGGAATATCGGTATGTAGCTTCGCTTCTTCCTCATCCCATTCTCGGCCCAGGTAGGCACCCCCGAAAATACTAAGAGATAATGCTAGAAGGTACATATAATTGGCGACCCTGTTCCTTCGCTTCTCTGCAGAGCTAACGTAGGCGGAGGCGGGTAGCTCCCCTCGACCGCGACCGCGACCGCTACCACCGGTTTGAGTTTCCGCTGTTTCCTCTTCTTCAATGGCGGCGAGTGCTGATTTATCGGTGGCCCCGCTTGTCTCATATTCAAGAGTCGATGGAATACCTTGGGTAAGATCGGGTAGAGCGCCTAGATTCGGTGTAGAGGGGTCGGTGTTGGCGCCTTGCGAGGGTTGCGCGGATGTGGAAGCGGACTCAGGGTTTGGCGCCTTCGATTGAGCGGGTTGTGCGGACTGAGCACCGCTAGGTGAGGGTTGATTCGGTGTCGATTGCTTGCCTGGGTTTGCGTTCGGGGGGGTTCGGGATCTATTCTTGGCCATTCCTCGTGCCCATATTGATGTCGCTGGGTATGACACTCTAGAGATAGCTGTAGCTCTTATAGCTGTTGATCTTGAAAGCACAGGTAGCCGCGCAGAGCGCGCGATGGTTCTTGAAAACATGACGGCAAGATTGCCGACTGTTGCAAACTGCGCAAATGGGCAATAGCTGCTAGTTCGCGGCAATAAACGGCTAGACTATCACCACCGATATAAATCAAAGGTCTGAACCGCAATCCTAATCAAAAAGAATAGGATATAAATCGGAGGCTTGTCCGTTTGCCCGTGAGTGCGCGGGATGAAGAAAGTGAATTGAAGCCGATTAGAATTGGGAAATTTTATTGACACTAAAGCTTAACCTTGTTCGGACCCCCCCTGGTACGATAGGTTGTGCTTGCCAATCTCCAAAATTTTTTATCGCCGGAGTTCTACCATAAACTACGTAATTCTAAGGTTTGAAGGTTTAAAGTACCGAGAAAGTAACTTTGCGCCAGGTCGGAATTACCATTTTCCAATGCGATTAAACCCCGCATCACGTCATTGGAGAAATCAGATACAGTACTTAGGTACTTAGGTATACAGGCGCACATAGGTATGATATGAATCAGTGAGCATTTGATTAGGACAGGGAGCATTTATTGAACAAGAGAAAATATATGAATAATCTACTAAGTTAGGTTGGGTATGAATAGTATCGTTCAAGGATATTGATTGAAAAAATAAAATACAATAAAATAATCTTAGGGAAGATTGCGCACGAACTAGTCCGTGATCGCCCGAGTTCTCTGAGCGATATTTTCTGCTTCAACGGTAGAAAGGATACTTTGTGTTGAAATATACTCGAGGGACCGCTTTCACAGACACTGCAATGCCCTGTACAAGGCAACTTCAGTCGTGTGAATATTCCCCTAATAGATTCAGCATCTAATACAGCATTTAACATATTACATACACAACCTATATACCGTATCTTTAACATTAGGAAAAGGAATGGGTCAAGTGGGGTAATAAATCGCACATATGGACATGAGTTGAAGGCTCAAAAAGCAAAAATGATGATGAGAAGGGGATTCGAACCCCTGCGGATTGCTCCAGAAGAAAGCCAACTCATGTTTATCATGAGCCAAGAATGACTTGAACCTTCCGCCATAACCACTCGGCCATCTCACCGAATTAGGAAAGGTCTTAGATGAATCAGAACTGTTTGTTGAGATGCTGGGAAGTTATTTTGGCCTATAAATGTGGTTGCAATAAATTTTGGCCTTAGACGAATCAGAAACTCCACTCATTCGCTTAAGCAAACGCTACTTCCAATCTTGGCTAGTCTTATCAAGTTGGTTTAATTTAATGTTTAATGTAACAGGTTTTTGTAATTTTTTCCTTTTTTTTTAAGGGCAACATTATGCAGGCAGAATAGTGTCAGTCTATGTGCCGACCGTATGGCGCATACTGTGAGATACTGTGTTACCAAGACACCTCTGGGCCTCTTATTTGGACAGTAAGAGTTTGTACTATCAACACTCGTCGCACGGTCGGCACTTGGACCAGGGTGGCTATCTTGCGGTCTGTTCGGGCTGTATCACGTGACCACTCATAGTTTTCTCTTCGTCAGTCTCAGGGGCTGACGTCATGTAAGTACTACTATTCGAGTCGTCGTCTCGATTGATATATTTTTCCAGTCTAGACCATTAGGCTATTCGAGATTGATGCTACAGGGCCGGGGGATTCATGTGACTTAAATACTGGATATACATACCGAGCTGAGCTGCGAATAGCTTCGCCTCCAGTAGCTAGCCAGAAACGGGTTTGTGATGGCTAATAGAGCTTCTGACCAAATGATTCGTTGAAAGATCATGTTGTGGTTATCATCGGCCCCGAGTATTGGAGCCCCCACATGAGCTCTGCTCTGCTACCTACCTATGGCAAGGGTCTTATTCTTCAAATATCCATTTATCAACCCCTGAGTCACATCCTATCAATTCAATAATTATCTCCATGCTTTATACATTATGCTTACCATTGCCCGTTGACCTCCTTTAGAGATCTTAATGGATAATTTGCTACACACAGTCTAAGCAGCTAATCTAGGTGGGTAATCTGTTATCAATGTGCTATTCACTGTCTTATTATCTACCTAGATATCATATTCAAGTCAAGTCAGAACGTCAAGTTAATCTTTTCAGTGAGTTACTTGTCCTGATTAATACAAAAACCAATACGGATGTCGCTAATGATATCGCGAGTTGTGTAACCACCTAACAGGAGGACGCTCCTTCGGGTCGTTAAAAGAGCCTTGTAAACTCGGGTATTTCTCATATAAGAGATTATTTCACGTCCTTCTTTTCGAATATTTCCTCCTTCACAATTCTAATAGAGAATGATAAGTCCAAGGCCCTATGCCCCCCAGTCCGATTAACGTTAAGTATATCAGTCTCTTAGATAGTCCTTCTCTTAGGTCTTCTAGTCTCCTAGTTTCCTAACCCTGGCATTTTAATATATTGTATTAAGATTCTTATAATTTCCTAAGCCTTCCTGGTTTCTTTGTGATAGTACTTAACTAAGTAATCCAGTAAGTGGTCCAGCTGCTAGTCAAGTAGTTAACTGATGTGACAGGGGCTTGATAGAGCTTGGAATAGTACTCAATTTTATTTAATAATTATCTAGGGTCCTAAGGCCCTTGATCTCTCTTTCTTCCTAAAGGAAGGAGATCTTGTTGACCTATTTATACCTGATATTATATACGTATGTTTTTAATTTAATTTCCTAACTTTCTATAGATAACTGCAAGGCGGTGATGGTGGTGGCTTTGCCCTTGTACAGCTTGATGACCTCTTCCACATTTGTCTCCGACGTATCCATCCGCGTTACGAGTTGCTCCATTCCTTTCAATAACTCTTGACGGGTCTCTGATTTCCTTGGTGATTTCTTGATGGATCACGGTGACCTCTATTGATGTAAATATCAATCTATACAAGGGTAATAATGATTAAACTTAAAACCCCACCAACACGAGGCTATGAACGATCGTATCAAACCTTGAAACACCTATCAATGCGATAAATCACGAAACCTTACGACACCTATACCAAAAGAGAAAGCTTAGGCAACAAAAACATAACATTACTTTCTCTCGCCGTAGCGGCCAGCGCCTCGTCTGCGTGTGGTAGCTCCACGAGCAAGAGCCGGGGCCTCTTCCTTGTCCTTATCGTCATCGTCAACCTTCTTCTTCGGGGGGCGTCACCGTCATCGTCGTCACCATAGTTGGTGACGGCGTTAGGAAGGGGAGCGAAGGACTTCCTCTTGCCTGGCTGTAATGCTGAGACGATGGAAAACATTAACAACAGACTTTTCACCTTTGAGCTTCGAATGCTTGCGGACCAATCCTTTACGTTCAACGACGCCTTAGATTTAAGGAAAGGATGTAAGTTATTCATTATTATTGCTTTTTCGTAACGATAGCTTTTGTTTATAGGTGTTTTAGACGTGGTGATTATTATATACTATGGCTACCCAACTCTCAAGTATTTTAACAGCGTGTACTCTCATCCATCAAGGGATTCCCTTAATATTAATCAACTATAGAGTAAATGCTTCAATCCAACAAGAGAACTGTTATGAAATGCATAAGAAATTATGGTCATTTGATAGTACTTACCTTTTGAACTTGTCTTCAGGAATGCCTTGTAACTTCCTACACTCCCCTCCACTCCTTCCTACATTTCCATTCTCGAGCGATACTATACCTGATTAAGTTTCAATAGTCGTCTTATTCTTACGTGTTCGTAACTTAACCTTATGTATCTTTTGACCAATATCTGCCTTCCTGCTAGATGGGCAGGTACGACCAACCGCCGTTATCGGCGCACGGTGGTCAGTATTTAAGCACTGACCCTTACGGGTCATTTCTGACCTTTTACCTTTACAAAATGCAACATCATGTACTCCCACATCGGCGATAAGGGGTTCCTCCGATACTCAAGATCGACATAATAAGGATGGGGATTCCAATTCCGACATCTCCTTAACCCCAGTCACATCTTCTACGCAAGGCCTAGATGGCTCTGACAAGGATCTAAAGCTACCTGGACCGCCTATCGACGAAGGTCCGAACGCTCCTACACCACCTGGGCAAGACCCAGGTCCTGTGTCTCGTACGCATAAACGCGCCATTTGGAGCGAATGGAGAAAGGCTGCTATCTTGGCCATCTTCGGCCATAGATACCGACTACCTGAAGAGATACGGCGGGCAGGTAACTCAATCGTTTATCCAGGAGGGTGCATGGAGGCACCGTAAGGACCAGCGTGAAGGTAGAAATACCTTGTTCTACAATTTATGGCGAGCGGAAGGACAGCAGCGTTCGGTAAAATGGATCCCGCTTTCTCGTAAGGAGAACGTTTTCGGCGAAACGGACGATGACGAGCAACTCTGGCAAAATATTTCGGAGATGTTCTACTGCATTGCGTTTCAGACGCTCCTAAAAGTCCTTCTCTAAAAATACCTTGACCCAGAGCTAATCAGCTCTACACACCGTGGTCTCAAAATCGCCAGTCCGATGGCACAGGGGGATGGCACAGGGGCGTATGGTCACTGATGCTGATAAGGGTCTCCGTGCACTGTGGGCGTCGGATGATTCAGAGATCCAGAAATTCGTACAGGCACGCTGTCCTCAAGGCGGCATCAACACGTGGGACAAGCAAAGCCAGGAAGGTTGGAGTCAACTTTCCAAAAGGATTGTTGATAAAGTTGGCCGAACAGACCTTATGCGGTCGTATATCGAGGGGGTGGACCTTCGAGAGATTCGGATACGCTGCAGGGTGAGAGAGGATCGACCACCATCCCAAGATTTAGGTAAAGGATGAAAACTTACTGCGAAGGGACATGTGAGCCCACTGATTCAGAGATGAATGTATTATATGGCTTGTCGAATTGGTATTGATGTAAAGCTGTGTTATAGTAGTTACAGAGTGTAATCATAGCTTATTTCAAAGTAATTGCAAAGCGTTTGCTAAGTTTTTCTTATGTTCTTGTATTTTTCCTCTTTTTCTTTTTCTTTTTCTTTTCCTTCCAGTTCTTCTTCTTCTTTTTCCTGTTCTTTTTCTCTTCTTGTTCTTCTTAATGTGTTATGGTTGACAGCTTGTTTACAAACCAACCTACTTCCTAAGATTCAAAGTGTCGTAAATCTTTAAATCCGAGGGCTCTTGAAATCATAGTATTATTGTTTACTGTCAACTTCGCCATTAGGACGTATATAATTTGTAGAATCGTGACAACCTTCGACCTGTTTTAGGTGGGGAGGGGGAGCTCGCACGTGCAACTTTAATTTTCTGCCCCACTTGAATACCCAATGATTGTACCGTGAGAAGGTATCACTGTATTACATAATTCATTGTCATTATGTAATTGATTCTCCAAACCTTCTATTCCTTCTAAGACAAACACCCGTCCAATCCCGTCCGATTCATCAATTAGAATCGATTCAAACTTCCCTCCTCTACACCTGGGCATACTACGTACACCATCACATACTACTGTGCGCTACTACATACACCGGATATCTTCTGCCGATCTTTTTCCCCTCCCCTACTTTCTAAGGCAATTGTCGTCTTCCATTCATCTTCGCTGCCGATTCTTAGCCTATTTGTCACCTTTACTCTTATGAATTACACCGCATTCCACCGATTTCCTACTTCGTTCAACATGGCAGCCAAGAGTGCTGCGTTCTAGAGGGTGGTCGTCAATCGTTGAGAGTATCGCGATGGCACCACCCTCGGGACGCCACGTTCTACTTCGATCTGATCAATTGCCTTAGATTAATCCCCAGATTACTTACCTACTCCATCTTACCTAACAACGGAACGAATCTCCGTATATTGAAAACTTAACCTGGGGTCCCAGTTTTCTCTTAAACACGAACCTCGACTGTCGCGTGACGGCAAATCCGCCTAGCTTGTTTCGCCACCGATTCAAAATTTGAAAGTCGCGTGTAAACTTGCGATCCCGAGTAAGTCGACTTCAACACCATGCGTCGCAAAGCCGGTACGGGGAAGGGTTCACGGGCTGTTGCAGCTTCAGGCCCTACACCTGTCTCTTCTACCCTTACTACTCCCCTCAGCTCCGCTATGCCTTCTACCTATACCTCCGAAGCCGAGTACGATATCAACGATGAAGTATCAAAGTTACCTATCGGCGCCCTTTCCCTGGGTTCTCCGGGACGCAAACTTAAACGAGAGAAGCAACATCCCTTTCGTTTCCTTGAACTTCCTTCCGAGTTGCGCTTGAAAGTCTACGATTACCACTTCGCGACCGCGAGCGATGTCCTTGATCTAGATTATGACAACTGGAAGAGGATTCATCATAAGCTGGCTATTCTAAGGGTCTGTCGCGCCATATATAGAGAAGCTTCGTACCTATTCTACAGTACCCATCCGGTCCGCATCTTTCCGACGACTCCCGGTCGTTTCTTCAAGACCAAGAAACCTCTACTAGCCCGCATGAAACCAAACCAGCGACAGACTTTAACTTCCCTCGAATTGCGTCTAGGCCCGGGTTGGAGCAGCCCACCTCGTGGCTGGGTCGTAAACGATGCGCTCGGCTTGTCCGACTGCGTCCATGTTACCAAAGTCACCGTTTTCATCGAATGCGACCCAGGAAGTGACTTCTTTAAGGGGTTCCGCCAACCGGATAACTTCTACGAACGATTCTCGAAAGCTTTATTGATTAGTGTTCTCGATGAGATGCCCTGGGTGGACCGTGTCGAATTCGATGCTTGGTCTACTGTTAAGAAGTCTGGAGCACTCATGCGCGGATTGTTCGAGGTCGTTACTTCCCGAGGACTCAGGATTCTTTGGGGTAAGGAGAGAGGATGGACCGATGCGGAGGAGGTAGAACCTACACCTACCTTGAATCTCAATGCCCCTTTACTTATACAAGGTAGCGACAGAGATATTATGGTAGCGGCGTAGGATAGCCTGCGGGTGTATTGACGAATGATAACTTGAGTTTTTCAAATTGGGATCGGGTAAGGGTATTTACTGGCGCAAGGAACGGCTATTGGTACTTTCACTCTTCTCTACTACTATATATATGTGCCACCAAAGTGATGGTTCTTGTGCCCCCTAAGTAGTGTTATGGGTTACGGCTTTAAATGGAACGGATTGGATTTCAACGATGCATATTGATTACCAGCTGTGTCTACTGCTCTCGTGTTCTCTCATTGTCTTATTTTTAAGATACTCGTAACGTAAACGGCTTCAACTTCGGGACCTGAAACTGGAATAAGAATGAATTAATTCTGATCTCAATGCCACAGAAACAATCGTATTTGGACTTTTAAGACCATTTTGCTGAATTGAAAGGCAACTGCGAAGACAGCGCTGGTCCAAGTATCTTAGTCCGATCGCTGTAAGACAGGGTACCTGGGTATAAATTGCCCCACCAAAAATTTCCACAGATCGAGCTATCAGCGCAAGCTTCGATTCTTATCAATTACAACTTTTAAACCGACATACGGTACTTTACAACCTGCGAAAATTAAATCCGCGAGATCACAGTGCTTGACACGCCTTCTTCTAATAAGCAGTAAAAGAATCGAAAGTAAAAACGAACCGAAGTTAATAGGCAATTGAAATACAAGAGTTGAAATGCCCCTCGATACATCAACCTACGACCTAGCGCTCCTGCGCATCGACGGACGCCGATGGAATGAGCTACGTCAACTTCGCGGACAAATACGTACTCAAGCTGCCGCCGATGGGTCCTCATACTTCGAGCTTGGAAACACGAAAGTCATGTGCGTGGTTTCAGGTCCTAGTGAAGAGGGAAAGAGACGCGCTATGGGTGCTTCTTCCGCAGCCGCTGCGGGCGGAGGAGGGGCTGGTGGTGCTTCGAACGATGCGGATATATTCGTTAGCATCGTAGTCGGAGGGTTCAGCACAGTTGATCGCAAGAGGAGAGCTAGGGGTGACAAGTACGGTTTTTACTCCCATCTCCCCACCCGAATCCACCACTTCTACAGTCAAGAACTAACACAAAAATCACAGACGTATCCAAGAACTCCAATCCACAATCGCCAAATCCCTCGCCGCGGTGTTACACACACACCTCTTCCCACGCTCCACAATCTCCCTCTCCCTCCACGTACTCTCGCAAGACGGCTCCCTCCTAGCAGCCCTAATCAACGCGTCCACACTAGCACTCATCGACGCTGGGGTGCCGATGACCGATTACTTAGTAGCCTGCAGCGCGGGCAGTACATCGACATTCGCTGCCGCCGACGAACGCGCGGATCCGCTTATGGATTTAAACAACCAAGAAGAGCAAGAACTACCCTTCCTAACTGTGGGGACGTTGGGGGCTAGTGATAAAGTCGCGTTTTTGGTGTGTGAGAGTAGGGTGCAGGTTAGTAGATTAGAAGGGATGATGGTGGCTGCTGCGGATGGATGTGCGAATATACGCGCGTATCTTGATTCGGTTGTTAGGGAGAAGGGACGAAGGATGGTGGCTGAGGGGGCGGTGGAGAAGGGGGTTAGTATGGCGATGGATATTGATGCTTAAGAACGGGGTGGTGGCATACAAAGGGAATATTTGGACGAAGGTGAAAGGGTCAACGGTATTTGGGAGTTGCGGTTGATGATAGCATCGGCAGGCGTTAAGGTACAAGCTCATTCACATATGAGTAAGTCAAATCGATTCTTCCCGGAAATAGACTTTATTTTATTTTATCATTATGTCAATCAAAAAGAATTGCCTGGTACAAAATTGTGCTAACCCGACTCATTATTTATAGCTCTTCATGTTTCACCTTCTCTTCCGAAGTAGCTTCAGGGGTTGGTTCTGCGCCTTTAGTTTCCGTCTCAGATGATTCGGGCTCGACTTTGATCTCAACGGACTCCTCTACCTTCACCTCTACAGTCTCAGCTGGTTTCTCCGCAGTCGTCTCTTCAACCACCTCACCGATTAGACCTTCCGGAAGTGTCTTCTTAGTACCTTCACTCATGCGGATAAGATCGATCCAGCTCTCCAGACTCTCAGAGCTGAAATCGCCCTCGTAATGACGCCACCACTTTCTTTTACCGTTGACAGCAACGATTTCGATGTCCTTGGAGAGTTCTAGGCTCTTGTATACTGATGAGGAAGCCTCATTGTCGGTGTGTACTTCGAAGAAGGGGATGAGATTGCGGCGTGCGTCGGAACGTCTAAAGGGAACGTGTGATAGTGTAGTAAGAACTGTCTCGGCGGTTTCGCCGTGAGCAGATGGTACGAATGCGAGGATGCAGGTACGGGATTTGCGGTTCAAGCATTCCTTAGTCAATTTATCGGCCTCCGTAATAGCTGGGATGGCTGGTATGACAATCTCCTCGGTCGCGGGTGGGACGTCTGTCGGCTCGGTTGATTCTGTGGATGTGGTCTTGGTGCTGGATTCGGAAGATTTGGATGATGCCTTCTTGTCTGCCTTCTTATCCTTTTTTTCGGACTTCTTCTCGCCCTTCTTGTCTCCCTTTGATTTGGCGGGAGCGGGATCCGGGTTTGGTTGGCCGGCTTGTGATAGGAATTTAACCATGACATCCTTCTTTAACTCTCCGTCGTACACAATGCTATCCTTGTCACCACCGGGTAGTAGGACCAACTTCGGATAGGACGAAATACCGAATAACCCATTCGCCTTGGTCTCCTTATCTCGAATTTGTGCAACAGTGATAACGTCCAGGAAGTCAATCGCAATACTCTTCAATAAAGCACTAGTCGTACCCTTCTCAGTGAATAAAATGGCCTTGGCCGAGTCATTCTTGTTCGATAGGAAGGAATCGATATCCTTATCCGTCACACGCTTGACGTGGTTATTGATCTTCTCGACGACGGCATCAACAATGCCTTTAGCTGTTCGAGGTCCATTGTAGTCTTCTACAATTGGCTTCCCTTTCTTGCCCGGACGTACGGTCTTGACTGTCGGGAATCCCTTGACGCCCATCATTCCACATAATTGCTTGTTCTCATCTTCATCGCAGTTGACTGCTGCGACCCGAGCCAATCCCTCGAGATTCTTAGCTGCCTTTTCGTAGGCAGGTTTGAGGTTTTGACAGTGACCACACCATGGCGCGTAGAATTCAACGACCTATGAATGTAGCCAATTAGATGCTGCTTGTCTCCCTAAGATGCTACAACAGACTTACCGATGTGTAATTTGATTTATTGATTATTCTGTCGTAATTCTTTGCGTCGACTTGTACTACGGGAGAGCTCTTAAGATATAAACTGGCTTGAGCGGTTGGGAGGGCGGAGAGAAAGGCAACAGCAGCAACAGCTGTGGCGGGGTTGAGATTGAAGGCATGCATGGCCTTGATGTGGTATGATCTCACGATCAGTAACGGGAATGTATAGAAGATCAATTAAATAAATAGGGATCACGGTTGAGGTTTGGGTATAAGATTGATTAAGAAGAAAAAAAAAACATTTATCAAACCGTAATCACCTAGACAGTGTGTTTATAATTGAAATAATCCTGGACATGACAGATAATCCATTGTTCTTCAATGACATGAACAGAATTGAAGCTTTAAATGAAAAATGATTGCTGTCCTTTCTTGCTAAATTGAGCAAAAGGCCACCGTGGAAATTCGATTTAATTCGTTAAAGAACCATGCATCATGAGACTTAGTTTCCTCTGCCCCGCCAGCTTCTGAGTACATGATTGGTCGAAATGGTAAACCTGGGGTAATTTGTGGCTGGTAAAGGGGAGCTTGTAATACAGTGGCGCGAGCTCTCTTCTTATCCTTCTTATCTACGTCAACTGATAAGCTTAAGCGCCCACCAGGTGGGGAATTCAATCAGTGATCTCAGCGGGGAATCCCAACGCTACGGGATTTAGTGACTGTTAAATGTCGTGCCTGATGCAAGCTTGCGTATTCCTTCTTTTTAAACATCATTACCAACTTTAATTGTTTCTGCCTAACGACTCGCTTAAAAGTGACGAAGGAAGCCACCAAGATATACAAATTGGAATAGGAGAATTTACCTTCGAAGCAAACTTTAGAAAGCTTTCTCAATTCCAACACTACCATTTGACTGTTGCCTACCCCGATTCATCTCGCCGACAACTCGCTAGATCTCCCCCGAATCACATCTCGACTACCCAGGTCGTCGCATATATACACGATCGTATTATCTCCCGTATAACGCCCTCTACAAATTCACCATGGCGGCCAATATACCGGCAAAGATGAAACAGGCGGGAATTACCCCCTTTATTGTTCGCGCTTCACAACTCGAGACTGCAAAGCCTGTTATCGCATATTGGTGTAAGTTCAATTATCATTGTCGCATTATCGTGTTAGCTTTAGCTAAGTATCATGAATTGGATAGGTTTCTATTGGGCCGTCAACCAAATCCTTAGCAAACAACTTCACACCGCTGACGAGGAATGCCACCAATACACCATAAACTTGATGGATAAGTTGGAGCAGGTACGATAAATAATATAATGTCGCATTTCCGACTTGAGGTCTTTCTCTAATACCATATTTCTACAGACAAAGGAGCAGCATGCGGGAAACGATGCGATTCACGATGACACAGCTGGACAAGCATACGTAGAACAATTTGCGCAAGAGACCTTCGAGAGAGCGCTTCGACCGCTGAAAGCCAACAAAGCTACACAGTACGAATTCTCGAAAAAATGACGAAATTCGAAATTTCTACGAGTACAATAACTAACGGGAAATTTTAGGCAAACGGCGAGTACGTTCGAAGCGGCAGCGACGTTCTTCCAGCTGGTCAATATCTGGGGGGCACCCGATGCCGAAACACAAGATAAGATTAAATACGCAAAATGGAATGCGGCCCGTATATTGAAAGCCATAAAGGAAGGCAAGGATCCAAATGAATCCAATCCAAAGCAGGAGGAAGCCAAAGAAGAAGAGGCAGCACCAGCACTTGACCCGAACGATCCAGAAGTACAAATGCTTGGAGCCGCACAACCAAAACCAGCGAGTGTAGAGGATGTTCCTGATGAGGATGGAAGACTACACCCACAATCGACTGGTACTTACCAGACATTCCCAGCTCCCGTATCTGCGCCTACATCACCTCCCGCTCCCTCAGTACCAGTGCCTGACCAGGTATCTCCTATAATACCCCCAAATCCACCCACAGGAGAGCCAGGAAGCTATTTCCCGGACGCACCGAGTGCATCCGATACTCTAGACTTGCCATCTACGACGAGCATGCCGCCTCCTGGCCCAACTACTTACGACTCGTCAGGTGCTACACCACTGATACCAAGCCCCAGCTCCCACGATCCTGCAATTCCACCTTCAGCTCCGTTCTCCCCACCGAACGTATCTACACCACCGCAAGATTTCTACCGTTCACAACCAACACCTCCAGTCATTCCACAATCACAGCAACGGATCCCCCCACCCCAAGCGCCACCCGCGAGCCAGAACTACTACTCACAACCAACTCAACCTGTGATCCCGCGGGCGGCGTCTGTTATACCGGCGCAGCAGTATGGAGGTAATAGTAGCGGGGGTAATGGGGGAAGTGCACCAGCAAATGCGAATACGTATAACACGGATGATATGGCAATGGTGCAGGCGCAGAAACATGCCAAGTGGGCTATATCCGCGCTGAATTTTGAGGATGTGCCAACTGCGGTTAAGGAGTTGCAGGCTGCGTTGGAGAGTCTGGGCGTGCGGTAACGGGATTGTTTGGGAAGGGTGGATGTGGTTATGCTTGATACCTACCTAAGGACCTACCTAAGGACTTAGGGAATTAGAAAATCGGGATGTTAGGAGAATTGAAAAGGACTTAATGATATTGTGCTATGCTGGCCCAAATTGAGATTTTGGTGTTGGATAGATGACCTATGAGCTGGCTTAGTTGCATCGATTACCAAAACGCCTATCACCGAAAATATTACCAATTACGCCACGCAACAAATAAATCGGTGCCCGCGGCGCGCGATATACTATTATATACATGCTAAGTGTGTAATTATGTAACCGGGCCAAAGAATCAATAATTCGGTAGCCGATCGATTTGATATCCGAGTCCGATCGGGTACGGAGCATCTTCATTCACAAAGCCGAGATTTTCAGTTGCTAACTACCACTGAAAGTGGGGTTGGCAAGTTTATCTCCAGGACATGGTAAGTGGAGGGGATTCGTGTCTCCGTATTTACCGGTGATATTTTTTGGTAATTTGGTGCTAGAGTGGATGAAATCGGCTTGGTACGTCGGGATCGGCACCGGGGCTATCGGTACATCCGGTCTGGTCTAACTGTGTAGGGTAGAGTGAGGTCGACGGCGTTGTTAGTGGGAGCTGAATAGTTAGGTGTACAGCAAGATTAGCTTGTGTGTGTTTAGGTGTTGATATCATTGTGGCGTCAGTATATCGTGGTTTTGACTTGAACATTCCAGCTGAGTTACAGTGCCGAGGTATAACCTGATTAGCATTCAGGCCAGTACCTATACTATAGAAGATTACATTCTCAATTGAACATTCCGTTTGCATAAGACACCTATCTTGCCCGTGTCTAAACTATCTGCCGATCCACCACGGACTTAAAATATTAAAAGCGCAAGTTCCAACAACGGCGATTGGCCAAGCTGCGGAGACGGATGGAACAGTGTGTTTAGTGATCGGTCCAATATCTTTCCACTCTTGCTTTTCGTCGCGATTGTCTTGGTATGAAACAACGATAAATATCGAGATCGTCCGCTTTACTAGACTTGGTATAGTTCTCTGATTCAACTATTAAAGACAACTTAGAGAAGACTTTTACTTACTTACCTATCTATGCGCCCTAGTCTAACGAAACTTCGATCCTATATACAACATATACATACCATGGCTACGCTACCGAAGACTTACAAAGCTGCTGTTATTGAGGCTACGGGTAAACCTCCTGCGATCAAGGATATTGAGCTTAAACAACCTGGACCGGGTCAAGTTCTTGTTAAGGTGCTTGCCTGCGGTGTCTGTCACTCAGATGCCCTTTTGCAACAAGGTCACTTGGGTGATTTATTCCCCCGGATTCCAGGCCACGAGATCATTGGTGATGTCGTCGCTGTCGGCAGCAACGTGACTAGATTCAAAGGTGGCGAGAGAGTTGGTGGTGCTTGGCATGGAGGTTAGTTTTCTCGTTCTCCCCTCACTCTTTTCACCCCTCTATACGCTATCCGGCGATGCCCATAAAGGGGTTAAGTATCAACCGGGAGATACTAACAAACTCCAGGTCACGACTCAACCTGCCGTTCCTGCGCCCGCGGGCAATTCCAATGCTGCGAGAACCAGCAAATCAACGGCATCACGCTGGACGGTGGGTATGCGCAATACACCCTAATCCGGGAAGAAGCCGTAGTCCGGGTCCCCTCCGACGCAGACCCCGTCGAAACCGCGCCTTTACTATGCGCCGGCGTCACCGTCTTCAACGGGATGCGCAAACTCCACGTAGAACAAGGCAACACCGTCGCAATCCAAGGCGTCGGGGGTCTAGGCCACCTAGCGATCCAATACGCAAGTCGCATGGGGTACCACGTCATAGCTCTCAGCTCCGGGTCTTCAAAGCGGGAGTTTGCGGAAAAGTTAGGCGCGCATGTGTATATTGACACGAGTAAAGAAGACGCGGTTAAGGCGTTGCAGAAGAGGGGGGGTGCGGCTTTGATCGTGGCTACGGCGCCGAATGCTGAGATTATAAGTCCGCTTGTGGGTGGCCTGCAGACGGGTGGCAAGTTATTGGTTCTGGCGCCTGTGGGACCGGTCGCGTTTAATACTGGGTTGATGGTTAATAAGGCCGCTTCGGTGCATGGGTGGCCTAGTGGGCATGCTATTGATTCTGAGGAGGCTATTCAGTTTGCGCGGGATCATGGTGTTAAGTGTATGGTTGAGAAGTTTAAGTTGGAGGATGCTGGGAAGGCGATGCAGGCTTGTGTAGAGAATAAAGTGCGCTTTAGGAGTGTGTTGGTGTTGTAGAGGTTGGTGAATCGGTGAGAAGACGGCGAGGGTAAGGTATATACAGCTTTGATTGAGACGAGTAGGTAGCGATGAATTATGTTCGTTCATTCAGAGGGAATAGTTATTAGAGTTAGCTATTAGGATTTGTAAGAAGAGTAACTTGACGTTGAAGTTTCTGTTTAACCAGATTATCAGTTGAGGACGTTAAGGGCAAGTTGTACCCCAGCTCCCCGGAGTTACAGCAGGGAGGTTATCCCCAATTGTTTCCCTTCAGTGCTGACTTAAGCTTATGATTGGCTGAGAAAGAACAAAACTTGTTTCTCCAACCGCTACGTCATCCCCTGAAATCCTTAACAAGTTTAGCAGCTTGGAAGACCTCATCCTTCAGGGAATCTGCCAACTTCATCTATTCGTGCGATGATGGGTCCCAAATTTGAGGCCTTGATTTTGGTCTTTAGCCGCCCGCGAGTTAGATATCTCAATCGTTAGCAAACGCAAAGAATGCTAATTACTTTATTGTAAGTATCCGGTTGGTAAGTTGCCACCAGAGGTGATTCAACTTTGTCTTATCATTTCTTAAAAGACTACACCTTGAAAAGGCCTTTGTTTCTCACCAAGATATTATTCGCCTTGTCGAATCGAGAATCTATTGTCATGTGAAGTCACAATATATCGCCTATTCACTTACGACTTGATGATTGACTTGATTTTGAGCCTCTTCAATTAATCAAATTTGTAGCACTGGTTGCTACTGGGGAGTCTACGGCGTTCCTTATAGCGCATATTGTTGCCGCAGCTCTAATTTTATACCACCAGCTTTTTTTTTATTCGTTCGTCTGAATTATCTCTACGATGGCTATGTCTATTTTAAACATGCCATTTCCTTTCCTATCCCGCTTAATTAAACCACTTTCCCTTCTCTTATCCCTCCTCATCTTCACACAGCTCGCAGCGAGCCAGACGGTTGTCCAAACAGTTGTAATAACCGTCGCCCCACCAATCCCCAGCGAAGCGCCCTCCTTCGTAGACCACGACACTTTCACCAGCGCAATCCTAAACAGCACCAACACCTACCGATCCTCCTACAACGCATCCTCACTACGATGGAACTCAACCCTCGAAGCCTTCGCCTCAACCTACGTATCCACACACTCCACCAAGCGATCCCTATCCCTTTCCGAATCCTTCCTCTCCATCTTCAAAAAACGCGACGGCGAAAAATGCCACATGGCCCACTCAGGCGGTCCCTACGGCGAGAACCTAGCCCTCGGGTGTTCCGACGCGGGGTCCTGCGTCGATATGTGGGCAAGCGAGGTCTCGGGGTATAATTACGATGACCCTGGTTTCGGCGAGAGTACCGGGCATTTCACACAATTGGTCTGGCGGGATACGACGGATGTTGGGTGTGGTGCGAAACTGTGCCCCGGGAATGGGGGTTGGTATTTGGCTTGTGAGTATTGGCCGCGTGGGAATATTATTGGGGCTTTTGCGGATGAGGTTGGGGAGCCGGTTAGTGGTGCTATGGCTTTGGGGAGGAATGGGGGGTGGAGGGGGGTTGAGGGGGTGGTGTTTGGCGCTGTGGTCGTTGCTTGGTGGGGGTTGGTATGAGGTTAGCATTGAGTTATGAGGGATTGGCGTTTTTACATATCGAACAGGACTGAGACGGTTAGGCGAGATGGTGTGTCATGGGATTGTATATCTTTGTATGCCTCGAAACGATTTCTATGAGATAACTAAAATGCGGGAACATTGGAAGGTATTCACGAAAAATAGGAAATAGGGGCGTCGGAAGTATTATACTATTAACGTTTATTCGAAAATCTTTATTATTTGTATTATGCAAAATATATATGCTCTAGTTCTATTTAAAACTTCTATTTCTTGACCAAGGCTTGTTGTCCAGCCGGGACATTAAAAGGCCCATTCTCCGCGAGTGGGAAATTCGGCGTTCCGTCATCGTTCCAAGTAAACTTCTGTATGCGGGCTGTACGGTACAAGTCCGCGGCGGGGTTCGGCGTTGTTTGCGCGTGGTACACGATATAATCCTCGGAACCATCCGGTGACGAGACGAAACTGGCATGACCGGTTCCGTATACGCCGGCTACTGTGTTTTGGTGGAACACGCATCCGGCTGTATGCTTCTTCCAAGATTGATATTCCATCGGATCATTTCCGACGAGCTCTAACATGCCCAGGCAGTAGTACGGCGTGTTAACGCGTGCTGCTGAGTAAATAACGAAGTTCTGCCCTGTCTTCGGGTTCGTGAGCTGCTGCGGGCCCTCATTCGTTGCTAATCGAATTGGTCGTCCGTATGGCACTTGTTCCCAGGGCTCGTTCGGTATGCTGATGATGCGACGCTCGGCAAATGTTGAGCTAACTGTCCACGGGTCCGATAATTTGGTAATGCACAAATTGGCCGGCCATGATGAGTATTTTTGCTCCCAGCATGAGTAGATGTGGTATAATTTGTCTTCGAATTGGAAATATGTTCCGTCAATTGCGAACATGTCGTATGTGTCAAGCATGGGCTTCAATTCGAAGTTGGCGGTCCAGGGATCAGGTCCGTCCCCTGCTAGGACGAACATTCGGTGGTTGATCGCCTATAATTGCAATTAGCATTCAATTCCTAGTTCAACTTAGGGGCTGAAGAGCTATATTATAGCGACTTACGGGACAATTAATCGGGCACATAGCGTCTAATAGTGGGGGTGGGTTATCCCCATCTGATGTGGCAGTGAAAATGATATACCATGAACCAGAAATGTTATGTATCTCAGGAGCCCATAAACTTGTCGACCAGGGATCGCCGCTTGTGGCATTAGGGTTAAAAACAACTCGACTTTCCGCATTATCCCAATTATCTGTTAGGTATCTCGATCGTCTAAGGGTGACGTTGGTATTCGTCGAGTAAGTGAACAGGTACCAATCCTCGCCATCGGCAGTGTATTTAGTCATGAATGGGTCCCCGATATTTAATGTCATGACAGGATTTGAGAATGTCGCGTTAGTCGTTTTATTCGTACCGACAGCGGCTGGGTCCCAACTTGGGGAGCTTCCTTTATTCTGGTCGAAGACTTGGGCAGTAACTGCGCCCAAGCACGAAGCCAAAGTGGCTAGACGGGAGAATAAAGGACCCTTCATCTTGACGTTGTGGACTATAGTGAGTTGTCCGTCTATCTTACTCTAGATAATGAAACTGACGTCTAGGCTAAGTAAACAACAAGAGGAGGGGTTCCTAGAAGGAACGCGCTCTCGTGGGATTCATTCATCTTAAATAGTCCTCTCAACTCAGGCCTACTAGGTAAGTCTACCTGGGTGGTGCCGATGCGGTGGAACGAGCCTCCCCAGTTCTTTCTTACATAGGGTAAGCGGTCAATGGTTAGTTTTGATCTAAGAAAGTGCCTCGGGACAGGGCAAGTGATTCAATTCGTAGGATGAATTCATATTAACAAGGAGGGTAAACAGTTCCTGCTGATGTTCCGGGGTTATCCAGGTCGAATCCTACAAAATACAATGGAATAGTCGGAATAATCGCGAGTCAACGTTGCACTTCTCCATCTTGTGCCAACATTTAAACCTGGGGTTGGTGAGGAGACCGCTGCGGGGTAGCTACTAGGGGTCCCTATAGGGATTAGATAGGCGGTTGGGGTGGATATGATCTAGCTGGGGTTTGTTTGGAGTATTTTCCTTTCCTCACAACAGTTTCATCAATTTACCTAGGTAAACTAAAGTTGTGATTCTATTTAAACGATTTTTCACGCTCGAGTTGTGTTTTATAGTAAATATGGAAATAATTCTAGCATGACTCTAAGTAAATGGCAATGTCTAGTCAAGGCGAGTCGAATTGAGTCAAAAGAGCCTTATAAGGCACATGCCCCTAACTTCGCTAACTATTACCCCGACCGAGTAACTAGCCCCCGAATAGTTTAATCCTTTAGCGCTTTCCTCTCCCCGCGGAGCACCTTCTGGGCGATGTGACTGATTGAAGTCCTCCAATAAGACAATAGTACACTTCCATTAAAGGAAACAAGGCTCAAAGCTAATATCTCGAATAACCTCACACTAAAAGAGACCACGCGTGGGACGGGCCGATTAAACCATAAGTCTAATTAAGTCTACGCAATTTCAATTTTTAATAAGACCCGAGTAACTTAATATGGCTTGATCTTATATGCTATATACTATCATCTGGTTGGAGAATCTGCTTTTCAGTTGGCGTTGCTTTATAATCACTTCTATTGCTCTGGGTATTTATAGGGGCCTTTACCCCCTAAAAGTAGTCGTTATAGGATACGTTATGTTCTAGCTGTGTGCTTGAAGTAGATTGTGTCTCTGTGATTGGGCCTATAATTAGGCCTGGGAATGTTAGAAATGTGCTATAATAGGCCGGCTGGGGCCTTTAGTTACAACTGAAAACTTGCATTTACTGAGAACCGCGTGCTAGGTAGCAGGAGATAGAAGGCGTGAACAGTGCGTATAGCGTACTGTGAGGGGTACTTCAAGAATTATTTCACCAAAATCCCCCCTTAGCTCTCAATCATCATTCATACAACAACCGTCCATTCTCATTTTCATCAATAACGCTGACAACAACTTTCCTCTCGATGCCAATATCATCGCGTTTATATTTCAATCGGATATCTTATTATATGTACAACTTGGTATCATCTCTCGGAGAAATACCGCTAGAGCATTAGGTAGGGTCGCCACGTTCAAATCGTATCAATTCAATCGGTTCGACATCTCATCTTTTCTTCATCAATCGCAACCACATATATCGTTCCTCTTTCTTCATGCCGATACAGACTCCGAACTACTTCCATTTCCAGTCGCCTTTCCATGCATCTTACGGTGGACGGTGTCGGTGAGATGTTTCTTAGCATCCTTGGAAAAGAGACAACCAATAATGGCAATACCTCCAAATCCAAGACTTGCCAGGTACACCGTCTTGAAGGCCTGCGAATAAGCTGTTGGTAAGACTCCAGCGACAGCCTGTGTGATAGCGGGGGTAATGCCCGGGAATGTAGCGAGTTTACTGCTTAGAACAGCTGCGACTAGCGAAGGGACCTTCTCCGCAGGAAGGCCAGCAGCAATCGCTGCAGGGCCAACATTAGCGGGCACTGTCGAAGCCAGGCGGTTGGTCAGGATACTGCTGTAAACAGCCACTGCGATAGAACCACCAGCCGCACGGATAGACGCCAGTAAACCGGACGCAAGACCGATATCAACAGGTCTGCAGAATAGAGGGGCCAACGCCAGCGCGAAAACTTCGATAACACCGACGAAAAACGGACCGATCATCGTAAACGCAATTCCGGCGTTCAGGGTTTCGGGGGTAAGCGAAGCGCAAGCACCGACAAATGCGACCATGCAGAAAGTCGAGAAAATGATCCAGTATCGAACGTTGCCGCCAATGTTCACGAAAAATCCACCAACTGCCTGACCGATAGCGGTGGCGCTAGCTACCGTGCACTGTAATTTTTAATTAGCGACTGATCTACCCACTGAACCCCCTATTATACAGGTGGGACACTGACCGAAATCCAACCACCGTAGGTGATATCTGAGGTATAAAGAGCTTTAACTTGCTGGGGCCACAACAGAACTGCAGAGTAGTACGACATCTAAAACTTATTAGTCGCCATTTCATCAGTGCGCACGGCAAATGATAACTCACAGTTGCAACCGTAGCACAAGCGACAAGACTGATGAAGCCTCGGTTGGCAAAGAATTGGACGGGGATAGCCGGGTACTCGAGCTTTGCATATGCTTCATAGATGAAGAGGACAACCAGAAGCGCCACTCCAATAACAATCGAAGAAATCGTCGCGGCCGAGTTCCAAGGGTAAATACTTCCACCCCAGCTCACACCCATCAGAAGCAGAGTCAGACCAGCTGTCCATAGGAAACTTCCAACGTCTGAACGTCCTTGTTAGCCCCATGCCTCTTTAGTATAGGGGCAAAACTTACAGTCGAGTTGCTTAAGTAATTGCATCTTGGTCTTTCGCTCGTGTAGGAGATCGAAATTTGGCGGGTGGTAAAAGAGGAATAGTAACACAATAGCTACCGAGCACACGATGATGTTCAAGTAGTAGCACCATCTCCATCCTAAGTTAGGGTTCTCCAACACCGCGCGAGCTATAATAGGGGTTAGTAATTAAGGTGTGAATTCAAAGATGACCAACAACCAACATCTGCAACTTACCAATCATAGGACCAATACCAGCAATTGGTGCGTTCGACGCAAAGATCAAAGATATGACAATTGGTCGGTACTTGTTGGGCACCAATTCACCGATAGCCACGTTGAAACTCAGTTGGACAGTCTCACCCAACCCATAGACGGCGCTACCAACGATCAAAGTGTCGACGTTCTGGGCAACTGAGCAGACAATGATACCGATGAGGGCAACAATATTGCCACCAATGAAGAACCATCGTCGCCCGAAGAGATCTGAAAGTCGTCCAAGAATCGTATATGTGAAAGATAAAGCGAGTGTTCGAGCAATGTTGACCCACGAGATGTAGGAGCTAGGACCTGGTTCATGTTAATCCCACCGGACTTTGCTTACCCAGGTACCCCGGGCCGAGTCTCTACGACTTCGTAGACTTACCGATATCTGCGTTAATGTATGTCAATACATTTGTTGGTAAGAGCAAAAAGATGAAAGCCGAAATAGTCGATAAACTGAAGCCCTAACGAAAATGTAAGTTGCGATTGTCATTTTCAAGCATGCTGACTCTTTCGACTTACGGCTACCGCTCCGAGAAACCCAACAGAATAGAAATACCCCTTCGGTAAGTCATCTCCACGCGCAGCTGATCGAATTGACGAAGCATCATCATCTATTATCTTATCGAATTTTTCGATTCGCTCAATAGGCGACGCAGGCTTTTCGATCTCCATGATGACAGACGATGCGCTTGATGAGAGAGGACTCAAAAAAGATTGACTAGCGCCGCACGCCGGGTAATAGGAAGAAAGAAAGAAAGAAAAGGCGGCCACTCTGTCAACAGATAGTGTTCGGCTTCGATCGAAAGGAAGCGATCTACAGCGGGAAGAACGAGGTATGTAAGTGGGAATCCGTCTATTTAGTCTTTGGGGGATCTTTAGATCCTATGGGGGGAAGGGTTTATTGATTTTAGCCAGGGATCGCCTATCGTACACTTTCCATACTCAGCAGTTGGTATACAATACCAATGGATGGGGGCCACAGTTGGTACGACCCGGGACCAGGCTCCCGAAGAAAGGGGACCGCCACAGGGCATGGTCGGGGAGAAAATACTGCTTACGGAATGCGGGAGGAACGTCTGTTCGGTCTGGCTCCTATAGAAACCCTGAACGAATGATACCTTTCTAACCTAGTTCGCACGATCTCAACAGCAAACCCGCCACAATTGCGGCCGAATTTCCCTAGGAGATCAACCCGAATGGACAGTAAATGATGCATTAGTTCGGTAAAAATACTAGGGCATGTTCCTCTTTCTTTCTTGTCCTGCTAACCGTTTACTTACATGATGGCAAGGATTCGCAATCCAGATGCTACGGTACCTAACAAAAATGGTAGGTTCCTGGTCTTTTTGGTTATTAGTTTCAGGCATGGTACGTGAATATTATGCCAGCTAACATGCTGATAGTCGCATATGCCAAGTGGCACTTGTTCGCTTGCCATACAATCTACCCCTGACGGAATATATCAATTTGAATGTTCGCGATGGTTGATGAGGAAAAGTCCAATTGTCACGGATGTCACTGACCTTCAATCGTGCCATTATAATATCTACCTAGGTATTTGTTATTAGGTATCGTCAAGGTAGTATATCTTTCTTATCATATGTCTGTGCGGATCTCAACAGCTTTTTGGTTGTATGTTACTATCTCGATTAACGGCCTTTGCTGTGCCTCATCTGGTTGTCACATCTGAAATCAGTCGCAAACTACGAGAACTTCTCAGAGCCAATCACTCGATATTCATGCCCCTGGCTTCCAGAATACCACTGCATGTTCATGCATATTCGGTTCCAGATCTACGTTTGTCGTCGTCTTTTCTGACTCGTAATTAAATTATTCAAACAACTTCCTGACTCGAAATACACGTAAACTTCAAAGCCTACTCCCCTTCCACCGAGGCTCTCTCTTTTCAGCAAACGCTTTCAAGCCCTCCAGTATATTCTCACCCCTCTGCAACTCCGCAAATTCCTTTTCCAGCGTCCACTCCACAGCTCTCTCCACGCTCGCCGTCTCCCACCCCTGTCGCAGACCAGCACGCGTGCATATAATCGCATCGGGACTATTCTTCGCGATCATCTCTGCATACCTTACGGCTTCCTCCACCACGTGCTCTTTCGGCACTACTTTATTTACAATACCCCATTGGTACATCTCCTGCGCTGTGGCGTTGCGCCCGGTAAGTGAGAATTCAGACGCTCTTTGTAACCCGATACTTCGGATCAAGCGAGGCAACGCACCGCCAATGGCCGCGATCCCGCGTTTTACTTCGGGGAGTCCGAAGGTAGCGTCTTCTGCGGCGACGACGAGGTCGCAGTTTACTACGAACTCGCACCCGCCGCCCATAGCTAGTCCGTTCACAGCTGCGATTACGGGTTTTTTTCCTAAGCGCCGGCTTAGCGGTTTAAAGGCCGGTGCGTTGCCCATTCGGTTCTTAGGGTCGGAGTTTGAGGACATGGAGTTGTTCCATTCTTTTAGGTCGGCGCCGGCGGAAAAGGCGCGTCCTGTCCCGGTGATAATGGCGACGCTGAGATTGGGTTCTTGGTCGAACCATTTCCATATTGAGTCCATTTCCCATTGCGCGGTTGTGGACATGGCGTTTAAGTCTTTGGGTCGGTCCATGCGTATTAGAAGTACGCGTGGTGTTGGATAGGACAACTTTAGGAAAGTTGGGGTTGCTGGCGGCTCTGTTTCTGTTGGCGCCATTGTGAATGTCTGAATGTGAGTATGTAGATGCTTCTTGCGACGAGTTCCGTGATACACTAGTATGCCAGGTAAGTTAATGTGAGCGATGAAAGCCCTCCTATCTTCAATGGTTGACTAAGCGACGATGATTGCTACCTTCTTGGTGTACGAATGCATGATTCGTGATGACACCTCAACTTAAGAAAACATGACTACCTCGGTTCCAACATTCCGTTCAAACACAAGTGAGATGCTGGTCAATATGCAAGGTATGACGATAGTACTATATCGAGACTATAGACACGAGGTAAAATGTCTGGGTTTGTGGGTCGTTACCACATAAAATAAATGACCTGCATCTTGAGAAGCCGGGGTTGATTGATCGCTTATGCAGATTCGGAAGTTCGTCAGTTCGCCCGGGGATGCCAGGTCCACCAGATGGCACCCACACCTTTTTTGAAGCTAGGTACCCCGGAACGATACCTAAACGCCAAGACTTGAGAAAATGGTTGGTGGTGTGGAATAGTGATGGCCTCATATCGGTTGTGTTGATTATAGCTAGAATGGATTGTAATCTCCAGTTGGGTAGAGCTGGTAAGACACTAATAGTAGCCTGTATTGAGACGACACCGCTATATTTACTCCCAAATATAGAGCTAAGCCGCCACTACGGTAGCAGATCATAGGGCATTTAGGTCTCAACTCAGGCTAGACTACCCCTACAACTCCATCGTTTTGTTAAAGCCAAGAATTAGGCAGGCGTAAAACACGATTGTTGAAAAGCATACTTCGGCATAATTCATCAGGTTTCAAAAATATCTTATAGATAACCCTATTTTAATGCGACTTTTACTCGGTCGTAGTCATAATATTTTACAGAAAATACTAACTGAAAATCGCATATAGCTTCCACTGTCAAAAACACCTTATGTAATTCATCATGTCTTACCTAATCAGAGGCTTTCGTAATCGTTGCTTTTATAATGGATGATATTAATAATCTGGAGAGTGGGCGAGCGTGTTATTAACCTGCCAAATTCATCAACCAAACTTCGCAACACTACGTCTTTCGTAAGGGGCAATCTCGGCGCGCTCTTGAAGAGCACGCGTGGCATAACCCTTGAAGAACTCCTTAATGCCAACTGAGGATGATGGTGTTTCAATCGAAGTATCTCAATTCTATAATAACCACCAAGTAACGTCGCCTCTATCTTGTCGTTTGATTAAGTAATCTTACGCTCTCGAGAATGTCTACGTAATCATAAAATGTCTTAGAATTATCGCGGTTATTGCGTCTACATCGGGCTTGGCTTCTTATCATCATCCTCGCTAATGGTATTGTCAATAACAGCTTCGAGTATACTACCTTTATTTATGGAGCGCTTCGGCCGAGTAGCCTCAAGTTCACCAACAAAGATGATACCCCCAAGTTTGCCGGATTGCCCCTGTAGGGCCTAGCCGGCAATGCCCGTAAATGGATACTTAGCAGGCATTCCGATCCTATAACCAACTACGGACGTATTTCAACAACGATTCCGGGCGACCTGCCGAACCTGGAAAACTAGTCGTTTTCAATACTCCCATGTTTCTTAAAACTGAATGTGTTCTAGATCAGTCGACCTTTTAGTACATGATGGCTCGGACCTCGATAAACATAAACATTTTCGCCACTACGGCTTTTCGTCATTATAGTTCATAGTAAGTTGATTCTTGGGCGATTTTAGGCTGAATTACCATAGGATATTTATGTGACTACCAACGGGATTACATCTGCAGGTATGTTGGAACTGCAACGCAGAGACTTCACCAACGTAAGAATGAAGACGAAAACTCGTTATAAGCATAGGCTACTCATACCCCTGAATGAAATATTGGTTGGCACGCTCTTCATTGCCACGTTCAATACACGATGGTAACATTGCATTAGGCCGAGCCAGTGTAAAGGACTGTTACCCTACCTTATAGTCGTACCTGACTATACCTAAAAGATATTACCGAAAGTACGGTTTGAAGGCATTGCGAAAAGAATACTTCATTTACCTGTTCGTAACCGGACTTTCCGAGAACGGTCTTATGGCACGGTGACCCATACATATCGATCTCATCGTGCAAAAAGCCAAGCAATTGCTAACGAGAAAGGTCATCGTACCTAGTCATTCATAACAAATTATGATGAAACCAGTCATATGTGTGACACTGGGGTTGTAATGAGGCGAAGGCCCCTTTCAACGTTTCCAGTAACATTAACGTCTATCAAACTCGTTACTCAACTTCTCATTGGAGTTGTGTTGGACGCAGATCTGGCGGCTCAAGGATAACGATGAGGGTCTATCGCTTCGGCACGATAGATATCCCCAGGGATCTAAATTTAACTGAGTTGCTTCATAAATCTGCCTACCTAGATCTCCCAAGATCGCACTTAATCGCCAAGGATAGCCTCACGAACCGTAGTATAACTATCGGTGAGCTACAAGACCGTGCTGGGAGAATTGCGAATGGACTCAAGACCAAGTTGAATCCCACCGACCAGGCAAGATGGGCTATCATTTTGCCTAACAGTGTCGACTTCCTTGAAACATTTCATGCGATACTTTGGACGGGAGGCGTGGTCTGTCCTATTAATTATGCGCTAAAAGCGGCGGAGATTGGTCATGGAATTGCGGTATCGCGACCGCATTTCGTGGTTGCCTATGGAGCCACGATACCCATCGTCCGGGAAGCTTTACAGGTTGCCAAGAAAGAACTCGTAGAGCAAGGAGTGAATTGGAAATTGCCTCATGTCATAACCGTTATCAGCCGGGTGAAAGGGCTTCCGCACTTAACGGATGACTACATCTCACTAGAACGGCTGCCAATTCCACACTGGCCTGACACGGCGGAGCGCTTGGCGTCGATACACCTATCATCCGGTACCACAGGCAAGCCAAAAGGTGTCGAGTTAACACACTACAACTTTGTATCAAACTGCTGCCAGCTCTTCGCCCACGACCCAGAGCAATTCACACCAGGTAGTCGGACAGTAGCCTACACACCATGGGCGCACATCGCTATGACAACATTACCGTTATTCCTAGGTCCTTACACCGGCATGTTACACCACGCTATGCCGAGTTACAACCTCGAAGAGTTTGCGAAACTAGTTGGGTCTAACCAAGCAACTACATTCCAAGGCGTCCCAAGCGTAGTCCTGCAGATGGCCAACTCAGACATCACAAGCCGCTTCGACTTCTCGCGCGCGCAGTACATCAACGTCGGCGGACCTCTAAAGCAAGAGCTAAAAGACCGTCTACTAAGCAAAGCGCCGTGGAAACTAATACAAGTCTACGGGATGACAGAAGCCGCGGGATACGTCGCATACCAAAAAGCCCGCGAGACACCAGCAGACGGGGTAACAGGCAAATTACTCCCGAATATCGAAGCCTGTCTAAAGAAAGAAGGTAGCTCAGAAGACGTACCCGTCGGTCAACCCGGCGAACTCTGGCTCCGAGGCCCGAATTTCACGCGCGGATACGCGTTCAATGAAGAAGCGAATCAGAAGGGGTTTCCGATGAAAGGGTGGTATAATACGGGCGATGTATGCACGATTGACGCGGAAGGGCGGGTGAGTGTGTTGGGGCGCACGAAAGATTTGATTAAGTATAAGGGCTTCCAGGTCTCGCCCGCAGAACTCGAGACGTATGTAAATGCGCATCCGAATGTGGTGGAGGGCGGGATTGGCGCGACATGGGATGAGAGTCAACTCACGGAGCTTCCGACCGCGTGGGTGATTTTGAGAGGCCAATTCAAGACGGCGGAGCAGAAGAGAACGGCGCTTCGGGAGGTTCATCGGGATATTGATGGACAGGTGAGTGGGTATAAGAAGCTGAGGGGTGGTGTTTGGGAAATTGAGGCGCTTCCGAAGAATGCGACGGGGAAGATATTAAGGAAGCAGTTAGTTGAGATGAGGAGTGGCTTATGTTCACTTGAGGAAAAGCCTCCTAAGGCGAAATTATAGATCAAGAATTCATAGATTCGAATTAGAAGGATCCCTGACGGGAATAATTAGGTAGTTCTTAATTAGAGTGCATTTCATTCAACATTCTTGCTATCTTGTGCAACGTTGAAAAGGGGGCCTCCGCGGTGAGCCGTGCGGGAGACCCGCGGCAGCGATTGGAGCTTCCTGATCGAATCGACCTCCCTAATTACCTAGGTCTATATCCGATATAATGTATACAAAAGTACCTAATATTGAACATAAAGTGGTTTATAGCTCATTCCGGGATTAGTAATACCGACGTATAGCGTATGAACCGGTTCTCAACAATGTGTGGTGTGGATAGTGGCGCCCTTTGATCATAGTACCGCATCATGAACAATAATGGAATAATTATCTGTATTATACTTCGATCTACATCAACTCCGAGTAGTTTTATACAATTGCCCCAGGAATCGTACCATTATACAATCCCTTCTGCATAGTCCCCTCACTATCCTGCCCTATAGGATTGGATAATTCGTTAAACTTGACCCCCACAATAGCTCTCCCAAGACTCTCTATTGACCGACTTCCGGTCGCGAGAACGTATAGGCACCTGGATAGGTAGTGGTACGGTTACACGACGGCAAGATTCGACGATGATTGAAAGAAGAGGGCAGGGAATTGAACTAACTGCATATAAATTCTGGACTATTTGTCAGCAGTATCTCTCATAAGCTGGCTAGAGTAAGTCGTATGCGAGAATTGCTGCAGCTATAAGTGCCTACGAATGGTTCTGTGCGAATAAAGGGGGGCTATTTTCTGTTACACATCCAAATGCAAGTCGTGCTTCGATAGCAACGAGTATCCAATTAGCTGGTAGGATGGTTTCTTCAATACTACATTGTTCCCTATTATACATCAATAACCCGGGGTGCCGGGTCGCAATTCATTGCCGTTAACATCATGTATATTTCCTGTCGATGCATAGCTAGGCAGCTATCTAAGTAGGTCTTCCCCCGTTTATGGCCTTTGCTTTCTCCTCTCGCATGTCTGGGGACCATTGGTTTCAGTAAGAAAAACATTTAAAAAACATCTACCATTAGCTATTGAGCGACCGAAATGGCTACCGCAACTATAGAGCAACTGCAGCCCCTCACCAAGCTCCTCGTAGATGCCGGGCTACAGTCGCAACTACTACTCCCCAATGACGATAAATATCAAGCATCAGTGGATTCATACTGGTCAAATACGACTAAACAGAGACCAGCGTGTATCATCAAACCGGAGTCATCGGCTCAAGTGGCGAAAGCCCTGAGCGCTATCGTCAGTGCCAACCAGAAGTTTGCCATCCGAAGCGGTGGCCATTCCCCGCTAGCCGGCGTCAATAACATCCAAGACGGAGTAACCATAGATCTTACTCATTTCACCAACATCGAATTCGATGAGAATACCAAGACTGTGAGTTTCGGTCCGGGAGTTCGGTGGAAGCATGTACACAAGTGCCTCGAGAAATACGGCTACGCGGTAGCTGGAGGTAGAGAAAACGAGGTTGGCGTAGGTGGATTTATTCTAGGTGGCGGCAACTGCTGGATGACTGGTCGGAGAGGTTTCGCGTGCGATAACGTCGTCGCATTCGAAGTTGTCCTCGCGGACGGTCGCATCGTCACGGCAGATGCGAACACTCATGCCGATCTATTCAAAGCCCTGAAAGGAGGAAGCAACAATTTCGGAATCGTAACCAATTTCACTATGAGAACTTTCATCATCCCAGGTGGGAAACTCTGGGGTGGTGTCGCGCTCTCGAGTAAGGAGCAGATTCCGGAGGGTATCAAGATGACCGTCAATTTCACCAATAGAATTGCGGATTACCCAGACACTAGTCTCATATCGTTCTTTACCCATACAATAGAGGCGAAGGATATTGTGCTTGCGGCGGCCTTATGTGAGACGCAGGGTGTTAGCGACTCACCCACTTTCAAGGAGTGGTCAACGCTACCACAGATCAATAATACGACCAAACATAAAACGCCCATTGAAATAGGAATCGAGACATTCGTACCTGCCAATTACTTGTGAGTAGAGCCCTCTTCGGTGAAGCTGTGCGACAACAATGTTCAGCTTCTAACTGGTATGTGATAGTTCCACTTGGTTCACCATAACGTTCAAAAACGACGAGCGCATCCTCACCAAAATCGCGGAAGTACACCAGAAACTCGTCAATGATCTAATATCCTACACCGGAGGCCACGATTTCATAACGCAGGCCATTCTACAGCCGATGCCGACGGTGTTCGCCGAGCGCTCCATCGAAGCGGGTGGTAACGTTATGGGCTTGGAGCGAAACAGCTCGAATGGTATGCTCCTTCAACTAACCACCATGGTTCAGACGGCCGATCAGAGGGAGTTCGCGTGCACGAAGGCGAAAGGGTATGTAGAAGAGGTAAAGGAGTTGGCTACGTCCCTTGATGGGCTTTTCGACTGGATCTACTTGAACTATGCCGATAAGACCCAGGCTGTGCTTGAGAGCTATGGTACTGAGAATGTCAAGTTCATGAAGGAAGTGTCGAGGAAGTATGACCCCGATCAGGTGTTTCAGAAGTTATGCCCTGGGGGATTCAAACTCGCGGATGTGTGATGTTTTCGTAATATTTGAGAGGGGTTCTTAATGATAGTCTCCAATATGTCGTGACAGCATAAACACGAAATTATGTCGTAATTATGCACCACCTAGAGAAAAAAAGGAGGAGGTTGGGTCAACCAAACACCGCCCCATTTTCACAGCTGAATATAATGACGTGACTTGTACTACACGAGGAGGAATTCTGTTTTGTCAATTGATGAGCAGAATTAGCGCACAGTAAGAATTGGAAGGCTGTCGCGCTCACTATTCCTTTACTTCTAATGGGTCATTTCAATTATGGGCGAAGAGACTCTCGTTTCGTTACTGTGTGCAGAGCCATGGCACCTCGACTCCAATAACGAATGCCAAATCTCCTTTCAGAAAGATTATACTGGAGAGGTAAGTTGTGATACATTGTCTATTAAAGTGAAATCTAGTAGAATAAAAGAAGCTGACCGAAATTCGAAATTCCTAGTTAATCTGTATCCACCAACCCCAAGCCTGGATCCTAGCATAGACAGAATGGAGATTACTCGATCCCGACATCGCGATTGGTGAATTAAACGAAGGAATAAGTAACCGCGACGATTCGAGCACGAGAACGAGTGACAGACCACGTTTATTGAGCAAATTCAAAATTGAAATCACCCTTACCAAACGCCACATAACCTCCAGAGGTTCGCTAGACCACGTTACCATCAACGACGAGCGACTAACAGACGCGGCATTTGGGACTAAAACGTACTACGCGCGCCTCGAGATGGGGTGCTTCCGCACAGCTTTCGAGCGTAGAGCGCACAACGTGCCCGAATGGGCGCCTCCTTTTGCATACCAACTCTCGTTAGACGAGTCGCCCTACCCGGCCCGACAGCTGTGGAAAGATCCAGACGAGGCCCCAGAACCGGAATGGTTTCCGTTTACGGAGTGGAAGGAATTCTGCAGTGGAAAGATTGTCAAGCAGGTATAATGGCCACCAGCACTCGGATATCCGGCGGAGTCGACGATCCACATTGTTTTCGGGGCCGTTTCCGACGACCAACAATCTACCCAGGATTAGATCGCATTCCGCGAACTCCCTTAGTCTTCGACTTAGACCAACCCCGCGATCGACTGAATGCGTCCTGACGCTACCAAGGCAGGTGCCCTTATGTCATAAAGACCACTGATGAATTCCAAACAAACCTTATAGGCGAGTGTATGAAGTCCATAGGGCAGTAACCAATACTGTTACGCCATTATTCCTCATCAGAAATTCATAAGCTCCATATCAGTCTCACCTATATCCATCTCCGAAAGCTCGATGACATTTTGCTCTCCGGCAATCCGATGCGAGTGACTATCGCTGACGCGACTATCAAAATCTTGAGTGGTACCCGTCGACCGAGAGGCCATCAAATGATGTATTAGATCCCGGCAACCGAAATGGCCCTTATATGCCGCGAATCCAATAGCTCTCTTGCACTGTTCCTCATCGATACTTGAGGACCCGAAATTCCATAAAAGTTGAATCATGTCGAGGCGGCCGTGCTCTGCGGCACCTTCCAAAGGCATACGTCCATGTTTCCCTCTTGATGGCTTGCTGTTGAAATCAGCTCCGTGGTTTATGAGCTCCATCGCGACATCACAATGGCCCCCAATAGCAGCTAATTGAAGCGCGGTAGCACCACCAAACATTGCAGGCGCGGCATTGACCTCGGCACCTTGTTCGAGCAGTAAACGGACTATACTGAGGCTCCCTAGCTCAGCCGCCTTCTGAAGAGGGGTTCTCTTTAAGCCTAAAGAGGCCGCTTCGTTTATACAAGCGCCACGGAGGAGGAGGAGCTCAACTATCCTTTGATTTCTTGTTTCGATCGCGTCCAAGAGAGCGGATTGTTTTAGAGTAGGGTGGACAGGGCGGACATGGTGGGAAGGGTGGACATGGTAGACACAACCAGTAGTAATGCTGTTGACATCGCCGCCAGCGTCGATTATCTTCTCAACCAATTCGAAATCATACTCCTGCGGACTCCTTTCTCCCAATTTTTCAATTGCTTTTCCAAATAAAGTTCTGGGTGTGAGTAGACGGTGACCATCGACATAGTGTCCACAAGGATAGTTCATATCTACCAGCCCCGATTTAAGGACCGCATATAACCCCTCGGAATTGTCCGGGAGGCGCATAATTCCCCGACGCACCGCTCCCTGGCCGTATCCAGCTTTGCCTCGGGGAAACTCTCGACGAAAGCGATCGAGAAGCGGCTCAACCATGGTGGGATGTTTTGTCATAGCCACTAGTAGCGCACCTTCGTCCGATGCGTCAGCTCCGAAATCGATTATTTCTTGGAGGAATTCGACGTCCTCGCTTTTCACCGCTGGTGTGAGGATATTCAAACGAGCCGAGCTTGTACTTTTATGACACAACTTTGCGATTTTCCAGAATAGCTTCTGGCCACCTTCTTCGAATGCAAGCATCACTGCTTCGGACGTGAGATTCGAATGAACACCCATATTAGCAATTATCTCAACAATGCCCCGCAAGATAAAGTCGTCATTCCATCTAATGACTTCCCGTAGGAGTGACAAACGGCTTGACCTATCACCCTCGAATAACCCGAGAGAAATACTGTATTCTATCATGGCTTGTGCAAGTTCCAATTTCCTCTTTTTCACGGCAATGTATAACGGAGATTGGTAGCGCTTCTTCTGCCCGTCGAATTGTCGCGAACTGAACATCATCCCACGTCCGAACTCTGCTCCGACTTCGATCAGCTTCCAGGCAAAATCATCTAAGCCATGTAAAAGAGCAATGGTAAGAGGTTCATTTAACCCCACGTCCCGGAAAGTGGAGTCCATTTCGAGTAACTTCTCTGCCCACAGAAGATTGTAACTCTCAAGTGCTATACAAAGTAACTCGTTGAGATCGTAAGGGGTAAGACAGCCGAACAGCCCATCACTCTCCAGCATAGACATACGCTCTTGGTCTCCAGATTTAAAAGCGTCGATGATCTCGGCTTTATCTACATTATATTTTAAATATGGGTACCTCTTGAGGATGATTTTGATAATTTGTTTGTCTCCGTTATCGATTGCTATTTCGAGGACCTCCCCGGCGGAGGAGCAGAACGGAAGCAAGAGTTCTACTAGTTTAGTATCCCTGCGTCTGGTAGCTTCAGCTAGAGCATACTTGAAGGCTTCATCGCATTCATCCAAACATCGACGGCCATTTAAACTTATGAACCGATTGATGATGGACTCGCTCACCTCCACTGAGCAGTACCCAAGGGCTTGGACAATATAGCTTGGATTGGTGATGCCTGAAAAAGCCTCTGTAGGCATCTGGAGAAGCGCGGGGATTGAGATGGCCTTTAATTGCGGTGGAAATGACCTCACGCTGATAAGCCGGACAAGCTTTTCCCCAACTGGAGCTTTAGCCTCCACAAGTCTTTCGACCACCTCTAAGAATTCTGGATCAAACGTTGATTGAGATCCGCGATAATTTAAAGTGAGCAACTCTAATGCAGTAAACCTCGAGAACGATTTATTCAGATTGAGTCTGCGCTCAATGAATAGTCGTAGTACTTTGAAAGACTGGCTCTGTGCGGCGTATTCGAGCAGCGTATACCTCTCTCCTTCATGGTAGCACACAAACTTTTCCACGTCAATCAAAGGGAGATCAAGCAAGAGGATAGTGATATCAACATAATCAGCCTCCAACGCCGCTCGTAGGGTATTCTCTGCAAGCGATTTGGCCGCAAAGCTTGAGCTAGAACGTAGAAAGCCCACGAGCACCGCCTTCATTCCTTTATGTTGGCTTATGAACCGTAGAATACCGGTCGCTGATATATCCTCTAGGCTGGTGAAGCCATTGATGATTGACCTTAGCAGCCTGCCGTAGCATCGAGTTTCAGCAGTAGTCTCGCTTGATATCATGACTTGCTCTTCTCCGATGAGAAGTTCCTCCGAAAATAGGTAACCGAGAGCTTGTTTGTATGGTGTCGAGAGGTGGGCTTCAACGGCCTTCAAGTTTCCAAATGCCGCAAGAAAGTCATCCACGTCACTTGTTATCTGCGACACCATAAAATACTGGGAAACACTCAATTTGAGGTGGGCTGAAGAGGACGAGCGATATTTAGAAGGCAGTATTGGATCACAAGTACCTAGGCAAATTAGCTTCTATCAGTATTGAGTCTAATAGCACTAGGTAGGCGTTTTTTTCACTTACTCTTGGCGACCATGGCTAGAATCTCGGAGGATGGGAGCTCAACAGCCCAAGATAGCCTCCCAGAGATGGGATGGGTTAAATTTGTCGCGCCCACTATCGGTGAGGATGGATGAGCCAGTAACGATGGACTCCCGCTGAAGGTAACTCCATTTGTATACAAGTTTAGTGCATTTGATTGAGAATAACTCTGAGGTTCAGCACGAGTGTTTTGGGCCCTGAATGATGGGGTAAGAAAATCGTTATTAACCCGCGCCTGGGAGGTAGAGCCTATGAGTTGGGACCCTGTGTCGAAAGTGGGGGGATACGCAAAAGGGGGCAGACCGGCACCTACGTCCACCAATCCAGATTCTGCGGATGGGGTGGCTGGGCAGGTTGTTAAGTCAAAATCGGTCCAAAGGGGGGTAAATATGTTCTCCGAAACTCTAGTCGAATTATGGCTAGTATCTATATACGTTGAGAATAAGTCAACGGGGTGTGTATGCGCCTATCCTTGCTGTACTACATACCTATCGCTATGGCATGTTTCCAATTACTGTTGTTGCTCTCAATACTATAGGGCTGTGGTGTCGTACCCATTAAACTCATTGCATGCCTTTGAGCCTTGTGTCGTTTCGTATTATATTTACAGACTCCCCATTCCTTCAATCGGGTCTCATATTGGGATTTCCTGCTTAGAAGTTAATTTGGCTCTATTGTGAATGAGGTGGAGTAAGCAGTTGATACATACGATGCGTTGAAGTTATGGCGCATGCGCATTTCCGAAATGGCAACTTTGAGTGAGCTCTTTGGACGCAAGTATATTCCTAGGATTCGGTCTTTGTGACGCTCCCACTCTTCTATAGGTATTTGCCGTGCTGGCATGATGAATGACTTTGTGCGAAGATATGAGCGTGGTTTTCCTTACGGGTTTAGTTCTTTGGGTGAATTTTAAATTGTATAAATATGAGTTGGTGATAGTCAAGTTTCAATTGTGTTGGTATGCCATTGCCAAGGACGTGGCGCTTGGTCGGCAGATTTTGCTGAAATCCCCCAGATTTCTACGAATTCGCAGTAGATATTACAATAGGCGCCCAGGGCGCGCACGAGAAGGCAAACCGTAATCAAAATATGCAGTGAAACGATCAGTTTAGGGGAGTAAGCAGCAGATCTCCCACCACACATACCCTCCACAACCAAGCCAGCCAGCCTTGTGAATCACCTGGCGCTGTTAGAAATATCTTCCAATGAAGGGTTGAGCTTTTTCTGTGCACCTTTATTTTGAATATGACCCGAAGCTGTGCTATGAGCATGATCATGCCGAGGGCTGGAAACAGCAAGAACGCAAATTTAGTGGCTCCTTGACGAGAACTTGGAAAACTTGATAAGTTGCTGTCACGTTAGGTATATAGGCGCTGTATGTACGTCGTACATCAGCGGCGTCGCTTTTTACGGCGACAGTTGCTGATGAAGTGTGTAATGAAATCTGATTCTATGAAGCAAAGGAATTAGTATGGCTAGTAGTTTCATTTTGGTCATTGGATAGACGACTCTAATATTTACATGATTCTCAAGGATTTCAATTTTAGACTTCACATATTTAGGAATTCATCCGTATGGGGGGTGGTGGTAGGCAAATAATTGATGTGACTACTTGAATTCTTAAGATTTCACTGTCAGATTTCAATTTCAGAGATACGTACCTAGGTACCTATTACTTAATATACAATCTTGATTGGGTAAGACCTCACGGTCATTCAAAAGAGGGGGTTATGCTGATTACCTAGGATAATGCCTTACAGAATACCTAGGTACTTGCAAAGATTTTAAGCCTACCTACCAGCCTACCCACTAAGGCAACGGCTTACTTGTCGATCTAGGCGATGACTAACTTCCTGGGTTGCGTTCTTTGTTCCATTAACTAACCTGTATTCCCATTAGCCAAGGTTCCTACTATATCGTGACCCATATCTTAATTAGATAATTCGTGATAGCTTTGGTGAACTTCTGCTTCATTATCTGGTCGAAAGAAGGCTGGATAGATATATCTACTATTCGATTAATTGCTATCTTACTTACTCAAGTAGGTATGTAGGTAATTATATGAGAGGAGATTGGCCAGCATCCGCCGTCACACGCCATCGCCTATTGGACCAACTTTTGCTTTTCAGCTGTACACTCACAATCCCTCGGGAAAGGATGCGCCATATAATACGTCACAAACTGACCTATAGCTTTCTTCCAAGTATAGAGGTATACATAATCAGAGACGGCACACCGGAATACCCATGTAATTTGGAGTAGATAATGTACGAACGCCACTTTGTCTAACGATAAAGCACCAAAGATATTCCTTATTCTACGCCACATTTCAATATCACGAAGATCTATAACGCACTACTCGAATGGATGGTTACATAACCGCCCTTTCCCTAACCGGATAAGGGAAACCAGATAACGTACCTATCCGTCACACAGTATGAAGATTTGTGATCGGGTTGCATGTATGCTATCAATGAGAATCTGGGGTATCTCTAGGGTCCTTTATCTGGGTATGTTGCGTGGAAATAATGATAAAGGTGCTTCAAATAACTCAAACTCTCCAGTTCTACTATACCAATCTCATTCTCACGTAGGTATCTGTTCACTCTACACCTAAGCTTAGGTATTCAAAATGGCTATCGCAAGTGAAATTTTTGAGACTCATGAGTTTCACTATGTCCTACTCGGTATCATAATTGGTCTTATCGCCCATCACAGAGTCTTCATCTATGGCGAGTGGCACATATACGCTCCACAGATAATCGTTTCTCATGGCGTGACGATCATATCGTTGCTTGTTGCTAGACTATGGCTCGGCAGGTCTAATACGGGGTTGGCTGCGGGCACTATGCTGACGGTATTTTATTGTTACCTATGTTCCCTTACGACTAGTATAATCGTGTATCGAGTTTTCTTCCATCAGCTCACTAGGGCTGGGTTCGCAGGCCCGTGGTATGCCAGAATCAGTACAATATGGCATGTCTGGGCGGCTAGGAAAGCTAAGAACCATTTGATACTAGAAAAGTTATATAGAGAGTATGGCGACTTTATTAGAACTGGTGAGTATGAAGAGATCCTAGCCTATCGGTATTGCTAATCCAGCTTCTCGGATAGGCCCAGCCGAGATAACTGTCTTCCATCCTGATGTTTTTATTGCAATTGATGGGCCCAGAACGGAATGCATCAAGAGCGAGTTCTACGACTTCCTCTATCCTAGCACAGCACTGGCAGCAATTCGCGATAGGAAACTCCACACTACTCGTCGACAGCAATGGAATCATGGCTTGACTCCAGCCGGTAAATACATACTTTGCAATCTGCTACTAATCGGCTTAAGTTAATCGTACTTCTAGCATTGACGGAACACAACAAGAAAATCCTGGGGCACATTGATATGCTTGTTAAAATCATCGAAGCTGACGCGGTTTCGGGTTCCCCAACGAGGATGGATGAGGTACTTTACTGGTTCAGTTGGGACGCGATGGGTGACTTTGTATTCAGCAAACCATTTGGCATGCTAGAAAAAAGGCAATGGCACCAGCTTATTTCTGGTCTGAGGAAAGGACTATTCGCCCTTGGTCCCTTAGCCTCTGCGCCGTGGATGATTCAATGCGGATTTCGACTTGCCCCGCGTGTAGGAGCTCTCAAAGACTGGGATAATATGATGGCATGGTGCACAGACCTTATGAAAAGAAGCCTTGATACCGATTATACGAAGGATGCGCCTAAGGATCTCTCATATTATATATTGGAACGTGATAATACCACCGGTGGCGACCCTATGGCCTGGGTTTACGGAGACAGTTTGCAGTCGATCGCAGCGGGCAGGTTAGCACCTCTACCCCTGCCCCTTTTTCATCCCCTTACCCCTTTTTAACCTTTTTTCTCCACAATATAGTGAGCCAATGGCTGGCACCCTACTCTGTCTTTTTCTCCACTTAGCGAGACACCCGCGATACGCAGAGAAGGTCTACGACGAACTCATCGGGATCGATGTGACCGATCGTGGCGCCTTAAGCCAACTAATCTACCTAAATGCTGTTATAAACGAGACCATGCGACTCTCCCCAACGTTACTCACCGGCGGCGCTAGAAAGTCGGGCGAGAATGGGGTTACGATCGGGGGTACATATATACCTCCTCACACGACAATCATTGCGCCTCGATGGATTATCTCTCGAAGTAAGTCCCAAACCTGGTCTCTACCGCAGAGTTACGGCCTCTTCTAACTTTGCTATCACTAGGAGAGGATTGCTTTGAACAAGCGAAGGAATTTATTCCAGAAAGATGGGGCATAAGATCAGACATGCGACACAATCCTGCTGCTTCCACTCCTTTTGCAACCGGTGAGGCCTTGTTCCCCAACACTGATATTATTACTCACCATATGTACAGGCCGCAACTCTTGCGTGGGTCGACAGCTCTCCTTAGATACCATGCGCTGCGTAGTAGCGAAACTAGTGAAGAAGTATAAGGTCCGTTTCGCTCCGGGCGAAACTGGCGACCGTGTGTATGAGGACATGATTGATCATTTCACGACGACTTACGGCACTCTCGCTTTGTGTTTCGAACTTAGGGAGTAATGCGTATTATCGCCGGCATGGCGATGAATTACTTTCTGATTTCAACGGTGGTTTTACGAGGGATGCGCGATGTTTCAACGGGGGCGACGACTTACCTGCCACGCGGACCCAGAACATTCGGGCGTCCCGGGTTTCGCTCACTAAAGTACTGCTTCGCGTTCTCCTTAACGGCAGATTCAATAAGCCACTTTGATTCTGGTTCATCTGAGGTCCCAAACATATCGACTTAACCTTATTGTTGGGTAGTCATAAGTGTCGCTTTTCTTTGACTGACATAATATGGGGCGAATTTCTCTTTTCATCTTATGTAGGACTATGACTAAGCTAAAATGACTAATCTCGTGGGAATCAATCTGTTCATTTGGTATCCATAGTTTTTTTTCTAGTTCTCACCAGTATCATCACCATTTGCACAAACTACCATCTCCATGCGAAAGCTTTGTCGTCAATGCCGTATTAATCCATGCGCCAAGAGCTTCAAATTCCCAAAGTAGCAACACATATAGGTAGCTAAGGTATCACTTACTTGCTAACTCAGGAAAGTCTTCAGTCAATGTGCTCCGAGGGTTAAAAACCAACCACGGCCCGTCATGCGTCGATAGGTAGATATCGTAAAGGCGAAACTCTCCTCGATCGCTTAACCCGACATTACCGAGCTTCCCGGGAGCCGGCTCAAAGTCAAAGTACCACAACGTCTTGGCTATGGTAAGGTTCATCTCGAGATATGCCATGGCCTTCCCCGCACATCCTCGAGATCCGATAGAGAATGGTACGAAGGCGCTGTGCATTGCTTTCCGAGAGCCCGGTGCTCCCTCTTGACCTTGTGGCTCTAGCCATCTTTCTGGTTTAAAGGTGAAAGGGTCCGGGAAGTATTCCTACATAGCAAGAAGTTGTTAGCATAGGGTTGAGATGTTATTGGAATGCTAGGAAGACTCACGTCGTTGTGATGTATCGCATAGCTACTCACACCAACATAGGTTCCCTTCGGTACGACATGTCCATCAATTATAAGCGGGTTGTTGCCTTTATCGGGGCACTGCTCCCGCCAAAGAATGCCTGGGAGCGGTGGGGACATTCTTAGGGATTCGTCAATGCAAGCGCGCAGGTACTGGCAGCTCGCCAGCTTGCTTCCGCCTATGTCTTTCCCGCTTTGGAAGGTGGATCTAATCTCTTCAGAAAGTCTCTTATAGCATTCCCGGTGTCGCGCCAGGTAGAAGAAAGTAGCGGAAATAGCCGTAGAGGTTGTGTCGCCCCCTATAATATGTGGTTACCGTTAGTCTCTGTATCATGAAAGGGGTAAAATATTGCCATACCTGCGACGATGAAAAGAATCGCCTCCATCCAAAGATCGTTGATTCGAAGATCTTTGCCTTCTTCGGTCATGAGAGCATCCACAACGAACGAGTACAAGTCATGCGTGGCGTGTCGGTCTGCCTTCATGCGGCTCTTTATCATGGACTCTATCAGACGGAAGACCACCTCTCGTGATTTGTACCAGATCAAGTTGATTGGGATCTGGAGACGATGCCTAGGAATAAATGGGATCTGCATGTAGATGTTCAAACGGCGGTTACCCCTGGCCATTTCGTCTGCGAGAAATCGATTTTTGCTGTCTGTTTGAGAATGTAGAGGATATCCAAACGAGAGCAGGCCAACGACGTCCATGGCTAGGTAATTGCACCGCATCTTCATATCTATCGGCGTACCTTGGCAAAGGGCTAGTTGTTGGATGAATATGTCGACCTGTTTAGCCATTGTGGGCTCAAAGGCTCGCATAGAACGGTCATTCACCGCTGGGCCACTGAGTTTTCTCTTTCGGCTATGCAGGCCATTATCCAATGCATTCCAGGTGTTAAATGACCCGGGAGTCGTTTGGTTGGATAAGTAGGTGACAGGCTTGGTGATATTTTCGCTATGATAAATATCTAGAGTATGTGGCGATCAGGTTGGTATTCACAGCGGGGGATTACTAGTCATAAGGATTACCTCTCAAAGCTGTGACAGAATTAAAGACAAGTTTATTTGGTCCCTGCCTAACGACTGGTCCTAGAATGAGACTGGTGTGAGATACTATCGTCCTTGCGCTTTCTAGGTACCTAGGTACGAAATCATGGCTCACCATATTTTAGATGGTTTTTAAATGTAGCCAAATGAAGAGATCTCCTCACGGCGAAGAAAGCCCCGTAGCCATTTGTTAACCTAGCGAAGAACGGGCCGGGATAGCGGTTCAGTGGATGAGAGAGCAGTTCATAGCCCAGGTATAATAGAGCCTCATAAACATGTTAACGCTCATACGCATAGAGTGACTCTCAATAGGGCTCCCATACGATTGCAATAAAAGTGTAGCTTATATGTGCGAAGGACAAGCTTTCGGTGTTGGGAAGGCTGGACCCCATATTGGAAGGCGGGTGGTAAAATCTTGAGGTATGTTATTGTGAAAAAAGAATGGGGAAACTTCTTGGTCGTAGGAAGATTCATCTCAATAAATCGATATCTAATAGGCAAGAAATGGTTGGAATTGTTTAAGGCATGAGTAACAAAGAGGGCTGGAGGGTCGGGTAGGTCCCGCTTCGGAAATAGAGTCACCTTGTGTCACCAACATCGCTTTTTTACGGTTGTATCGATCGGGCGAGGGGTTGGGGCTTATCTCCGAACAGCCAACCACTTGACCAGCCTTTGCGGCTAGTATTGATCTACTTAACTAGGTGACTTTGTTTTAGATTAAGCCGATGTGTTGGTTACACAGGTTGCTGCGGGGTGGTCGACGACCACTCAATGATGGTGTGTTAATAAAGGCTCTCATACCTAGTTATTCCTACGGCAGCCTACCGATGCCGATCCATAACCGTACTCTCACACATTTGAACGCAGAGGGCTGATGATTGTCTCTGCGACGGACAAATGCCGATTGGCTCATCCACAGTAGCACCTGGGTATTTAGGTACTACCTAGGTAAGTACAGCGCATATAGCCCCGAAGAATGAAACCGTTGGCACACAAACTACAGGCACCTCAACTATAATGGTAGGTATGCAGCCTCAATGGTTTTGAAAGACACGCCACTATCAATTTACTTGTCCCAACGCCCAAGATATCCTTGCAACCTTTGACCATTTACCTACTACACTGTACGACACGCGCAGCTTATACGATACTCAGCATAACCAAACCTGCAAGGCTCGCCGATCAACCAAGACACAATTGGGGGCTGCCTCTTCGCTATGGATTGTGTTGTTAGATAATCCATGGATGTTGGCGTTTGAGCTCATTACTCCTATCCTGGGGACCATAGATCTCGTCTGCTGTGAATTGGGTTGTTCGGATAATAGCAGCTCTATTATCGTCAAGGCTCGCAGAGTCCTGTTTGGTCGAGGAATGTGAAACATCATTTCCCGAGTCGTGGCTCGTAAAGTCGTACGCATTTGACCCGGAAATCTTCGGGCTAGTGTCAGTATTCGATTCAGACTGAATAGGATCTCGGGACTTGGATCTTTTCAACTTCTCCGTTGAGGATCCGGCCCACGACTGCAACGTTGAAGCCAGTTTAGCTAACTCCAATTCTGCTAGAACTTTTGGTATGAATGGCATGCAGAAGACCAATATTCCGCACGTTATCTCAGCAAAAGACCATAGTGATAAGGCCGCAAAGGTGTAAGTCGTGTCTCTCGAGGAGTTGTAGGGAATCGACGCCGCCACCTTAAAGCCAGCAGAAATACAAGCCCTATTACGAATTGTTAGTTATATGAAAATCTTCAGATAGCGATGTTTTTACTCACAGGATACCAATAATGAAGATTAGAGAAAACCCGAGTTTCTTCTTAGTTGACATCTGCAATCCCCAAATAACCTTTTGCGGAAGAACAAAGAGAAGAATATCTACTGTAAAATTAAACGCGGAGACCAAAGTGCCAGAAAATGTTGTATCGATACACTTTCCGGGTAAAAGAGGATTCCAAAGCTTTTCGTGGGGATGGCATGCGACATTCGGCAGGATCACCATGGCAATGTAGAATAGAATGTTAATCCACAGCAATACCTGACGCGTCCAAAAGAATGCATTGCGAGTAAACTTGGGAACAAAGATAAACATCCATTCTATGACGATTGCCGATTTAATGGTCAATACCGTAGCACAGTAGAACATGTAGGCCTGAAGTAAAGCTAGATACCTTCTATCAGCCATATTTGACAGCAAATTCGGCACCAAGTAGACTTACCTTGTTAAAAACGAGTAAGTCCTTAACATGCATATTCCACTGGTGGACGAAGTACCCGCAAGCATTCAGGATACTAAAAAGTGAGTATGTCGCTCCTACATACGTGCCCTGGATTTGATTAGCAACCGAGGATACCCGATATACTGAATCTGGAACTATACGAATGCTGCAACGCCGAGAACTGCTTCAGTCAGCATGATTTACGTGTGGATGCCGGAGGATAGACGACTGACGATCGGCTATGTGGACCCTCTTGATATAGAATAACCGCGCGTAAACGCGAAGGAGACCAAATATTGACGACAGAGATATCCCAAAGATGAGAGCTGCGTACGCATAGACATTTCGATTAGGCGGGTTGTCGAAATTTGGGGTGATACCACTTGGAGGCTGAAGAGCAGGTCCTTGAAGCGCATCCCCAAAGTCTTGTCCAGTCACTTGATTCAATGGAGCCATTGTAGAAGATTTCTAAAGAGTTTTGATAAGTATGATCAAAATAATCGCAATAGAAGAGGTTTACTTGTCGAACTTAACGTGATAAGAGGCAGGGCTTTTTGGCTTACTAGAAATAAGAATTAACAACTATCATATCTATTGGCAACCAACTTGGTTAGGTATCTAGGTAGGTAAGTATTCGAGATGTTATATGCATGGTGCTTATTTGAAGGTTCGGAGGATTTCTCAGGATTCTAATCGAGTCTGTTGTGTTGCGTTGCAGTTAGAACATTGATATGAGGTGTTGTGTTACCACACCAAGCCATTCCCTTCTTATCACGACTCAAAAACAAAAGAACGCCGAAGAACTACAGCCTTGCAAAAAAATAGTCCAAAGTCCTTTATGTCATATATTATAATTACCTAGGTATATATGACTTATCAAGTTTCGGGATTTGCCTACCTAGGTAGTTATTTAGAATTCGTGCCACACGTTGAAACTTTTATTACCAGGTAGGTACCTAGGTGGGCATTAAAGGAAGGCGTTTTCTTAATAATGCGTCTTATACTACCGGAAAGGCCCCTGTCTAGGCACCAATAATACCTCCTATCGAGTAATGCATGGTTACTTTTAACACTTTGTTGGTTTGTCCTGGCGGCGCCAGTCCCTGTTAAATCTTGAAAAACAAGCGTCGGGCTACACAGCTGGTTGATTATTACTGAAATAAGTATGCAATGCATTATGCAGGTTAGGAGCAAGTGGCCGAGACCAGTAACTACTTACGTCGTTACAAGTGTTCAATAGACCTGAGTAACCTCGTCTTATCAGAAACCACTTCGTGTTAACTTATAGCATTTGTGCCGTTGCCAGAATGGAAGATACTATGGCCAAAACCCCTCCGTTGCCACAGGAGGCTTATCATAGTGGAATGCAATGAAATACCTGCTTTAGTGTAGGTAGGATGGATGTTGGGGGATATAGTCCAGTGAATAAGCGTCATAGGACTTTCTACTGCTCCCACGAGGCTCTGATGTGAAGCAAGTTTCGTGCCATAATCTCGCTCTTAAGTTTCTCTATTTGGGCTTTGAAGGGCCAAGGGGCATAGATTCCGCAAGAGGTCGCTGAGTTTTCACTTCATCCTCTCATCAAAGATCATCGACAAATATGCTTCCCTGGAAGATACTGGCTTTCGAGTTGTACCTAGTATAGGAACACTCGCACCCAACAAAATGCAAAAGAGCGCTCAAGACAACCTCGACAACAGGGACTCTTGTGCGAATCAGTATAACATGAATGATCCTATTCGCATCGTGGGACTAGGCACTACACCCTGAGGTCTTACTCTCATTTGAAAACGACAAAATCCCATCAACGTATCGCGTCATAGAGCTAAACCCAAAACGTAAGTGTTGAAGTCCTTTTATTGGCGTATACGTCTGTTGCTAACAATGGAGCCACCATAGAGTTCAATTTCAGTCCACCGGGATTAAAGTTGTAAGCTACTCGTTTTACCCATCTCTACGTTTTCGAATGAATCATTGGAAACTCGCACCAGCCAAGTTGCCGCTCCGGTAAAGGGCTCTTGAGCCACACCTCTCAGAAATTTGGCCTTTACTTTAACAGAGAGAAGGACCCGTTTTGCTTCGCGAAGCTTTCTTCTAGCTAAAACTTGCTCTGGTGGGGGCTCCACGATCGTTGAAACCCATGATTCCGAAGCCGTTGGCATAAGACCATCGAGTCCACGACCTTTCGCCTTCGTGTTTGTAGGTCAAGGGGTATAGTAAGTAGAATTTAAAATCTTTTGGTTTAATAATCGTTTCTGACCATGAATATTAGTGGCGAAAGAGCTACTTTTCCGAAACAGCGTCTTCGACGAAACCATCGAGGAACTCGATAGTGTTTTACAAGCTCTACCCCCTGAACATGCTCCAACCTGGGCCTTGAGGCAAACCATATTGGATCCACCAGAGACGAGTCAGGCTAAAAAGCCAAGTCGCAGCCAGCCTCTCTGCACTGCTATTCAGATTGGGCTGGTAAATATCTTGCGAAGCTGGGGTGTCCATGCTACGGCCGTAGTCGGTCATTCTTCTGGGGAAATTGCAGCAGCTTATACTGCCGCGTTACTTGGCAAACACGAAGCGATCATAGTAGCCTATATACGTGGATTTACGGCCTCACAGGCACGAGCCTAAGGTTCTATGCTTGCCACAAGGGCTAGTTTTACATTTGCAGAGGACATGATAGAGAAGACGGGTTGCAGAGAAGAAGTCTACATTGCCTGTTCCAATGGTCCCGAAAACGTCACGCTGAGTGGATCTTTGGAAGGTATCGAAGCCCTCTCTATAGAACTTCAGAAGCAAAAAAAGCTCAGTACTAAGTTCAAAACCTACGGAAGAGCTTATCATTCATATATAATAAATGATAATGGTAGTTTCTTAACGAGACTTGTGAGCAATGCATAAATCTATTGTGTAGAACTCTGGTTCGTTAGGCCTAAAGTTTTGCTACTTGACCAATGTAAATACGGCGACTGCTTTGGGTAACAAGATATAAGATTCATTGGCGAGCTCATACAATAATATAGTGCGCCTAATTCTAGAGACATTGCTTCAGACGTATGAATGAATCCCCCTGATTGCACCTACGCTATTTACCGGTGCTGATTAATATTGTTCTACGAAGCATGTGTGAATAAGGGCTGTTGTTAAAAAACCCCAACCCTAACCCTGATCCTAACCCCAAGTATTGCCGTGCATGGAGCCGTGTAACCTGGCTAAAATAAGGGTACTAAGCGTTGCAGGCCCATCAATACACCGATATTACTCGTAATGAGTTATATAAAGAATATTATAACGTTTACACGGGACGGTTGTTAATATAGAAGAAATAGAATTGCATTGGGCGCTCTGTCATGGTGGCTATAGAAAACCAGTTCGTAAAATCAGGGGTAAGGAGCTCATAATTATTAACCTAGCTTGACATTCCCTTGGTAGAAGCGTTGATGTTTCACAAAATTCGGCATATATATGCTTGAGATTTCTTAGATTGTCCATGGGCTTCTTAGACCCACGGTTTGTGGCCTACGAATCAAACCTCATGTCAAAGATCATCATTGTAGCTTTCGACTGGGGACCTCCGCGGTTGCACCTGAATATCTCGTATCCATGAACCGCTCCTAGGGCTAACATCTGATAGCATCTGAATGCGTACGAACTACGCACACTCAATACTAAATTTCCCAACAGAATAGTAGAAGCATCTAGCCTAACGCCTCCTTTCTGCACTTCCGATGCTAGAACATGAAGGTGACGCGTTTAAATACTTCGAGGGTATAACTTAGCGAGATACGCGTTAGCTAACATGCAACCCACTATAACATGACTGATGATTGATAATCTGCACTTTCGTACTATGCATACATTTAGACGGGCCTGTGGAACAGTTACCATGTCCATAGCAGGGCCGGCGCCAACAAGCCGTAAGATAAGAAAGGAATGAGGTACTAGTTTCCGAAGTCTACAAGCAAGGCTTATCAGCCTCAACTGTAAGCAGGTGGGTATCATATTCCTTTGACATGCTCTTCAAGTGAACGCTAATTTTACTATACTTCTTAATTTTTAGTGATAATAATATAAAATTACCTAGGTACGTATTATTCATTGCCATGGGCTGGATTCTCTGGCTTTCTTTCAATAAATTACCTAGCTGAAAAACCAGAACTTGTGCAGGGGCTAAAGCTAATGTTGACATTATAGAATACCTTCTAAACCGTATAGCGTTAGTCTTATCAACCGATAAACCGGCGCTACAGCGATTTCCAAGACACTACTTGACCAGATGCATGTTGATCTGATGACCGGTTAGTTAAAGGTAAACGATAGCAGTTAATATAGTCGAGTGATAAGCACACGCGCTCGGGGGTGGTTATAACAGTCCAACCATCTCGAGTAAATGAAGCATCCCCTTTGCATATGCGCAAACTATTACCTACCCTACTGCAGGATATATCGAAACTAGAAGGTACTAGCATCCGATTCAACTAACTTAGAGTCCCCAAGTATTCAATAGTATAGCATCATCAAAAACGCCACTTTAAGACTCGCATTACGCCTCCTCGATTGCGAGCTTCGAGCGGTAACCGATGATAGTGACGATACCTTGGGCAGGGACCTCGCAACCTACCGATAAAGGAATCCGGGGAATTCATACGGCGAAAATTCCTTCCCTACGCTGTCTCAAGCTATGACCGCCGCTATGACGATAGGGGCGCTCTAAAATCCTCTACGAGGCAATCCTTTTCCTGGACTAGACTCATAACAGTCTCAGCTTCACCCATACCCCCGGTATCATTAGAGTATTATTTCCGTGGACCAGATGATCACTTAGACTGATGATTGTACAATATATCTGGGCACTTGGAATAAGGGGTAAAGGATTTAACCCTACCCCTAACCCTAATAAATATGCTTACATAATCAGCAATATCATCAGGGACTGGTGCATTAACTCTGGATTTACACGTTCTATACTTAGATAAAGATGGTATTATCGGGATGATAGTTGAAAGAACATTGTGCTTGAAGAATGGGGGGCAGTGGTCTACACTAATAAGCTTAGCCTTACATAGGTAACCCTAATATTTGCTAGAAATAGGGATGACTCTTACACCGGTGAAATAAGGTGTAACTCAAATGCCTCGTGTTTTTAGCTATGACCTCGCGTTGCGGCGAAACTCTAAAATCTTAAGTAGACTAATATATGTATGATACATAAATGCTTATCGCACTTTATGATGTACTGCAAAGCGGGACGCTTCCACGACACCACAACACAAGCAGCAATCCTCTCCACACACGATCCAAAAGAACAAAAACGTCTCGCGAGCCAAACCAAAGGATTCGACGCCACGAACTGGGACAATATCAAGAGCGCCGTCGTAGTCGCCGGTAACACGGCGAAATTCGGACAAAACCCACGCCCAAAAACCCTGTTACTAGATACCGGTGATCGCCTGCTAGCCGAAGCTGCGTCAAAGGACCGCGTCTGGGGAATAGGCTTCACAGCCCGCGGAATTGGGGTGAGAATCGGCTCGGCAAGGCGCTGATGGAGGTGCGGCAGCGCTTGCGGGAAGAAGATAGTGCAGAAGGCTCTACGAATAATACCTAACCGGCACAACCTATCCCAATCGATGAATGAATAATTGCTTAGTCAAAGCTCAATGCAAGATCTAATGCTACCTACTCCAGGGCGGCCAATTCGAGGCCGTCTATGACCATATACCGTAAGAGGTTATTGCTAGCGAGCCTGACGCCCTTCCTCGCGGATACGTCCCCTAGAAAGGGGGTTTTCGGTATGTGAAATGCCGTGTGGAATCCTATGGTCTTAATTAGGCAATCTCACACCCTCGCCGGTTTGGTTGGGAGGATCCTCATCTCGATTCGATGCTTATGTAACCCCACAAACAAGGTCTTCGACGGAGGAAATAGAATTCGATCAACTGCAAAAATCCACCAAGTCAGCGAAGGTCTTTTAGTGATGCGCCAAGATGATTCTCCGCGGATAGACGGTGGATTTAATTGACTTAGATGTATAAATGAGATAAGTAAATGGTCTAAATTCGTGCGCACGTTTCTTGTTACGAGCCAGTGACGGCACAACGGCCGTGCTTCCGCGCGCCACTACTGCTGTAAGTAGAATAGGCACCAGAGATAGGAAAAAGCGATAACTCCGAAACCTCGCTCTCGCTTTTAAGGCCTGAAACAGGAACATAATTCGAACACCTATATCTGCGATCAATAACGATACGTCTAGCGGTGTACATAGCAAGGAATAGGGTTGTGGCGTAGATATCGATATTCAATTCATGACTCGTTCGTGATCGCATTGAAAGGTACATACATGCGAAGTCGAAGGATTCGTGACCATATTGATGTGCACTAGGGTGTAAGAATTCCCCGCTATTCTCCCTTCTCACCTCGCCGGTCGCTGTTCATTGCTCTTTGCTGCAGGGACGCGGCGATGGGGGCACAGAACGCAATCGTAAGAGCATCATTCGGCCGATATAACATATTCGCCCCCTACCTACCTGTCCACGATTCTACAGAATTGAGCCTCTTTCCCACTTATATTCGCCATGTGGTTTGTTCATGTACTTACTACAAATAAGGCTGATGAAAATCTGGGGTTTCGGTTTGCTGGACCCGAGAATAGAGATGCGGCTTTGCGGGTATGTAGGATATATGGAGAGAGGTAACATAAAAGCGGTATTCGAGTTGATGAAGACACCACCTCCCCCGCATTAGCATTGGCATTTCTCCCTTGGTGTGTTGTACACATCTTGTACGCGCACGTCGGGCTGTGTATGCTGCGGAACAGACAACCGGCCTTAGCTCCTACGTGAGCCTGAAAGTACACCGAATCACCGAATCCAAGGACATAACCAAAGGCTTCGCGGTTATACGGCAGGGTGCAGGAAGGAGAAATCCCAGAGGACGTCCGGCTTCTAAGAACGGCTGTTGTATTAGGGGTCACACAAGACAAACGCCTCTTTCGAAACCCATCGTCACCTATCGATCAATCAATACATGCATAGGTACAGCGCCTATCAAAGGTACTTGTAGGAAGGAGGAACTAGAGGAGCCGCCCAGTCAGGGGTAATAACAAGCGGAGAGCGAAAGTTGATTAGTTCGTCACCCACGTGGCGAGTTATAAGGTTAATTAATACCTTGCATTTCCGCGAATCCTTCAGGTCCCACTTCCACCCACTCTTACCCCTTTCCGGTATCCTTGTATGTCTCTAAATCCCTTTGACACATGTACCACGCTTCGCTGATAGAAGCTTAAAAAGATCCAGATGGTGTTGTACAATTACACAAGTTAGTATACAGATATGTAATAGCTTTGAATAAATAAAGAGAAAGATAGGCGCTATCTCCAAGGAAATAGTCGCTCGTATCTAAAAATACGCGTCAAGTGTCATGTGCCCAACTAACCTATCCGTTGCCTCGCCCCCAAAGAATCAGCCAGCCGATCTGCGGTACGACGCTGCCTGGCTGTCAAGACGTCAAAATAATGCGCGCAGGGTTACAAAATTGGGTGATTTGGGGGGTTGTATGAGCGGACGATCCCGTCGCAGCTCTCGTTTCGCAAGTTCAGTTCCTTTACAACCCTTTTTACGGACCGCTCTACTACGTCCCGAATCGAATCGAAAATCTCGTAGCCCGACTTTTTACCAACAACTCATCTTTCTCTTTTATTTAGCCGTGCATCTGCTGTGCAACTCTGCGAATCTGCAACGGCTGTCACCGGCGTCCGATTAATTCCGGAGTTTCAAAATGTAAGTCCAGTTTGCACACACACAAACAAAACTCACCGGAGCCATCCGAGCCACCTACATAGGGAACAGTTTCGGGTAGTCGGCTTACAGACCAACAATACACACATGCTTTTTCCTCCTTTCCCTCGATCAACCCCACAAATGAGATTCGTATCTCGACAACTGTAGATCCGGGGGGTAATGTACCTAGATCAACGTTACTTAGCGTGAAACCACGCCGTACGAACAAAAGAGACGGGCAACAAGGGGTAGGATCTAATAATAATATGTATTAATCTGCACGTACTCTCGCTCAAAAATCAAAGGATTCGATTCCCAGCCCGCAGGACAACTACAATGGGATTGCTGCAGAAAACCCGTCTGCCCGCTCTTTCTGCGTAACGAACTTGTTCAATATTGCCTTTTCCAAGGTCACCACATATGTCGGCCTCGTAAAAAATCTAGCAGAGTGCACGTCATCTAGCACCGGTGTATGTACATACCGTAGCAAAGCAGATGTCCCATACCTTATACCTTGGCTAAGTCACATCTCGGACTCTATCACTGTTACCGCTTGTTCGGACAAGTCACCACCGTAGCTTATAAGGCATTTAAATCGCCGTGGATGCACGTATATGCCATGCAAGTAACAAGCAGGCCGAAGGACAGTAGGATTCCGATTTTAATTCGAAGTCTCGGTATTGTGTGCGCCGACAATATTCCATCGTACCCAGCCAATCCAACAATCCAAGAAGCCAAGCCGGGCCCGGTACCATGAACGAACCCTCGAGGTTTTTGTCTCTCCGCCATTGCGATCCAGACTCGAAAATTAGCACCGCTGTGCCCCGAAGCCTAGCCTAAAGGAAGATTGAATCGGACCATAATCTTTTCTTTCATTTCACAGCGCCGATAAATCACGGCGTTGAGATCGAAGAATGTGCCCGTAAAAAGTTGCAGCAGACACAACTCTTAACGCCGAGGCCATGGCATCAAGTGTGGGGGTTCGGTATCGCCAAAAGTACCGCCAACACCATCCCATCCCAATAACAGCTTTAACTTCAATGCAGGAACCAATATCCCCACGACCTTAACGCTCCTTTATTTCAAAAAAGGAAAGACAAAAAAAGAAGGAGTCCAATATAAAACCAACCGATCCTATTCAGATTTAGACAATCCAGGGTTCCATCTCCGCCAGTCACTCCGGCGTCAGGTACAGTATTTCGGTGGGTAAGTGTACGTACCGAGGTACCTGAGACCGGCGATTCACACATCATCTTCATTCGAAAATCTCGGATTCTTTCCGCCTTGAATAGCAGTGATATATGATATAAATTCGTATGCGAAAAAAGAGGTATAATAATGTTATAGTATAAAAGACTCCTTTCTATAGAAGCCCATTGGGACCTGGCGGTTTTCTTCAAAATGTTGTGAAGACATGTTTTGTGTATAATCCATAAAAAAACCCATGCCTCGGGTATAACGAAAAAGTCCACCCACCCACCAAAAGACGCCATTCCCATTAACCCACCCCCCAAAAATCCCATAATCCTATCCTTCCCCCCCCAAATCCAAATCCAAATCCATCCGCACCTTGCAGGTACGTAGTATGTATATCTCTAATCCCACCCCGGCAAAAATTAAGAACAAAAAATAATAACACCAAATATTGATAGGCAACCTGCATGTAACCCATGCAGGCCAAGAACCGCCTCGAAAAGCTTGTGCTGTACAATCAGTCCATGCGCGCACGTATCCGCCGCAGCAAATCGACGATACGGGCTAGATCAAAAAGACATAAACACATAACATAGCATGACATGACAAGGCCCCCGAAACTCCCCCAATAGGTAAGTACAACAGCAGAAGTAGGCGGAGTATCTCAACACCGAAGGATGAAGAAAAGGGCATAAAAATGTACACTCTGCGTGGGATATTCTGGATTCGGGATAGATAGACAAGAATAAGAAATGAATGAATGAGGACATTGACTCGTCATTATACTTCTATCTTGGCATGGTGACCTGTCAGTTCTGCGGTCCAACTATCGTCACCGTCGACAACAGCTCCATGTTCGAGTAGCGTGGCCGCCATATCGGTGCGTCCAGCCATGACTGCACGCTGCAAAGCTGTGTAACCCGCATTATCGCGACTATTTACATTGACGTCATATCGCTGGAGTAGTAGTCGCAGTGTGTCGATGTGACCACCGGCTACTGCGAAATGTAACAGTGGTGCTGTAGTCTCTGGGAATGAATCTGGGTGCTGAAGATCGGTAACACCATCGCCAACGCTGCTAGCGGATGTCAAGAAAGCCGACGTTAGTGATGAATTGCTGGGTCGTGCACCGCTCGACTTTCGACCTAGCGGTGACCAGCCTGTGGGGCTGTTCAAAGGTGAATCTGGCGAAGTTGCATACGCATTGGTGCTATGCGTTACTCCGTCGTCTAAAGAGTATGCTGATTCTGGGTGGTACATGGAAATGTCCTCCGGATTGCTGTAGACATTGAAGCTGCCAATTGAACATGGTTAGCGAGAAAAACAAGTTTTTGATGTTCGCCGAGAGCTAGAAATTGACTCACCTTGTAGATACTCGGAGTCCTTCGTGGCTATCTGCTGTGCCCTGTCCCCACGGCATAGGGCTATGGCAGCTAGATGTGTAAATCGGAGGTATAGTATGGCTATGACTCCGTAGATGGTGGGGATGTTGAACGGATGTAGAAGAAACGTTAGCCGTGACAGCACGAGCTCGCCGGCTCGTAGGAGGCAGATCCGAGACAACTTCGTTAGAGGCGTGAACCTGGGGAAAATAAGACGTCGTGTCGAATCCAAGCGGGTTTTCTCCATCCGCCGTGAGCCCAAGTCCAGTGAGTTGCTCCGGGCCTGAAGCATGTGGCCAACTCTGCAGGTAATCGCTCATTCGTCGTGTTCCATTGGGTGTCGTTGCTGATGCTGTCACGTCGGAGGCCTGAGCGTGTACGTCTGCTAGACTGGAAGGACTCCTTCCGCCAGAAGGGAGCTCATGCTCAGGCGGCGGCGTGGTCGAAGGGTCTGTACTCATGGATTGCTGGAGTTGCTGTAATTGCTTCTTCAACCTCTCTACCTCCTTGGTTCGATCCCTCATATTACGCCCTGGGAATTGTTAGCCTTGGTGAGACTGTAGCTCGGATTGAAACTCACGATATGCCCGTTGGGCAAGGCGGTTCTGAATTTTCCTCCGCTCAGCTGCATCGGGTAGATTCCTCCAGTCCTCATCTGGCTTCATCAAGTCGACATACGATGTTGTTAGCGGTCGACCGCTGCGTGGAGAAGCCGTTCCTGACATGACGAAAGGTGTATGATGGCGAGGTGGTGTCAACAGTAAGTAGGAGCAACAATGTGGGAAAATAAACAATTCGAGGTCAGAAATAAGAATGAGATTAAATGTAACACAGGCCACAGATGTCTTATGTTTCTTCTTGACTAAGGCGTAGGAGTTCAAAGCATCGCAGATCCAAGAAGTGGAAGTGACACTGAAGGTAATTAAGTGTAAGTACTGATCCAGCAGGATCAGACAGTAGTGCTGATGGATTCGTTATGTCCTAATTTGTCTGAGAGGACTAGCAGCAACGGGGAATAAATAGCGTTAGGAAGGTTGCTTAAAGACTCCGAAACCCGGTAACGAGATGACAAAGAGTTCCCCCCAGTAATATGTCTATCTATCTGGTCGTCTGGAGGAGGGTTCAGCTCATGGACTAGGAGCCAGCATTAAGACTAAAATCATGACGAAATGTCAAGGTATCCTAGTAGCTGATCAACCCACACAAAGCAGGGATGATTTATGTTGGGACTGCAAGGCAATAAGTAAGGTAGTAAGTGGCCAGCCTTTTCTGTCTGTTACGCGGCTTGATAGGGTTGGCTAGATACAATAGGGTGTCCAGGGCTGGTTATCGAAAAACCCCAGAGGGCTTTCCTCCGGACACGATGGGTCCCCCTGTGATTTGCAGGCTAGACCACGGGAGATGTGACCCGCCAAGAGGACCCTTTCTAGCCCTTGACTAATGAATTGAACCGACCTCGAAAAGAAAGATTAGCTCGGCTGCTATGTGTCCTGCAGATGTAAGTGATGTATTAGGGCAGCCCTCCGTGCGTTCAATCATACGCAGGGGTAGGAAGGTACATACAACAATTATCAGACATTGTGGCTTGCTTCGCCTCAAAGATTTTTTTTGACAGGAAACGAGGGGGGTACAATTTAGAAGTTACACGCCCCCAGCAATGAAAAAAAAGAAAACGAAAAAACCTGTGGTGTGCGTTTTGAAATTTGCGTGCATTCTTCGTGACGAGCTCGACAATTCTTTGGATCAGCGGCACAGTTAGAGTCCCCTTCCCTTGGCGTCGATCCTACCATCGCCGCCACGAAAACCCCGTTACGGCAACTGGATAACTGGATTACCTGCGGTTGTGTCTCCGTTATGTCCCCGTGTGTGTCTGCCTATATCTGCCTGTGTCCTGTAGCCGACGTTTCCCAGGTAAAAAACCCATTGGTTGCAGGCGTACTAGCTCGAATTTCTCGACACCCTCGCTATCTGACTTACGTTCTAGTATCGTTATAGGTTGATAGGAAATTCTGGTGGTAACATTGTCACAATAGCAAGATTGCCGCAAGTTTTTGCGAATCTGGCGCCATACGTGGGCTAACCCCAGTGAAGATGCTATAGCGCTATCATATCATCGGGTTATTCGGTTACCTGCCTTGTATAGGCATCCCGTGTTACTGTTCCTGATCGATAGACACGAGACATGCTGATAGCAGATCTCTCGGGCTGATAACACGGAGCCCGCTGCCTGGCTAGTGGCCTAGTTGGTGCGTGGCGGCGCCGGTGACTAGTCAGAACGAAAGAATTCAAATCGACTGAGACAAGACTTTCTGCACGTCATATGCCACCTGGAGATCATGCCTTCCTCTTCAAGTCTAGACGGTGGGTGCGGACACCACGGCCACCAACGGAGGGTGTAATCGGGGCCGGACCGGGGGGGGCACTGTTGAGCTGCCGGTCTCATTGGATGGGCTCCATGCACCCCTATCATGCCTGTCAGAGCTAAAATCCTCCGTGAAATCTGGCAGCGACTTCGAATTATGTACCTTCTCTAGACGTACGTGGGTGCGAGTGGAATAAGAAAATGCAAATGCCCTGGCCCACGTTCCTATGGCAGGGCGCCACCACTACGACGGCGAGACAATCCCCTTGGTGATTTCTGGGAAGCCACTGACGTTATTCAAGAGGTTCGAAACAACCCTGGGTGCATGAAGTTCAAGATAATGAAGAGAATTCGCCAACATCGAGATGCTACTCCATTCCCAGTTGCCCTCCGTGGTTAAATAGCATAGTATGATATTCTCAAGCCTAGCCTCTCGGCACGGGTGGAAAGTGACGTTCTGAAGCTACGGCAACAATGTACGCCGGTAGTTATAACTTAGATTGAAAGGACACGGGCGCTAGGTAGCAATGAGATGATCGACTCGGTTGCAGCCGAATACAGTCATTGGACCAACAAAGGTCCAGCTTCGGGTTAAGCACAAATCGAGTAGTAACACTTGTGCAGATGCATACTAATAATCCCAGCATCATCTGGATGGACTGGGATGGTTAGGTTGGCTGGGTTGGGGTCGACTGGGCGAGAAGCGATGAACATTACACCGGTTGCGTTCGCTCGTTCGTTCAGTTCGTTTCGCTTGTTCGTGGGGCTTGCCTATCTTTAGACAATAGGGCATCTAGACTACTAGGTTCCCAGGGCTGTTTGCCAGGTAGGTAGATACATGTGGATTGGCTGGCTCTGGGGGGTTGCTCTGATTCTGGCTATCAGTAAGACGGACAACTTGTCTCATGCCTCTTGCAATAAGATCTGCAGCCCATAGGGCGATTTTATCCAATGGGATGGCAAATAGCCCGAAACGCGATCGCCCGGATTTCTAACGCGAAAACGAGCCGGCCACTCGACCGTTGCTCGACCGATGGACCATCGGTCGGTCTGCGTTTCTCGTATTAAATAAGCAATTTGCCCAGCAACAGTAAACAAACCAGTTACCAGTAGCTTGGAAATAAATGAGAAGCTGTCGGCAGTGGGAGAAGGCAAATTAATCTCGAAATTGAAAAGCAGGAGATCAGTCCCAATCGTCTGGAAAGACCGGCACTTGTACGTAACATAGGTACTGATATTGGTCACATTTTAGGAACACGAGTGTATGCTGTGACAGCGAAGTGGCATCGTTAGCCGTTACGGGATCTGCAGCAGGGTTTGATCAGGGTGTAATAAAGTCGGTATATAGAGAAGATCCAGGGTCCCCCTCCAAAAAAAACCGGATGATATGGCAGCGGGACACTATCTGGGGAGGAGGATAGTGAACCATCCAGCGCGACGAGTTAAAATCAACCGGAGATACTCGCCTAAGTGCTGAGGAAACCCGAGGTCGCGCTCCGGACGTAATTATGTCGCCGGACATTTAGCTCATCTCAGAAACTGCTCCTTAGAGCAATACATCACTGTACGTAATCTTGCTGTTGAAGATGGCACTTCCCAGTTTTGGAAGGGATCGCGATTCTTTCTTTTCTTTCTCGAAAAGCCAAGACTGAGTGACGATGCCGTACCGCAGCTCGCGGTCGACCTCAATCGGAGAACCATAGGGTGGTCAGAAATGGGTGAATATTGATTGTATGGCTGACACTTGTGACTCTTCGAACCTAGAAGTCTCGTCGAGTAGGTTGCTTCATGTCAAGATAGGAGAGGAAAAAGAAAGGTGCTTACAAAGACACATCCCAGTGATGACATGCTCGGTATAGCAAGGCTCGTCATGAGACACACTCACTTCAGCGGGGTCACAATCAGGCCGTAACCGGCCTCGTGACAAAAGGACCTTCTCGTATCACACTCGAAGCGAGTCACAGAATCATAGAAACAGACACAAGATACAGAATCCCTCGAAGCTCCTCGGTTCCTAGAACGGATGAGCAGGCGGGGGCAGACTAAGCAGAAGGACAATCTGAAGAGACGACGGAAGAAGGTTTGGATCCGGTAACCGCTGAATTGGGAAATGGGGGCAATGTAAGGTATGTATGTGTAGGTAGTAGATAGGTAGCAAGGCAGGTAGGTCAATAAGAAAAGTAGGTAGGTAGGCAGACACAGGCCAACCAGCTTCATTACCAGCTTACCAAGTCTGCCTACCTGTTCTACCAACCAGACAACCAGCCAGCGAAGTTAGCGACAATGCAATGCTGTGACTTTATCATGAGCGAGTGCGGGTGCGCGGGAGACAAATGCGAAGCGAACTGTAACGAGAAGGTAACGAGAAAAAATGGGTGTGGACGAATGGGACAGGTAATCCTTGGAAATCCCACAACACCATTAAGAAAAAAAAAAAGAAGAAGCGAGAAGAACGAGAATAGCAGGTTGGATTGAGAAGAAATTTGGTGTCTAGGCTATTGATTGGGGGGCAGGGCGGGGGGGGGTAACAAAGTCTTGGCACGGACCACCCACGTACATAACCTTTCGAACTTGCACAAATGTACACACCCTACTGTACAATAAAACCTAAACCCCCCTAGCTAACCCCCCCTGAAAAGGTTACTCGAAAATGCTCAGGGATGCTGCTTGCTAGGATAGTAGGGGAATACCATAAAAGTAGCAGGGGGTTACAGGGGTTAAAAAAGCAAAGGGGGGACCCCTCTTCTTTGTCAGAGTGGGATTTTATTGCCCGGATCTCGACTATTTAATTTATATCCATGTATACATATGTACATTCCTAGTATTTTTCACCACATTTTACGCATTTTTACGCATTTTACATCCACTTCCCACAGCAATGCGAGCTATACCCAGCCATGCCAACTCATGTCATGTCTAGGTAACATGTATGAGGTAGGTAGGTAAGGTCAGGTTTCGTATTGATAACCTATTGCGATTACCACGGATCTAACGGACGGTTATTATCAAATTATCCATCTCCATGATTACTAGCTTGACGTTAACAACGACAGATACACACTCATCATTAATCTTGAACCATTAAAGAAAACGTCATGAAGTTTGGTTGCGGAGTTAATCCCGTCCAAGTTTCATCGTGGAGAATTAGGATTCGTATCCACGTCTTTGACAGGTGGACAAGGACACGATGTATCTGTAAGTAATCCAAGACGAACCGAACCAAACCTTTCCAACTCTCAACACTTAAATATCTTCTACTATGTTGTGTCGCGACGCTAGTCCATTAAAGGAGTAAGATCACCCTTATTCAGATGAGATCCTTCAACAATTAAAACCAGGGGGCTCTCTATTAATTGGCCAGGGGCACAGCTCGCAAAATACGTCAGCTACGCATATCTATCATATCTATCGTATCTATCACAAAATATACGAAATACACAAGTATGATTTGCATAATCTATGCACCTGAATTCACCTGAACTCACCTGAGCCGCAAGGCGATACGGGGAAGCACAGCTCCTGTTTTAGCCTCACGAGCCTTACCTTTAATAGGTTACGATATCTTCCAGCTAACCACATTATACCAGGATAAAGCTGCTAAAGGGGACCACGATATCCATGCTCAAAAAGCTTGAGTATAATATAAAAGATCTAGAATGTTACACGTGGAATCTGGCGCAATTGGCACTTAATCTATCTCTCCCACCGGAGACCGGAGTTAAGCCGCACCATTCGATATGGAGTGGTGATGTCAGGAGGTATATATGTAAGGCGTAGTTGTGGGTTTTTTAATATACACATAAATAGTATACATATCTAGACTATATAGACTAATTTCTAACATATAAGACAATTTTACGTACGTTATTCCTCAAAGTCGCCTCGAATTCAAGTTGCCGTGGTACTGGATCTAGATCATCTCACCTAGGTAAATACAACTCCGAGATTGTGATCGGATCCCGAGCTCGAATAATCACACTCGGGCTACACAACATCTAAAACATTGCAGCTCGTGTTGCAGATAATACATATTGTCACCAAATTTCCATTATTTTTAGCATCCTCATTCGTCCAGGTATCCCCGATCGGGCTTTTTG